CCCCCCCCCCCCCCCCCCCTCTTTTAAATCCCTAAGCCTTGGAGCTTCCTGGACGACCAACCCAAAGAGGGCTATTTCTCATACCCCAACCTTCTCAAGGTCCCCGGCTGAAAACTGTCTCGCTCTATGCCAATATCAGGCTCCAGATTTCAATGTTATCGAGGAGTTCGACTGGAAGAGTCATAAGCTTGATTTTATCATGGATTATTGCGTAAAAAACTGCCTCTTTGGTAGTCCGACGAACAGAGCAGTATATAATGACTGTGGGGATATGTTGAGGGTAGGGAGCTCCACGGTGGTGTGGCTACTATGGCGTCGTTAGGTATTGTCACTAGGTACTAACTACCGTTATTAACTAGGTATATTAACTAGGGAAGTCTTGTATCAAGCTGGGCGGATCATCATTCCCTACCTAGGTATCTTGCAGTGATGTAGCATCCGAGATCAGGGTACAAAAGCAAGCTTCCACCACCATGATAGAAGTACCTCTTCTTCAATGGACCTGTATCTCTCTCGAAGAGTCTCAGACTTTCTTTGACGGGCACCGTCAGTGGGATTTGTTCTGATGCCCGGAAATAAAGCAGGTTGGGTTGGTGCCATTTCGGAGGACAATACGATCTGGCCAGCGGTTGCGCCTGAGATCGGTTCCTCAGAATCATTCGATGATCTGAGGTAAAATGCAGATTTGCTTTTGCGAGCATCTGAGGGTCGGATCAAAACCGTGATTCTGGCCAAGCTTGATCAGCTGAGGGAAAATGAAACGCGCGTTCAGGTCGGGTTGTGTCGAGATGCATTTATTCGACCCCGAATCTGGCGAAGGACGTAAGTGTGGCCGAAGGATGGTAAGTCAACTCATTGTTGTACGGTAATAAATGTCGATGTCTCATTACGATTCAGACTCTTTATCCACATCCCAGGAATCACGCCCATCAGCGCATTTAGACTTGAATGGGAAGACATTCTCTGAGATCAGTTGGACCTCCACATCTCACAGTCAGAAACTGTGAGTGAAACAAGAAGGATCGCAGAGTATTCGATAAAGGAGTAAAGAAGACTTCCATTCCCTTCTTGCATCGTACAGCTCTTGCATGAACTCGGCAGCAAGTGTCATCTTGAGCGGCTGACGATCACGATGGGTCATCCAGACAAGATGAAAGACAACATGTTCACTGGGAACAAACTCATCAGCGTGGCAAAGAATCTTGCAATATCTCCCGATGAACAGTTACAAGCTGTCACCCTGTATTCAACAAACGGGAATCCAGTTCAGAATCCAGTTCTACATGCTTGAGTGTACATCCGCACTGTTCTCGACTCATGAGCAGCTGTATAGCTGTACACAATCGACCCTTGGCCTTTGGACAACGATCGACGGGTCAAACAAATGAAAGGTTGTATTGTTACACTACACATAGCACTAGGTGCTTTGGCACTTTTTGGTAGTGCAATGGTCCTTTTGGTTAATACAGATTCTGTAGCATGGGACTGTAGCCGGAAGTGTCTAGCACTTCAGGTATTACTTTTATGAACAGTCAACGACTTTGTAAGATAAGAAACTCCTTCTTCAGAGGACACATCATTACAAAGCTAGTGCTACGGGTAGAACAATGTCTTGCAGCGAGGGTATCCACGACACTTCCATAAGTACTATCATTCATATCATCATCTCATAGCCAGAGGCTGCTAAAACTAGATCAAGCAATGGAAATAAACAAGATAAAGCACCCGAAAATCCATCCAACGTTCTGAGTCTCATCAGAAAGAACAAGCGTATCCATATAATACAGAAACGTCACTTCTGTCACCACCGTTCAAGTCAACGTAGCCATCATAGCACGAAGGATGCGAGCATTCGGGCCTATCACACAGTTAGCATCCATCATTCATGTGAAGCGCTTATCTCGCCTACCTCTGCGATCTGTCTTCACCTCAAGCACTTCCTCCACATCACCGTCGCCGTGGATGATCTCGGTGTCCCGAATATAGTCCCCGCTTCGACGATGCTCCAGCGGCATATATTCCTCGAGATCTTCCTCGCTGTCTCGAGGACGCACCACGACAGCAAGGGGCCCGGCGCTAATCTTGTCGGACTCGTCACGGTCAAAGCGCGTAACCATACGGACGGGCGACGACCGACGACGGGGCCGGCCATGCACCGACACCGACCGAGTCCGCGACACCGTCCGCTTGATGCGCTTCTCCTCCAGGTCGTAATCGTAATGTCTCGCGCGCGACGAGTGCCGCGACGGCGACGCCTCGACGATAAGCATGTTGTGGCTGGATCGGGGGGTGTAGGGCTCTAAAGCGACTCGTTCCACGGTTCGCTCGCGCGGCACCGCCCGCACCGGGGAATGCGAGCTTTCTATAACCAGTGCTGGAGAGGGTCAGCTCCCATCGTCTCTCACAGTGTCCGGGCACGTGGCCACCTACTTTCGGAGCGGCGTCTGATCTCGCGACTGCGACTGATCACCTCATCAATCTGCTCTTTCGACAGCGCCAGCTGGATAATGACCATGTCACCCTGCGCCGGTCAGTCAGCACCTGCAATTCTATCTGCCCGCTACCAGCAAGCTACGTACCTCTTCCTCGAAGGGATACCCAAATTCGCGAATCGCATGCGTGTGGACGAGCTTGCGCGGCATCCTGGTCTTCCCCTTCCGGGGGTACGGCTTCTCGATCTCGACTTCCTCGACAATGCGCTCGCGGACATGACTGGGACGGCGGGGCCGGGCGCGCGGGACCTGAGCGCGCTCGCGGAAATGGCGAAACTCCTCATCGCCGTAGATATCCGGATCTGCGATGCGGATGTCCTCGTAGAAGTCGGACTCGCGCGAGCGGCGGAAGGAACGTCGCCGTCGCGGAGGCGGGCTGACCGGGCGCCGGGGCACGTGGTCACGATAGTAGTACTCATCGAGCTTGCGCGAGGGAATGCGATCAAAGGTGTCTAGCGACGACTGGCGGCGGAGGAGGCGAGGGCGGGGAGGCGGTGGGGGGCTGTCGGCGCGCGGCCGGTGGACGAGCGGTCCGGATGGGTGAATGAGATGGTCATCTTCGTACTCCCTGTCCAGCCGGCGGGCAGGAGGACCGTAGCGCTCGGTCTCGTGCAGGCGGAATTCGAAGCGGTCGTCGTCCACCCGACGGGGTCGGTCGAGAACGGGAGGGCCACGAGAGTGTAGACGGTCGCGACGCTCACGAGAGAAACGGTCAGCGTCCCAGCGGTCGGGTTCGGAGTCGAGAGCTCCAGTCGAGCGACGGTAATCGTAATCGTCGTATCGAGGCATGTGGAGTGGTGTCATGGGCGGATGACGAGGGGAAGAATGTCAACAGAGAGACAGAGAGAGAGAGGGCGGATGAGGGAACCGTGGGTGACAATGACGGCTGACTCGACGGGCCGCACGAGGAGAGCGGGGCAGATCGAGATTCAACCTCGAGCGTACCTTGGTTGAGATGGGTCTATAGAAATAGTAGATGGTCGGGGAGGATCAGGAGAAGAATGCTTGATATTGAAGAAATGTCAAAATGTCAACTGCGAGCTGCCAAAAAGACGTTTGCTTACCTACTACATCGGCCAGTCACGATGACGTCCGTTCGTGGAGATCAGCGCCGTGCCCTATCATGCCCGTTACTATCTATACTCTTTCGGCCGGCGACTCGCCACGCCGCCGTCGTCATCACCATCCGCCTCCTGCGCCTGTCATGTCCAACCGTTTACCTCCCTGTCACATAAGGCGGCAAATGGCTTCATGCCAGTTGGGATCGGCATGCCCGAAGCAGGGGAGTCCACTAATCTGTGCCTACGCGCTGTAGGTAATACAATAAGGCGTCTACTGGATGACAAGACATACTAAAGCCATAGTGCCATGTATGGTAAATTGAATTTGACCAAGTGGTGCCAACGGGCGATTTCCACTACTACTCTATCATCATGCATCCACGCCGCCTGCAAGGGGACGGCGTATTTCTGGTGCCATGTGTTCAGGCCGGCTCGTACCCTGCTGCGGATCGTCCGTCATCGACCACGGAATCCTACCGTAGAGGGTAATCATTCTACCGTTATATCCTCCGACATCACACATGCCTGCAGTGTGGACGTCGAAAGAGCAGACTGGTCAAGTGATCCCCTCCAGCAGACATCACCATCCTTTCTTAGGGTTGCCAATCGGGGACAACTTCCTGACCGAGGCCCGACCTACAGACGGTCCTCTAATTCCAAACTGAGGAGCTCCTCTTCTAATCCAAGGATTCCCTTCGCATATGTACGATATGGCTTTTGGACAGTTACAAATCGCCTTTCAGTGACTGCATCTGCCGCTCCACGCGTGGCTCCTGTCGGCGCAACGGGTCGCTGATGAGCCCCGTCACCAGGCGGCTCATACGGGGGACCTCGTCCTTGGTCTGCTGCAGTCCTCCAGGCCCTTTCGAGACCGTCTGCGATGGCATCAGCTGACCGCCACCCAGTCAGGCGCCTAATTTCACGCAGCCTCGTGGCGATCCAGCACCGCTGGGCCCGATCTGTATACTGGATGGCGGCAAAAAAGATGGGGACCGTGATCTCGATCAAACATGAGCCCAGCGTAGGGCTGAGATTTCCGGTCTCGATGTTGAAACTCTGCGGGTAATAGATCCCCGCGGCGATCTTTCCCACCAGCTGGGTGAACTCGCCGGTTGTAGGGGCCGCTACGCCCGCAGCTACCATCATCGCTGGAGGCATGCACGGGTGTAGCCGGTGTAACAAGATACGACCCAAATAGTAGAAGCCCCAGATTACCGCAATTGTCTGCGTGCGATACTGGAGGGCTGGTCCGAATGGTGTTGCTATGGGAGGTGCACTGTCCGCCGGGAGCGGCAAGAAGTGAGGCCCGAGAGCGCGAGCAAACATTTCAAACGTAGACAGAATGCTCTCCCACTCCTGCTCTGCGTGCTCGTATGTCATATTTTCCTCTTCCTCGTTCTTTTTCGGAGAATCCCTTCCGCTTTCTGTCTCTGCAAATGCAGGTGGAAGGGACCGGGGCCCAGTGGAAGGAACCATACCGTACATGGGTGGACTCTGCGATGATGGACTGGTGGATTTGGGGCCATAATTCCCTGACCCCGTTGTATTCTTCTGGGAGGAATTGCTTGGAAATGGTGGCTTTGGAGGCGGCGAGCTGCTACTTGGGCTCCGCGGTGCAAACCGGGCCATGAACTTGGAGAGCTCCGGGCCTGGTCGCCATTCCGAACCAGCGGCTTTGAAAGTTTTCAATTTCCGACGACGGTCACGGCACCCAAAGTCAGTTAGTCGACCCAACAGAAGCCACAGGTGGTCCGCAGAACCATATATTGCATCCAGCCGGCCCACTGCGGCCCGCGGAGGACATTGTCCGAATGAAGAAAACGCCATGCTAGAACTAAAGGTCAGCTTGTGGATTGGCACGAACTAAGATTCTACTGACAATAGAGGGTTTCCACCGATGATACTTTGGATGATATCCTGCTTGCAGCACCACCAATAAAGATCGCACTGAATCCTGAAGGATTCGATATCTTTTCGGGTGAGTTCTGGATTGAATGGACGCGAATAACCCTCATCCACACGTCCAAATTCGTCATAGTTGACTGCATGACCAAGTATGGATCCTATGAGGTTTTCGTCAATGCTGCTCTCTTGCTCAGAGAAAGGATCATCTTCAAGAAGAGCATTTCCGAAGAGAAAGTCTTTGCTGGTTGCCTTGGCCCATGTTCTGCGTCGGTGCTGTCGGAGATCTCGCGTAATAGTTGCAAAGTCGATCTCACGCAACAACTGTACAGCCCCCGCAACATGGCTGTTCCACTTTGTGTGATCCGCCGACATCACCTCGTAGTATGCCAATAAGAGCGCAGCGGCTAGGGTGCCCACCTGCTTTCGTCGCATTGGCAGGCCCACTGCCACGCCAACTCTCCTGAGAGCATAATGGTAGTGCTTGAGCGAGACTGTAGGAGGTGCTTCCTGTAGATATGCAATGTGTAGACTACTAAGCGCCAGGATAGCCTGCAGCAATGCCTGGTGCTCTAATGCCTTGAAAGGCAATGTATAAGTCCATAAGCCCTGTTGTGCGGTAGGAACAGGAGCACCAAACATCGTAGAAGGGTCAATTGGATGCCGCTCAAAGATGGATATGGAGGGGCCAGTGGAATGGATGAAGTGGAGGAAAATTCGAGCTGTTTTTGGGTTGTTCAGAGAGGACCCCGGTGTAGGTTGATAAGAAGCTAGCACATTGGGCTCATTCAAGTATGTTGTGAAAGAGCGTGGCGGTCCGTCATCTCTGTTCGCAGAAGCCATGATCAGGGATAGCTGGTTGAAGTTCTGCGTCACCACCTGGGCTTCCGGTTCGTCGTCTGACTCTACACCAAAGAAGTCGTCGTCTTCAGCATATGTGACTCCATGTGAAGCCGCTGGATATGACGGTTGTTCAGATGGATCTTGTTCTTGCAGCGACCCGCGCGACGCTGGTGTAAATTGTGAATATGCCTGGATTTGGCCGGGTGTAGTGCGGTTGGATTCATCCATGTGATAGGCTTGATGAACATTAAAGTTGGTGTTTGGAGGCTGCAGCCATCCCTGAGGCATGTCTGGATCTCCCATGGACGCACCAGGCATTGCGGTGGAAGGATGTCCCGAGTGATTACCATGAAGTAGAGGGCCTGGAGGACTAGACTTAACGCCCCCTGACAGAGTCGTTTGTCCCTCTGTTGGAAAAACAGTCGGCTGGGGAGCCAGTACTGGTGGTTGAGGCCCTGGTGGCCTGGGCTGGGAGAACGCAGGGGCGTGATATCCATGCGGCCCTGCCGCTGGGGTTGAATGATGCAATGCATGTCCACCGTGTGACGACCCCGAAATCCCCACAGGATCTTTGAAGATGAGGCGCTGGGCGTAGCCTTTGCATTCTCGTTTGGATTTGATACAGTTGTTGCATACGGGTTTCTCTTCTCCGCACTTGATGCGACGCTGTCGGCATGCTATTCATTCCAGTCAATGGGGCTACTCTCTCAGGGTTTCGAGATGAAATCCCAATGTAGAAGAGTCGATCACCTACTTAGACACCCTGTTTTGGTACGTCTTTTGGGGATCTTTTGTTGTGAGGCATTGTTCTTCTCTGTTGTTTCCGTGCCGCTTTCCTGGGTCATCGTGGGAAGATCAGGATCCGCAATACCACCGATGGAATGCGGCCCGGATGGGTTGATGTCGTCCATGAGTGCAGAGAGTCCGTTCCATAGTCGAGAGAAGGGGAAGGAGACGGATGGCTGACAAGCACGCACAAGAGGAAAAGGGTGAGGGAGAGAGGAAAGGAGGGAGAGAAGATGTCTGACAGTCGGAGTGAGATCCCCTCATTATTGGTCAGAGTCCCTCGGCCAAAGTTTCTTGCTGATCCCCGCCAGTTGGTCTATTCGGAGCTTTCAATCATCATGGGGATAGCATCTTGACCTTTTGTTTGAGGATCATCTCATTTCTATTGCGTGTGGTTATAAGCTTTTTTTCAGCCAATCTTCTCATGCCCCTTAACAGGTGTTGGGGGATGAACCGGTGGGAGTCTTTCAGTTCGGAAAATCCGCATCAAAACAGAATTGGTCCCCTGTCTTTAACGTATGTAGTCTATGAGCAGTAGAATACATACCACAAACTCCTCCTTGGTATCAGACATGATGATCCCTCTGTTGGAAAGTGATGTAGGACATCCAGCGCACGATGTACATAGATGGCTTCGATACGAGCTGACCGCCTTCATTTCTCCGGCAAAAACCCGTCGATCCCGCCTTTTATTGCCAGAAAATTTCTGGATGCCGCCAATTTCACCACCACTGCAGTCTCGCTTGCAGAAGATCGCAGACGGCAATTCTCCTGTCGTGGGCTCAGAACAGACAGACTTCGAACTACTTCATATTGTCAGGCATATTATTGTCTGACATCCTCCCACCATGTTCGCCGTTCCGGGTTGGTCCGTGTCGAGCTCTGCGCTCAAACAGCAGACTCAGCAGGCTGCGCAGTCGCAAAACCAGGGCCAGCAGGCCAATTCTACCTCCAAGCCCAACGATAGATCCAAAAAGCGCAAGCGTGATGATCGTGTCACCAAATCGAATGTCGATGAGATGTATCGGCGCCACATTGAGGGACATAAGGGTCCCGCGCCGAAAGGTCAGAAGCAGGGCCCTGCGAAAGCCGACAAGAAACGCAAGCAGGAGCAGAAGTCGCAAGGCCAGAACACTCAGATTCCTCCGAAGCAACAGGACAACAGCAATACCCCCCAGAAGAATAAAGACGCTGAGGATCAGTCCAATGATCTAGACAGTGCAGAGAAGCCGAGCAAAAAGCAAAAGAAGAACAAGAACAAGAAGCAGCAAAAACAGGAGCAACCGTCGGAGGAATCTCCCAAAGAATCCCCTGCCTCAACGGCCGCCGATTCCTTACCTGCAGCCCCACCGAAGACGCAGGCAATTCTCACCCCTCTTCAGCAGGCCATGCGGCAGAAACTGATCTCCTCCCGTTTCCGCCATCTGAATGAGACCCTTTACACCACTCCCTCCGAGAAGGCTCTCGAGCTATTCACCGCCAACCCTGAGTTGTTTGATGAATACCATGCGGGATTTTCACGCCAGGTGAAGGAATCATGGCCGTCCAACCCGGTTGATGGATATATCGCTACCATTCGTGCTCGTGGGAAGGTGATGGTGAAGAAGGGATCTAAGCCGGATAGGAGCCGAACTCAGCCCCTTCCACGGAGACCTAACGGGACCTGCACGATCGCTGACTTGGGCTGCGGAGATGCGCAACTTGCCCGTGCACTGCTCCCTTCCGCACAAAAGTTGAACGCGAAGTTTCTCAGCTACGATCTGCATGCCCCGAAGGACTCGCCTATCACCAAGGCAGATATCTCCAACCTCCCTGCGGATGATGGCTCTGTGGATGTGGCCATTTTCTGTTTGAGTCTGATGGGCACTAACTGGGTGTCTTTTGTGGAGGAAGCCTGGCGGGTCCTTCGCAGCGATGGAAAGGGCGAATGCTGGGTGAGCGAGGTCAAGAGCCGCTTTGGCAAGGTCGCGCGCAAGAAAGCCCAAATTGGCGCTCGGAAACCTCTTACCAAAGCCGAGAAGAAGAAGCTGAAGAAAAAGCAAGCCGGGGAGGACGACGCTGGCTCTGATTTGGATGACGACGAGGTTTATGCTGAAGATGCTCGCCCATCCAACGATGACGAGACGGACATCTCGGCCTTTGTCGAGGTGTTCCGCACCCGCGGCTTTGCCCTCAAACCTGAATCGGTGGATAAGTCGAATAAAATGTTTGTCAAGATGGAGTTTGTGAAGCAGGGCGGCGCTCCGCAAAAGGGCAAATATGCCTCCGTCGTGCCTGCGGGTGCCGGTCCTGGTAAGAAGCGGTTCATCGAGAAGCCTGTGGATCCCAACAACACCATGACTCCGGAGGAAGAAGCGGCTGTTCTTAAGCCCTGTGTCTATAAAATTCGGTAAAGCGGCGGATTCATACATATATAGTGATATAACCTGTATATACATAGAGGTAGTTTAGTCATGTTCACTGTATTGCATATCATCGGGCAACAGTTCTACCAGTAACGCGTCCAATTACACTTGCAAGACGCCAGATCATTAGACAGATGGCCATGTTCTTTTCTATTACATCAAGATAAATCTTGGTCCTTAACAGGACACCTAAGCGTTTCTGACATCATTTATAGGCCATCACCACCTTCTCAATGTATTCTTCATTGGTTGCCGCCGAGCGTAGCGACAGCCCGACCCATCTCTTCGTCGTTGTAGATACGGAATCCCTTCTCCTTTGTCACGCTGGCAAGCTGCACATTCTTCGCATCGAGCTTCTCCTCCATGACCTGCTTCAGGGTCTTCAACACGAGCGTCTCTGCCTCGGCCAGCGTAAGAGAGCGATGGTATTCGTTCTGCAGTTCCGCTTGTGCACCCTCGCTTCCGGATCCGATCGCCTTTGCGTCGTATCTGTAAAACGTACCGGACGGCTCAGCATGATATCTAGATGGGCCGAGAGTTAGCTTAATCCCTACAGACCGTCCCTCTTTTTTTATATGAAAGAGGAAAGCAGTAGCAATATTCCATGGGGAACGCACAGCTGAGGACCATCCTCATCGTAACCCGCAATTAACAAAGCCACACCAAAAGGTCTGCTCATTACACTCTCTTCATCATCACCCGTCTCTCCGAACCGCAACGCCAGATCACAAATGGCCTGGGTGCAGCTCTCGACGCGCAGGGGCTCGGCGTAGTGGAAGGCATGGTTCTGGCATTCGACGCGGGCATGTTCGACCAGATTCCGGGCGTCTGCCTGCAGACCGGACATGGCGCAACCGATATGCTGGTCAATTTCGACAATCTTTTCGACGGAGGAAGCCTCGAGAAGGGTCGATGTGACACGCTTCTCGACGCCTAGGATGACACCTTCCGATGTTGCTACCTAACCACGGTGTTAGATATGGCCGTAAGACTTGCTCGAGCGAGGCACGCCATCAATGCGATAATTTTTGTCGTGGAGACTCAGGGTTTCGACGCCACAGGGGGGGAAACATACACCGATCGCTGTGGAACCGAGTTTGATGGCTTCAAGCGAGTATTCGACCTGGAATAAGCGCCCCTCGGGAGAGAAGGTGCTGACGGGGTGACATCGTCAGAATCTAGACTATATGGGCGAAATCGCCGGGGAAAGAGTGTTCATGTTCGTACTTAATACCACGGTCTGTGGAGAATACTGGTTAGATGGGCCGCAGCGGAGAGGAACGTTGTGACGCAGCTTACCATATTCCGAACGCGCGATGAACATATTGGATTATCTGGAGAGAACAATGACGATGGAAAGGAAAGGAAGAGTGTGGTTACGCTTGGGGGAAAGAATCCGGCAGGGAAAAGAACAGGATAAGGGGTGCAAGATTGGGGATGAGAGAGCTGGAGATGGAAAGATGGTAGCTCGGATGAAGCTCCAGGAAGTCAAGGTAGTCTACGCAACACCGCTGAGTGCCTGGCGGAGCGACCGTGCGGGCCTCAGGCAGTGATCAGGCATCAACGAACGGGCTGCTGACTGTACCGCGTAATCTCCGGGACGTGACTGCTACTACCGATATACTCGCCCAACGATAGCTATTATTGTTGTTTTTCTGCCCTGTCGGCGCACCCATCCTCGCGCGCCATTTCCTACTCTTCACACATAATCCCCGTCGTGCTCCTTCCTGCCCCAGTCTATGCTGCATGACCGCCCCAATCGTACTGCGGGATCATGTCCGTCAATGACCGGCGCGCAAGCTATATGAACGCTCCACGACCCCGCGTTGCGTCGAATCGCGTCGGTGATGCTGAGAGGGCGAATTCACGCAGCGGCGCATCTCCGTTACAATCGGAAAATATGGACCATCGCGCAAATCCATCAGCTCATAAGAGCAAAACACCCCGAGAACAACAAAATATTACGACCGAGAAGCGGACTGAACGGATGGTAATCCACTCGAGAGACAAAACCCATGTACGAGCGCGAAATCCTGTCAAAGAATCGTCCAGTGCAGGGAATCGAGGCGAATGGGAGAGATCCAAGTCAAAAAGAGCCAGTCAGGTGGACGGCGCCAGTCCCAACTTGCGCAAAAAAGAAAAGGAATCATCGGAGGGTTAGTCGCGTACCAGTCCTACGATTCATCTCCAGATACTGACTGTGATTCTCCTCCAGTGACCTGGAACCCACATGCGTCCTTAATCCCGCATTCCACCGCGCCCTTGGCTACTCGAGTTTCGGTCCCCCCTTTAGCTTCGGCTCTGCCTCAATCGCTACAGCCAACACCCCTCCGTGAACTGCTGGCCGACGCGCAAGAAAAGGTACTACTGGAGGATTTATTGTTTGTGTTTATGGGGTTTGAGGGCCAGTATATTCACTATCATGGTTCTTATGACCCAGCCGTGGAAAAAGACCGGTTAACTGGGCCGGTCTTCCATGTGCCGTCAGGGTTAGATCCCACTCTCAGGGATCTCACTACTTCCATGTTGAAGATGGCTACGCATTACAGCGCGTTGGAGGCTTTCGTGGAGATCCAGAGTCGCGCGGAGTACGGCGCTGTCAACCATGCTCTATGTGCCACGATCAGGAAACTACTGAAAGATTACTTGATTCTTATTGCGCAGCTCGAGAATCAACTCTTACATAACCCAGCGTTCACCCTGCATCTTCTTCATCTCCACACGATGCCAACCGCCCAATGTTTGAGTCAGCTATACTCTTTGGGTCAAGAACTGCTTCGGCGAAATGGCCTACTAGATCAGGATCTTGACGAGTCGATTGATGACTTTGACGACGTTGATAATATCCTGGAGCAACTCAAAGAAGGAGGAGATCTTGTACCGGGTGCCATGTCGAGCAAGAAAATTTGCAAGGGAGGCAATGTCCTCCGACTTCTGACTGAGCGACTCGCCACATATTCTGGAGATCCCACCACCAAAACTCTCCTGGAAAAGCTGCTCCGGGAAGCTAGTCGGCCATATATGGCCATGCTAAACGAGTGGCTGCACCACGGAGGGATCAAGGACCCCCATGCCGAATTCCTTGTTAAAGAGCAGAAATGGATTAAACGAGAGAAGCTCGAGGAAGACTATACAGATGAATATTGGGAGAAGCGATATACGATCCGAGAGAACGAAGTCCCTCCACAACTGGACAGCGTGAGAGATAAAGTTCTCCTGGCAGGAAAGTATCTCAATGTCGTGCGAGAGTGCGGTGGTGTCGATGTGAGCAAAGCTGTCAAGGACGTGCCGAAAACGCTCGACGACCCGCGGTTTTTGGAGAACGTCAATGCAGCTTACACATACGCCAACGCATCCCTACTAAATCTTCTCCTAACAAAGAACTCGCTCACCACTCGTTTTCGGTCGCTGAAACACTATTTCTTCCTCGATCGTTCCGATTTCTTCTCGTACTTCCTTGAACTGGGAGCGTCGGAACTCCGCAAACCAGCCAAGAGTGTGAATGAAAACAAGCTCCAATCTCTCCTAGATCTCGTTCTGCGTCAACCCGGTAGTATTGCAGCGCAGGATCCCTTCAAAGAAGATGTTAAAGTTCGGATGAACAAAATCGGCTTAACAAAATGGTTGATGCAGGTTGTGAGTGTGTCAGGGATCGACCAGGACAATCCCGAAGCAGCTTTCGAGAAATATCAGGCCCCTCCAACCCAAGGTGGAGACGATGAGAGGGATATTGCTGGGTTCGATGCTCTGGAGCTCGATTACTCGGTACCCTTCCCCCTGTCTCTCGTTATCAGTCGAAAGACCGTTCTCCGCTATCAACTCATCTTCCGTCATCTTCTGTCGCTTCGTCATTTGGAAAACCTGTTATCTACAGCCTGGCTAGACCAGAACAAAGTGCTTGGCTGGCGACATAAATCATCAGACCGAAGGTTGGAAATGTGGAAACGGCGCGCATGGAGTCTTCGCTCAAAGATGCTCGTGTTCGTCCAGCAGCTTCTCTACTTCTGTACTGCGGAGGTGATAGAGCCGAACTGGCAGAACCTGATGGACCGAGTTAACGGGACGGACGCAGACGGGTCTGAAGTGACCGTGAACGGCACCAAACAGGTGAACCGGACAGTCGATGAACTAATGCAGGACCACGTCGACTTCTTGGACACCTGCCTGAAGGAGTGCATGCTCACCCAGGCTAAGCTTTTGAAGGTGAGCGCGCAATTCAGCTGCATGACAGGATCACCCTTTCTCTAATAGAGTCTAGATCCATTCAAAACTGATGACCTGCTGCACGATGTTCGCATCTTGGACTGCCTCGTCGCTGGCACGGGCTTTGGCATCGGCGGACCCGGATCTCACAGGAAACAAAGCCGCCAGTACCGACGGAAGGGGTTACGACCCGACGCGCATTGGGAAACTGGAGGACACGCTGAAGCGATACGAGGATCATTTCAGCCGTCACCTCCGAATCCTGATGGACAGGTAGGCATTCTTGTCTCTTTCATTTGTAGAAGATCGTTCAGCACTAATATGTACTATCACAGCCTGAATTATTTCGCGGCCACTGAAAGCGTTGTCCTTCTCAAACTGGCGCACGCCCTGAGCGCCATAAGCAAGGAAGACTGAGGGTTCAGGTTACGGACATGACTGTGTCATGGTTAGGTCCAGGCCGCCCAAATCGCGCCTTTAGTGCCATTGCTAAGACGCGCCTCAAAGGTCAACCTGTGAGACGACATCCCGACCTTTGGCAAAATAAGGTACACAATGGCGGTTGATCTCGAACAAGTGGCTGGTCCAACATCTTAATCCCTAAACTTAGCATTGGGATGTCAATTCGGAGTATAAGGAACTGGGTGGGTTCTCTGCTATAGACAACGAAATACCCGGGCGTGGAGTAGGGAAATTGGGGGTTATGATATTAAGGCCAGGAGTGCATTGCTTAGTCTCAATCAATCCATCTGTCCATCTGTATCTGGAGGGTTGTCGTCGGTCTCTGGAGTGTCAGCATTGTACACCCAGCCGTTGGAACGGAAGTAAGCAGCCGAGGGGTGGTGAGATCCTCCCCCCTCCTCCCCCCTTCCTGGATTATAAAGAGGCCCAATACTCCCTAAAACCCGTCTTCACGTCCTCAGCAACATATCCACACTCACCAAGATGAATAAAGAAATTGCTCTCGCGGTGATCGTCGGCACCGTGCTCGCCATCACTCTTCCCCGCGCCTACAATGACTATCGCACGTTTCTTTCTTACGGCCCGGGCGGCCCGCCATACAATCCACTCGGCTGGGTAGCAAGCAGGCTCATCCTGCAACCCTTTGCGAAGGAAGTCTTTTCAACGACCGTGTACGAACGTAAGATCCTCGCTGGAGAGACGGCGAGCTTCTTATCCGATGACGCTGTCGCCGCGAGGAAACGGGATCGACCGGTCATCGGCCCGCACGTTGTACCCAATCGACAGCTGACCGACTGGGCTGGGGATGACATTAAAGAGGTTTTTACCACCAGCCTGTCTTTGTTGCCCATCTTGATCTCTTCGCCAGGGCTTGGATAGAACAAGTCATGCTAAAGTAGAGGACTAGAAATTGATCCAACGATTCAACGACCTCGCGGCCCGAAACCCTCACCTAGTCGAGCTCAAGAAGTCAAACCTGGAAATGCATGATGAGGCGATTTTTCTCGCTGATGGGCTGGAGAATGCTGCACCGGTAGCTGCTCAGGTGCAGGGCGAGACTGCGCACATCCATCGCATGAAAGATTCGTCGTTACATGTGATTTTATCTCCCGCAGACTGTAGGTCGTCTCTTTTGTGCCCTATGTACTAGCAAAAAATTACATCCAGATGTATGTACTTACTGACCGACATCAGGTAAAAAGCTCTTCGAGGCTGGCTGGGCCCAGCGTAACGGTTTATCGGGCGCTCATGTCCCGGGTATATTGACGGCCGGAAAGCCTCTCTCTCTGCCCGCAGAATATGTCTTGATCTACGCTCCTCGCACCAACGAGGAAGTGGACTTTGTCATTGAAATTGTCGCCGCGAGTGTGAAGTATATGGCGGGGGTGGAAAAGATCGTCGAGTGAGTGCAGCGTCCGAGTCGAGCTTTGCTCGCCCGATGGTCCGATTTAGGTGTCGTGAGGACTGTATTTTTAGTAACCGAAGGCCGTGATCTTGGTGGATTGTGCAAAATCTCATCTCATTGTCCTGAAGAAAGCTGGTGGGTTCAGTCCCCCAGCCACGTTGGCACTAGCGGGTCGAACCGCCGTAGTTATCGTCTGCCTCCCGAAACCGAACCATGGTCCTGGGTTCGCTGCCAATCTGTATTTGTTGGCCCTGTGTCCCATCGTCTATCAGACGAACCCGACAACCGGGATGTTTGTCGACTCGGACACATCCGACCGTCTTGACATGCATGAGTCCCCTGTCTGCATGCATCGGAGACGTTGACGGACACAGCCCGCAACGTCCCGCGCTCCTTCGGAGGACAGACGCAATGGGTAATGGGCCCCCCACCAAGCCAGGTAGTACTGCCAATGACAGTCAATGCTCAGCAATGTTTCTCTCGATGATGGCAAGAGCCCAGTGTTTTGTCAAGGCATCCGCCTGTCGTAGTCTTCTTCGCCTCTGGAATGGCCGGGAAACTCGACCTGCGGGCATTCTACGTGAAGCTCCTCATACTCCAGGCATACACCAAGGGATGGTGTGGGTTTTCCCAAGACAGTGTCTTCCACGATCGTTCAGGCCTCGTCTTCCAGGCAGCCTCTCGGCAATCGCCAACCTGGGGGAGTTATCATTGGTCACTTGGCAAAAGTAATAGCATACTGGACGCCTTGCTATCCTCCTTTTGGCCGTGGCCCATCCGAGGTGCGTCTGGTGGCATCCTCTTCAGCATCTAAAACAATGAGTAGCGCCCTGAAGAAGCGGTGAAGATAAGCGGGGGCGGGTAAGAACGTTGCAAATAATGGCGAGCCGTCTGCAACAAAATGGATCAGCTAGCCTTCAGGAACGATTGCTGTTATATTAGTCCTCGTTGATCGCCAACCAAAGCTGGCCGTGCTGAAGAACATCCTGATCCACCGAATAATACGTCCCCCACTCCGTGAAGGCCACTTCGCCCATACCAGCATCGGAGATTTATGACAGCCACCGGCTCCCCATACTCAGCTCATCATATAACTAAGGGGCTGGCCAGGCACTTCGACAGCGGAATCAATGGTGCGACGGCGCTACCATTGAGCAAGGACCAAATAGACCCCAATACTTCTGCGGAGGAGCAGTTCATGCAAGCTTGATATTCACCAATTGCTTCATTAAGCATAGTGTCGATGTCCGTAGGGCCTTTCTCTCGGATTTTGTTTCCTGTGACTGGGCCCATACGGCGGAAACGCTCGTCATACCCGCCACTGCGCCTCGAATCAGGCCAAGCTGAAATTTGCTATTTCCGGAATACTGTCTTCCACAGCCATGTGCTGTTCGAACAAAGTACGCCATCTCTTTTTTACATGGCCCCTGAAACCACGGTAAAGTCTTGTAAAGCAAGGCCGTGACATCATCGGGTAACGGAGAGTGTTCGTGCCAACCTGGAGGGAGTAGAGGCCTTAATAATCCAAGGTAATAGGGTATGAGGGTCAGCAGGGATGGCAAAAGCCCCAATCTTTAGATCCACAAAAAAAGGATGACCATTGCTACTCGCCCAGACGGAACGGCGTTCGAAGAAGACACCGAACGTCGTGTGACAACACCCTTCCTCAGGAGCGATTTATCTGCTGGAATCTTCTCCCGGGAAGAATGATCGCTCGGCCTTTTCTGTGCTTAATTGTGTCGGCATCGCGGGGCTCTCCGGAGGGACTAGCCCCTCCTTTTCCTCCCAATTCGCTGGAAATGTAATCAATAGGCCTGAAGGGTTGGGGCGTACTCGTACATGGCCGTTGGAGTCGGTGCGATCCCTGCACCGAAGCAGCAAGGACGCATGGAAGTCATAACGCGAGTAGCATAGTCCACAACGGTCTCCGTTGAGGAATGTGTCAAGGGCAGAGATTCTGCCAGTAATGGTCTGCCTGTCCTTGAAGCCGAACCAAACTCTGGTACTGGGCTGACCGGATTTAACTATCCGTACGTTTTAGTACGATAACTGAGTCCCGCATAGCCCTACTCCGATCTTTCATGCCCTGGAATATACTCCTTTGGCGTGCGTCCGATGATCGTTTTGTGGCCGACAAAATTCTGATGCCGCCTTGGTCGACCCAACACAGAATTTGTCCACCATCTCATGTCAAATCGCATAACAGAGAGGTCATTCAGGGAAACTCGGCGACCACCGACTCGTTGTCCGAAAGTACGGAATTCTGGAACCTGGCTCATCAAATCCCACAGAGGCTGGCGCTAAAATGACGTACCGAACCCAACACCCTCTCGGCAGAACGACGAAGACTAACCGCTGTTTGTTGATGAAGAAGTCCTGATTCGCAGACAGAAGAGCTGGACGAGAAATATCTCAGCATCATCAACATCCGGGGACGTGGCTACCAAAAGTTTTCCATTGATCACCGTATTTCCTTCGAGCCGGTGGATGAGGTAAGAGCGAACACGCTTGCATGCCAAACATGGTGCTGATCCCCTCATCTGTTTAGGAAGAAGCAGAACGTCTCGAGTCCCAACACCAAGTTCTCAACAGGGTCTTTGACAACCGGCTTATCTTTCCGCCTGTTCCTCGTCTCCGAAGAATCCTCGACTGTGGTTATGGCGCCGGATCGTGGGCCGTGGACGTTGCGGAGCGACACCCAGACTGCGAGGTCGGTAGCAACAATGTCCCCGTCGTAGTTGTCCCGGCTAACCCTTTTGATGAACAAGGTCATCGGAGTTGATATATCACCGCACATGAACCCAGACGATACCCCCGAGAATTTGTGGCTGCAGGTGCGTAAAAAAGAGGGTATCCAGAGACCCCGTGTCGATACTATTCAAATCCATGGGCCCAGAGCCTTCCATCGGAGGGTATTCAAGGCGTCTAACGATACCTCTCGCATTATGTGTTCGTTTGGGTGCAAAGGGTGCTAACGCAAGTTCACTCAGGTTGACGATCTGAACCACCCCTTCACCTTCCCTTCGAATCATTTCGATCTCGTTCACTCCAGACTGGTCGCAACTGGTATTAATCGAGCTCGATGGCCGGGTTATATTCGGGATATCCAAAGGTCTGGCATTTGAAGAAGCATTTGACGGGATGTGAAGAATCCCAGCATGAACTCCTGACTAACCCTGGAATGCACAGAGTTCTGAGGCCCGGGGGTTGGGTACAGTTGGTCGAAATATACTTCAATGTCCAATCCGATAATGGTTCCATCACAGAAAGGCATGCACTGAGGCAATGGAGCACTCAGTATCTAGGTTGCCTTGGAGAAGCGAAAGACCTTCGTGTGGGGACCAGATTAAGAAATCTGCTTATTGCAGGAGGATTGACGGAGGTCGATGCGAGAATGATACCTCTTCCTTTGTCCGCATGGTCCAGTGGTAAGGCTATGATCGACCATCTTATGCCGATGAAGTCCTTATGCCTCTCCAGACCCGCGAATGCGAGAGATCGGTACAATGAATCGCGACAATATTCAAAGCCTCCTTCGATCCATGGCGCTTTACCCATTTACTCAACGTCTCCATATGGCAGCCGACCAGTTCGAGAGCCTGGTAGCACGTGCGCGGCAAGAGGCTGATACACCCAATCTGAAAGCATATTTCCCCTTGTGAGTATAGACACCCCATGACGCGTTCAACAGCGAGCTGATGTCTTAGATACGTTTGCATTGGACGAAAGGCAGGGTGACTACCTGCGGGAGGCAGGCAACGAGGATCGGTCAGTATGCGGTTCCTAGCTGGAAACGAGGTTTTGCACTGGATCGTTCACGGGGCACATCGAGAGTCCTGTCATCTTCGTCTCTCCATATGGAATAGGTATCGTGTCGTTGTGCTTCAAGAGCTTAGAATGAACTAAACACTTCACAGCTTCAGACGGATCTTTCTGTGTCCTTCACTGTAATCTAATAGGTGAGTCGTGACATACATCAAGATAATGGTCAAGCCATCAGCGATACTAACCTGAAAGATAACATTACAGGTACAGGCTCTTGTTGAGAAGTGGCGGGAGGTCGAAACACCGCGGAGTGAGGGTAGTCGGCCCAGTGCTCGGATATGCTCGAGACGAGATAAACAACCCAAGGCGGCAAACGAAGGCCTGCGGCCCATGACGGCAAAATCCACAACGGTAATCCAAACGCGAGAGCGTCAAGACGGATAGACCATGGTGTTCCTCAGAGAGAACAGGGTGATGGCCCTCACGGGGTAAGGAGAAGAGGAGACAAAGGAAAGGGAGAAAGAAGGCGGGATGACGACGGAAAGGACCCATGGCAGATATGATGATGACTGTCGCTCGGACACGGGTACCGAAAACCTTCCTTTCTTCGTCGACACGACCACCAGACCCCGTTTACCTGATCGAAACCGTGCATTTCTCTACTAGCTCGCATCTTGTGGTCTTCTGGGTTTGCCATTCGCCCTGGGAACCCTGATCCTTTTGGCGTTGGCGCGCCTGAGTCGTCCGATTCCGCCTTTCTCAGGAAGCGACTGTCCGTCCCGGCAGAGTGGTTCATCCTGCGCCAAGGTCAACACTAGTCTGCGGGTTCTACCAGGAATCACAGGCTGCGGCATGGCCAGGAGCATCCCCCCTAAGACTGACTAGTTCCCCTTTGACGGGTTTCAAGGGGAGGAAGCACCGCTAATACCGGTATGCTCCTCGAAATGCCCCTATCCCTCCCTATCTGGGAGCTATTAATCCTCACCTGGAGATCACAACGCTACGGGCTACAGAGCACGGAACATTCAAGACATGAGTCTGGTGGGTCTATGCACAACGCCGGTCTTTGCTGGTGCGGCACCGGGGGGTCATAGCAATCATCGTTTCAAGGCTATTGTCGCTCCATTATGGCCTTGCTAGAAATCTAGCCAGATATCGGTTCTTTTCCGGACATTCCTCGGCCGGACCATCCGACGTTGAAGCTACCTACAGCCTACCGACTAGACGACAATGCAGTCACTTGGACAGACAATAGATTTCCCTCGTAGAAGGTGAAAATATGAGCCGTCTCCTCGTACAGCCTAGAGTAGTAGGGGGGAGGCCTGGGACATCTTACCACCAAATCAGACGGTATATAACTATCAGGCCTTCATATTAGAGAGATAAGAAGGACGATGCCTGATCTAATACACAGATCACGACAATAATCTCCATACAGATGACGCACGTCGTTCTCGATCGGGCGCTTGGGCGCTTACCGCGTGAGCCGGGTTTTGGTGCCTGAATGCTGCCTGAATATACAGGCATAAATAGCCTTCCCAATCTAGTAAGGACCCGCCTGCTCTCCAAAAAAAAGTCATTTGGAATTTCTCCAGTCAACCCATCAATCGTTTCCTCCCCTCACGCACCATTCTCAACCCGCTCCAAGATGCCGTCCACATACAAAAGAGACAAGCCGTGGGATACCCCCGATATTGACAAATGGAAGGTCCGTCCACCGAACCCTCTTTCCATCGGTTTTACCTGGTTTTCTTTTTATTAACCTGCGAGCAGGTCGAACCATTCAAACCCGAGGATAACGCCGCCGGCAGCTTCGCAGAGGAATCATCCTTCGCCACGCTCTTCCCCAAATACCGTGAAGTCTACCTGAAGGAAGCATGGCCCGTCATCACGCGCGCCCTCGAGAAGTTCGGTATCGCCTGTACTCTCGATTTGGTCGAGGGTAGTATGACGGTGAAGACCACTCGGAAAACGTTCGACCCGGCCGCGATTCTCAAAGCCCGTGATTTGATCAAGTTGCTATCGAGAAGTGTTCCTGTGCAGCAGGTGAGTGGCTTGTCCATATCCTCAGCCATCCCACGTTGAATAAGCACGCTAACGTCTTCCGCTCTAGGCCCTCAAAATCCTCGAAGACGACGTCGCATGCGACATCATCAAGATCCGCAACCAAGTCCGGAACAAGGAGCGCTTCGTGAAGCGTCGCCAGCGCATCCTCGGCCCCTCCGGATCCACCTTGAAAGCCCTCGAGCTATTGACCGGCACCTACATCCTCGTCCAAGGAAACACCGTCGCCGCGATGGGCCCGTACAAAGGATTGAAGGAGGTGCGTCGGGTGGTGAACGACTGCATGGCCAACATCCATCCGATCTACCACATCAAGGAACTCATGATCAAGCGCGAGCTGGCCAAGGACCCCACCCTCGCCAACGAATCGTGGGACCGCTTCCTGCCCAACTTCAAGAAACGCACCCTGTCCAAGCGTCGCACGCCCTTCAAGGTCACCGACAAGTCCAAGAAGGTCTACACGCCTTTCCCTCCTGCCCCCGAGAAGAGCAAGGTCGACCTGCAGATCGAGTCCGGCGAGTACTTCCTGTCCAAGGAGGCCAAGGAGCGCGCGCGCAAAGAAGAGGTCATGGAGAAGCAGCGTCAAAAGCGCGAGGAGAAGATGCAGGAGCGCGCCAAGTCGTTTGTTCCTCCGGAAGAACTGGAGGCGGCCAAGGAAAAGAAGGAGAAAAAGGACAAGAAAAAGAAGCGCAAGCGCGACTCCGAGGGAGAACCCGACGTCGACAGCTCCGAGAAGAAAGAGAAGAAGAAGAAAAAGAAGAGCAAGTCCAAGGAGAGTGTGTCCGAAGACGAATCGTAGAGTGCATCACTCTATCTCTTCTCGATTATTGTTCTTTTGTGGGTTCTTTCTTTCAGGTTTTGTTTCTTTACTCTTCGTGTTCAAATTACCCGATATACGGCGCTTAGGCATAGCATGGATTGGAGTTCTACCCCTTTATATTTACACGAAATTACCCAAAATCTTTGTTTTGATTGGAGATGATCATTTGTCTTCTAATTTTCGATGTGAAATGAATGTGAATTGAACGATAAGAATAAGCCTTGTACACAACCAACGTTTTCTTCATCACACCATGCGGTCTATTGATGGCTCTATTCCTCCCGTCCTTCTTTTTCTTGTAGAAAACGCGCCTGCTCGCGTCGACTCTTGTCTAGATCTAGCCAAATAGCCAAAACACCAAAGCTAACAATGCTGAGCACAAAAAGGAAATAGAACGGAGTAGAGCTATTCCGCGACGGCGTGGCATCAATGATTGCACTCGAGATCAACGGTCCGATGAATGACGATGTCTTTCCAATAATGCTGAACAGACTGAAGAACAAAAAGTCATGCCCGCGGGGGGCGACCTCCGAGATCATGATCTGCGAGTAACTGTACCATGGGCAGACGAACAGACCGTAGAACACCTGATAAAGCTATTGAACGCCGCTGTTAGCCATCGGCGTCCATACAATCAGGAATGTTGACTACGGCAGACTTACCCAGAACTCCCAGGCATTGTGGAATCCAAATTTCTGGGTCCATATCCCAATCATGCCCCAGCCATCAAGCAAGACGATACCGACAGCGATGGCATTGAACATGGTTTTTGTGTCAAGGTTGAATCGTTTCTGGACGAACCAGAATCCGTAAATCCCAGCAGCCTATGTATGGTTGTTAGCGGAGCAGCGTCCCGGAGCGTCTCGTGTCTCTTGCCTGGGCTGCTATCCCGACGATCAGAAGGTACGTCAATTGCAGGGTATTATATGACACGACGCTGTTTTGCAGCGTCGCGATCACGGTCACCGTCGTGTTCAACGAGTCCCCCAACAGGAAATAACCTAAGGATCAGTTAGGGCCAAGTACATGTCTAGATTAATCTTCAGACTCACCGATTAAATATAATAAGCTCTGCTTCAGTTTCCAAACTTGTCGGAGTGCGTAGTAGAGTTGAGATATGCCCGCAGCAATGATATTCTTGCCTTTCTGATCCTGTCCCGGCCGTCTCTTTTCGAGGATGAACCATGGTAAGGAGACCAGCAGCCAGACGCCAGTTGCAAAGGCTATAAGCACACTCAAACCCCAATTGTTGTTGTCTTGGCTGGCATTGACATTCACAGCAAACATGACCCCGACAATGATAGCAAGGATGACAATTTCCGCAAGAGACTGCACGTAGAAAGCGACATTCGCCAGTTTCGAGCGCTCCATCATGTCCGCTTGATCATACTCCTCGCGCGATATGTCCCCGGCGTTGTAAGCATCCGCCTTCGCTTGTAGGGTGGCTGTATTGCGCGCCAGACAGGGAAATGCTGCGAGCCAAAAGGTCAAGGTCGTCTGATAGGCGATCAACCCGACAATGTACAGCCCGACGCCGACATGCCATTTATCTGGTGTATGGACGCCGAGCCAGCCAAAGCCGATTCCATACGCGACGAGGGACAAGGTAATCAGGATATTGGGACGCCACGTCCCAAAATCGGCGAAGCTTCCTATGACGAGAAAGACGGCAACTTGAGCCGCAAAGGAGATGCCGTTACAGAGTAGAACGATGCTCTCGACTGATCGACTCCTCCCGACAAAGACTAACGTGCCTCCGCTCCCGGCAGCTTGGCTGAGTAGGTTTTGAAAGGCAGTAGGGCCGAAATCTGCGTCGATTGTTAGTGACGCGCTGCTTCAACCCCAACACTGAGACGAGAACCGACTGAATAAAGATAGTCCATTATTCCCAATGTAATAACTAGCTGCCTGTTTAGAATTCGCCTGTAGATTAACGATTATTCACCCACGCGTAATAGGCCCATATCTCCCATTTGGTGGTGCGGTATTTCTCATCGAATTGATCCGGCGCAATGCGCAGTTCAAGGTCTTCCTCGGTCTTGTCATTCAGGATATCGCGATCCTGACGCGCTGGGGAAGCAGAGTTCTGGTTCTCCGACATTGGGGCCGATGCAGATTTTCCGTCCATGCTGACCCTGTTCGCAGTCGAGAGTTGTGTTGCGATTGCTCAAATTGCGGAGGATGAGAAACGGCCGCCCCTCGGGTCATATAGGCCAGGGAGAAAATCTCGACTCTGCGACGTGGTACGCGAGATTAGCATCCATTACTCGGTTAATGTTAGAGCGGAGGGGAAACTGCAAAGGATCGTAACCACTGGCTGGAATGCGGTTTCCAACAACCAGCTAAGACATCTGCGAGAAAGCTAAGCCTGCCGATCCGCGTCCTAGTCTACTTTGCCCTTAGCGCCGAGGGGTCCCAAGACTTTTTCATTTCATGCCATCGATTTTTATCAATTAACGAGAAATAGTGAGTGTTGTTTTGTATGCGATTTATTTCCCGAATTAGGGTTATGTCATGACAACTGGGTGTTGCGTTGAGCCAGCCCGTCGTTCGAACTATATACTCCGCAGTCCTGAGTTGTTTACTGGTGCTGCGAATGTGTTATTGATTAGAACAAACCTCGTTAACAATGTAGTGTCTGCCATAATATTTACTGTACAACCTGTCGAGTCCACCACGGTATATATCTAAGGTATCTATCTATATCGCAAAAATGAAAAGGTATCGCCAGCGCCTTACAGCTTGGCAGTACCAGCTTCGATTGACGACCAGCTCTGTTCGCCGAGCTTCTCATACTTCGTGTCATTGAGCCAGTACAGCTTGTCCCCATTCCAATCGACCCGTGGATCCCAGCCCTTCTTGGTCAACTCGCCCTTAGCTTGCTTAAAAGTAACTCCCGTAGCCACCCTAATATGAGGGTTAGAATACATTTGTACTGCCACAGGAAAGGAGTAACTTACTTCTCGGTCAACCGAACAAGTCGGGGGACAGCATAGGTGGGAACTCCCTTCTTCCTCAACTCGCGGTAAAGCTTAGCCATGAATTCACCCTCGGCAGAGGGGTCCTCGAGAGTGATGCCAGCGGCACCAGCTTGGCCATCATACCTGCATACAATGTCAGTATCATTGCCGACCTGACCCATCAAAATTCGATGGAATTCCATACCCGTTCAATTTCACACCGTACACTACGGCATCATGGACCGCCGGGAGTGAGCAGATGTGGTCCCGAACCTCACCCGCACTGACGTTCTCACCCTTCCAGCGGAAAGTGTCTCCAACGCGGTCTTGGAACTTGATCCAGCCATCTGCGTCCTGGACGACAAGGTCTCCGGTGCGCTGGAAAAGATCGCCTTTCTGGAAGACATTGCGCAAAAGCTTCCCTTCGGTGGCTTCGTTGTTTCCGACGTATTCGACCAAGAAGTCACGGTTGCGAACACGTCCAATCGCCTCGCCTTCTTCGCCAATCTTGGCTTTGACGCAGAAGCCGGTGACGGGATCGCGGTAAGGCATCTCCGTTTCGGGATCATACTTCACAATGAGATTATCATCCTCGAGGAATCGCCGGATCGGCCCGCCGAAGCCAATCTTTCCGGCACCCCATGATCCCACGCCGTGGTTGTCGAACTTGGCGACGCCCTCGGTGGACCGGTAGAACTCTCGAATCTCAGGGACACCAAATCTCTCCCGGAATTTGTCCCAGATCTCCGCACGCAAACCGTTGCCGGTAGCCACAAGGCACTGGTGGTCCTTGTCGTACCGGGAGGGAGGTGTCGCCAGAAGGTATCTGCAAAGTTCACCAATGTAGAGAACGCGAGTGGCCTTCGACTCGTGCACATCTTTCCAGAAGTTTGAAGCCGAGAACTTACGGCGCAGACACAAAGTGCCTGCAGAGCCGACAGACGCGCAGAGACCAATGAAGAAGGCGGTGCCGTGGAAAAGCGGAAGGGCACAATAGGTGCGCAGGGGCAAGTATTTCGAGGGATTGTTGACATCCGATTGCAGCGGAGTGGAAGTGATGATAGTCAGCATGTTCCGTACTCCACATGCTTTGGGCTTTCCCGTAGTTCCAGACGTATAGATAAGGGCCGCCAGGTCACCGGGACCTCGCTTGGCAGCCGACAATCCAGAGGGAGAGTACTGCTGAAGCTCTGCGACAGTGATCAGCTCTACCGGACCCGTCGATACGCCGTCAAAAGACGACAGGTTGAAAGCCACATGGGGAATATCGGAGCAGACAAATTCCGACAGGTCGGGAGTAGAGATGATCATAGTAGCCTTCGAGACTCCAAGGCAATGGAGAAAGGTATCGTCTGTCGAGCACTGTGTTAGAAACGTTGAAGAGCGTGATGAATGTAAGTGACAAACGGCGTACCTCGTAGACTCGTGTTGATCAGAGCAGAAACAGCACCCAGCTTCGACAGGGCGTATACCGTTACAACCATTTCCGGAGAATTCGTGGTAAAGACGCCAATAGTATCACCCGACTTCACACCTCTCGACTGCAGAAAGGCAGCAAATCGGTCAACAACTGCATACGGATGTGTTAATCGCCGAAGAAGCAGGTCTGGGGGCGCCCAGGTGACACTCACGGTCTTTCAATTGACTATAGGTCCATGTCTTCTTCTCAAACCATAAGGCGTCCCGTGCGCCATGGCCTTCCTTGTCAACTACCCGCTCGAGCAATTTGTAGATGGTAACGGATTCTCGCAGCTTTGCAACCCGCTCGGCCACGCGAGCGGCTGTCGCCCGTTCATTGCGGAGGGTCGATAGATCTGTCGAGATGGAATATTTGGCGTTCAAGTACGCGCCGGCCGCCGCCGTGAGGGCGGACGCCATTGCGACGGACGGCGCACTAAGTTCGGACAGGAACTCCATCTGGACTGCGTGAGGTGTCGGCTGAGGGATATGAGATACGGCCAAGTAGGTAGATATGACGGATTGTGCCTGGGCTTGTATGCGGCAATTGCGTTGGGGAATTTAACCAACCCCAACAATCGATGCTGGTAGTGAAAATATGCCCCGCCGTGGTCGGAGTTGAAAGATAGAAAGTTACGGGGACAGATACAACCTGGATAAGGGGAGCAGATATAGCCCTCTATAACCGTGGGAGACGTCTGACCGAGTCGGAGTGTGGGAACGGGACCTGGCACAGTCGGAAATGCCGTCCATCACTAGAGCGGTAGCTGGGGAAGCTTCAGCGATCTGCCTGAATGGGGGCGGCGGCAGTAATATGACGGGGATACTCCGACGCGGCCAATTTCCCCACGGGCCATCCATCCGGCTGTCTCCCCACGTTTTGCCTCTGGTCCTGTCAGAATTCAGGACTCGATGTATTATTAGTATTATGAGTATACCTTACCTAGGTAGGTACTCCGTATTATTGTCCATGTTTTTGTACCAGTGTACCAGTGTATCGCTTATCAACCACCATGGACGGTGAAACTGGTTTATGCACTCAACCCCACAAGGGGCAAGATCAGTGCCATCGGACGCACGGTGTTTCTCCCTATATACATACTCCGTAGTCGGATAGCTGCCCTTTGTAGCTATTGTCCATTGATGCCCCGCAGAGACTCACAACACAATACATAGATATATTGTAGATGTATACGCTGGCTCTTTTACCCATTATCGGAGTTTATACATTTACTCCGTACAGTATGGGTCAGAGGCAAACATGCATATTAGTAATCCCCACCTGCGGACCCAACCTTACCCCTTATGGATTTAACCAGTTAGTCGTAATTACGTATTGGCTGGTACAGTCGCTGTGGTTAGGGCTTCCAGTCCCGCTGTTGTCCACCAATGATGGCATCAATCCCCCCTGGAAGTTAAGCTTTCCCACCGGCGCTAAAAGGCAACCCGACAGCCGAGGCCATGTGTGAGTCTCGTATGTTACACCTTTATTACCATCTGGCGGCAAATTCCTTCGGCTTCTTCTGCGCTGCGTCCTGCCGGCCTCCGTCTTCGCTCACCAGTGGCACCCGATCGCTGCTCTTGTTATTGGTTGCCATTCTTCGGCTCGGCCTTCAGCCCGTCTGTGGACTCTCGGCGGGTAAGCCCTGTATCTCGATTCTCCAAAAGAACCGCGGTTGTTTTCGCTGCCTGTGCTTCCCCCAGGATCTTCTTATATTATCACAGTTCCGTGGGGAAAGCTCCTGGAATTTTTTTTGTTTGTTTATTAACTTCTTATATTCCATTTTCAGTGAGAACAGTTCTTGTCGGATCGAACTCCTGTATCCTTATATTTCTGGAAAGATGTCTTCTCCTCAGCAACGGTTGTCCTCCATTGCGAACCAGCTCTCGGGCCCCGGTTCTGCCGCTGCGAAGCAACAGATTCTGTCCAAGAACCCCGACGACATCGTAAGTATCTTTGCGCATGATGCCATGAAATTGGCTTCAGACGCTAACGCGTGCCAATAGGTCATCACTCTTGCCGTCCGCACACCTCTCACCAAGGCCCGGAAGGGTGGCCTGAAGGATACTCCGCTGGATGACCTCCTCGTTTCTCTGTTGACGGTATGAGTCTCGCTCAGTTTCCAACAGATCTCTCCCGTCTCTAACATGTAACGCCACTAGAGCATCCGTGAGCGCTCCAACCTTGACCCCAACCTCGTGGAGGATGTCTGCGTCGGAAACGTCCTTGCCCCCGGTGCCGCCTATATTGCTCGCTCCGCTGTGTTGGCCGCTGGCTTCCCCGTGACTGCCGCCGCCTCGATCGCCAATCGTTTCTGCTCCTCTGGCTTGTTGGCCATCCAGAACATTGCCAACCAGATTACCGCCGGTTCGATTGATGTGGGTATTGCGGTGGGAGCCGAGAGCATGAGCACCAACGCCGATGGTGGTGCTCCGGAGATGTCTCCCAGCGTCCTGGCCCACCCCATTGCCTCCCAGAACATGCAGCCCATGGGCCAGACCTCGGAGAATGTTGCTGGCCAGTTCAGCATCTCCCGTGAGATGCACGACCAGTTTGCTGCGAAGAGCTACCAGAAGGCCGAGCGTGCCCAGAAGGCCGGCTGGTTCGACGATGAGATCGTCCCCGTCAAGACTCAGATTAAGGATCCCAAGACCGGCGAAGTGAAGGACATTGTGGTCTCCCGTGACGATGGTATCCGTTACGGCACCACTGCTGAGTCTCTTGGCAAGATTCGCGCTGCTTTCCCTCAGTGGAAGCCCAGCGCTACCACTGGCGGAAACGCCAGTCAGATCACTGATGGTGCCGCTGGTGTCATCCTCATGAAGCGCTCTCGCGCTGAGGCGTTGGGTCAGCCCATTCTGGCCAAGTTCTGCGGTGCTACCGTTATTGGTCTTGAGCCCAGAATCATGGGTATTGGTCCCTCCATCGCCATCCCCAAGATCCTCTCCAAGTTCAACCTGACCAAGGATGACATTGATATTTTCGAGATCAACGAGGCCTTTGCCTCTATGGTGAGTTCAAGCCATACTGGTTAATTTTGTGATGACCTTAATACTTACCATTGGTGACTAGGGCACCTACTGTGTGCAGAAGCTGGGCCTGGATGAGTCCAAGGTGAACCCTCGTGGTGGAGCTATGTAAGTGACGATCAATTGTCGTTCTGAAACTTGTCGAAGCAATGTTGACTAACGGGGTTAGTGCCTTCGGTCATCCCTTGGGCTGCACGGGAGCCCGCCAGGTTGTGACTGCGCTTTCCGAGCTCCGTCGGCAGAACAAGCGCGTGGCTGTCACCTCCATGTGTGTTGGAACTGTAAGTTCTTATGTCTTGTTTTTGTGTATGATCGGAATAGGCTGACTTTCGCAGGGCATGGGTATGGCCGGTCTCTTTGTTTCGGAGCACTAATGCGATCATTCGGGGAGGAGACGATGAGAACCTTGTACATAGCCTAGTTGTTGATGAATATTCACATGACAATATAGAATTTGATCTGATAGCGAGTGTCTGGGCTTTGACTTGAGTGTGAGTAAAGTAGAAGGTGCCCATGGAAGAACCCAAGAAAGGTTGTATTCACCTATACTACTGGGTTGGGGAGGCTACACGCCGGGCAAGTCACGTGGTTTGTCTCCCGTTATCGCCCCAGCCAATAGTCCAGCGGAGGCTCCTGCAGGCACCGGCCGCCCGCATGACCGCCCTGCGACTTGCCCAGCGTCTTCTCCTCACCATCGTCATCCTCATCGCTGTACCTGATTTCCTCCCGTTAGTCCATCGTCTCTCGCCTTATAAAGCCGTTCTTTTCCCCTTGGGCCTCTATTCTCCTCCGATATTCTCTTCCACCGACGAGTGTCATCTTCTCAGGACCTTCGACGACCATGAAGTTCTTATCAACGGCGGCTTGCCTCGTTTGCCTGGCTCCCATCGCCGCCACCGCTCGATCCATCGACTTCTTTTCCCAGGCCCCCATTCACACCGATGCCGAACCGGTGAAAGGAGACAACCCTCTCGAGTATTGTAACGATCCGAAGACAGATATCCTACAGATCAAGTCGGTGGATCTGTCGCCGAACCCACCACTTCCGTATGTTCTAATCGGACCTGCCTTGTGTCCCGCTCCCCAACTGACAACGTCATAGTGGTCAAACTCTCAATATCAAGGCGTCAGGCACCCTCCGTGAGACAGTCGACAAGGGAGCTGTTGTTCTCTTGGAGGTCAAATATGGCCTGATCACTCTTCTCAAGCAAGAGGCCGACCTCTGCGACCAGATCACGAACGTCGATCTCGAGTGCCCGTTGGAGAAAGGTGACATGGTTCTGGAGAAGCAGGTTGATCTTCCGGCTCATATTCCTCCGGTATGTTAATCTACTTCTTTTGCCTTCCTCGTGTCGCTCGGAAGCTAATATACCATTTTTTTCGCAGGGCAAATATTCCGTCCATGCGGACGTCTTGTCGAAGGATAAGAAGCGGATCACTTGTCTCGACGCTCACAACATCGAGTTCAAACGGACCTTCTGAATGGTTACATCGGTATAAGATGTAGCAAGGATTTGATGGGGGTAATCATCAGCTCCCGGTCAAACGACTCGAGAACTTCGTCACCGACCTCACGATTCCTTGATGCCGCTCCTTCATGTGCTATGTCCTACGTTGCTTTTCCAGCGAGATTTCTGTCGTTTCCTCCCGCCTCTAATTCGCCAGTGTCTGGGACTCAGATCGCATATTGTCATGATCGTGGTCTTCCTGTTATGGTCTGCTATATTTCACAGGGCGTTTAGGGCATCTGTTTGAAATTTCCAGCAGTCGCTTTTTGAAGTTTGCCCTCGTATATGCTTTGTTTTGATATCTGTTGGGAACGGCCTTAGAGCCTATAATTCCATCATTCCATGAGTAGCGACCGATCCGAGCTCCGCATACAAACGTAGCTCTCTGTTCATATATAGATATATATTTCTATTGTGACGTAGGACCCATACAGTTAACGCGCTACAAGCCATAAATGTCTCCGACTGGACAACAAATCTCTAAGTACAAGGTAATTAACTCTTCGACTGATTGGGTATCTTCCCGTCTCGCTGGATTCGTCTAATAACCCCGACGGTATTTAACGCAACAGCAAAGAGACGTTCAAAAATGCACAATACCGCCTCAAGAAAATCAAATCTCGACACCAGGTCGCAAATGTGGGGACCCGCACCCCTTCCTGCTTCTACTCTCCAAACAACCGTCGTACACGCTTGAGCACGCTATCCTTCTCAGGATCGTATGGGTGGTCTTTGCTGGGGATCTCAAGCACGGCAGGGAAGGCGTCGGCGAAGGAGTCAACGCTATGACGGATGCGCTCAGCGATCTAGTCCACTTGTAAGTACAATACCAAACAAGGAAGGGCTTCGAGAGGCTATACATGTTGGTTTATCAGGAGAACGGCGATATCCTTTCTTTCCTGCGTGAAGTTCTCGAACGCTTTCTCGATCGTGGAGGTCTCGGTCTTCGAGTCGACCACGAGGAAATTCCGCTGGGGATCCGGTCCGTCCGTCACATGCTATCAAATCGCATTAAATCTGGATCGCACGATGTGTTGTTGCAGCGGGATGGCGTTTCGGCTATCGAGGGGACTTACACCAATGCCTGCGAGGAGGAGACCGGTCACAGAGCTGTGGGTGCCATGTCAGTAACTCAGACCATTGTAGTCCCGTCTGATAGCACGAACTCTTCGTCTCCGATAACAGCAAGGAACTGTCGGTCCTGGTAGATGATTGCCACGGTCAGAACTTGCCACGGACGCCATTCAACCAACTCCTATGTGGGATGGACTTACCTTGTATGATACGGCCGTAGCCGCCATGATGAAAGGATGGTAGGAAAAACGCTGCAAAGGACGTTTCTCGACGGAGAAAACAGTGCAATACTGAGGTCGCAGAAGTAATAATCTGTTCCCCGGAGAGCGTGTTCGTCGCCGATAACTTGGCCGGTCGTCGTCATAGGAAGCCCCGTGATTATCTAAGCGGGGTTCCCCGATTACCCACTCACTCCACTAGTCGTGGTGTTTACATGCGGAAGAAAATCTTCCTTTGATCCAAGCTGCCTTTGACAAAAGGTGTGTCCCCATGTGTACGGTCATTTTGCACATCTCCAATGAAACTGACTGTTATTGATCTCTCTACAGTCTCTTGCTTCTTGAAAGCCCCACAGCGCCCATCATGCCCCGGCTGGTACGCCGCCGTCCGTTGGCGGAGCGCATCAAATCCTACCTAAACCCGTTGGACTTCCTGCTGTGGCTTTCAGAAGAAATCGACGCGAATGACTGGGACCAGTTCGAGAAGGATTGGTCGCTGACCCTTGGTGTAATCCTCAATCTGGTCTTCTTGATTGCTAGAGCAAACAGTCGACCCACGGGCAGTCGCGCGGTTGACGACGTCTTCGGCGATGACGGAGGTGCGCCGTGGCTAAGCTGGCTTGTATGTCATCCTGAATTCCGCACAGTTGGCGTTTTATACTGATGGCTCTTTTGCTATAGGCTTCTTTCGTTGTCCACCTTCTGGTCTGCTTCGCTGCATTCAACACGTTCTATACCTTCTATCGCAAACGCCATTACCGCATGTTCGAGGCCCCGATTGAACAGACTCCAGCAACACCCTCTGCGCGCCGTGTTCGTGTTGATTCGACACCAATGACCGCGTCACCATTGCGATATTTCGCCGAGACGATCTCCGGCTCAGCGCAGTCAAGAGCACACCCCGATGCGGAACGCGATGTTTGGGAGCTCGCAGTGTGGGATCCTCTGCCGATATGCCTCCGGCTATTCTGTTTGTTTAGTCCTGGACATGTTCTGGTATACTGGCTCTTTCTCCCTACGCAGATGTCTGACCCACGACCAAGTGTCACCATTGTCACCACCATTTTCTTGACTACCCTGCTTTCCGTGCAGATGACGTTCCTTTCTTCGTCCTTCACACAAAAGGGGAAGGACTCTACATTAGTCCACAAGGAAGCTTTGAAGGAATATGACGTCAAATTTGTACATCCTCGCACACAGCCTCTAATGAGAGATGTTGGCACTCAGTTTACTGATGAGGATGCTGCTCGATCGGGCGCCGATGCGAAGTACAACAAAGTGGACACTTATACCCCCACAATTGTCTTTAAGCGGGAATTCAGAACGAGTCCCAACCCTAACTACGTGAGCCATGTTGACCCTGAGGGCATATCACCCCGGCGTCAGTCATATACGTCGACTCCAACTATCTCTCACAACCGTGGGCTACAAACTCCAAGTCATCTGAGGGATACATCTCCCGTTGTCCGCAACCCGATTTCATCAATCAGACAGCCGCAATTTCGCCCAACATCAACCGCGTCCACGGGCGACGGAGGCAGCCTGGGCGTTTACTCCCATGCGAACTCTCCGTTACGAAAATCTACGTCGGCGAATTTCGAACGCCGCCTGCAAAACAATGGCGACTTCTTCTACAAGGAGCGAGGCACAGGCTCTGTACGGCGTCCATCAAGTCCGTTAAAGAGAAGCAATGTCCCTAGCACCGCCAGTCCTCTGTCCTCAACACCGAGACGGGGTCACCTGGACAATCGGCGGGAGACTGGTTACTTCTGACCATTTAGGAATCGAGGAGGGCGTGCACCCCTTGATCTAGCAGAGCATGATCGGAAACCTAGATCTGCATTGCGTGGTGTGATTCGGCACGGTTCTCGGATGTCATTGTATAATTCAGATGCATAATTCTGTGAACATACCACTTCAGCATTGGGCCATGGCGTTGGGGATCTCGAGGGAAGATTGTTATGTTCTAGCGCACGCGAGACTGTTTCGTCTTTGTTCTTTTTTGGTACATTATTCGAATTATCATCAGATACGGAATGTAGGCTGGGAGCAACCTATGCCCAGCCACTCGGTGAATTCTTGTCGTCCACGTCCAAGAAACGTCACTGATCAGATTAGCTACCTCGAGATTCGTGTTCGATTTCCACTGATTGCCGCAGATAAACCTTCAGTATCAAAGTCGTCACTGCATCGTGACTTCCCTATCCCTAGTGTTGATCTTGCCAGCGCTGAAGAGGGAACTCACCAGTGGCCCAGTCTCGTGCTATAGCTTCCATACCGGACAACGTCAACTGGGGGCTGGCATTCCTGGTGAGGGTGACCCCATTCGTTGATGGCCACATTCCTCGGAGTGGTAGCGGACACAACCACATACCAACAAACCATATTGGGAGTATTATTATTATTCACGGCAGCATCCCTTGCCCACTGTGCAATAGCCACAGTGCCGGCATCCACTTGATCTCTTTTTCGTGGTCATTGGTCTCATCTCCTATGAACTACCCGTCTTCATCACGCGGCACGACGCCCCGGCTGGCGTTCCCAACCACACGGTAACATCAACTTCACCAGTATATTGGCCTTTGATTAGAAGGAATGGGCCTCATCACCAACCGAGTCTGATCTTCGTCCCGCAAGAGTCGAGAAACGCCACTGGCTTGTTGCGTATGGTCGCAAACGGGGTATAATCAATCAATATGGAGGAGTATCTAAATTTACCACACGGCCACCTGCTGAACCTCCAGCCACGACCTCGGAATCCACGACGAGCGAGAGCTCCCCACGACGAGGTAACGCGAAGCAGTTTCCCCAGTCAAGAACCGGAAAACGTGGTGGTCGACGAGGAAGATCACATCGACAGTCCAGCGAGCAAAGAGCCCGACACTGCACCCGCAACCCCAGCTCTCCGAAGAAAGAAAGCCACCAAGCTTCCTATGCCCAAATCCTTAACGGGAAAGGCTAAGGACTGGCAGACCGACAACCCAGCGGAGTCTGAAGAGCAGGAGCTAAAGGACTACTCGCCTGCCCCGCTCAAGGACTCTTCTCCTGAGGCATCGAGGCCTGGAGCAACTCCACCAACCGACAAAGATCGTGAGCAGTATTGGCGCAAGGTTCGAGAGATGTTCGACAAGGATGGGAAGGACAGACCCAAAGGTCATTACCAGGAGGCCTACCGAAAGATTCTTTCGCTGGCAAACTCGTCGAAACAAGAGATTGCCAAACAAAAGCTCAAGTACGCTGGGGGTTACGGTCACCCTCTCAAGTCGTCGCCTCCACGGAGTGGAGTAGCCTGTAAGACGAAAATCCCCAGCCCTAAATCCGCCAGTCATTTGAGTTCCGCGGCGATCACGCGTAACCCGCTGGGCTGCCATCCACCAGGCCAGGTGAAGCCAAGGTTGAATCGAGATAGGAGTTTAAGCTTGGATACACGTGAACATGCGGCCGCGAAGGCTTCCGACAAGACCGACACGACAACGGAGTCGTCCATTCGATCGTACCCTTCTATATCTCCTGTATCGGGTCCAAGTAGCTCGATCACGGAATGGGAAGATCGATTTGTTGTCAACATGCCCTCAGCCAAAGAACCGAATCCGCCAACAATGGACGGCGAACAGATCGCTGAATTTCAGAAAAGCATCGAGAAGGTCCACAGCGAGGGTGGTGCAATGCTGGACCCAGACACACTTCCAAGTCCTCGCACAAGGTCTCCCGAAGACAATGCCGACCAACATGAAAAGACCCTGAAGAGTTTTGATGGCCAAGATTCGCGGTCCGCTCCACCAGAAGAGATATCAGACCCTGTACCCGGAGAGATACCCGACCATCGCCGTTATTATTCCCCCGATGAAGTAGGGAAGCAGCGATTCAGCACAATCTGGGAAGAATCCCCGGGAAGGGCAAAACGACCGGACCCTGACTTCAACCCGGACGGTTCTTTTTTAGGGTGCAAGGAAATAAAGGGGCCCAAAGACAAGAATCCAGACGAAATCCTGCTTTTCTCGACATTTGCCTCCCCCACAGACGAGCGCCCGCGACTAATAGACGTATCACGAGCCCCGAAGGAATGGAAGAAGGCGGCGACTGGTCAAACCCAGCCGGCCGCAGAACAGAAGGGCACGGCGCTTCACGAAGAATGGAAACCGATTTCTCAGAATTTGAAGAGTGCCCTCTGCTCGAAGCCGTCACCCAAGACGCTATGCCAGGAGGCCAAGTGCCAGCAACCGGAGCGAACAGCAGTCCCATCCAAACCGCAAGAGAAGGAGAACGCAAATTCTACAGGCCTCACCAGAGGCCGCCACGTGCAGAAGAAGAACAAGCGCTCGGACGATGTATTCATTATCACACCCACTATCACACGCACTTTGGTGAACATGGAAGACACGAATGGTACCATGCGGAAGAGATCTGGAACCACAGAGGGCATGTCTGCAGCCGCCAGATCCACCGGCTGCCGCAACGACATCGCCATCGACCCAAGACCAAAGCCCCCAGCCGGCTCCATTGCCTCTGGTCTGCGACGAGCGACACAAAACTCATGGGAAAGATCAAACGCGTCTTCAGTGCCTTTCCGTCCGAGCGACCTCCCCGTTGGGAAAGTCGACACCGACCGCACGGGCGTGGAACGAGCACGCGCCATCCGTGGGTTCATCCGTATGCCCGGGATGGTCAAGTCGTCCACAGAAAACTTCGACACACGCACACACGATAATCACGAGCAAACCTCCCAGGTCTTCCCTCCGATGTCTGCCCATGGCGAAACACTGCCTGTAAGGAGCGTTTCAGATTCTCCACGATCTGGGTCTCCTGCTAAACCGGACACGCGACCTGAGTATAGCAGCAGTATGCGGTCGGCTCGCATTGTCGAAGTCGCAGAGTTGGATGGGTTTCAGTTAGGTGAGCCTAGGGAAAGCCGTAAGGAAAGCGGCACAGTGGGTGCTAGGTTCGAGGGCAGGCAGTCTCCAGCGCAAAATGTCACTATCAACGCGGTGTCTACTGTCCGACGAAGGAGCATTGCAGCGCCAAGTGAGCCCCAACAAGTGCTGAACCCTTTGACCTGGAGTCTCATAATGGACATACTGGCCCTGTCAGCAGCTCAGGCACATGGCATCTACAATCAACTGGTCGGTAATCGGAAGTCGCGGATGGACCTAGCCAAAGCCAGCTTGAACTGCATTTTGGGCATGCTGGGGCATTGCTTGTACGTGTTCAAGGAAATCTTGACGGCATTCGCTACCTACAACGCGACAGGCAAGTGGCCTCGTAATGAAGACAAGGATCTCCTTAGCTCACTGACCGAATTCGGTCAAGCCATTCTCTATCTCGTTGCTTTGGGCTTCCTGATGATGATGGTCGGACGAGCAGCCGGATACGTTGTTCTCATTGGAAGCTGGATCGTGTGGTTTACGAAGCCCTTTGGGTGGATCTTGGGGTCTCTGGCCAGAGCTGTGTTGACGTGACTGTCGGGGTACTACGATGATTGATAGCGGGTGTGTTAATATATCATTCCTTTGGGATTCTGGCCTTGGTTGTCCATTTGTTTGTGGCGGGCGTGTTTAGCGATGTCTATTCTTGTTCTATTGTTACTCCATTCTTAGCCAGAATACAGAATATATCTTCCCTTCGAGGCATTCAAGCTCAAAGGACTCTGGACTTTTCGCAACGTGGCGGTCTTGCTAGTACTGGGGTTCTCAAGAATCTATCCCTCTAGACCGATAATGTAGATGAATCTATGTCCGAACTTTTTCCTTTCTAGTTATCAAAGATAATGAATGCTAGATCCCTTCACTGCAATGCAATGCAACTAGCCCCAACTCGGCCGACACAAGATTCATATAGAATAAAAAGAAAAGAAACAAAGAAATGATGTGCATGGACGGTTGAGTTGCAAATATCCAATGTAGCATACCGTCAAGAGACTCCGTATCCCGTGTTGAAGAGGATCGATCACTTTTGTATTCTCATAATCCCAACTCCGTCATCATCCGTAGTGTTGAATTATCATAAATAGGGTCATCACTGGTTGTATAAACATGACCAGGACTTTTTTTTTTTCAATCCTCCGAAGGGAGGTTGTAAGAAAATGTATTAGAATGTTGAATTGGCCGTTCTTCTCGTCGAAAGAGGTGAAAAAACGAAGAAAAATAAAGTAACGGGGTATATGGTTGGAATGTCATGTTGAAATTAAGAAACGCTGAGAGAAGAAGTCGTTGAGAGGTCTTCAGTTCGTGTCGCCGTAAAACATTTCAGGTCCTGGGGAGTTTAGCAGCCCCAGGCAGGTATCGTTGAGATAAATAGATGTTGAATTAGTAAGGTCGTTTCGTTGAAGAAAAGTTGGAAATGCAAGGGAATGGAAAGACGATCAGGGCTCGCCTGATCGAGCTTAGTTTCTCACGGAGGCCTCTAGGGCGGCTCCGTTAGTGGCCTCGTTGAGAGTGCCGTTTTCCTGAGGCTTGGGTTCGGGAGCTATTTCGGTGTCGATGTCCTTGACGTCCAGGCCGTCGAACAATTCGAAGAGGTTGAACGAATTGTGGAAGTCGTTGTTGACTGTTCATAGGTTAGGAGCGGGTTCAATCAAAAGGAAGATTGAGCATGGAAGGAGACTCACCGATATTGACCAGGTACCAGTTGTCCATGACATCCTGGATTAACTTCCTACTGGGGCTGCCGGCCTCGTGGCACTTGGCCCAGTCTTCTCCCAGACGGTAGGCTTCATCCTTCCAGGCCAAGAAACTGATGGTTTCGACGATGGTAGGCTGTACAACCTCGCGTCCCGCGAAGATACCCCAGGTCAACGCATTGGGGCTATCACGAGTGTTGGTCCGCAGTTCACCGGTCTTGGAGACAGCGTGGTACGTGAGGTCCTCGTTCTTCTCGATGCGGGCGATCAGCTCGTCAAGCAGGTAAGGGGGCACGAGAAGCTCGAGGTACGCCTTCTGATAGACGAAGCCGTTCTTCGGGCCCCAACCGTAGACGGGGTGGGAGGAACGAGCGCCGTTGACAGCAGGCTGGGAGTTAATGGTGAAGAGACCTCGCTTGTTGAGTTCGATCAGCTTGTCCTTAATTGCGTTGGCTTCACCACTGATGGGAGTGTCACTCCAAGGCAGCCGAGCCAACTCGCCCTGCATGAACTTGACGAAGATATGGGCGAGATCGCGAATCGACTTGGGCTCTCCCCACAGCTTGATGTTCTGTTCGTTCGTGCCCTTCAGGCCGATGCCATAAGAGTCGAGCTCGCCAAATGCAGGAGATCGCGAGTCGGTCCAGCGACCGTTGGGGAACTCGTCCCATGTTTGGGTGCGGGCAATGTAGGAAGAGTTGCGGTTTCTCCAGAAGATCGGACGGACATCTTCGCCTCTACGGTTGAGTCCAAGCGACGGACGCCAGGGCAGAGGCTTTTGGAGCGGAGTCTCCTCGGACGGCGTGAGGTTCAATTCCTCCAGAACAAGCTGGGTTGATTGAGCGAGGTTCATGGTGTAGAAATGCAGATGGTTAATGCCCGCAGCGAGTAACCTCCGACACATATCCGCAATCAATCCCTTTCCGATCTCCTTGACAGCCGCGTCGTCGTTCTTGACCGGTTCCAGCGCCTCGAGCCACTCGGGCGGAATTCGAATCTTGGTCCAGTTCGCTCGTCGCATGAAGGCAGCATACGTCTGAATTGGCATGATACCGGGAATGATAGGGACATTGATACCCTTGGCACGACACTTCTTAACCCAGTTGATGAAGTTATCCGTGTCGTAGAACATCTGGGTGACGATGAACGAGCTTCCAGCATCCACTTTCTCCTTCAGGTGATCGATCAAGAGATCGACGTCCGGATTATCGTCGGCGCCCTCGGGGTAGCCTCCCACACCGATATCGAAATGGTTTCCATACTTATCCCGAATGTACTTGACCAGATCCTTGGCATAGCGGAACCCACCGTCGGTGGCTTCCCACTTCTCCTTCTCACGGGGAGGGTCACCGCGAAGAGCGAGAATGTTGGTACAGCCAGCCTTGTATGCCGACTGAAGCGCAGCATCTACCTTTTCCAACGGCATGTCCGTACAAGTCAGATGCATACAGGTCTCCAAGCCATACACCGACTGGGCAACATTGACCATTTCACAAGTCAGGTCCGATAGCCGGCCACCGGCACCCCACGTGATATCAATGAAAGAGGGTCCCAACGCGTGCATGCGGTCCATTCTGTCGTAGAGATTCTGCACACCCTGAGCAGTCTTGGGAGGGAAAAACTCGAATGAGATGCCGGGCCTCCCGGCCGCCTCATTCTGGGCGAGCTTCTCTGAAATATGCATTGTTGGGTGAGATTACGCTGCGAGAAGAGTCAAGGGTCAGTATTGTGATCCAAGGGGACGCGACGAAGAAATGGGGGGCCATATGAGTAGTTTGAAGTTTCACGGGATGAAGATACCTCAGAATCCTTCAGAAATATAGTCTGTCTGGAAGAGAAAGCTTCTTGCGTGATCGTGTTTGTCAGCTCTTCTCACCGGCCCCGCCAGCGATTCAAATATCAGACCGTCGAAGAAACCTCCAAACGAAACCCAACAAATGGAACAGAACAGGAATGGAACAGGAAAGCAACGGCAGAAAAGGTGGTAGAAATCAGCAGCACTGGAATGTGCCCTGGGGAGAGAGGAGAGAAAGGGGAGGGAGGTTGAGAATGAGGATGAGGGCCGGAGTTCGGAGGCGGTGGAGCACGTGTTGTTGGGCTTATGCTGCAAGCCAGTTGGCCACTCACAACAACGATTGAAATGTTAGGAGTTATTTGGAAATATTCTTCTGAACTACTGGACGGACTTTGGGATGAGTAAATATATGTTCGTGACAAAGAATGCTCTACAAGCGGTGAGAAGCCCTTTGATGACTCTTGATATATTCCGCAGTAGTAATGCTGCCAGGGACCAAAGCGGAAGAGCCCCTCAATTTGCCCCTCTTCTCCGTTGCGACGGATAACCCCGAGAAAAAAAAAAATACGAAAATCTTCACTTCCTCCGATTAACACGCCGATACTATCTACATATCTTGAATACCCCAATTGACTCTGACGAGCATAATAATACAATTCTCTCTTCTCTCCTATACTCTTAATCCAATTACAACATCGTTCTTCCGCGAGAAATCTAAGAAAATGGCCGCCGATCAGGATTACAAGGCAACTTTGCTCCCTCTTTTGATCTCCAACAATGTCCTGTCCTTCGGCTCCTATGTTCTGAAATCGGGTCGCGAGTCGCCCTACTTCTTCACCTCCTCTCTTCTTCACACTGCGCCCCTCCTCCGGGCTACCTCCGCCGCCTACGCAAGCGTCTTGTCTGCCGAGCCGTTCGTCACCACCGCCGCTGATGGCACCACGAAACCCAACTTCGACATTATCTTTGGCCCCGCCTACAAGGGCATCCCTATCGCGGCGGCGGTGACGAACGAACTGGCCGTTCGCGACTCCCTTGCCGTGCCTCCCAAGGGAACCTGGGACAACGTCAGCTACTCCTTCAACCGCAAAGAGGCCAAAGCGCACGGCGAGGGAGGCAACATTGTCGGTGCCCCGCTGAAGGGCAAGCGTGTCGTCATTGTCGACGACGTGATCACCGCCGGAACTGCCCTGCGCGAGGCTGTCGGCATCATCCAGAAGGAGGGAGGCATTGTCGCTGGTGTGGTCGTCCTCTTGGACCGGGAGGAGCGGGTCAGCGACTCGGAGACGAAGAGCGCTGTGGGCGTTGCGCAGCGCGATCTTGGTGACAGCATTCCCATCCGCGCCGTCATCGGTCTGCATGACCTCATTGAGAAGCTGGGTGACAAGATTGGCGAGTCGGAGATTCAGCGTTTGAAGGACTACCGGGCTCGCTATGGAGCGGAGTAGATTCGTTCTTGTGATAGAATAGGTGCACAAAAGTACGGGAGAAATGATACCAATGATTCTATGATGTGTTTTGAATTTTGTCTAGTTTGATAACACGCGTGTGCAAGGTTCCTAGTAAAATGGGAGCTCTGGATATGGGATGCGAAGCTTTCAGTGCCGTTAGTGACATATTGAGTATGGCCAAGGGGCTGCTAGTGTCAGAAAGGGATCTCTAAGAGCTATCGGAGTTTAGCTTGTTTTCTCCGGAAGGGGTTTTATCTCCTCAATCCTGAAGTCAGTCACCGCGCTGCATTATATATCCCATGTTGTACTTGGATCCCGAAGTTGGAATTCTGCAAAGTGAAGGAGCGCATGGTATGTCTAACTATGAGTTAGAAGTATCATCTATAGGTTGTTCTGTCTTGGGAATCAGTCTCCTGTGAACAACTCAGCTCAATAGAGTTCTGTAAAACGCTCTACTCGCGGACAGCTACCGTCGACACCGCGTTTACAGGCACGCAATGGACATGACAAATTAGGTAAAGAGTCACTTATGCAATGAAACTAGATGGAGCTAGATACGAAATGCGTCAAGAGTGTTGCAAAAATCTCCAAGTTCCTCAGAGAGACATGACTGAACATGCATCGTGCTTAGGTATACTACTCGTGTGAATCAACACGAATCATCGGCGGCCGAGGGTGGTATCTTGTTCCAATGAGGACGTCCAGGTATGATACTTCCGAAAGCTCTTCATTATGAGCTGGATTTGGTGCCTTTTGTTCTAAATTAAGGCCTCTGACATCAATGTAGCTGTCGTGCAGCACGAGTGAAACATGTATACCAAGGCTGGCTGAGATGCAATAACCCTAGCAAGAACCGTACACTGTCGCATCACCAGCGAAGGCCTGCGTATGATAGTCGAGCTGAGATAGAACTCCCCGGCAACCGGTCTTCACCGGTCCCTGGAAGCAACAGAGCCTGCGTGATGAGGCGAAAATTACCGCCATTTCCTGCATGAACGAGCAAGTCAGGCAGCCTCCGATTAGGCCGAGGATATGTGGAAGAAAGATAAAAGACAGCAGGTCATGCAGCGACTAGTGCTGGAGGTTTGGATGCGATGTTGTCCGCCGGGGCAAGCTCAGAAGCTCAGTCAACGCGCTTGGCATATTCACTAGTTGGGACGTCCATGATCCTGCACGGTTGACCCGCAAAGTGATATGTACAAGTAGGATGAGTCACTGGGGCCCGGTTTTCCAGCGCCCGTGCATAAGACATAGGTATTCTGGCCTCCCTTCTAACCGGCCTCGGCACATTCCATGTGCCTGGCGGTCGTCAGCATCTGCACATTGGATAAGCTAGTTATCTTTGCAAGTCTGAAAAGTGGAGAGAATCATGCAACTTAACTCAAAAGTCGTCTAAGACCAATCGAATTCTTGGCGTGCGATGCACCGTTATGCGCCTGCGCCAGCAGGCTACGTAACTGCGTCCCTGGCCGGAGGCCCTTGCTATGAACTGTGCATGGGGTTCAGAGCTTTGCTACAGTAAGGCAAAAATTGACGTTACACGACATGGCGAAGTGCAGTTGTGACTTTGGAGCCCCAGCCGCGGAATTCTTGAGTCCACGATGCTGTTGGGAGATTACGCGAAGGATCCGGAAAGAGCGCGGACGCACTGGGCCATCAGAGGCACTCGATGTCGATACTCGGATGTCTGTGGGTTGAAGACTGCTCCAAACTCAAACCGCCCACCATTGAAAGAACTTAGGTTCGCCTACATACCAATGGGGCGGTACGAGTCCCGGCTAATCGGTTGATATCAAATCCTCTCTAGAACATTCGAACAGGAGACTCTCTCTTGCTCCAGATTCCTAATTCATCTGACCGGGTTTCTACAGTCAATTACCTGGCTGTTTTGATACCTAGTGTCATATCTTGATAGAACCTGTGATCTTGGTTGACATGATAGCTATTTCCTATATCCATGCGGATTCGATCTTCCATTCCTGAAGGCTGCGAACATGGCATAGTTCCCCACTGAGATGATGTGTGGTGGATCATAGTTCATGTCGGCTGTACTCCGTCCCAGGGAGTCAGTTCGACCGTTCTTACCTGAGCGTTGATAATGTACTCCTATGGAGGCAGTTTTAGTGAGATCCACCCCGGCAGCGATCATCCGTGGCGTCCCCAGCCACCCACTTAGAACGCATCCCTGATTGCCTAACAGGAATAGGAGGCGGTCTGTGTGGTCGTCCCACCCGACCTAATCGGCGGTATTAATCCCCGCATCAGTTTGACATGGTGACCGAATTTGTCCTCCCGCTGAGCTGGAGACCTCTCAGCACGCGCCCAGTTATTCTCGGAAACGCATTACACACGCCGTTGTTGTTATATAAAAAGGGAGGAGGGCGTTTCTTCGTCAACCGGGCCCACATGGCGAGATTGCTGGCATTGTACATGTCAATTATCGATGACAGTTGCACTAACGCCACAGCACATCCGCATACACTAGTTGGTGGAGACCTCCGCAAGGGATGAACATGAGCTCTCGCCAACCTGATCTAGCTACCGACCGGCGACTCTATTGAAGGAGACTCGACAGGCACGTATCCCATATCGCGGACTCATTCTTATCGGAAGATTTCTTCAAAGGATTTATACAGAGGAAACAATGAGATCCAGTCGACATTGGAGATGCTTCCCAATTAACACCAGAACATGCGTCGGGGTTTTTGACCAGACTGGAAATTTATCTCCCTATGTATATCTATGTTTTGGATTGGCACGTAGTTGATTCCGTGTGGTAAGAAAAAAGAAAAAGACGAGCAGGGAGTCTCAACTCGAGGCGACTACCCGCACAAGCTTGTGGTACTTGTTTCAGTTCCCTGTACATGTCGGTCATCCTGACAGGAACCCAGTAACTCAGGTACCTACCTCCTCCGCAGTCGGTATAGAAACCAGCCAGTGGCACTTTGGTGTCCTTGGGAGTTCTCTGGCCCTGGATCAACCCCTGTAACGCGGGGTAAGCGTTACCACTAGAGACCGAGACCTTGTCATTGGGAACGGGCAATTTTATATAGTGATTACCATCTATGGGAATTCAGACGGACGATCCATTCCAAGGACCTGTCAAATACTCGCTGTTTCTTTCGAAATCGTCAAAGCAAGGGCGCCAAATGTCCAGTTGTCCTCTAGATACATGACCTTTGGTGCTATATAAAAATGGACCTAGCGCCAAGTTACATTCTCGGCGGCCGATTGTAGGTATGAGCTGGGAGACGTACAGATGCCCATGGTTTGAATGGACAGCAATGGAATGATAAGGTAGCTCATCTTCCGTATCTGTAGTAAGATTTGGGAGCATTACATCAATGACTATTGGCTAATTTTCGAGTGATTTTCTATACTATATGAAGATCCGCTGGGCGATGGGCTACGTCTTCCTTGAGTCTGGCGCACAATTGTGGACAGATATCAGTCCTACGATATATCTCGGTTGAAAGATAATTGTAGAAAATCTTCTAGCTTCCTACTACACATCATGTCCCAGCTGACGCATGATTGGCATTCAGATTAGTCTATTCTTACAGTGTAGTTTTGCTTCTGGGCGGGCCTCATGGGACTTCGTTATCATGCTGTATGCTGATGAACTTGTTTAGAGACGACCTGACCCGTGGAAACGGAGAGAACATGGCAGTTGCGGAATCGGGGATATACTTGAATCTATAATTATACTGGATACAAAATTCTTGAGGGACCTTGGATGAAAGATACCTAGGTACTCCTTTCAAAATGCCCTGAGTTGTATGAAAACTGCCATTTACGACACCGCTATTTTAAACTGCCGGACACCTTAACTCACTATCGGTGGATCGTAATATCCGGAAAACTTATTTGGCTCCATTCGGCGGGAATCTGATATATCAGGTCCCGGATGACTGCCTACATTGGAGGTCGATCTCCCCACTACCAGATTGGGATGAGTGGGTCCAACCAAGCGAGCCCATCAAGACCCACTTCCAGGAGATCCGATATGCACTCTACATCTGGAGTCTGGTCTCTCTCTACTCCGTACACAACACTCCCACTTCCTTCGTGTTTCCATTCTGCCCTCCGGATTTCACTCAGCACTAGTCACTCCATTTACCTCCTCCATTCGGACAGCGAGCGATCCGATTCTCATTCGCCATGCACGGACGAATGCTGGTCCCGAGGGAGTCTCGATGCTCCACCCTGCCACTCAACACACAGGATGGCCTCTGTGTCCTGTCTGCCTACACTATCTCGCATACCAGTGGGCCTACACGCCTCTTTCTCGGCTGCATCATGGAAAATCTCAGAAGGATCGGCGTTTCTTCTTCCTCGTCTAAGGCGTTTTGCGAATCCCTCGCCTCCTGGCCATACCCACGGAGTAGGTATGTACATCGTATCTCACAATGGTTCAGTTGAACCCATTTCGTTTAGTGTCTATCATGCAAGTCTTCGGACAAATAGCTGGATGGATTGACCCTCTTCTTTTCTCTTCTCTCCCTTTTTTTTTTTTTTTTTTTTTTTTTATCGGTATATCTTTTTTATTTTTCGCTTGATTTTTTCCCCTTCTCTGCTTTCCCCCTTTACTTCAACGCTCCTTCAGCCACCTTTTATCTTATTCTTTGAAAGCTCTTTGCCCTCGCTTTGCCGATTATCTCCTGCTTATCAAGCTTTCTGGACAGGGACTCAGCCGCCCTCACCTGGACAAGACACATAAAGGGGGGCAGCAGGCGCAAGCAGTGTCGGGGACAATCCTTTGCCAGATAACTCCCACACTACTACTACTCCTCCCTACGGCACTGACGTGTTGTCTATCGTTGACGTCTACAAACACATGTCGGGTTTGTGGAGTTGAACGAGGCAATCGGTTCTTCTTAGCAACCGCTGACAATGCAGTGGCGGTTTGCAGGCTCGTTGCTTGCGTTCTTTGCGGCAACAGCAACATGCTGGCCCTACGAGGAGTCCCTCGTGGAGTATAACCTGAACGCAAACAAGGACACTACGGATCCGGCGAAGTATACTCACATCGAATGGCCTAACCACAAGTATTATCCCTCTCCTAAAAGCTGGCGTTTCCCCTTCTATACGCTGTTCCTCGACCGATTTGTGAACGGAGATCCTACAAACGATAACATCAACCAAACTTTGTTTGAGCATGACCTGGACTCCAATCAGATGCGCCATGGAGGTGATGCAGTTGGCTTGGTGGATACCCTAGATTACATACAAGGAATGGGTGTGAAGGTACGTTCTGCCACTGCGTCGTACGATATACCTCCAGAATGACTAACCCATCTTGAAGGGTATCTATCTCGCAGGAACAATTCTGATGAATCAACCCTGGGGTTCGGACGGCTACTCAATCCTCGATACTACACTACTTGATCAGCACTTCGGTACTATCCAGACATGGAGAGATGTGATCACAGAAATTCATAAGCGGGGAATGTATGTCCTGTTCGACAATACTATTGCAACGTATGTGCTCCTCGTTTCTTGTTTGATAACATGGACATGATGTCTGATATTGATGGTCCGCAGCATGGGCGATTTGATCGGTTTCAAAGGATACCTGAACGAGACGACTCCGTTCTCCGTGAAAGAGCATGAGGCACTCTGGAAAAGCGAGCGCCAGTATGTCGACTTTCGATTTAGTAACGAGTACAACGAAACCTGTGATTACCCGCGGTTTTGGAACGAGACCGGATTTCCAGTGGACCAATCCGTTAGAGACGAATTGGTTGGATGCTACAACAGTGATTTCGACCAATATGGAGACCGTGAGGCCTTTGGCGTCTATCCCGACTGGGAACGTCAACTGGCCAAGTTCGCTTCCGTCCAGGACCGTTTGCGCGAATGGAACCCCAGTGTCAGGGAGAGAATCATCCAACACTCCTGTATGATTATCAAGGCTCTTGATATCGACGGATTTCGGTACGATAAAGCCACTCAGGCCACCGTGGATGCCCTTGGAGAAATTTCCTCTGCATACAGGGAGTGTGCTCGAAGCGTTGGCAAGGACAATTTCTTCCTCCCTGGAGAAATTACTGGTGGAAACAACTTCGGGGCTATCTATCTGGGACGCGGAAGGCAACCGGACCAGTATCCCGATTCAGCCATGGATTCAATGGCAATGACGAACAAGTCTAAGCAGCAGTATTTCTTGCGCGAGGATGGTCTGCAGGCTCTTGATTCTGGTGCCTTCCATTACTCGGTATACCGTACTCTTACTCGGTTCCTTGGCCTGGACGGTAATCTGGCTGCAGGTTACGATACACCATTGGACTGGACTGACGCTTGGAACGTGATGGTCATGACGAACGATATGATTAACGCCAACACGGGAAAATTTGACCCTCGCCATATGTATGGCGCCACGAATCAGGATGTCTTCCGTTGGCCTGCCATTGAATTTGGCATCGAGAGACAGCTCCTAGCACACTTTATCACCACCCTCCATCTCCCGGGTATCCCGATCCTACTGTGGGGAGAGGAACAAGCCTTCTATATCTTGGACGCCACCGCCTCGAACTATGTCTATGGTCGTCAAGCAATGTCTCCTGCTACGGCGTGGAAAACGCATGGCTGCTTTCAGCTAAATGCGTCGCAGTATCACGATTGGCCCATCACTGCTGGACGTCAAGGCTGTCACGATGAAGCAGTCACCTATGACCATCGTGATCCCTCCCATCCCCTGCGGAACATTATCAAACATATGTTCCAGATGCGGGAGGACTATCCGGTGTTGAATGATGGGTATTCCGTTGTGAAACTCTCGAAACAGACACGCGATGTCTACTACCCTGCTTCGAACGGCACTGCGACAGAGACGGGGATGTGGTCGATATTGCGTGACACAGTCTCGTCCATTCAAGATTTAGGGTCGGGTGATAACCAGCCAGTGTGGCTGGTATACCAGAACGACAACAAGACCGTGGAGTACAAATTTGACTGCAAGAGCAACGACTCGGCTCTGATTTCTCCGTTCACAACTGGAACGACTGTTGTCAACCTGTTCTATCCCCATGACGAACATGAACTCATCGATGGGCCGAAGACATTGCATTTGAATGGTTCGAATGCTACCAATGGCTGTCTGGAGAGCATGACGTTCAACCCCTATGAATTCAAAGCATACGTACCCAAGAGAGTCTTTGTTGGACCTCGACCCATGATCACCCAATTCGAACCTGGTCACGATGTACCTCAGCTTTCCAAAGTGGGCCCCAATGACTCAGAAGATATCGATGTGAGCCTCTACTTCTCGACTAAGATGGACTGTGACGGCGTCACCAAATCGATCTCCTTCACATCGACCACTGAATCTGGCAAGACACCATCCATCAGCAAAGGCAGTGTGAGCTGCAGTGATGTTAACCCATCTGAGACGCGATGGACGGGCCAGCTTCCGAACGCCTGGGTCTGGAAAGCCAAGTTGACGGGAGTCTACAATGGTGTCCATCGGCTTACGGTCAAGAATGCGACAAGTTCCGATAGAGGCAAATCTACGCAAGCCACTGACCACTTTTTGATTCGAATTGGTCAAGCGGACAACCCGCTGGTGTTCAATCGTGCGAACTATTCCACCTCCCTCCTGCACCAGGACGACAATGGCAAGCTTTACATCCAACACAAGGCTGCAGGGGCAGACAAATACCGTTATTCAACCAACTGGGGATCGTCGTATTCTGATTGGATGGATTACAAAGGTGGAAATGACACCATTGAAGAATTGCCTTGGTCTGGAACGAACAAGCAGAGGTGGCAAGGGAAGCATGTGCGCGTTGAATACTGGAGTAAGTTGACTGGAAGCAGCGACTATGTCCAAGAGGGTGATTACGACTGGAATGGTCGACGTCGGTTTCCTCATCTCTTCTTCAACGGCCCATTTAACCAATACGGATTTGACGCTGGATTGAACAACGTCATGGAGCAGGATAGCGATGGACTCTGGACCTTCCGATTTTTGTCAGATTTCCCGGCCCAGGGACAGTTCAATGTCTGGGGTATGAATCCTGATGGCCAACCTGATCAGTCCTTTGTCTACGGGGATGTGGACGGCGATGGTGTGCTTGACCGAATGCCGCCTTCTTCTCTCAGTGGAACCGTCATGAATATCACTGATCTGCCTCCTTCACCATATGTGGCATGGAATCTGCGAGTTGATGATGGTACCCTGAAAGTGCATCTCCAACCGACGGGATCGAGGGCTATTCAGCTCGCAGTGTACATTCTTCTCTGGGTTGTGCCAATCGTCACGGGTATTGCATGCGTTTATGCATTCATGAAGTCTTTCTATCAGGTCAAATTCAATCAGGTTGGCGTCAGTGAAAGGAAGTCCATCTTACCGCTGGCATTCCGAAGGAAGTCCAACCAGGGCGGAGAAGGGGAGAAGATCAACCCATTTATGCGCCTCGCGAACAAGTCCGGTTTTCTACAGAGCACGCCCGCGTTTGGAACAGGAGCATCGCGCAGACGGACGATTCTCATCGCCACCATGGAATACGATATCGAAGATTGGGCCATCAAGATTAAAATAGGTGGCCTGGGCGTCATGGCTCAGTTGATGGGCAAACACCTTGGGCATCAGAACTTGATCTGGGTGGTCCCGTGCTGTGGAGGCATCGAATACCCTGTTGACCAGCCAGCTGACTCAATGTTCGTGACGGTCCTTGGGAACCCCTACGAAGTGAAGGTCCAGTACCATGTCTTGAAGAACATTACATATGTTCTTTTGGATGCACCGGTTTTCCGTCAACAGTCAAGCGCTGAGCCATACCCTGCCCGCATGGACGACCTGGATAGCGCAATCTACTATTCTGCATGGAACCAGTGCATCGCGCAAGCTATCCGGAGATTCTCGATCGATCTCTACCACATTAATGACTATCATGGGTCCATCGCTCCTCTTTATCTTCTTCCGCAAACCGTCCCTGTGTGCCTGTCGCTCCACAACGCCGAATTCCAAGGTTTGTGGCCCATGCGGACACAGAAGGAGAGAGATGAAGTCTGTTCTGTTTTCAACCTTGACCGCGACACTGCCAGACGTTATGTCCAGTTTGGTGAAGTCTTCAACATGCTCCACGCTGGTGCTAGCTACCTTCGTCTACACCAGCAGGGGTTCGGTGCTGTCGGTGTCTCCAGAAAGTATGGCAAGCGCTCGTATGCCCGCTACCCCATCTTCTGGGGTCTGAAGAAAGTTGGCAATTTACCAAACCCTGACCCCTCCGACACCGGCGAGTGGAATAAGCAGTTACCGAAAGATAGCGAGATCACGGTTGATGCAAACTACGAGGCCAGCAGAGGAGAACTCAGGCGTCAAGCGCAGGAATGGGCCGGACTCGAGCAGAACCCCAATGCTGACCTTTTGGTTTTTGTCGGAAGATGGTCTATGCAGAAGGGCATTGACCTAATTGCTGATGTGATGCCTGCTGTTCTCGAATCTAACCCCAACGTCCAGCTCATCTGTGTTGGCCCCGTCATTGACCTCTATGGAAAGTTTGCCGCACTCAAACTTGACCGTATGATGAAGCTCTACCCCGGACGTGTGTTTTCAAGACCTGAATTCACGGCCCTCCCACCCTATATCTTCTCTGGCGCTGAGTTCGCGTTGATTCCGTCTCGTGATGAGCCCTTCGGCCTCGTCGCTGTTGAATTTGGTCGAAAGGGAGCACTTGGTATCGGTGCGCGTGTGGGTGGTCTTGGACAAATGCCTGGTTGGTGGTACAACATCGAATCGACCACTACCTCCCATCTCTTGCAGCAATTCAAACTCGCCATTGGCAGTGCACTCAGCTCCAAGCCGCATGTCCGTGCGAAAATGCGTGCCCGATCCGCCAAGCAGCGTTTTCCTGTAGCCCAGTGGGTTGAGGACTTGGAGATTTTGCAATCCACTGCCGTTCGTATTCACAGCAAGGCAATCGCCAAGTCTCAAGGTCAGAGCACGACGCCTTCCGGGTACAATACACCAAGTGGAATGATGACTCCTAGTGGTATGATGACGCCTCCCATTGCCTCAGGGACCATGACTCCCACTGGAGTGCAGACACCTCCCCCTGCACACTCGAGGGAGGGAAGTTACTCCAACATCAACCGATTGAGCGCATACGGACCGCAACAACGAAACACCATTGTGTACAGTCGTGACCCAAGTCCTGGTGGCAATGAGAAGCCCAGGTCTGGCCTCAGCCGACATCTTTCCCTTGGTGTTCGGGCCGGTCCGGGTCATCTCGTGCGTCGAGGTCGTCGCCGCCTGAGGCGAAGCTATATTGGTAACGAGGAGAGTGCCACAAACTCTATGACCGAGGAGAGCAGTGATGACGATGTGATCCCCAGTTATTATGGAGATGAGGAGTACACTCTCACTCCTGAGCAGATCGAAGAGGGCCGTCGAGCTGCCGCACACCAACGTGATTCGCAAGGTCAATCTCCCGCGCGAGATTTTTTTAGCCGGAGGCACTCCAGTCAGGCTTCCCTTCAGCGAGCTATTGGATCTCCGAACACGTCGGACGTAGAAGATGGAGTGCCACAGTCGACTAGACCTGTGTATAATCATGCACAGCCTGGGAACCGACTCAGCTGCTCCTCGGCTCTTTCAGTCGATTCCATCATTGGTGAAAAGAAAGATTACAAGCTTCAAAAGGTTGATCCTTTCTTCACTGATAGCAATGGCGAGTACTACAGAGTGTTCGAGAAGAAACTCGAAGCACTGAATGGTTCGAACTCAGAGTCCCAGCTTTGCATCGAGGAATATCTTGTCAAGAGCGAGAAGAAATGGTTTGACAAGTTCCGTGACGCACGCCTGGGTCGCAACCAGTCCCCTGCCTCTTCAATTTTCCAGACCAAGCTTGAGAACACATCGCCATCTGGCTCTATATCCAACGAGGACTCTAGGTCTCGTGAATCTGGAAGTGATGCGAAGGGCGGAAACGACGAGTTCCAACTTGGACATGACTATGTCCCTCCCTCTGGGCCAAGGAAATGGATGCAAGTCCGCATTGGCGGGTGGCCCATCTATTCGCTATTTCTCGGTCTGGGGCAGATTATCGCAGCAAATTCATACCAGATCACTCTGCTTACGGGAGAAGTGGGACAAACACCTGAGAAGCTCTACGGAATTGCGACAACTTACTTGATCACCTCGATCATCTGGTGGTTCCTTTTCCGCTTCTGCAAGTCTGTGATCGTCTTATCTCTTCCTTGGTTTTTGTACGGCCTGTCATTCCTCATCATCGGTGTCGCCCATTTCGAAACCAATATCTTCGCCAGAGGGTGGATACAGAACGTCGGGGCTGGAGTGTACGCTGCTGCATCCTCCAGCGGTGCACTTTTCTTCGCCCTCAATTTCGGTGATGAGAATGGCGTCCAGGTAAAGGAGTGGGTGTTCCGCGCGTGCATCATCCAGGGCACGCAACAGGCCTATATCATCGGATTGTGGTATTGGGGAACCACCATATCGCAAGCGATTACCAACGGGGTCACCAATGTTCAGAGCAATATTACAGAGACTTGGAGAATGACGTATGTTTTGCCTATCTCATCAACTATTATGGAATTGATCGCTGACAAAAGCCCTTCCAGTGCTATCTGCTTGCCAATCGCTGCCTTTCTCTGGGCTATTGGCTTGCTCGTCTTCTTTGGGCTACCGAGCTACTACCGCCAGGCGCCTGGAAAGGTCCCGTCCTTCTACAAGTCCGTCTTCCGGCGCAAGATTGTGATCTGGAACTTTATTGTCGTCATTCTACAGAACTTCTTCCTGAGTGCGCCCTATGGACGCAATTGGGCTTGTAAGTACTACCTGGTTAACATGTTCTAATACAAAAGCTAACCGCACGTTGCTAGTCCTCTGGAGCTCCAACCATGCTAAGGACTGGGAAGTTGGAATTTTGGTTATTGTCTTTTTCGGCATCGTCTGGGCAGGGATTCTGTTCCTATTTGCCCGCCTGTCCAACCGCCACAGCTGGATCCTTCCTGTATTCGCATGCGGACTGGGAGCTCCTCGCTGGGCGCAGATCTGGTGGGGTGTCTCAGGGATGGGTCTCTTCCTACCATGGGCTGGCGGACCTACAGCTGGCGCCCTCGCTTCTCGAAGCCTGTGGCTGTGGCTTGGTATAATGGACGCTCTTCAAGGCCTCGGGTTCGGCATGATTCTGCTCCAGACGTTGACTCGGATGCATATTTGCTTCACACTACTTGCATCGCAGGTTCTGGGATCAATTGCTACGATTTGTGCGCGGGCATTCGGTCCCAACAATATCGGTCCTGGCCCCATCTCTCCCGATGTTACAGACGGGCCCCGTGCGGTTGCCAATGCATGGTTCTGGATTGCTCTCTTCTTCCAGCTGTTGATCTGGTAAGTACACTACAACCTCAGTGTTTGGACCTTCCTCTGACGACTATTCTAGTGCTGGATTCTTACTGTTCTTCCGGAAGGAACAGCTCACCAAGCCCTAAGCGAGCCTCTGTCTATTGGACGACACCCGGCTCTGACATGGGAGACATTTGATATAGACAAGCGATTTACATGGAGATATATTTCAGCATGTATGCACCGGTTCGAGTGTTGTACATGCATACACTTAGCCGGAGCGGCGGTAGGAGATATTCAGGGAAGCTAGTGAAGGCAGTGGGTATCTGTACATTAATCCGGTATTGACGTCCGACAGCGTTAGGGGAGGCATTTGCCCAGTTTTATATCTAATTTCGGTCAGTCTAACCCCGCTGGTCTTCTCTCTCTGGGAGAAAGGACCACGGGCCCCATGGCTGCACACATAATTTGCATGACATATGAGAGACGCCATATTTGGAGATTTTGATGTATCTCCACTCGATGGATCATGAGCCCAATGTCGTTACGCTCTTTTGAAGGTTGGACGCGCATGTTAGGACGTTTTTTCGCTCATTTATTCCCCGGATTTGATGAGGGTGGCGTTTTGTTGTATTTAATCTTAATTTCTCGAAGCATGGCATTGTTGTTGATCTTCTCCAACTACTGGTGTGATTTGAAATGTGAGTGAGCCTATGGTTCAAAGTAAAGTGAACTTTATGAGGTAGAGAATCAATGGTATTGTATAGAGAAATCATTATATTAATATCCATGTTGCGCACCCTACATATGAGTAGAGAAAGCAATTTTTGTGCCAAAAACCGTGCCAATAATGCGTCATTACCATAGCGTGCCCCAAGGAAATAGTTACTGAAGCTGCATGTACGTCGTAAATATCTTGAAATCTACCACTCCAGAGGCTCCGTCTTGACATCTCCGCGGTTGGTCTTGGGCACGGGAGCGGCCTGGACCATGGTGGGACCGCGGTTTCCACGCTTGAGATAGCCGCTGCCATCCAGCCAGGGAGTCTCAAGGGTGCGCTTGGTCTCGAAGGTACGAATCTTGTCCTCCATCTGGAGGGTGAGGCCGATGTCATCGAGACCGTTGATCAGGCAGTGCTTGCGGAAGCCGTCCACCTCGAACGCGGCGAGAACGTTGCCCTCAGCGTCCTTGACCTGCTGGTTGACGAGGTCGACCTCGATCTCGCGGCCGGCCTTGGCCTCGGCGGCGATCTTCTGCAGCTCGGCGTCGTTGGAGATCACGACAGGGAGCATGCCGTTCTTGAAGGTGTTGTTGAAGAAGATGTCGGCGAAGGACGGGGCGATGATGCACTTGATGCCGAAGTCGAGCAGGGCCCAGGGGGCGTGTTCACGCGAGCTACCGCAACCAAAGTTGGGGCCGGTGACCACGAGTACCTTGGAGTTGCGGTAGACGCCCTGGTTGAGGATGAAGTCGGGGATCTCCTGACCGTCCTTGTAGCGTAGCTCGTAGAAGAGCGCGCTACCGAGACCCGTGCGCTTGATCGTCTTGAGGAACTGCTTGGGAATGATGGCGTCGGTGTCGACGTTGGAGCGATCCATCGGTGCCGCGATGCCCTTCAGGGTCGTGAACTTGGGCAGGCCGGCGCTGGTGCCAGCGCTCGAGGTGTTGGCGTGCGGCTCATTGTCGGCCGGCATGTCCATGATGCGCTCCAGCTCGTCTTCCGTCTCCGGCTCCTCCAGAGTCTGCTGAACGTCAACCTTGGGCTGGACCTTGCCGAGGACGGGGCTGGCAACAACGTGCTCGCGGACGTCAGCCAGCTTTCCGACGATGGCGGCGGTGGCCGCCATGGCGGGAGACATGAGGTGGGTGCGGCCACCGGCACCCTGGCGACCCTCGAAGTTCCGGTTGGAGGTACTGGCGCAGCGCTCCTGGGGGGAGAGGATATCCGGGTTCATACCCAGACACATGGAGCAACCGGCCTCTCTCCACTCGAAACCGGCGTCGACAAAGATCTTGTCGAGACCCTCAGCCTCGGCCTGTTGCTTGACAAGACCGGAACCGGGGACGACCATGGCACGCTTGATGTTGGCGGCGATCTTCTTGCCCCGGACAACCTTGGAAGCGGCGCGCAGATCCTCGATACGCGCGTTGGTGCAGGAGCCAATGAAGACCTTGTCCACGGGAATCTCCTTCATCGGGGTACCGGCCGTCAGACCCATGTACTCGAGGGCGCGTTTGCAAGCAAGCTTGCGGTTCTCATCCTCGAAGTCGTCGGGCCCAGGGACGACGCCAGTGATGGGAATGACATCCTGAGGGGAGGTACCCCAGGTGAGGGTGGGGATGATATCCTTGCCGTCCAGTAGAACGGTCTTGTCATAGACGGCGCCCTCGTCGGAGGCCAGGCTAGACCAAAAGTTCACGGCCTTGTTCCACTCGGCGCTGCCGTACTTGGGGGCCAGGGGACGGCCCTTCAGGTAGTCAAAGGTGATCTGGTCCGGTGCGATCATGCCAGCACGCGCACCCGCCTCAATGGACATGTTACAGATGGACATACGGGCCTCCATGCTGAGGCCGCGAATGACGGATCCGCAGAACTCAATGACACAACCGGTACCTCCGGCAGTACCGATGACGCCGATGATGTGCAGGACGACGTCCTTGCTGGTGACGCCGGGAGGCAGCTCCCCATCGACCTGGATGCGCATGTTCTTGCTGCGCCGGGTGATCAGGGTCTGGGTGGCCAGAACGTGCTCGACCTCACTGGTACCGATACCGAAGGCGAGAGCACCAAAGGCACCATGGGTAGAGGTGTGGCTGTCACCACAGACGACGGTGGTTCCGGGTAGGGTGAAACCCTGCTCAGGGCCGATGATGTGGACGATACCCTGACGCTTATCGCCCATGCCGAAATATGTGAGGCCGAAGTCCTTGACATTCTCTTCGAGGGTGGTGCACTGGAGACGGGAGTCGTTTTCTTCGATGAATTCTTCGACATTCTTGAAGTTTTTGCGGGTGGACGTGGGGATGTTCTGTGCGAAGAAAAAAAAAAAAAAGTTCAGCGTCAGGGATATGTTAGATAGGAAGCAAGGGTTAGATGGGCATACGTGATCCACGGTCACCAGGGTGCAGTCCGGCCGGCGGACCTTACGACCAGCATTTTTCAGGCCTTCGAAAGCTTGCTATATAGGTGTTAGAAGAGTGGGGAGGAATTGAGTGTGCCGAGGACGATTGCATACTGGAGAAGTCACTTCGTGAACGAGGTGTCTGTCTACAGGAGCTGTTAGCGACGACCAAATGATCTATGCTTGACATAAAGGTGTTCCATACCGATATACAGCAGAATAGTACCATCCTCCTGCTCATTGACGATGTGATGATCCAAGACCTTGTCATACAAGGTCTTGGGTTTCTTGTCGGCGCCAGGCATGAGGGGCAAGTGATAAGATGAGCTTTGGGGAAAACGAGAGAAGAGGGAAACTCGGCACAAAGGACAGGAAAAGAGACCAGGGCCTCTTGAGCAGAATGACGAAGATGTTTAAGAGACTGAAACCTGGGGACGAAGCAGGAGTCGAGAGCTTTTAACTGCGGTGGCCAGCGCGATGTCGCTGTGGCCGCGATGAGGGACGCCGCCGAGATCGGCTGGTCAGCCGCCAATGAGGCCACTGTCATTGGTTGGGACGGGCGCCGGCACCGGCGTTGCGGCGCTTATTCGCGGGGAAGGTCACGGGGTCTGACTAACCCTCGGCCGATGATTTGAGATTTCGCTAGTTGGCTCATTTTGCATCGTGACGTCAAGTATACAACAATATTATAAAGGTACTATTCTCATATTACTTCAGAAAACACATCTCAAGGCACAATAGCCTGCGGCGCTTTTACAAATGCTAGCGGCGCACACGATGCCGACATAAACGGCGTCACTCCACTCACGTGCGGGTCCTCTCCAATGAAGTTGTTCGGGAATCCGGGGTCCAGCGGGTTGACGCTCTCCAAATACTCAATTTGTTCCTTCGTCAGCCGGATTTTCAGCGCTTGAATGTTGTCATGTAGGTGTTCGATCTTCCGGCCGCCTACGAGCGGGAAGACATTTGGTGCCTTCTGGAGGACATACGCCAACGCAATGGCCGTGACCGACTCAATACCATGCTCGTTGGCGACTTTTTCGAGCGCCGCACTCATCTTCTCTTCCTCCTCCGTCTGCACGTTGGCGCCCAGCATGCTGCGCAGTCCTTCTCCACGCTGTTTCCGCTCCTCGATTGCCTTCTTCGTCTGGAACTTGCCACTCCCCAGTACGTCCCACGGGGCCAGCGCCATGCCGAAATGCCGGGCCATGGGGATGATCTCGCGCTCAAAATCGCGCTTCATGATATTCCACCGTCCCTGGTAGATACTGAAGGGGGTCTTGCCGTGGTCACGAGCATACGTGTTGGCTGCGCTAACCACCCACGCGGGCGAGTCCGAGATGCCCAAGTAGAGGACTTTGCCCTGTTGCACCAGGATATGCAGGCTGTCCATGATCTCCTCAATGGAGGTGGTATGGTCCCACCAGTGCAGGTATAAGATATCAATGTAGTCCGTCTGTAGCTTCTTGAGCGAGTCGCGCACGCTCATGTGCAGGCTGCGGCGGTGGTTTCCGCTGTGGTTGGGGGCCTTGCCCTTGCCCAGGGCGTGGGCCTTGTAGTAGGTCGTGAACTTGGTTGCCAGCACGATTTGGTCGCGGTTCTGGCGCGCGGTCATCCACTCCCCCAGCCACGTCTCGGACTGCTCGTCTTGGTAGTTGTTGGCGGTATCGATGAAATTTCCGCCGGCCTCCACGAAAGCGTCCAGCAGCTTAAATGAGCTTTCCTTGTTCATGGAGCCCATGAAACCCGACCAGGCATCGCCAATGGACATGGCACCCAGCTGGAGGGGGGACACACGGATCCCCGCCGTCGAGGAGAGGATGCGGTACCGGCCGAGCTCGGTAGGGGGTTCGGGGGCAGGAACGAAGAAAGACGACATTGCCGTTGTAGTGGTTTGGTGATTGGATTCTTCAATGTAGTGGAGGTGTGCGTTGAGGATAGCAAGTTGTCTTCTCAGGACAGGCCCTTTTATATGCCTTCCGGCCATATGGAGTGGCGGGGATAGCATAAATGCCCCTCATGAAGATCACAGGAGTTGATATCCACTTTCTGCGCATTCCTAGAGGTACCACCAATCATGGGGGCCAGAGCATAGCAACAATGCAACCAGATGACTATCATTGTCATCGATTCTGTCTTGTAATGGCCGGATGCGAGCTATCCTTCTCCACCGCCTGGAGTTAACTGCGGAGTTAGCGGAGCTGCTGATCTTCCATCGAGAATGTCATCCGGAGTTCCGAGCGAGATGTTATGACCATGGATACGGAATTATCCAAGCTGCCTAGATAATTAACTAGGTAGTGAGGTTATCGGGCTCTACTTTGAGAAGGTAGGATGCAAGCAAATACAGGCAATGGTCAATATAGTAACTCCGTACATAATGAGACATTCACTCTAGCAATAGGTTCCCCAATATCAACATCGCCCACATCTAAACACCAATTCCAAATGTCCGATTGTCTTCTCGGAAGACCAGTAACGCGAGACGATGTCGCACAAAGAGACCTGCCAACCCACAAACCACCTGCACTCCCACCATGCTCCACGCCAATCGATTCTCTTTCATCGGCCCCATCCAGACCAGCCACAGGTTCAAGATCGTCAGATTCGTCGATTCGACAATCTCGCCTTTCTCGTTCTTCGTAACGCGCACCAGCCGTAGGGAATGCAGCAGATCCAAGGCAGCCGCAATTAACGGAGACGGGGGTATATTCCACTCAGTCACGGATGCATCCAGGAGTCCCGTCGCGGCGTTGAACTTCGGCAGTCTGTGTCGTGGACAGGGGATCACTTTGAACAACTGTGGAGTGGAGTATAGGAAATTGAAGATCTGAGGGATGAACAATAACAGGAGGGTTTTGCTGAAATGTCCCAAAATGCCCACAACAGCAAACACCATCCCGGCAAAGTAGCAGTAGGTGTCCCCTACGAAGACCTTGGAGGGATACCAGTTGTGGAACAACAAGGCCAAGGAAACCCCGACGAATGGAAGTAGAAAGTAGAGGGAGAAGAGATGTGAGTCGGTAGCTGGGTGAGGGAACGGTGTAATAGGAGCGAGGTAGAGCGCATCATTGACGATGAGCAGAACGGCAATCACAAGAGACTGGGCGACTTCCACGCCGTTGATCCCTGCTAACATATTGATCGAGTTCGGGCAGAAGATAGCCACCGCCGCCATGTATGCGTAGTAAAGCCATCCCAGATCGACGACAGGGCCCAGATACGGCTGCAAGGGCACGGGAACGACTACCTGAGTAACGCCAAAGTCCACGAAGTACACTATCAGCATGGGAATAGCTCCGAATGCGGGGATGAGGACTTTGTGTCGCCATCGGATATCAAGAAGGTCGTCACCAATCCCTAGAATGACGATGCATTGCAGAGAGAGGAGTCCAGAAAGATAGGACGCAAGCTACGACGCCCGTTAGCTAGTTAGGTCAAGCAGGAGGGTAAATGACTTCTAACCCGTCCATGGGGAAATCGATGTAGCATCCGACCAGTCTCAACATGCTGGACTTCTAATACAACATCTCGGTTACCGCCACCGGAGGTTGCGGCAACAATGTCCTTGTAAAAGGCAAATGGAATAAAGAAGATCAAGGCCAGAAGATAAACAGTGGCGCATACAGCTCCCATAGTCTCTGGACTAGAACAACCATTAGCAGGCGCACGTCTGAAAGTGGAAAATCCCACTATACGCATCTCAAATTTGTACATACATCTCGGGTCTTCTTGGCTTCGCCATATCTCTCCCCTTGAGGCCTGCCTTGATGAACACCGGTCCTAGCCATCTGATCAGACTGTACGTGGCGGCGAACACAATTCCACTAAAGGCAATCGACGCCACTAACGGTGCGCCATCTCCTTGGAAGGTATTGACCAACACGGCAATACAGGCTCCCGCGAGAAGGAGGAGACGCCAAGTCTCGCGATGAGAAAGGGAGCTTGGGGTTGTAGAGCTCATGATCACCAGCCACTCTCCAGCATAGCTCCCTACGTCCTTTTCACACCGGGGATCAGGAGGGAGAAAGAAAAGACCATGGACAGGGCAAGACAAGACTGCAATCTGGCTTTAAGCAAGACACCATCCACTGACGCATGCCGTTTCTGTCGGCAGAACCTTGACCGCTCGACAGGCGGTGTCCGCGTTCGTCAACATTCTTCCAGAACAAGGCTAGTGGACGGGGTGGATTACATAACGCAACATCGTCAATCATCGTCGACGGTCATCTTCGCCAGACACCTATCCAACTGGTCGAAGTCCGGCGTGTCTTCCCATTGGATTAAGCGTCTGCATGCTGCACGTTAGCGGTTGAGTCTGACTGCCAGGTGGTATCATTGGTCCAGCAAATGAGCCTCGAGATGTCGACTGGATTCACCGAGTTCGATGCCGGTCATCGCGACTTAGTCACCGTGACCAAGTTCAATTTCTATGGCAATCGCATTGTCACAGCCTCCTCGGACCATCGCATGAAGGTTTGGGATCAGAAAAATGGCGAATGGCAGCTAATTGATACGTGGCGGGCCCACGATGGCGAAATCCGCGACGTAAGCCTCACTGTTTTTGTAACCATCACTCGCGACTGACCTTCTTGTAGGCGACATGGAATGGCCCATTTACTGGCCAGCATATAGGAAGCGTTGGTGAGGACATGAAATGCAAGATATGGCAAGAAGATGTCACTCAGCCTCCAAATTCTGGGCGACGTTTTCGGCCCATCTGTCGCATGACCGCTCCCCAGCGGCATCCCTTCGTTTCAATTGATTTCCGCAACATTGATCTTGAGTCTTGGCTCGCAATGATCACCCGCGATGGCTACCTGATGGTCATGGAGCCGGTGAGCCCCGACTCTCTCGCAGAGTGGCAGGCCCTGGATCAGTTCCGTGTCTGCACTGCGCCCCAGAGAGGTGAAGAGACAAGCTTTAAGGTTCAGTTCCACCACGACCCTACAGATATCACTCACACAGTCCTCCCTTCTTCCGACCGCAAAAGCCTTTCGCTGGTCGTTGCGGCCATGGACAGTGTGAAGGTATACCGCACGGACGCCAATCGCCGCTTCTACCACGCCATAGAGCTGTCCGGCCACGGAGGCCTTGTGAGAGACATATCCTGGGCCAACGGATCCGTGAGAGGCTACGACCTTATTGCCAGTGGCTGCAAGGACGGGTTTATTAGGATCTTTGAGGTCTATACATCGGTAGATAACGGATCACATACTGCAAACGGCAATCAGACCCAGCAACAATATCAGTCGCCAACAATCCGGGCAACAACACATTCTGGAATCAGCTCCGCGTTGACAAGTCGGACTCCTGCCACCATGCCGAGTCGTTCGACAACAGGCGATACTCAGTTTAAGCATACGTTCAAAGAGGTTGCGTGCATCGATAGCAATCATTTGGATGTGTGGCAAGTTGGGTTCTCTTATGCCGGTAAGTACTGCTATCTTTTTGGCGCGACGTGTCTGTCATTGGTTACGATCATCTAATCTTGTGTAGGTGATTGTCTTATTTCTGCTGGTGATGACGGAGCCGTGCGATTTTGGAAACGATCGCTATCCGGAGATTGGCTCGAATACGCCGAAACCGACATGGCCGATAATTGAAGACGCTCCCTTAGGGCTCTACGTCTCCCTTCTTCACCATGAACCCTGTCAAACACGCTATATACAGTTTGGAAATGGCGTCTCAATTCTGGTAAAGTGGTATGGAGGAGGGCTTACTCTGCCCCTATTCTTCTCGATATTTGTCGTTCGGTAGACAGTGATACCCATGCATTTATGACTTATGTCCCGCGCATGTACGTGCCTGAGACGTTGGTCCTTTATTTTCATCCGTACCGAAACTGCTTCTATCATCATGTTTTCTGCGCTGGGTAACTCCTGCCATGCCCGGTTTCTCCACACCTTCCGCTTCCTGGACCCGGCTCCAAGAAAATCAGATATCCTCGGTGTGCCACCACATGCGTGAACCTCACCCTGTTCGTCTTCACATACGCTGTCTCCATCTTTATGCCCAGGGGTGGCTATTATTCTTCCCCATCATGGCAATCGGACCTACTCTCGGAACAGGCTTGTTTATCGGTTCCGGACAAGCTTTAGCAGCCGGTGGCCCGGCCTCCTTGCTCGCCTCCTACATATTCATATCGATATTGGTATACTGTCTCACAACTGCTGTCGCAGAAGTCGCCTCACACGTGCCCGCGCGAGATGGTACGATGCTCACTCATGCGTATCAATACACATCATCCCATTTGGGGTTTTCCTTGGGTTATCTTCGCTGGTACTCCACCGCTATGCTCGTGCCCTTTGAAATCACCAATGCCATGGTCAACCTCGGCATATGGAATCCAGGGTTTAAGGTTGCCATACGGATCACGCTCGTAGCGAGCGCAATCTTCGGGTTCAACATGCTCCCTGAGAGGGTGTTCAAAAGATCAGAGGCGGTTTTCACCGGCGTCAAATTTCTCACCACCGTTGGACTCGGCATTCTCTCCGTGTACTTGGCTATTCGTGGTGTCCCCGGGTCGGGCATGCGAGGCTTTCATTACTGGAACGACCCGGGTCCTATGAACGAATTTTTGGTCGAAGGGCCATTGGGAAGGTGTCTAGGACTAGTCCAGTGCATCCTCTGCAGTACGATTTCGTTCATTTTCAGCCCCGAATTGATTGTCCATCGAAGTGAGCAAGCAAACTCCGAATCCAGCCGAAGCATCATGCATATGGCGCAGGTCGACAGCGTCCACCTATTCGTGCTATACATTCTCAGTGCGTTGGCAATCACAATCGTCGCCCCCTCAGACGATCCCTCTTTGACGAACGGCGGGATGGGTGCTGGAAGATCGCCATATGTCGTGGGTGCCCGAAGGTCAAAGATTCCGGTCCTGCCGTCCGTCACTGCACTTCTAATTCTTCTCTCATCCGTGGCTTCTGGTCGCTCCTTTCTGTATACCTCCTCTCGCACTTTGTGCTCGCTGGCTGAGACGGGACATGCGCCACCTTTGTTCAAAGTTCGCAATAGATGTGGTGTGCCCTACGTTGCCGTCCTCACCACCACTCTGTTCTCGGGGCTTGCTTACTTATCGTTGGCTGTTTCCTCGTCTGCAGTGTTCAATCTGCTGATGTATTTCATCACCACCTCGGGGTACATTTCCTGGCTTTGTTCGTGTATCGTCTACCTTCACTTTCGGCGGGCGACGCAAGCGCAGGGGTTCACACCTGTTCATCGGGCCCGTATCCAGCCGTACGGCGCGTATTTCAGCATGTTTGTGTCCGCTCTACTGCCCGTGGCTAATGCCGTTATCATCGCGGCGCCCACTCGAGGCATTGGCAGGAGTGCAATTCCAGTGTACGTGGGCATAGTCGTGTTTTTGTCGCTTTACTTTGGACATCAAGCGAGGGCGGCGATTGCGAATCGCTTCCAACAATCACCGATGCCTGACGAGGAGAATAGCCCCGTGCGCACCAAGGTCTCGGATTGACCGCTAGGATGCAGCAATGAAGCTGGTGGGTGCAGTGCCCTAAATTGGTGAATTGAAGGGAGGTGTCTATGGGGTTGAAGATCTGGAGCTAAGATGAATCCAGTAAAAGCATACTCAAGTCCAGGGGGCGCCTTGGTCTGCTCCGAAACCGGCAGCCCAGACCGCTTGCAGCCTGAAATCTCAGGCATGGCACAAGTCTTCCAGTATGGCCGAACGAAATCATGATTAGCAAAGAGAAATCAAAAATGCCTGCTAGAGTACGCGTACTAGCTAAAATAATAAAGCATGTATGTGAGGTTCTGACGGGAATCGAACCGCTGAGTGAAAGGCTAAAAAGGGCAAAAAAAAACCACTAGACTATTTGGCAAGAGGCACGAGGGAAATGAATAATTCTGCTTAATAATAGCGCTTTCGAATCGAGTCATTGGGCCAGTCGAGTCTCTCTGTCTGGCCGGGTCTCTCTCGGTCTCTCTCGCTCTCCTTCCCTCCCTCATTCCCGCTCTCGTTCTCTCTCTTTCGCTCTGCTTTTTACCTTCGCTTGCTTTCTTCCTTCCTCCTCTCCCACCTCATCCCTCCTACGGACTCCCTCCTCTTCTCGACTATCTCTCCCTCCTTCATTCACCTTCCCGCTCATTCTTCCTCGTCCTCTGTTCCTCCTCTTCTTCCTCTTCTCTCCTCGTCTTCTACTTCTCTTGACTTCATCTCCCCATTCACGTCTTACCTCTTCACTCTCTTCCCAGAAACGACTGCCTCCCCTTGTCTGTCGCCATTCACCTTTCATCCCGTCTCAATCCATATCTCTATCCTCCTTCGATTGATTCATATCTTCCCTCCCTCTCCTCGCCTCTCGCCTCTCCATGCGATTCGTGGCCCATCGACCTCTTCACGTCCATCGACTTCCGATTCTCGATCCCTTTCTTCTAGTCCACGGTCGCACGCGCCACAGGAGCAAACGCCTTTGCTAAACTCTCAGATCCCTTTCCTGCCGTCTATCCTCTGTCGATACGTCGTCTTTCGCTTTACATCATCTGTGCGATCGTTCCGATTCCCTGCGTCCCAAGATCCTTCTCGTGCGACTCCCTGAATCGCCGGAGATCATCTCCCAAACGAGCATACAGGCGCAATTAGGCTTGGTTGATCCATTCCTTTCGGCCAAACATCGTCCAGGCGAGCGATACAGGTCGTCGCGACATACTAGCAGGAACGCGAACCCTTGAAACGGCAAGTGACATGCGCGTTGGGCTCTGACGGGTAACCCGTAGGCCCTCCTTTCGCTCCCACTTCCTCGCGCATCCCTAAACTGTCTCTGAAGAGGGGGTATCTGGTCAGATTATGACAGATACCTCCCCAGCCGCCGTCACGCACCCAACCACGGACCCTTACCCGGTCGCCGTCCCTCTCAACTCGCCCGCCGTCAACGGTACCGTTTCCGACTCGGCCGCACCTGAAGAGGAGGAGCCGTATACCATCAAATGCATCTGCGCCTTTGAGGATGATGATGGGAACACGGTTTTCTGCGAACGGTGCGAGACCTGGCAGCACATCGAGTGCTACTACCATGGTCGGGAGGTGCCCGAGGTTCACAATTGCGTGGATTGCGAACCCCGTCCATTAGATGGCCGCCGCGCCACCGAACGGCAAAGGCGCTTGCGAGAACAGAGCGATGGCGGCGACCGCAAAAAGCGATCCGGTGCGAAGAGTCAGAAGAAGAAGGCCAGGGAGCCTGCGGATCAGACGAACGGCTTCCATCACCGTTCCGATTCCAACTCCCGCGACCAGCCGCCGGCGAAAAAGTCCAAAACAGGTCATCGCACTTCTGGCTCTGTCGGGTCCCTGTCAAGTTTACCCCCCTTACAACCCGATGCACGCAAACGCACGTCCACGTCAATGAGCCCAACGAAACCTGCAGGACCGTCGATCCCCCTGTATTCCGCCGAATTCCTTCACCTTTATGACCACGATCAGGACTATGCCAGCATGGATAGCAATCTGTACAATACGCTGAATCTTGCAGGAGATCTGGCATCGTGGGTGACGGATCCGTCAGCGCTAGCGCGCGTGACGAATGGACGATCAGCGCAGGACGTCTTCACCTGGTCGGGTGCCGTCCTCGACCGGTCGCGCTGGCCCTCCCTCGCCACCGAATCGATTACCGACCCGAATATCGATGTGGACGGCACGCACCCAACCTGGAAGGTTCTGAAGACGCGCGATCGCATAGGGAAGGATGACATTGTGGGCGAAATTACGGGCAAAATTGGCCTCCTTCGGGACTACTGTCTTGACCCCAACAATCGATGGCAGGAGCTTCGACATCCCGAGCCTTTCGTCTTCTTCCATCCGCAACTTCCTATTTACATTGATAGTCGGCACGAAGGTAGCATCCTCCGCTATGTCCGGCGGTCTTGTCGTCCTAATGTCACGATGAAAACCTACATCACAAATGAAGTCGAGTACCATTTCTGCTTCGTCGCAAAGGAAGAGATCGCGCCCGATTCAGAGATTACCGCGATGTGGTATCTGGACCCCCAACTTTTCGAGTCCACCAATGGAGTGGTCAAGCAGGAGTCCAGCGACACGGCGCAGGACCTGGCGGCCATCTGCATCAGCAACGTGCTGGCGCATTTTGGTGGCTGTGCCTGCGTCCCTCCACCCAACTGTCTGCTATCAAGCGTCGACCGTCGGCGGCATCCGAAGGCATTGGATACGAAACAAGCCAGCGCAAAGCGGAAGAAGGTCAAGAGCAAATCCAACGTTTCTCCGCCTGCAACGAACAGCCGGGCTGGCAGTGAAGCCATCAAGAACTTGGACGAGGATGACCAGGCCGATAGCCGTTCGGCGTCCGGTTCGACGCGAGGGCCCCGCAGTCGCGATCTCACCCCCACGTTACCGAACTCCGCCGAAGGCTACCTGTTCGGCGATACGGAACTATCGGCCCGAGACCGGCGCAAAATCGCGGCGGCGGAAAAGAAGTTCCAGCAACTGGAACAAGATCAGGCAACGCAGAAGAAAAAGAAGCGCCCCAGCGGTCATTCCGCCCAAAGTACGCCGACAATTGGCGGCAGTCAAGCTGGCTATTTCGCTCACCAAGGCCGTGATCGCCGCTCTTATTCGCCGCCCGCCCGTTCGTCGCGAGGTCGCCATGGTTCCCCTCGAAAGGCGACTGGCCCTTTCACCGGTGCCCGACGATATGTAGATTCCTCCATCCAGACGGACTTGGATGGCAGTGATGGCCTGGGTCCCTCCGCGCTCTCCTCCCCCTCGCCGCGACGGCCGGCTTTTGTCCCGCTCACACAACGCTTGCTCAAACGGTGCTATGCGGATCGTGTGCGTTTGGAGCAAATCAGTCGCGTCCCGGTGTCGCCATCCCACTCCAACTCCATCACACAATTGACGTCACCTTCGCCGAGTACGCATGGGGCTGCGCCGTTGACTGCCACCACTCCAAGTGTATCTGGTGAAAGGGAGGATGTAGAAATGAAGGATGCGGAATTTCCAGCCAGGCCATCTCCTGGGCGCCCACATAGTCGCGAGATGGACTCTTCGCCGCTATCGGGCCGAGAAATGGCGAAGCCTCCACTACCACCCCCCTGGCCTTCCACAGCAGCCCATAATTCTCGAATACCGGGGAGCCGGGTGGACACTCGGCGTCCTGATCTCCAAATTCCTATTCCGCCTCCCATTATTCCTTCGTTGCAATCTGCCTCTCGCCCGGGGTCGGCGACAACGCCGTCGCTTCAGTCGTCTCCCTCGACAATCGAACCTCCCCAGCATCATACGGCTCCACCTGGGTCTGGCGTGACCGCTCCCAGCCCTGTCAAGAAGAAACTTAGTCTAGGGGACTATCTCATTCGCCGAGGGTCCAAGGCTACCCCAACAACTGAAAAAAGCCAGGCGCAAGCCACAGCGATGCCACCGCCGCCGAAGTCTCCGATCAACCAAACACCGACTTCAACCGCTGGGGACGGCGCCCATCCCGAGTCCAAGGCGAGTGGCGAGACAGATACGGTGAAAGTGGAACACTCCAGCACACCTGAGGTCACAATGAAGGATGTCGCTGGGTCGACCCAAACCTCGCAAGTGTCATCACTTACGTGAACCCATTTCCTCTTAATTTGCGGCGGCTTTCTGTTTGTGTGACATGAATATGGTGTTTTGAATTCGCTTTGGTTCTGTAAAGGTTTACTGGCGTTCAGCCGCGGATACTGGTGTTCTTGGGATTGTGTGAGGCGTAATCGGCGCGTGGACAGGAAGCGGGCTACGGAAATACCTTTTTCTGGGACATGACGGAATATACGAAGGATCTTCAGGAGGGCTTGTTGGATGTTTCTCTTCATGTGCGGCGTCAGCTTCACGACTTGTCTTTACTACCCGAGTTGACCTTGTCCTTTATTTCTGATCTACTATTATCTGTTCCATATTAGCTTCATTCTATGACGATGCTCCTGAAGTTCCAGGGGACACATCAATGTGATGGGCAAATTCTCAACTTCCACTGCCTTCTGGAGTCTGGCGAAGGGTCTTACCTCCTTCAGGATATGATATTGTGAGTGATCTCGGAAATCTACGTACTGACATTATTGCACAGTAGACTTGCCGCCTAGAAGTCTTCCAGGATATACGGAGTACGTTCCTTGTCTATGACTCGAGCCCCTTCGAGTTATATCCCGGAGTGCATATGATTGACCATCCCCTATATACTGATCAGAACTATGTACACGAATCACTTCCCACTCGCTCCCACTCGTTCCCACTGTGACCATACCACGGTACTCAAGCCGAAGTCGCGGTAGCACTGGCGGCAGCGCTACCAGGGACCGTTGCGGTTCCGGTGGCCGTGATGGCCGAAGTTGCCTGCGCAACGTTGGTGGCACCCGCGATCATGGACGGGCCGGGCACGGTATATGTGAGCGAGTTGTAGATGTCGACGAGAATACCGGGATCAGTGGAAGTGTACAGCTCGGTGGCGGGGACGCCAGCGGGGGACTGGGAGCCGCCGCCAGTGACACGCAGGTTGAAGCATTGCATGTAGTTCTGGGCGCCGTCCTCGGCAAAGGCGCCGTGCAGAGCGATCATCTCATGGCGCAGGACGTAGTCGCCGGGGGCGATGTCGGCGGGGATCTGGACGAGCCACGAGTTGTTGTTGGCGATGAGCTGGTCGGCGGCCCAGACGCCCGGCGGGGCGGCGTCATCAACGAGGCCGACACCGTCGATCTTAAAGAATTGCAGCGTAGTCTTGTCGACGGTCTCGCAGCCTGCGGTGCCGCAGGGCGCCAGGTAGTCCAGCACGGGGCCGTGGTGCGACTCAGGCCACTCGGTCCACTGCAGGTTGATGCTGTCGCCAGCGGCCACCGTCGCGAAGCCCTTGGCGTTGGTCGCGTTGAGGTGGCAGATCATGTCGTCGGAAGTGAAGGCATCCGGCGCGATGAACCCGTTGCCCGTGTTGGGCGTGCCCCAGGCCACCACCGTCGGCGGGTCGGCCATGTACGGGAACGAGTTGATGTCCCAGCCCTGGTACGAGACGCCGTTGATCACGATGTTCGTGACGTGGCCGTGGCCGGCGACCTGGCTGGCCAGCAAGGCTAGCAGGGTGGACTTGGAGAGACGATCCATGGCAAAGAAACAAGAGGTGCTTTGATGCTTTTGATCGACGTTGTTCTCTGTGGAGATGATGGAGACAAGAGCCGTTGATCGTTACCAGCTTGCGGAAGAGATGTGCGTCCTTATATACCTCTTTCTCGACGGACGACCGGACAGCATGGGCCTTCAGCGAGGTACCTGCGGTCTATCAGACGTTGTCATGCTCCGTGCCTCGGACAAAATGGGCAGGTTACCGTGGGAGATTGATTAACGGGCAATCTATCCCTGCGGCATGAGTGGCGCGACGGAGGAATTTGGAGCCTGGGGAATGGCGCCATGGCTTCGGCAGTGGCCATCTTTAATTTGATGTCGTCTGGCGGCGGCTTTGACTCCGGACCGAAAAGGGGAGTCTTCTGTATGTTTCACTTTCTGCAGATTTGGGATTGGATTGCCGGTGCGGTGTGGATCGAACTTGGGAGCTTCTGTCCAGGGTGTTCTGGATAGATGTATGCCATCAGTCGATCCATACATACTGTCATAAGCTTGTCTAAGGAGGAGCTGCGATCTGTCGAGCTGAGCCTGTGGGGGCTCAACTGAGACGGTGATGGTTTCATGTCGGATACACGGGCAGACATCCCGGATCGTCACTCATGCCATGCATCGAAGTTACCCGTACGCAATGGGTTGTCTCTCGGGAGTGACATTCAGTCGGCAGTCATGCGGAATGATCTTCGTTCAATGCTTAGTGAGATCAACAGAGTATCGGGTAGATGTAGCGCACGGTGAAGATGAGGCCTCACATCCCATTGTCAATCGATGTATGCCACGCATGAGACTGTTGTCTTTGTAGTCTTCGTCCGAGAAACATCTGTCTTTCTCTAGAAGTCACGCGTATCGATACTATGTTGGGCATAGTACATAAGCGTCATACTTGGATGCGTTGGGAGCAAGTATGAATCATCATCCTCCCTGCGGGGTAACTAAACAATCTGTTTCTCCCAGTTCAGCTTCACTCTCTGTACAGCCATGGCCCCCTCGATCGCTTCTTCGCGGTCTCGGTCAGATGAGACGATCCATCCAAGCCATGTCGCGTCGTTCGAACTGGAACAACCTCCGCTCCTCCCGGCAGACCGCGGAAGAGCCGCATGGTTGATGCTGGCATCATGCTGTCTGATCCAATTGCCCGTCTGGGGTGCGTCAAAATCCCGTCAACAAACAGTTCACTCTGTTGACTTCCTCAGGATTCTCTCTTGTATTTGGCATCTTCCAGGAATACCTCATGACTCATGATGTGCTCAAGGGTAGCAAAGGAGGTCTGGCGGTGGTGGGAACCACATCCACTGTAATCTTCCCGGTCCATCTTCCCTCCTTCAACCGCTGAATCCGTCTCACCAGGGACTTCTGTACCTGCTTTCTCCGATATCATTCACTCTTCTTACCCGCTATCCCCATTTCCAGAAGTACTGTGCCCCCGTAGGGCTGTTCCTGAGCGTCTGCGGGTCCCTGCTCTCCTCTTTCTCGCAGAGCGTGTGGCACTTGATCCTCACGCAGGGGGTGCTATGTGCCATCGGAAACGGGCTTGTGTTCAGCCCAACCACCCTGTATCTGGATCAATGGTTCATCCAACGAAAGGGCCTGGCCTACGGCATCATGTGGGCTGCCAAAAGCATCTGCGGTGTGGCCCTCCCGTTTGTCGCGAGCGCCTGTCTGGGTAAATTTGGGGCCAGGACGACCCTGCGGGCGTGGACGGTCACGACGGTCAGTCCCTACATGGGGAACATCGAAGACCAACTGACGTGTTGCTGTAGCTACTCTCGACGCTTGTGGCGCTGCCGTTCGTCAAGCCCAGAGTCCCACCGTCTCCTTCAACCTCGGTGAAGCGAATAGACCTGACCTTCCTGAAGCTGGCCACTTTCTGGATGCTGCAGCTGGGGAATATCATCCAGGGATTTGGCTACTTCCTGCCCAGTACGTACCTGCCGTCCTACTCGACCTCTGCGGCAGGGCTGTCCCACACCACAGGAACGCTTCTGGTGGCGCTCTTCAACGCGACCTCGGTGGTGGGTGGCATTGTTTTGGGGTCGCTCTGTGATCGGTTCGCGGTCACCAACGTCATGTTGCTCTCATCCGTAGGCTCTGGGCTCTCGGTCTTCCTGTTCTGGGGCTTGTCTACCTCCCCATCATCCTCGACGGATTATCCTCAGGCTGCGATTGCTCTTCTCACTCTCTTCTCCATCACTTATGGCTTTTTCGCCGGTGGGTTCAGCTCCACCTGGTCGGGAGTGCTGACCCAGGTCAAACGAGAAGTCCCCTCATTGGAGACAGGACTTGTGTTTGGTCTCCTGGCTGGAGGAAGAGGCATTGGAAATGTCATTAGCGGACCCCTCAGTACGGCCCTGATCAAGCAAGGATCCATTGGGTCTCCCAATGCCGGCTTCGCATATACGACCGAATATGGGGCGTTGATCATCTTCACGGGAGTGACGGCATTCTTGGGGGCATGGAGTTGGATGTGGCGGTATCTCAGCTTTTGCTGGAAGTGATGTGTACATGGGTGTTCATCGACGTGAGATAGTATAGTATCACTAAGTGGACCAGTGCTGGATGCACGGTCATAGTAGAATGAATCACGTGACACTGGACTTTCTTCAGCCGCGCCGTCATGATCGCTCATGATTCTCCATCTCCAACCATCCCAATCACCTCTCCTCAAGGATCGTCTGGAGTGGTCTGGTCACCCTTGCCCGCCCATCACCATGGCCACCGATCCCTCCCTCCAGGATCCTCTCCTCGCCCTGCGTCGCGCTATCGCAACGGGCAGTCTTCCTACCCCGACCACCTCCTCCGATCTCTCCGACCAAAACGCGACCGAAGACCTCGCCAAAGCCACGCATCTCTACTTCCGTGATCCTCTCCCGCAGTCCATTCCTCTGACGGCACCGACGCGGTTCGTCTCCGCCTCCTCAGACTCCGCGGTCGACCTCCGCAGTATCTTCTTCGCTTGGCAGAAGAAAGATGTCGCCATTCCCGAGTACATCGCCTCCGCACAGGAGCTGAACGAGTCGCTGAAGCAGAAGGAGCGCAAAGAAGGCGAGGAGGAGGAAAAGGTGCAGAATCTCGTCTTCGTCGAGCGTCTCGACCTCATCACCTGGCTCGAGGGCGCCTCCGATGAGAGCGAGTACATCAAGCCGTTAGAGGGCGCCGCAGCCGCCGCAGCGGCTGCCGCGAACGCGGCCGCCCAAGCTCAGGCCTCTGCGAACATCGCCTCCGGCGCGGCGGGAGGTGTCTCTGCAGTGCCCAGCGGCGCGCCTGGGGCCGCTGCGCCGGCCGCAGGAGCTCAGCAAGGCCGTGCGGCGAAGGTGATTGACCCCCGACTGCAGGAAATCTACAACGGCGAACGCAAGATGGGCGATCGGAATACCGTCCTACACGGCATCAAACTGACGGTAAGCCCGCACCCTGCTACTTTCATCCGAAACCACCTCCTAACAGCCTACATATAGGACTTCTCGCACGTCCGTAAAACAGCAGAGACCTTCTTGGGACGCAACCGGTCCCGGCCGGGCCCGTACCCAGCCGGCGGCAAACCAGGCACCAAACCGCAGTCGATGGTGCCCGCGCCGTCGGCAGGGCTGTCGCAGCCACGCAAAAGTTCCTCCAAGACGCAGGACCCCATCATCCTGCTGTCGCCGTCCGCGTCGTCGCTCATCCGCATGTCCAACGTGCGCTCGTTCCTCCAGGACGGCGTCTTCGTGCCCCCAGACCACCCCACCCTCGCCACCCCGGGCTCCAACATCCTGTACATCTCGCGCCCGCTGCGCTCCGCCGACCCGTCGAACCCGTCCGCCCGCCCCATCGGCTCGCAGGGCTCGTCCCGCAAACCCACGCGCTTCATCCTCGTCGACAGCACGGCCAACTTCCGCCCGGACTACTGGAACCGGCTCGTCGCCGTCTTCACCACCGGCCAGACCTGGCAGTTCAAGTCGTACAAGTGGTCCTCGCCGCCCGAGCTGTTCAAGCATGCCAGCGGCATCTACGTCGGCTGGCGCGGCGAGGATGTGCCGCGCGAAGTCCGCGGCTGGGGCCGCGGTGTGCAGAGCTTTGCCGTCGAGCGATGGGACGACAAGGGCGGCGTGCATGGCGCGGGCCGCTGGCGGGACCGGGAGGTGGTCGAAGGCATCTGGACGGCCATCGAGGAGGGCATGAGATTGCGCGGATGGGGTGCGAAATGAGTTTCTCGACACAGCTGTGGCGACATCTCGAAGATCAATCTATCTGACTATCTACCATTTCCTTAACAGCTATGGTCCCATGCTCATCTAAACCGGGGTTTCACTGAAATTTGCGAGGGAAAAAGACCACATGGTATAGGTAATGCTTTTTTCTTGGTTCTATTTATTTGGTATTTCGGTGCAAGGAGGCGTGCCGTGGCGTTGAGTTCCATATCAAGTATCTCTTTGTTTCCTGTTCCATAGCATATTCCTGTATCTCACACTTACCAGACATCCTGTCTCATGACGTCCCATTTAACAATGAATCCCAATTGAACGGATGCATCATATGACATATGCATGACTGGCCCACGTGGTAGCCATGTGCGATCTTACATGTCCAACTACAGTGTTAATAAAGTAGACTGAGCGTGGTTTAATTCTCTGCTTTCACAGTGATACCCTATCCATGTAGTAGAACAAGAGTGGGAATGGCATGAACAAAAGGAAAGTCATAGTCGCTGAATCTGAATGAATCCTTGAAAATGCAAGTTCAATCGGATGCGCAGAACAATGCTGGAAAAACAAGACAGAACAGAAAGAAAACGTAATATGGCATGTACATCAATCAACGTCAGAAGAAAGAAAATAAGAACAGTCTTAACTCATGCAGAATGCAGGAATGGCAAAGAGAAAAGAAACGCCTCTCTAATGCTGGAAAACTCTGGTGTCTCAGGCTTCCCTCGCCAAATTCTCCACTCATTAAAAAATGGAGTAAGATCAAGAAAAGGAAAAAGTAACAGGAATATGTTGAACGAAAAGAAAAATCCAAGTCGGGCCATCCATCTATCACATAGATCGTAACATCTCATAGTCGTGATCAGTCGGTTGCCAAAGAAACCGCATCTGCCCGGGAGATAGCCTCTTGGTCTATCGAATTCTGGCGGGAATATATATAGAATGTAGCATCGTCGTGTCGGGCATGTGCTGAATGATGTACATTAAACGTTCGAGCGCCATGGTGGGGGAGAAGGTCGTAGATGTCGGACTGGGAAAGGCGTGACCCATTCGGTGGTGTAGTACCCAAGTCTATTATTATAAAATGCGTCTTTGCGACACTCGTAACTCATCGAGGGCTCAGGCGGTCATATTGTTGAAATCATGATGGCAGATTACCGTGACGAACGGCAGGACGCTATCGTCATGTGCGCGCAGAGCGGCTCATCGAGCGCTCCGGGACCGGAGCCGGAGCCGGCGTGGGCGAGTAGGACCTCGAGGCGGCCGCCAGGTCCACATCATGCTCCTGGAGAACAATGGCGTATTTGGGATCACGCAAGAATTTCGGGACAGAGTCCTATATGGCGTTAGAACCAATTTCAGATCCACTTTGAAGGGGAACTTACACTCGACATCAGCTTGAAGACGGAAGTCTGCGCCATCTCAAACAGATGGACCACCTCCTGAAGGCTCCGGAACATAGACTCGTCATCTCCCACGGCCTTCGTCATACGACTAGCCAAGCTGTTGCGCAAAGCGTGATCAATGTTCAGTTCGCAGGGCGATCCGGGAGCCAAGAAGGCATTGTAAAGACCTTTGAGGTGTTAGTAACAGATTTCAAGACGAGGTAGAGGAGATAGGAACGTACCATAGGCAGCAGCCAGGGTCTCACGAACGGCATCAGGCTTCTTAAATGTCCCAAGTCGCTCCGCCTTGTGGTAGGTGGCAGTGAATTCGGAAACATCCAAGTAGAACGACAGGTTCTCCTCGCACAGAGAGAAACGCAGGAATTCACGGAATAGAAGGCGCAAAGCAGGATCCTGGAGGATGTGGTTCAACCGCGCATTGTTGGAGTCGCGAGGGATGCCGCGGCTGTCGTACATCGGCGGGGTGTCGCGGGACTTGTCCCGTGCAATCCAACCACACACGCGCTGTCCACGTTCCGTAATGCCGTAAATCGCATTCTTGGAGGGCTGGAAAGCCACAATCGAGTTGTCGGGCATCGGCATGAGCTTGTCCTCCTGAAGCATCGTGATCAACCCATACTTGACAAACAGCTCGGCAATGAGAACGGTTTCGCGGCGCTCGATGGTGGTAGAGCAATCCATCAGCCAGTCAACCGCGGCCTTTCCGGTGAAGGTGTTGGCGACAATCTTATCGTTCACCTTGCGCTCCCGGGCCATTTTCACTCCAACCAACCCGTTCGAATAGTCGCTCAACGAGTCGGAGTCGGAGGTGGAGATACTATTCTTCACATTGGGACCATCCTGACCAGCGAATCGGCGGAAGATCACTTCAATGGTGGCACGATCATGCGATAGCTTGTCCGTCTCGGTATCGCGTTCCAGGTTGACCAGCTGCATGGTGTTGCGGGGCGACTCCAGAACGTCAATGACGTGGCGGGCCGTGATCCCATTCCGTTGGCAGAATCGCTGCAGGATGTTGATTCCCTTCGGGGTAAGCTGATAGAGAGCACCCTTTAGCGGGAATTGCTGGGCACCCTTGCCGTCCACGGACTCGATGAAACGAGCGTCGACGAAGCGTTGGCATACGGAGCGGGCCATTTCTTTGGCCATGGAGAAAGTAGTGGTCGTTGTCGTGGTCACGATGCGAGACGGATCCTTCGGGTCCGGCATACGGTTGGACTGGGAGAATTTCAGAGAACCGAGGTTGTTGATGGCTTCTTCGGAGGTGAAGGAGTGGTCATATTTCGTAAATCGTACACGATGCGAATCCAACTTCAAGCTGACCATTAACGTGGAGAAGAGATCCATGAAATCCTACAGGTAGCACTGTCAGTCCCAAGCTCGGTCTCCCTGCTCAATCCGGAAATTGCTTCCCCCACAGCCGCACCCACTCCTCCGGTGATTCTACGGGGCTCCAGTCTTACCTTGGTGAAAGGACGGTCATCTTCCGTCATGCGCAACAGGCGCGACGAGGTTTGGTGCATGGTGGCGGGCGGTTCGACCGGTGCGAGGGTGGGGACGTGCTGGAGAGTCTGGCGACGCTTGTCGACGGAGTCGGCGACAGGCGGCGAAGCAGTATTCGGGTCGATGGGCGCGGGGCTTGACGATTCACTAGGGGCGCTACCGTCCGACAATGGCGGCGTCAAGGGCGAGGTGCCTGCAGATTCACCGACGCTGATCTGAGAGGGCTTGCGCGTGTGTTTCGACAGACTTCCGGACGAGGCGGAGGGACGAAGGGTGCCGGTCCCAGAAGCTCCAATGGCCGAGAGGTTGGCGAGAGCGCTGGTGGTCTTTTCGCGAGCAAGAGCGGCAAACGAACGGCGATTGCGTCGCGAAATCGAGCCAATGACTGAGCCAGTGAGTCCCGGAGTGCCGGTCAACGGAGGATTGGCGGAGGAAGCCGTCGCTGAAGGAGAGGCGACAGCGGGCAGACACGAGGCGGAGGAAGAGGCACGAGGGCGAGAGTCGACCGGGGAGGTAGAGACCGGTGCAGAGATGGTGGTGGAAGATTGGGAGGAGAGGGGAGGTTGGTGATGACAGAGAGACTGAGAAGAGGGAGGAGATCCGTGGGCGAGAGAGGAAGATATGGTTGGCATTGAAAAGTGCGGACCAGACAAAAAAAGTGGGAGTAAAAAAAAAAATAAAAAAAAGAGAGAAGAGAGAGAGAGGGAGAAGGAGGGGGGGAGGATATGTATGTAAAAAGACGTATGGGATGGTATGTATGGTTCGTATGTAAAATAAAAGAAAAGAAAAATGATTTTTCCCAAAGAGGTGAAGAAAGGGAGGAAACAGATGGAGTACTAAGGACGGAGTAAGTAAGAGATGGGAAGAGCGAGGAACAGAGAAGGGAAAAGGGAGGAGAGAAAAAACAGGGTGTGGAGGAGGGGTGTGGGTGTCTGGATAAGGGAGAAATTATGGGATTCTTTTTATTCTTTTTATTATTCTTTTTATTATAATAATTATTATTTCAAATCATCCGCAATTTATTCTTTTTTTTTTTTTATTCTTCTTTACTTTTAATTAATTTTGATTTATGGTTTGGACAGAACCTCAAAATAGTACCTATTAATAAGATAGGTATGAAACGAGGACTTGGATCCTGCGGCAGATTTATGCTTCTGCCTCATCTCCAAGATCCTCTGCAGCTTCATGAAAAGAGACAAAAGAAAGAAAGACAGCGAGACCACAGTTGGAGGCGGCCCAGGGGGTGATGAAGAATTTGGCCTGTCATTCCTGACCCACTGTGCACGCGGACGGTTTCATGCACCAGACAACGTGGGCCAAGGACGGCGGTGGATGGATCGTCCTTTGGGGCGATCAGAGAAGACTTCCCTGCAGACTTGGGGGACTAGCGTATTACCGATAGTACGTTACCTCCTGTACTGAGGTACAGAAGGTCGGAGTACTACTAGGTAGACAGTCCGACTACCTACTACCCAGTACTTATCTACCCTGTCAGCCTCCCTCTACATCTCTGAATCTTCTGCATCTGGTCTTCATCTCCAATATACAGCTGAGTTCTTGTCTGACCCAGGAGCCAGGATAGCCAGGCAACAAGCAAGTCTTGGGGACGGGTATGGTCTGGGTATCCATGGTCCTCCCCGGTGGAGCGATACGGTACCATCACATTACCTGACCATACCGCCCGTACACCGATCTTTACCCACACGGAAGCTGGAATTCCAACTTTCCCAGGCAGTGGGCCTGTCGGTTTCCAACACTGCAAGCGTCGGATGATCAGCGGAATCGACACCTGGGGAGGAGTTTACCAGATCTCCCTTATGATTGCCTTTCCTTCCACCATATGAGAGCGAGTGCTTTGTACGGAGTAGGTGTACTAGAACTACTTATCTTTTTCTTCCTTCCTTCCTTCCATCCTCCTCCTCGCTTATATCATCTTTTGTCTTTGAACATTGCCCCAAAAAGACAATGGTCCGACTTCAACCTCGTACCCACCCCTGGTCTTATCGGGAGCAGCCAGGTCCGTGACGCTATCTGCCCGAGTCAGGCCTGACTGATAACTAGGACGGAGTACCTAAGCCCCTCAACCCAACCGGACTATGCCACCGTGATCTGGTTGGTTCCTGGTGTCTGGAACCCTACATTGCAGAATTAAGAGAAGGGGAAAACGTGGCTCGCAACGGGCGTTCCTCGCATCCTCACAGGCTGCGGTGCCCAGCCGGTTGACGGTCGCCGGCGAGGCCGGACTGGTACAACCCAAACCACCGCCTGCGGAGCCTATCACAGGCCCCAGGATCTGTACCATCACTTTCCTATTTAGGCAGGCAGTAAATCCAGGGCTCCCTCGATCCGGCAGTGATCATCGTGGTTGAGTCATTCACGTGGGCCAATCATACGCCGTCGTACCATCCTGGCGACCCGGCTCTTACTGAAATAGGACTAGCGTGGGAATTTCCCCCGAACCATCGGCCAGTGGTGTCTGCAAACGCGCCTCCACCGACCCGGTCGCGATCCATCTCTTCTCTCCTTTCCATACTTCGTACATACCAAAGTAACTACTTTAGACCTTACCTCGGATCCCCATCGACGCCGTTGACAGCGGATGATTTCATAACCAAACAGAGAACCCCCTTCTCCGGCGGGCAAACCTTCTACCCACGTGGGTGCCTTTGCCGCCCCGAACATGGCCGTGGGCTGATTACTCAACATAAACATTACTCCGTATTTCCTGGATGCCGATCTCCACCTGGGGATGGATGGATGGATGGATGGGGAGACACCGAGAGATACATCACCTCACCACATGGCATAAACTTCAGACTAGCTGCTGACTATTTCCTGTCTTGCATTTGGGGCTGCAATCTAACTAATGGCTGTCATCGGATCCGTCCAGCTCGCCCACCTCGTTTAAACGGGGTCTCATTATTCAGCCAGCAAACAAAGGAATCACCATCAAACACCACAGAAACATGGCTTGGCATTGCCGTGGGAAAGTGGACTGTGGACTGTGGATGGTGGATGGTGGAACAGGGTTACCTACCGTGAAACAGAGGCTGTGGCGGTGTAATACCGGCCATGGTATTGGCATTACCTGCAGCGTCTCCCAACGCCATAACGCCATGGACGGGGATTAGTTCATAATGGCAGGATTATGATTCCTGCATCCTGATCGATCCAACAGTCTCTCCCGCCTTCCATCACTCTTCCAAGTGTCTTCCTTTTCTTCCTAGCCGAGATCCATGCGGTTCCACGTGGACACACGTGGAGAGACACGCTTGGCGTCATCTCATTCCGCGCTGTGTGGGTATACAGAGTAGGTAGTACGTACCTACCTAGGTATTTTCAGGTGGTTTCTCTTACGTTGATGTCTTATGATCCTCTTATTAGTGCCGACGGTAGATGATCAGGCAGAGACAGCTAGACAAGATAGGTGCCTAGCCACCTATAGTAGATACTTAGCTAAGTCCTATACAACCAGAACATCCGCAATAAACTCCGAACTGCGGGGAAGCTCCCCTCCGTATTCACCAGATCATATCACATCATTTTCCCAATTGGATGCATCACCCAACCTAACTTTCCAGCACTTGCGCAAGCTAATGGAACCCACACCCACCCAGTCACAATCCACACCATCCCAGACACCAGTGGATATGCTTTTTCCGCGATTGTCGCGATAGCATCACGGAGAGGCCAGGATCCAAACAACCAGTAGAGTCTGATCGCCGTATCTATCTGACAGGGGCACCAATGCCCTCCAACCAACCCAACCCTGCTGCCTAAAGTTTACACTCATCACACCCGGCGCGATCCGCCAAGCCAACAGCAGGATCACATCCTAACGTCTCGACGTCGACCAGGATGTTCTTCCTGATGATCCGAGCACCGTCCGTCGATCAGCGTGGTTGACGGGGGATAACCAACTAACTAGGCTCGCCTAGTCGCAGCAATCAGGGTTTGGGCTTCCCCACCACCGCCCGGACGGATACGAAGCGGTGAGTCTGACGGACGGCGCAACGCGGCGATTCGGCGCAAGTTGCGGTCAGACAAAGTCTCCGATCCGGCCGACGCTCCAGGGGGATAGAGGTGCTCGGTTTTACGGGGGTTGTTTTACCGGTGTTGCGAGCCGCGGGCACCGCGACGATCGAAGGGAAGGTGAAACGAAGTCTGCGACAGATGTACTAGACTCCTGTACCTGGTGTAGCTCACAGCCGTCCCAAGCGAACCCCCAAACCATAATGGAGATCCCTGACCGCCACGCGAGACGCGGACAGGGATGAAGCTCGTATGCCGGGCGCACAAGGCTGAGTCTAGATTCCGCCGCCGCGCGGCCGTCGCCGTGCGTGCGCGCGAGCCCAGCCGGTCCGAACTTGCTCCTGGGTCTTCCATGCATGGGGGACCACCGAGACAGAGACTAGACGGCCGAGACGTCGTGTTGTTGGGGGCCAGAGCCGGTCAGTCGGTCAATCAGTTGCAGGGGGCGTGGCGCGACCGAGTCATGGACGGAGTCCAGAACGCCGGCGACATGACTCTTGTTGAGTTGGTGGCTCATGGTGTGTTCATTTGTTGATGGCCGGAGACTTCTGCGGCGTCGTCCTGCATGGAATTCGTTCGCTTGTCGCTTGTCGCTTGTTCCTTGCACTTCCATACTTCCATGGGTGGAAGCTTCCGTGGGGATTCCAGAATTCCAGAATGGTTCGTCGTGGGACCTGACTCCATTATGAGGTCACGGGATGGACAGATCTTTTCGTATGTCTCATCTGTACCAAACTCCCTGTGTACATTGGAGATACGGAGTATGAAGCAGTTTCCTAATTAGTAACACCATACAATCCGAACCGTTGATGGTGATCATCCGACGTGTTGTTCCCATCTACAACCCTACAAACTCCAGTCTACCAGTCTACAATTACCTATCTACCGAACCTAGCGGCATGCGGACGGCTAATAGGATAGCTCATCGTCCTGAAACCAGGCTACCAGAGTTCGACCGGCAGCAACGCGGGAGAGGACCCATAAACAGAACAGCGGTCAGGACGGCCAAACCGCGGTGGAGTCCAGAGTGGAGGCTCCTCCACCCGAACAAGGAAGAAGGGTTTCGAAGGAAGAGTTGGTTTGGAGGATGATGTGATGGGTGTCTGCCACGTGGTGATACAGGGTTGAGGGTGGATTCATGATGTATTGTTGATTCGGTTTGTTTATGTGGGTACGTATCTAGGAGTACTGAGTACTCTAAAGGTATGTGTATACACGGCGGGATTGCTCAACAGTATTGCTCCTCTCAAAATCAGGGTGAGATAGCTCATCCGACCTATTTTTCAGTCGACGCTAACGATGCACCGAGCAAATGAGTGCCGGCCAATATTTGAGCCTTCATTTCGGCACTATTCAGGAGTCCTCATCGATGTCGCACACAAGACATACTCCTACTCCGTAGTCGTATCGCAGTGAATCCCGTGTCCCCCTTTTGGGAAGTTGCTAGACGCTTGTCCAGTCTGACATCAGCTCCATGTGACGCCTCATAAAAGGGGCATCGTCCATCTCTCGCAGAATAAGAATAGTAATGGAAAGGAGAGACGGCATAGGGGGCCTCCACCAGACCGATCAGACGCACTAGTAGGACCTTATCCATGGTAGGGTTAATGAGTTAATCTATTTGGACGAGCGACGGAGAGATGGTCGCCTCTCCGGGCGCAAAGAAGGGGGCGGAAAAGCGCTAGAAGGCTTCCAGAAGGATTCCAGAACGGCGCTAGAAGAAGGTTACGCTAGTACGGAGGGCCCCCGTAACGAGATAGACGAGAAGCAGTCGGTAAGGGATGGGTCAGTTTCGATTGCACTAATCAAACATTGTATGTGTCATATCGTATGAGACCTAGGTATTTACCTACTAAACTAACTAGGTAGTACGGTAGGTAAATCTGTTCTGGATGTTCAGAGACCAAGATTTTCTGGAAACAACTTCCGTCCTACTGCAAACGGAAGGAGACCTCAATTGTTTGAGTACTGTAGACAGCTAGTTGCTAGTGGCATTCTCCAGTGGCCTTCTGCCAGGCAGAAAGCTCCGAGCCACGCGTTCTCAGAGAGCCTGTTTCATCTGGAGACACACGTGGAGGATCTTCCGGAGGCGGTTACTGCGTATTACTGGTATCTGGGTATGGGCCGAGGGGTTTCTTACATACCGTATCATATGGAGGTATGGTATGGTCAGCTCTTCGCCTGTACTCCGTACGCGCTAGTCTCGGTCACTCCATGTCAATCATCATCCATGTGGCCGAAGATCAGCAGGATGCTTCCTCCATCTTCATCTTCTTTCATCTGTTCCTACTGTCTTCTTATTCTTGTTCGTGTTATTATCATCCTGATGAGAAAATGCCAACCCTCTAACAACAACACCCCTAGGTACCAGTACCATCTCCCGACGATGCAAGGGTGGGCGCTAATCCTTGCTTCCCACGCGAAAATCGCAATGGGTCATGGGGATCCACCGACAGGGATCCGAATGCAGTAAATGTGATGTGATTCCATGTGCCACTTTCTTCTCCAAGTCTCAGCGGAGTTTATTTGGTCGGTATCTCCGACACTTTATTGCCCGATCGGGTAACCCCTCCAACTTCACCCACCAGCCTAATCACATAGATCTACCCGAGTATACAGTATGCAGAGGTTGAAGAACCGCTCGTCTGGAGACAAATACATTAGTACTATCTATCATCCCTCCTCAAGTCTTGGACCATCGGCCTAGAACCCCGGACGATGCCCGTCGATGCCCCCGACAGGGATGTTCGATGGCATGGTCGCCTGCATCCCTTGTTTCATCCTCGCGATCGTCGCCAGGCCCGACAGATCCCTGCGACGAGGGGAACTTGACAGCTCTCTCTCTCTCTCTCCCCTATCTCGTATTGACACCAAGGCAAACGGCCGCCTTCAATGCCAGTGCACTACCCTCTATACGCCCCTCTACCATGCTCTTGCAGTCAAGAAGTAAGACTCCTTTCTTTCCCAGTGCAGCTGCCCTGCTGTCGGCCAACAATGACCTGACATCTCGCCATTCTGGAGACAATGGTATGCATTAGTGCGCAGACAGGTGCAATCCTGATTCGTCATCCAGTCCAGATGTCAGTTTATGTCAGTTTATGCCGGGAAAATCGGCGAGCCGGATGAGCACGTCTTGCCCTAAAGTACCTCACTACCTCTAGCCCAGGACGCTAACACCACCACCATCCATTTACAATCCCGGTCACAATCTATGGACTTACGTCGATACTACTAGACAGTGGGCGGACAGGTATCCGCTCTTCGCACTACGCCCATCGTCGCACACGCACACGCACGCGCACCCGTGAGCTCGTCCGACAGACTAACTAGACCGTCTCACACCGTCGGTACGTATCTTCCCCGCCCTGCCGACTTCCCCTCCATTACAGGTAGATCAGTTTATCCGACAAGCTGTCATCATTATTGTATGCATCTGCAAAGGCATCCACTAGCCTCTTCCATATCCCAAGCTCCTCCGATCACGGATCGACCATCGGCTGGACTAGATCCTGGCGCATGTGCCCGTCACACCCGCACGCTATGTATTGCTTCCTTACACGACATGAGCAAATTATACTAGTAGAAGTATATAGAGGTCGCAAGGGCGCACCAACACGGAGGACTGCCGTCTGGACTCCGGTAACTTCACGCCCAATGCTCCCACAGCGTAATACAACTAGCTCAACAGAAACCCCACCTCGTCGTAGCTCCCATCATCCTGCAGAGCTCCGGATGCGGGACATCGCAAATGCCCCGAGAGCGCCATCCCCGCACGACGCACATGCAACACACAGCCGTCTGTACGACGAAACTCACCCATCCCGCCACCACTTCCCCAGGGATCCGCCCGACCCAGCCATCTCAACCACCTCCTCGAAGCTGATTTCCACCCGGAACATCCGTCCATCGGCCGTCCCACTGCCGCCCCCGACCGCACTGATCAGCCCCCAGCTCACCAACTTCTCCCACGCCTCGCGCGCCACATCCCTGCCCCAGACGCGTCCCGGCGTGGCCGCCGCGCCGGAGATCGACGCCGACGTCTTCGCCGACGTCAACAGCCGCACGTACTCCGCGTACGCGGCCGGGAACGACAGCGCCAGCGGCGCGAGGCTGGTCGGCTGCGCTGACTCGGCGCTGGGATCGTACAGCGCCGCGAGACGGGTCGCCGCAAGCAGCAGCGAGAGGGGCAGCGAGGACGGACTGGCGGAGACGGTCGTGGCGGCGGAGAAGGGAAGCGGCGCAGGGTCTGGACAGGAGAGGCTTTGGGTGCTGAACGTGGCTGCTGTGGGGACCTGGAGGGATGGCACGTCATCGTAGGCGCTGTAGTGGAACTCCGTCAGCGCAATCAGCGCGCTCGTGAAGAATTCCTTGACCGATTTCGTCTGGCTGTATATCCGGTGGAGGTGGGACTGGAATGCATCGTCGATCCAGAGACCCTGTTGCGAGATCAGTCCATGTCGGACGAGGGACTGTGATTGGGCTTCTTACCTGCAGATAAGCTCTCCACCCTCGGACGAGCCTGTTCCAGCCCTCAGACTCGACGGTGGCGCGCACCCCCAAATCGGCGTCTTCCATCAGCCCCGTAAGCTCGTCATCGTCCAGGTTCAGCCCCGCGTGGCATATTTCCGAAAATGTATCAAAGGTCCGCGGAAGCGGGACGAACACGTAACGATGGCTGAACCGGCTCTTCACGCGCTTTTCCAGCATTTCCGTCACGTCCACTTTCGTCGTCAGTCCCAGCACCGCGACCGGGGCCTTCCGGGCTTGTGCGATGTCGAACAAGTTGTACAGCAGAGTTTGGCGGGGATGCGTGACAAACAGGTCGAATTCGTCGAGAATGATAACCACCGATTTGGCCGCCGTTATTGCCCCCGGATGGCTGGGCGCACCAAAGAGCTCCTCCGGGTGAGACAGCAGAGCGAGGAGGGTAGACATCGTATCCGCGTAGTTGGTCACTTTGCCAGCTTCTTCCTCGGTGTTGGTTTCCCGCCCAAGCTGTCGCCACGTCTCGCGGAGGGCTAGCCGGTCATCTGTATGGAGGAAGCCATTGAGACGGACGACGTGGAAATCGTCCCTATGCGTTCGGGCTAGAGACGAGAGGACGCTCTCGACTATTGCAGTCTTACCACATCCTCGAGCCCCGAGGAGCAGCATAGAATTCCCCTCCCCGACAGTGACTGTTTGCTCGATGAGTTGGTAGACCTTTTGGTATTCGTTCTCCAGGCCTTTCAGAGGCACCGGGCGCTTCCCGTTAAGCTTGTCCAGTACAATCCCACTCAACGCTTGCACCTCTTGTGTCAGCCCGTCCTGAGCCAGAGCCCGGAATGTCTCTCCGTAGGCAGGCAGCGCGTCGTCGGTCGGTACATCCCCGTCCCTCGGTTCCGCGTCTTGCGGCAAAAGATCCTGCTGCAGCTGCTTCGACACGAGGTCGTCCAAGCCATCCTGGTAATCATCCGGCGAGGGAGACTGCCTCTCGTTTCCGCCCGCAGATGCATGTCCGTTGGTTTCAGTCTTCGGGGCACTCTTTGCGGTGGACCGCGTAGATCTCGTACGGGTGACCCGTCGCTGCGGTGGCGGCGTCGCCTCATATTCTTCCTCCGACTCTGTAACAGGTGTTTCCGTCTCCTGTCTTGTCGTCTTCCTCCGCGAGCTTCTCCGTGTGGCGCTGCTTGGTCCGGATGTTGCGGTGGACCTCCTTGATGGGGTATACGTCGCGTCGTCATCGAGTCTCTGGGGCTGTTTGCGCTGTCGCGCACTCGACCGTAGTCCAGATCTCGAGGGGGTGTGATTGTTGTCTTCTTGAATTTGCGGCGTCGGGGATGCGGACGGCCCGGAGCCGGTATCTTGGGTATCTTCGCCCATTGCGATGTCGCCGTCTTCGTCTACATCCTGTGCGTCGGAAACTCTTCTCCGCTTGCCGGCGCGCGGGTCTTTCATGGTGCTTGTGTTTATATTGAGTGCGCTCGTTGCGTCAATGCGTCTCGGTCAGGTTGTGGTGTTATGCGCTTCGTGATGGCCGGTCCAGAGACGTAGGTAGATAATTGATGTAGTCTAGTTGGGGGCTGTAGTTCTTCGGGCCCAATGGCATTAATAGCGTGCGCAAGGTCGTCAAATCATGGGCACAACAGTGCGGCGAGGAGCGAGTAGAAAAGAGGAACCTAAGTAAGAATGTGTTAGGCAATGGAATATACACTGCAGTGCAAATACAGATCGTAAGGAGGCTCAAATACACTTACAAGGAGAAGGACGTAGAAGATGGGAGGTTGTTGGTGGACTGGAGATGATGTCTTCCATGATATTTATTTGAAGTCCGGCAGGGCTCGTCTCATGCCTGAGGCAGAAACAGAACGCGAAGTCAGGTGAGATCACATGGCATGCCATACGGAGTACAATCGAAAGGCATCATCTTCATGTCCTTGGGCCAGATATGAATCTAGACATAGAACGATCTCTGACTCTTGGTAAGTGGGCTTGCCATGTCTAGGACCAACCTTACCTAGTCGTGGAGGGTGCAGTGTCCATGGTCCGAAGCGGAATATATACATCTGCATCAAGACCGACTGAATAGATTCAAATTAACGAATGCAGACACAAGACATCTAACAGAGACAAACAAACTGATGGGTAGGTATACAATATCGCCAGGAAAAGGCAGAGGAGATCTCCTATTCGCGACTAACTGATCACTCGCATCCATCAACCTCGGCTATCGCCGACGGTCATATATACGAACGCATCCTCCGCTGACCTCTCCCACTCACTCATAGACCATACTCTCGACAGAACTTCCTAGCTCACCCAATACACACCCCATTCAAGATGCCCAAAATTCGCGCCCCATCCAGACAGCTGGATGAATTCGAGCAACGCGTATACTACTTTAGCGCCCGCATGGAATGGCAAGACGAAGTACGTTTCATTCCAAACCCCCTTCCCCCACGACAATAAGACACCACTAACACAACAAACCATCCACCAGCACTGGGACATCGACGGCGACGCCTGTAATCTCCGCTTCGAGTCCGCCACGCGCAGCCCCCGCCCGCAGGTGTCGTTCCTCTTCAACGTCGCCCCCAAGATGTGCAACTTCATAGGCAACATCCACGGCGGCTGCGCCGCGACCATGATCGACGTCCTCTCCACCACCATCCTCCTGGCCATCGGCGAGCCGGGCAAGTTCTCGCTCGGCGGGGTGTCGCGCCATCTCAACGTGACGTATCTGCGTCCCGTGCCGCATGGCACGGAGGCGCGGCTGACCTGTGAACTCGTCCATGTTGGCCGTCGGCTGGCGCTGCTCAAGGCGGAGATTTCCCGCGTCGATAACGGCGATGTGTGTATTGTCGGTGAGCATGAGAAGGCGAATACCGATCCCGAGGCCGGGGGGAAGGTATAGTCTATTTTTTCTTGTTTGGTTTCTAGCCTGGTTTGGGGGATGGCTCGATTTGATAGATACCTGCTGTATGGATAGACTAGAGCTGTCGCCTTGGTATAAACGGGCGTGTATATAGTTGGTTCTACGCTTGGGCGAGTCTATCAACCGCCTCATCAAAGTCCTTCAAGAACGTCCACAGTGTCTGCTCGCGCCAGTTCTTCCTCTTCCAGTCGTTCGCGGACAGCGGGAACAGATCCACAGTTCCGAAGAGACTCGGATCGTGCGCATAGACAAACCACACGTTGTCGCTGGCGTCGGCGTCCTGCGCCTTGCCAATCGATGCGATTGTTTGTTCCATATCTAGTCCGATAGCGGGCTCGAAGAACGGCTCGTCCACCGATCGTCCGCGGCTAGTCAAGAGTCTCTCATACATGGCGCCGGGACATGGCAGTCGGACGACAGGAGAGCGTTGTGGAATCTCTGCCGGTATGCGTAGATATTTTGACGGTCTGATCTCTCCGCTGTAATGGCATAGATCTCCACCCATGAAGACGAACGTATCGGGATTGATTGTCGTCCGTGCGAGTCCGCTCAAATGGCCTACGGCGTGCCCCGGTGTGTCTAGGATATAGAACGATCCATCGCCGAAGAGGTCGTGAGCTCTGAATTGGCCGACTTGGGTGGCCCCCGTGAAATCGATTTCTTGTAATGACCGCCCTCTAGACACAATCAGCTGTGTTCTTGGTTTGTTAGTAGTAGAGCACGCACGCGAAGTCGCTCTCACGCACTGGAGAGTCGGGTTTCGAGGGATATCCCGGCAAGAACTCCTTTTTGAAACCAGGACCAACAATCAACTCTGTCGAATGGGGAAACTTTGACGGGTCCCCTAGGTGGTCCCAGTGCCAATGACTGCATCGTGTGTTAGAAGTCCTTGAAAGAATCCATTGTCACAGCCAGCAGTTACCTCCAGATGATACTCGAAATCTGACACGGCGCGAGCCCATTCTCCTCGAGAATATCGATAACGTCCTTGTCGACACTGACCTCCCATCCCTGACGTTCCAGGTGCTTCGTGACGGTTGGAGAAAACGCATGATAGTCCTTAGAAACCCCCAAATCAAAAAGGACTTTTCTTCCCGAGGCATGTTCGATGAGAAAAGACCATGCTGGGAGGACCGGCATATACTGCAGACCGTGAACGGGTGGCTTCATGAGAAAGTTTGCAGGCAACTTGCCGATTCTTGTGGTCGAATCGATGATCCGGACCTGCACAGTTTGTGTGCCTGCTGTCACGATGAAATTGGGGCCGGTCATAGTTACAGTAAACTGCAAGCTATGTGGTGATCCCAGTCTATATCCCGTCAGAATATACGCAGGGACTTGGTGATGCTTCTCCGGAGGTCGCTGGTGGCCAGGATGTGATGACAACAACGGCATGTGCAGGCCCAGAGAGGATATTGAGTCGCAGAATGTAGAATGGTGGCAGCATGGTGGAATCCTGTTTGTACGAAGGATTCAACCACGGCTCATTGTGGATCGACGATGCGGGGAAAACTGATGGAGTCCTTATCAACCCCATTCTTGTCTTCATCTAGTATACCCATGAGCTGACCAAGGTGGAGGGAACTTATGGTGGAACGGCCATAGACGCTGGTATAAAGCGTCACCACAAGACGTTTGTATAAAGCAGCGTGAATTGTTAGAGACAGCTTGCATATTAACATTGTAGACAACACAACTATAGACAGCACAAGACGGAAATCTGTCGGGTCTTTTCTCAACGTGTATGCACTTCTACTCGACATTACCGGGTAGCCAACGACCAAGGAGCGTAGAATGTCCAAAGATGGCCGGTTTAATGAGGGTGGACAAGCAAAGCCCAAGAAAATTCATGGCGGATCAAAACATCCAGTAACGGTTTATTACTTAACTCTCCATTGCATCAGAGGATCGCATCTACTCCTGTGCGAGCTGCTGGTCCTCGCGGAGACCCTCCACAACCAGCTCTTCACCAGTCGCCCGCTTGTAGATGTCGCGCACATCGTCTGGAGTAGGTTAGTAAACACAGTTAAATAACGGACCCGGAACGGATACTCACCAGTCGTAGTCTCAAAGTGAGAGGTGGCATCGTAGCTCTTAGAGATGAAGATGTTGTCCTTCTCGCCGCTCTCCAGAGGCTCGTAGATCGGGATCGGAGGGCCGAAGAACTTCTCCTCGATAGCTCCAAGACGCTCGAAACCAGGCTCGAGCTCCAGGTGGTGGTTGGCATCACCCTCAGCGATGGTGGAGACAATCGCGATGTAGTAACCCTTGGGGCATACGTTGTGTGCAGACGAAACCATGGCGATGTAGATATCTAACGTATGTTAGTGATGCTCTTCACCTTCAGATGTCAGTACTCACCATGCTTCCGTCCGACCTGCGACTGGGGGATAATCAGCTGCAGCGAATCGCTGCCATCCGTCTTGTCAATGGGGTGCTTCAGGATGCAGATGGCCTTGAGCAAGTAGCCAGTCACCCGGACCTTGCCCGGGAAGTAAGACGGGTCGGCCAGGATCTTCTTAGTCTTGGTCGTGAACTTCATGGTCTCGCCGTTGTCGTCACGGTCCTTCATGGTGGCCTTGATTCCAGAGACCTTGCCGCTCTCGTCGTAGAGAACCTCGTCGATGCTGGTGTTGAGCATGTAGGTACCTCCATAGATAGCAGACAGACGGGCGAAACCCTGGGGAAGTTCACCAAGACCGTACAGCGGGTAGATATAAGGAGACTTGCCGTACCGAGCCATGGAGTTCACGTACAGGCGAATCCGGTTGATGGCGTCGGGAGCCATGCCAGACTTTTCAACGTATTCATCGGACTGGTAGAGGGCCATCGAGTGACCAACGAAGTCCCGGGTGTTCGGCTCCAGTCCGAACTTGTCGTAGACGTCCTTCATGGAACACTTAGAGATATCAAGTCCTGAATGACGTTAACCGCTGAACCTGATATAGTGGTTTGAGGATGTGCTAAACGAACCCGAATGAGTCGCGGGGTCTTCCTCCTTGAATTCGCCCACCCACTCCAGGAACTTCTTAGCCCGTCGCTTCTCGAACATGCCCATCAGGGAGGAGCGCAGAGCTTCACCCGCGTCGGAGGGCACCTTCGCCACCGTAGCCTTGGGTCCCTTGCCTTGCTGGACATAGCTGCCGGCAATCTGCTTAAATTCCAAGTATCTTGTGACATCGGTGGAGACCAGGATATTCGTCAGCTCGCCGTTGGCCATCAGGAGCTTCGGGACCAGATCGATGTTCCAGTCGTTGACACGACCATATTTCTTCCAAGGTTCCTCGCCGGGGGGAACGTTGCCGTATTTCTTGAACAGCTACAGAGGAGTAGTCTATTAGTAACGTCGAATAATGCGAAATTGTATCTGACAGATCTCAGCACTCACCGTTTCGATATTCACGGACGCAGCCTCGCTATAGAACGGGTTAGTGGGGATGGATGAGTTCCGCGGGTCGGATGTGTAATGTAACTCACCCTCCATAGTGATCATTGCGATCGATGTGGAGGACCTTGTTTCCCTTGACACTCAGAACACTACACCCAGTTAATAATTAGAACAAACCGTAGATGGAGCTTCAAGGAGAGTCATACCCGGAAAGAACACACTCGGTCAAACCTGAGGAGGGGCAGTGGTGTTAGCACAGCACGACAGCTGCAGATGGACGACGGCGGGGTAGCAACATACCAGTGCCGAGCACGACAACATCATATTCGGGGGCAATCTCTTCCATGGTGGAAATGGAAAGTGATGCAGGGACGATGACAGAGAAGGAGGTGGACTGGACGAACAGACAGTAAACAAGTAAGGTTGACGCAAGAGAGAATAATGCAGGAGGGAAAAGGTGGGAGGATGCGGAGTCGGTGAGGAAGTCGTTTTGGGCGGCTGAGGGGGTGGGAAAAGGGAGCTTAGAGGAGGTACTTAGGAGTGACCTAGCCTCCCCGCGGATCATGGGCTGTCAGGGAGGTCACTGATTGGTATTGCTACCCGCTGAGGATCCACTGCGGCCACATCAATAAATAAGAAGACCTCCGGTTGAGTGTCTATTACTAGTTAATATTTGGATAAATTTTAATATGGTATGGGGACATCGCATATATGGATCTTTACCCCTGAAGAACTGTCTCCCCCTTTTGCGCGCTCTTTGCTTGTAACGGAGTATACAAGATGAAGATTACCCCCTAATTCAGGAGACATTGCGTACGTACACGAGAACTGACAGCCATCAGCCCACTCATCCAACAAACAATAAATGAGCCACGAGGTAATAGTGCTGAACGACAGCACAATAGTAGATTTATAGTTCCATCGCAGACCGATGTCTCCCTGCTACATTCGCCTACGCTATCTCCATCACCTCTTATTCAAATCAATATGTTGGATTGCTCTAGACTAATACACAAAATAATACAACCACTAGTACTACATACAGCGAATAGGTAGGTACAATAGAAAAGCACCCATCGGAGATATAAGCCCGTTCAAGATGAGCTAGCGTGGAGCTCGGGCGGCATCTCAATGCGTCTATTCCTCATCCTGAGGTCGGTATCCATCCTTGTAAAGCTTCTGCGCATCCTCCCAGGCGTACCATCTCTCCCGGAGAACGTGCTTGATACCGTTTTGCGTAACGCGGATCTAGATTCACCCGCGGTATTAGGTCAATTGTCAAACTACTCTGGGGTCTTGCTACTCACCACTCGGTCCCGCTCAGAAGACTCATATTCACCATATCCCGCCTTCAGACGCTCTCTCTCCAGATTGGAAGTGGCTATCCGATTGCGTTCCTTCACACAGACCCACCACAGGGCATGGAGATCTTCCCAGGATTTCTCGCGCAGTTCCTGGATAGACCACGAGCGGCCTGAAGATCACGCGTCAGCTAATTTCCGTGTTGGCTTTAGATACATTATGGGTTGTCGAGACGAACCGTGTGCGTGGTCATATTCCGGAGTGCTCAGGGCCTGACGATCTTTGGGGAAGAATCCCCAGAGTCCGTGGTCCGGGGTCGGGTTGCGCTTTTCGAGAGCCTCCGGGGAGACAGGCTTGGGCAATGGGTACTTCGAGACGCCAAGCTTGAACTTCGGACCGGTGCGATGGATCGCAGAGACACCACGAGACTTGCTCAGGTCACGTCCATGGCCAGCGACGGGGGTTGTTGAGGAAAAGTTGGAAGACTGCACAGGCGACCGAATCAGGGAGAAATGGAGGGAGGGAGCGAGATAAGGAGGAGGCAATTCGACCAGCGGAAGGCCCCCAGCTTGGCGAGCGAGTCGCAGGACCGAATGACGATGCATCGCGAACGGATGGTAGCCTTTACCGGGAGACTGTGAAAGGCCGGAGATGTGCCTTTTTGCGGATGTCGGAGTCGACTTTTTTGGGGCGGCTAGATCACGTGGGAAGTGCCGCGGGTGTCAGTGTTACCTCGATTTATGCCCCGCCAGCCGCCATGCAAGGCAGTTAAACTGGATGATACAAGCATTATGCTTGCATATGTGGGCGTTCCCATAAGCTAGAAAAGATACGTTTGTGTTCGTGGCATACGCGAATAGGAGAGCACAGCAACCTGCGACAGGCCGCCCAGTAGGTATACAGCCTCACACGCAACGTATATTCAGAGGTAATTCTCATATACATTCAATAAGCCAAGAATGCACTATATAAAATAGCCGTATACAACTATCTTCTAACTAATAGCATGCGTCTTTCTTAACATGGCCTAATGCAGTAAGTTGGGGGAAGAATGGCGGCTACCATGGCCCGTGCACAGTCAGCAAGCGCGCGGTTGCAGCCACTCCACCTCCATTATCCGTCGCAATCAGATGTGGGTTCAGATCCTGGAAGCACCAAGTTGCCTCGACGTCTCTGCACCTCTCTATTGTGCTAACTTTCCATATCCTACTATCCGAGCCTCCTCAATCTGTTTTTAGCTTCCTGGAGCTTCTTTCCATCATGAACAGGCCAGGTGGGTGAATTTCCTCGCTTCCTTCTGTGCGACGAAGTGGCTCGGCATGGCACAGGCCTTCCTCATGACCTGCGGTGGTGATCGATCGTCTGTCCAAAATATGTGGAAGACGGATCCTGTGGTGGCCATTCTTTTTGCACTGGAGAATGTCTCTTTTCTTCGATCTTCGTTTTACCCGTCAATTCTAAAAACACACTTCGATGGTCACCATCTGCGGCTCAACGCCATTATGAGAGACCTTCTTTTGAACCTCGTCGATGCGGTCGCTGAGCCCGGACGAACTTCATACAAGTTTTCTTTTTTTGCAGAGTTGCTAACTTTCACCGTCATCAACTAGGTCCAGGCCCACAACCTGTTCGGGGTATGACCGGTTTCGCCGCTCAACAACAAGCACAAGCTCGCAATGCGTCGTTAGCTTCAGCACGTTTGCCGAACGGGAAAATTGGTGCGCTCACGGACCTTAAGCGACGTTATATTGAAGCAAGGACGCTGACAAGGGGGGATCGACAGGGAGCGGAACCAACTGGAACTTCAACATCCCCGTAAGCGGAACACCAGGAATTCAAAGCAACCAACAACGCAATATCGGAAACATGGGAACTTTCGCGCAGAGCCTGGGCGGATCGCAACCCGCTACGCCTCTCGACCTCTCGTAAGTGCTGTCGTGTTGCTCCAGGCTAGGAAATTGATCGTTCCGTCCGATCACACCGAATGCTGATGATTGCCTGATCTAGTGATTTCCCTTCCCTATCTGGAGCGCCTTCTCAATCGCAAGCTCAAAATCAGAGCCACCTAGTTTGGGCGAATGCAAGCCAACGTGCAATGCAACAGACGCCGGTTCAAAGACAACAGCATCCGACTTCTCAAGCGCCGTCCCGAGCGGGTCAAACACCATCCCACCTCCAACAACAATCTCAGCCTTCGCAAGACGACGTGTTCCCGTCCGGTGCCCAATTTGCCAATCGTTTAGACGACTTCCGAAACGGGGGACAGGGTATCAGCGGTCAATTAGGAGCGGGCTCACAACCGCAGACAGGCAATATTGACGAGTTTCCCCCACTGGGTCGGAATGTCGCTGCGGACTTGAGCCAGGACCGTAGGGGGTCTTTGATGCAACATACAGGCTTCGGAAGTTACAGTGCTGGCGTAGGACTCACCGGTGCGAGCCAGGCTCAGTCCGTACAGAGTCGCAGCATGGTCTCCGCGTCGGTGAATGGGCAGGAGAGGATAATGTCGCCTGCAAACGCAGGATCAGGAGGTAAAGTGGAGCGCCGCTACCTCCATTCAGGGCCGTGCTCACTGACTCCGCTCAGGTATCGGAACGTCTCGGTCCCCTGTTAACCAGCCGTCGAATGGACTTCCCGGACAGGAGAAAGAGGTTCGGATACAGTCCACCCCCGCTTATGGAAATGTCTCAGGCTAATGTGAACCAGGACTTGAGCAGCGCCATCATGTCACAGCAGCAACAATTACAGCAACAAGCCGGCAGTGGGGATGCGCAGGAAGCTGGGACGACACAAAGTGCCGAGCAACCTCCTATGGCTGAGATGAGCGAACTGGACAAGTTCGGCCTCGCTGGTCTCCTTAGCATGATCCATAGTGACAGCCCCGATGTCGCAAGCCTTGCTGTCGGCCAGGACTTGATGACCTTGGGCCTCGATCTCAACCAGCCAGAGTAAGTGTTTTGTGCTCATGGTGCCCAAGACAGTGTCTTTTTCTGACCGCGCACCTGCTACAGACCTCTCCACACGTCCTTCGCTTCGCCTTTTGTTGCCTCGGTCACCGGTGTCCCACTAGAGCAGGACTTTGCTTTGCCGTCGTGCTACAACGTGGCTAATATCCAACCTCTCCAATCTCGCGTTACTAGCTTCAGCGATGAGACGTTGTTCTACATATTCTACAGCATGCCTCGAGATATAATGCAGGAAGTTGTCGCAGAAGAGTTGATGGGCCGCAAGTGGAGATACCACAAGATGGAGAGATGCTGGCTCACTCGTGACGAGACGTATCCGGGTCCTGTCGACGTTGAACGTGGTGTCAGCGAACGAGGTGTTTACCTCCTTTGGGACCCGGCCAATTGGAAGAAGGTTCGGGTATGTTACGCAAAACACCTATCAACTGGAATGCCTCCATCATAAAACTAACCGTCGTCGATACAGCGCGAATTCATTCTTCGTTATGAAGACTTGGACAACCGAATGGATCCCAACCGAGGACTTACGCGTGTTGGATTTCCGCATGGTTCATGAATATCCGAGAAGAACATAAGATAATGGGATCAGCAAAGGCGTTTGGTTTTCCGCGCATTGGCGGACGGTCGTTCAGGTGTTGCCAGTCTAGCTGAGCAGCAAGGTGTTTCTGAACTTTAGTGGTATCTATGGGAAAGTAGGATATTCGCTGAATTCAATGACTTTGATGATCTTGTCACATTGCTTTGATGAATGTACGGGCTGGGTTGTTCGAATAGAACATAGATGTATGTGGTTCAAAAAAGCTAGATCATACACAACCGGAGCTTTACCTTGGGAGTCCATCCAAAGAGAGAACAAATCAGCATGGCTTCCGTGCAGTCGCAATAATAACCCTTGGTTCCACTGGAACGTCATCACTTGCGCCATATTTATCGTCAAGGTACTGTTGCAAAGCTGTTGGGATATGCTTCTCATGTTTTGCCCTCTGTTCGTCAGTCCAGAAACGACCCAGAATCACAGGAAGCATTGGTTTGATGAGTTCCACCAACGTAGATTTAGGCAGCGATAGCTTCTGAGAAACAGTTGCCACCTGAACCATATCAAATCCCTCTTGCTCCAGCTTTACACGGGTCGGTTCTTCAGAATCCCATCCCTCATTGAGCGATGCAAGAAACTCCTTCACGGTAGGGAAGGGCAGGTCTCCAGGCATGGCCTCGACCGCGGATTTGGCAATTACTAACCACTCGGCTGGAAACGTCAGTATGTATATGTCATGCGACGGAGATGGCGAAACATACGCAGTTGCCAGTTCGATATCGCAACTGTACCGCCTGGTTGGAGAATTCTCAAGCATTCTAGAAGGTGCATTAGCATTGATCGAAAGATAAGACAGTAGTCAGCCGCAGTAATACCTTTCAAAGCAGCACTAGGATTCGGAAGTCCAACAAGGGCTGACGATGCGGGATCACGCAAGTCAGTGGCGTATACCTTACAACGACTATATCTGAGTGCGACTCACCAAATGCGGCAAAGATATGGGTAAAGTGGCTGCTTGGAAGCTTGGTGTCTTGCGCGTCTACCAATTGTGCCTTTGCCCTGGGCCATCCTTCGTCCTGGATTCGCTGGTTCACGTATTGGACCAGGCTATCTGAGATGTCGCCACAGGTCAGCTCCCAATGACCTTTAGTTTGGGAGTCCAATGAGCGGTTTAGGGCCTCCGAAATGATGCCTGTTCCGCATGCATTGTCAAGAATGACCAGAGGACGCTGGGTGCTCTGGACCACGCCAGAGTAGTCGACGAGGAGCTGGGCGAATGGTCCGGTAACAAGCTCAGCAAGCTTGTAGCCAGAGGCAAACTCCTTGCTCAGGAAAAGATTCATCAATTCTTGCTTGGCCATGTTGCTGGGGACTGAAAAGTTAAGGAAGACGGAATTTATGGATTTATCTTCAAGCCAATATCTCTGGTCCTGGAGAGTTGAGACCTCTCTGCACAAGTGTAAAACACAATTTTATCAGGAAGATGGCAAAATATGGATCTGGAGGAAGAAGCTGCGGATTTTATACCATAGATGAGGTCCATGCTGACAGTCAAAAAGTGTCCGAGAAGTCTCCGCAGTGGCTACCTTGAAGTTGAACGAATGTTATCTCCGAGCGATAGTAGCCTAAAGATCGTATAGTGAGTAAGGACCCTCGGAGAAGCCTGTATGATGGCGCGATTTTGGATCTGATCTGTACATAGTGAGAAGTTGTGAACTATACAGGCATGCCCATCCAGGCTGTATGACGTGCTGTCTCTTCTGTAAAGCGATATATGCGAATCGATACACTAGGCAACTCAAAATCCCTGGATCTACACGTAGCCAATAAGGGCATACAGATACAGAAACCGCAATGAAGACATGCTGAACCTAGAAGTTGATTACAGTACATTGTCTCTCGCCATCAAAGGCCATGTCACGTGCCGCATACCCCGCCTGCTTACTTCATCTCCTCCGAAGCCAAACCTAAAGCGGCAATCCATAAACACCTGATCGCACCGGCAAAACAACCGCGCCCGCCAAACAATCCGCAAGCCGCTCCGACATCTCGTTTTGACAGTCTCCCGACCTCCCTGCCTCGTCTCATGCACGCAATTCCCTAGTTGATGGGGTTGGATTGGAGTCGCAATCATGCGGATTACCGAGATCGTTATTGACGTGAGTTCCTGCTTGGTAATCTGCCTTTTGACAGCGACAGTGCTAATGCTGGGGTGACAGGGTTTCAAATCGTACGCCGTGCGTACGGTCATCGGAGGATGGTACGCTTTTCTGGATTCCCCATGTTCACCAAATATAATTCACCACGGAAAACGCTTTGGACCCCGGTGACTGCGACGAGACAACCGTGATGCTAATTAACATGTGTCTCAGGGATGAATCATTCAACTCGATCACTGGCCTTAACGGCAGTGGAAAATCCAACATTCTCGACGCCATCTGTTTTGTTCTCGGAATTACGAACATGAGCACCGTTCGTGCTCAGAACCTTCAGGATCTCATTTACAAGCGTGGCCAAGCGGGCGTCACCAAAGCCAGTGTGACCATCGTTTTCGACAACCGTGATACAGCCAAATCGCCGATCGGTTTCGAGGAATATGCAACCATCTCCGTCACTCGCCAGATTGTTCTCGGCGGCACAAGCAAATACCTGATCAACGGCCACCGGGCGCAGCAGCAGACCGTGCAAAACCTATTCCAGAGTGTCCAACTGAACATCAACAACCCCAACTTCTTGATTATGCAGGGTCGGATTACCAAGGTCTTGAACATGAAAGCTGTCGAAATTTTGTCCATGATCGAGGAAGCTGCAGGTACGCGAATGTTCGAGGATCGAAGGGAAAAAGCTGTCAAGACAATGGGGAAGAAGGAGTTGAAACTGCGTGAGATCGAGGAGCTGCTGAAGGAAGAAATTGAGCCCAAGCTCGAGAAACTGAGGTCGGAGAAGCGTGCATTTCTTGATTTCCAGCAGACTCAGAATGATCTCGAGCGTTTGACGCGCTTGGTGGTTGCCCACGACTATCTTCGGAGTGGTGAGCGACTACGGGTGACCGGCGAGGAGTGTGAGAACAAGAGACGCAAAGTGCAGGCCCTCGAGGACAATGCGACCAAGCTGAAGAGCGAGATCGCTCATCTGGAGGAAGATGTGAAGCGGGTCCGTGCTGCGCGGGACAAGGAACTGCGGAAGGGAGGCAAATTCCAGGCTCTTGAAGATGAGGTCAAGAACCACTCCCATGAACTTGTTCGTTTGACAACGGTCTTCGATTTGAAGAAGGCTAGCATTGCCGAAGAGAAGGAGAAGCACAAAGAAGTGCAGAAGACCGTGCACGACTTGGAAAAACTTCTCAAGGAAAAGAAGAAGATCTACGATAAGCTGCAAGCACAGTACGATGCCGCTAAGGCTGAACTTGACGCTCAGACGGCCGAAGTGGAGCAGAAAGAGGAACTGCTGCAGACTCTGCAGACCGGTGTTGCGTCAAAAGAGGGCCAAGAGAGCGGATACCAAGGCCAGCTGCAGGATGCTCGTAACCGTGCCAGTACGGCGGCCACGGAGCAGGAACAAGCCAAACTTAAGATCGCCCACCTCGAAAAGAGAATCAAAGAAGAGGAACCCCGCGCAAAGAAAGCGAAAGAGCAGAACTCAGGACTCTTGAAGGATCTGGAAGGATTGAAATCCCAAGCCAAGAAGCTTGAATCGGAGCTTACGAGGCTCGGTTTTGAACCCGGAAGAGAGGACCAGCTCTACCAGGAACAAACAAGCCTGCAGAAGGAGATCCGTGAGTTGCGCCAGAGGGCCGACGCACTTCAGCGGAAGGTAGCGAACATCGACTTTAACTACTCCGATCCCTACCCGAACTTTGATCGGTCGAAGGTCAAGGGCCTAGTCGCGCAGCTTTTCACATTGGACAAGGAGAAGCTCGAAGCCGCAACCGCGCTCGAAATTTGTGCTGGTGGGCGGCTGTATAACGTGGTGGTTGACACTGCGGAAACCGGTACCCAACTGCTTCAGAAGGGAAAACTACGAAAGCGAGTGACGATCATCCCCTTAAACAAAATTTCGTCCTTCAGAGCCTCTGCAGAGAAGATTGGCGCGGCGCAGAAGATTGCCCCTGGAAAGGTTGACCTGGCTTTGTCCCTCATTGGTTACGACGACGAAGTTACGGCGGCAATGAACTATGTGTTCGGCAACACCCTCATTTGCAATGATGCAGACACCGCCAAGAGGGTCACCTTCGACCCATCGGTTCGGATCAAGAGCGTCACGCTTGATGGAGATGTCTACGACCCTTCCGGCACTCTGTCCGGTGGTAGCTCGCCGAACTCTAGTGGGGTGCTTGTGACTCTGCAGAAGCTGAATGAGATCACTCGGGAAATCAGGAGTAAGGAGCGGGTCCTGGCATCCATTGAGGAGACTATGAGAAAGGAGAAGAAGAAACTCGATGCGGTCCGTTCGATCAAGCAGGAGCTGGATCTGAAGACCCACGAGATCAAACTCACCGAGGAGCAGATTAGCGGTAACTCATCCTCCTCGGTAAGTCACCCATGCCCACATGTCTGAGGTACAGTACTGATCCATTTTAGATCATCCAAGCTGTGGAAGAGATGAAAGCGAACATCGAACAGCTCAAGCAAGACATTTCTGACGCAAAAGCGCGCCAGAGCGAAGCATCCAAGGATATCAAGCGGATCGAGAAGGATATGAGTGAATTTAACGATAACAAGGATAGCAAGCTCGCGGAACTGCAGTCGTCTTTGGACTCCCTCAAGAAGAGTCTTACCAAAAATTCGAACTCGGTCAAGACTCTTCAGAAAGAGCTGCAGAATTCTCGACTTGAATCTGAGCAAGTTGGCAGCGACCTGTCGGCTGCGGAGGAACAGAACGCTGAGGCCGAGAGCACTTTGAAAGCCCAGATGGAGGAAATCGAATCCTTGAAAAGGGAGCAAGCTCGCATCAAGGTTTGTTTACAAACATTCCTTTGTATAATTTCTACTAACCTCTATATGTAGGATGCCCACGACATCTCTCAGGCGCATCTTGAAGATGAACGAGCCAAACTGACTGGTTTTGATGACGAGCTGCGAGAGCTTGAGGAGACTATGAAATCCAAGAACTCTCAAATCACCGAAGAGGGCCTTGAGATGCAGAAGCTGGGCCACCAGCTTGAGAAGCTGCAAAAAGAACAACATGCCGCCGCGCAGACGGTTGCGCATATGGAGGAGGAGCATGAATGGATCGCTGACGAGAAGGACAACTTTGGCCGGCCCAATACTGCGTATGACTTCAAGAATCAGAATATCGCAGAATGCCGGGCTACGCTGCGCAACGTTACCGAGCGATTCCAGGGCATGAAGAAGAAGATCAACCCCAAGGTCATGAACATGATCGACAGCGTGGAGAAGAAGGAGGCCGCCTTGAAGAACATGATGAAGACGGTCATCCGCGACAAGCGCAAGATTGAAGAAACCATCATCAACCTGAACGAGTACAAGAAAGAGGCGCTGCACAAGACATGGACAAAGGTCAATGCCGACTTTGGACAGATCTTTGCTGAGCTTCTTCCGGGCAGCTTTGCCAAGTTGGATCCTCCCGAGGGTAAGGATATTACCGACGGATTGGAAGTGAAGGTGTCTCTAGGCAAGGTCTGGAAGCAGAGCTTGACAGAATTGAGTGGTGGTCAGCGATCACTCATCGCGCTGTCATTGATCATGGCGCTTCTGCAATTCAAACCAGCGCCCATGTACATTCTGGATGAGGTTGATGCGGCGTTGGACTTGTCGCATACACAGAACATTGGGCGGCTGATCAAGACTCGCTTCAAGGGGTCCCAGTTCATCATTGTTTCTTTGAAAGACGGCATGTTCCAGAACGCCAACCGCATCTTCCGTACCCGATTCAGTGAAGGAACGAGTGTGGTCCAAGCCTTGACTCCGGCTGATATGAAATAAGTTGCTTCGTTTCGTGTTGGTCTTTCTGTGCATATTTTGCGTTCGTCCCACATATGCTGTTTGGTTGGATGATTGTTCTTGAGGTTTCATGGGATGGTGTAGGGTTCATTTGTTTTCTTGTGGCTGACCTGGGAGAGGTGTTTTTCTGGACTGATGATGAATATGGACCTGATGATAATGTTCTTACTGCCGCTAAGCATTTATACGCCTTCAATCGTCTTTCGTACTCTTCTCCAGAACCACCCACATCATTACTCCGCATCCTTAAGGCAAAGCATTATTTTATGAAGGGCTCCAGTCGTCGATGTCGGCAACGAATCCACCAGATGGAGCACTGGGGGCCCATAAGTGGCATAGCGCCCTTCTAGCCACCTGACCCACACCAGATCCAGCGGCGTGTTCGTGAGCGGTTTCTGACCACCACCATCTTGGAGAATTATTGTTCTTTTACGCGATCAGTCAATTGATCAGGTAAGTGACCATGGGCGGTCCTCGATGGTGGGTGACAACTGACGCCTTCTAGAGTTGACATGCCTCATCTCCAGCCCGGCATCATACGTTTGCCAAGAGTGCCTTGATGTGAGATCAGCAACAGAAAACGAGATGGGAAGTCTAAGTCTACTCCAGAGTATACGTGAAGGATTGCAGCTCCGACAGGTGTACCGTTAAGCAACCGCCGTCCCGTGTTAGTGACAACCCTAGCTCACCACCATGCATGCCCTTGTCCTCCGCCCAAGCCGAGTCTGGGTTTAATTCATGACGGTGGAGATGCGCCCTTTGAGAGATACGGGCAGTCTGGCGGAGTCTTATCGAGGATAGTCATAATAACCATCATTATCCCTGGTTCTCCCCATTGAGGGAAATGATCGCGACAGGGATGGCGCCGAACTAGGGATAGCACCAAGACTGATGAGGATTGACGTCGGTCTACCTTCTCGTTCAGTGCGCCTGGCGGTTGGGCTCCCCTCCTCCATGATCGCAAGAGTCAAGCAAAAGCATAAGCGGGCTTTCGGCCATTTATTGTCGCTCTCTAGTGCTGGGCGTGGGTCAGGTCTGTCGGCCGGACAGAGGCGTGGATATGATCATTCGGCGCATTATTGGGCCACGGCCGTTGGATCCCAGGGTGCTATTTCTCGTCGGGTGCTCGGCGCTCGGCGTGGATTGGTGCAGGACGCCCCAAGACCCCAAGTCAAGCATGCGGTGCAGCATGATGTCAGGGTATTCAGCCATGATCGGTTAAGTCGGAGATGAAAAATGGACGGCGACGGTCAGGCTATCGGGTGGACCGTGGACCCTTAGTGCCTGGTTGGGGCCAGGAGAATCCACGAGGCGGAGAAGAGCCCAGCAGCCAAGTCCGCCATACCCGGCCGTGAGAGGCCTTGGCGCCGTCCCCATCGGTGCCTCTGCGCGATATTTGTGCCCTGGTGGATGCGCCAGATTTTTTTCTCAGGTGATTCTTTTGTTGACGCTGGCTATTGATCCGGTTAGCCGGGGGTGTCGTTGTGCAGGAGACGCCCTGGGGACTATAAAAGACCTACCCTCGCTCCTCGGCACGCCCGGCCCTGCGCTTATCCCTGCGGCTTGATACCCTCCTCTTCAGTCCCCCGTCCAGTGTCTCGACCACCGCTACCATTCCTCCTCCTTCGATATAATCGATCATTATTTAATATCTACTTCCAAGTCCACCATGCAGCTCCTCAAGCTCGGTGCCCTCGCCGCTCTGGCGCAGACCATCTCGGCCGCCCACATCTACATCAAGACCACCAACCCCCCGGCCAACAAGTACGTCTCGCACTGCACCGTCATCATCGACGACGAGCTGTTCGGCTGCTCGGGCAGCTCGGAGCCCTTCTCCAAGGGCTGCGGCGGCAACCGCGGCACCAGCACCAAGTCGATCTGCAAGACCGCGCAGGTGACCGTTGACTGGGACAACGGCAAGCTCGATTTCACCAACGACAGCGGCGACCACGCCAACTGCACGCTCAGCACGACGCAGCAATGGGGCGAGTGTGACACGACCGACCCCAACAAGTACCCCAAGGTCGAGGACAACGGCGCGGCCAGCAGCCTCTTCGGCGCCGGCTCTGCCATCGCTGGGCTGGGCTCGCTCGCCGCCGGACTGATGATCTAGGCGAAGGACGGAGGATTCTTCTGGTAGTCGGGGGCGTCTGATGGTGATTTGTGGTCAATTCGTTTGTATATTTATATCCCATGTATGTTAGCATCAGCCGTCTAATTTGCAATCCATACAATAATGGCAAATCTCCACATCTCCACGTAGAATCTACTCCGTACCCAACGGTCAACAGAATTTTCAATCCGATCCACCACGGAGTACACGGTCTGACTGTGTATATAATGTCTTCTCCAATCGGTAAGAATGTGATTACGTGGAGTGGGTGGCATCCGAGTGCCCGTGGCACAGACGGGACGGGACTGCTGGGAACACCCATCCATGGGGGAGGGGAGAACCGCTCTGACCGTCTCCAGGGGGCCTGGGTCTCATTCGATGCGAGAGGGGTTAAGCATCCACTAGGGCCGTCTGCTGCAGGGGGAAAAGTCAACTATGAAGGGATAAACACACCAAGACAATAGAATATGCACACGAATTACCTCATTGACGAGTGCCAAGACATTCTTACATCGGGGGTGCTTGGCTAAGCCAATGATACGAGGGACTGGTCTTGGCATAATCCACCATGCCGGATTCGGCAGGTACACGGCCGGGGTTGCCCAACGTGGTAGGTTCCTAATCTGGCAATCCGACAACCGCAGAGGGACATGAGAATGTGATAGAACCTTAGCCATCATTGAAGCTAACAGTACTAGGATGAACAGCGGAAGTCTAAGATTCCTAATGAACAAACCAATCGTCGTACCTTTTCCGTGCAGTGCAGAGCTTTGGATTACCTACAAGTGCAACGTCTTACCTCTTGGCCATCGTCTGGACTTATAGCGATTAAGTTAACAAAAGACTTGCCAGATGCAGTTGGATTGAACGGATATTATTAGCTACCACGGACCTCCGCATATAGTACATTGGTCCCTAATGTACGGAATCCAACCAAGACCAACTAGACCACAAGGCTTCGGAGTTCCGAAACATATCCTCCACGAACACGTTCTCTCCTTTTGCAATAGAAAGGAAAACGCATACACCTAACAGTGGATCCATCGCAGCAGCCGTCCAATCTCTTCCCAAGAATGACTAGTTGGCGTATCTGCTCCAGGAACGTAGACGCTTTCCATACTATCGAATAATTAGCCAATTCTCCAGATTCTGAGGCACTGTAAGTAGCTCACACGCTCCAGAATGAAAGGCAAAGGGACCAACGCAATGGATATAAAGCCCAATGTGCTCGATGACCATCCAATGCCAAGCGACTTCAGCATTCGGGGGGCAGCTAAAGGTAATGCTCCCCCGAATGAGCTCCGAAAGAACGTATTGCCAGCGAACACACTTGCGACGTATCTTGGATAGGATTCTCCCAGATAGTTGAGGATAGACTGAAAGGTGAGATAGAAGCCTGGCGCGAAGAAAGCTGTCCCAATGATAGGGACAATCCAATGTACGCTACATACGTCGGGTCAGTGCTTGTCCAATAGATCTCGATGGCTATGTGCGCCTACCTCTCGCGAGACGTCCATGCAAATATAAAGAGGCAGATAGGGATGCAGATTGCTCCGACTTGGCCGGGGACTAAGCGAGCCTCAGGCTCAACGATGGCTCCTGGTTTCGCGGCCCGTGGCTGGTATGAGAAGTATAGCCATAGCATGTATGCAATAACAGACACGACGGCGCCAACCAGGATCCCAAAGAATGCGACTAGAATTCACATTAAAGATGATCAGAGAGGCCTTGGGTTGATACTTACGGCCTTGTTGAATAGCATTAAAGTGGTAGATTCCATCAAACACTGTGTCCGGTGAGTGAGTTGAAGACGGCTACGATTGCAGCATCTGGTTGACTCACCGAATGGGAAGAACTCAAACCACAGGTACAGGACACCATAGATTAGCATCGTATGCAGGTTGACGAACAGAATGACCGGGTCCATGCAAGACAGTTTGAAATCATCAATTGTCTGCCTGATAATGCGCACAGCGAGGTTTGCCACCGGTGTATCCAACTCAGCTTGACTCCTATATGCCGGGTTCCCCGTACGGCGGCGGAGTCGCTGTGCTCGGCGTAAAAGGATATTGGCGTTCAATGTCTCGGGCAGTGAGAAGAATACAAACACAGTCGTGAGAGCAGTGACACCTGAGAGGAGCCATAAAGTCGCTGTCCATGTTTTCCAACGCTCTCTATGTGGTATTAGCATGTATATCGCCGAGTTGATGAGAGTCTTACACTACCAGCGTCCCAAGGATCTAATGTACAAGTCAGCTCGGATGCAAAGTAGCTCAAAGGCAATAACATACTGGTCCTAGAATGGGCCCACAAATTCCACTGACCGCGTACAGGGCAATGGCATACGGGATCTGGTTGGGCTCGTAGATCTCCATCAGTGTAGCACCTCCCACACTGATGGGCGCGCTTCCGACTAGGCCTCCAAAAAAGCGCAGAATGAGAATGGTGTGCAGGTCCTTCGCGAGGGCAGTCCCGATGTTGAATAAGCAGAACGTAAGGGAGCCAAGGATGTATACCGGAGTACGTCCTATTGACGGCAGGTTTGACAGAGGAGAAAGCTGAAGCAATCAAGTAATTAGCAGTCTAGGTAGTAGGACATAAGGTGCGACCACGTAATATATGCGTACAATAAGAGGCCCAATGCCATATGCTATAACGAAAAGGGACAGTCCGAGCGTCCCCTCGGCAGTGCTCGCACCGAACACCTCCTCGATTTTGGGGATACTCGGCGTGAATATTGCTGAAGCCGCATAAAAGCTGAAGTTCAACAGCATCACATTGATCATGGCAACTGTCTTTGCCAACATTGGCCAATTTCTAGGCATGTCGGGGTCGTCGGGCCCGCTGAAGTCGACCAGAATATGGTCAACAGTATCGGAAGAAGTAGTCGTAGTTACTTCGCCTTTTTTCACTTCGATATTCGGTGCTGGAAAGAGTCTGCCATTGGAGACATGATTCAAGATCCGGCCGAATGTGCTTTCTCGCAATAAAACTTCCATCTTAAGTCGCAAGGATCGCGTGGACGGTGTCTCTTACACTTTTAGGAGGGTTGAGGATGGTGCACAACAATTGAACAATCGAAGAAATAAAAGATAAAAAAGGACTTAGCACTTTCCATGGACGTACGCTTGAAGATTTATATAGATGTTTATTTTGGCCTAGAAATGTGCTCTTCGGAATTCCGTCACGCCTCGAGCTCGGAGTTCCGGTACATCTACTTGATCCGAACTACGGTGAAATTGATTCTATTTCTCGGGCTAATTCGTTTCTAGACTCTTGATTAAACGGAATAGACAGGAAGTATCTTTTCCGATAGGGGCATATATGCGCGAGTATATGTTGACCCTTTGCTTCGGGAGACCAATAAGCCACTAACAAGTAGATAGTAGGTACATATCCTCGCCCATTCTATTCACGATAACACATCACGTCGCGACAAAGATCAGCGCCACGCAAAACATCTTGTCCTCTTGGAAGTCTATGTTTGTATTTCGGCGGCCCTTTGGCGTCCGCATTTGCCATCTCCGGCATGCCTTCATCTTTGATAGTCAAGTTAAAGTATTACATGGAAACTGCTACTCTCTATTATGGCACAAGCACAGCTAACTTGAGCATGATTGTTCGCACACCCAGAACCTACACTAAAATACCTTATATACCAACATAGCCAACTGTACATTGTTTCTCAATCGATCACAGAAGCGTTGTACGAAGAACAGAACTATATGTCACATGCACGCTAAACCCAATCTGGACAGCCATTGCTGGATACTTCCGGAAAGGCGGAGAGCAGCGGCAATAGGCCCTTACTTAGGTAACCGTTCGGTGATGGTCCTCCCAACAGGGCATCTCTACCTTAGATACTCACTTCCATTCTGATATCCTGATGTCCATTCCCTCCTTACAGTAATAATCTCATTACCAATACTTCTTATCCACGCCGACTGTCGCTATCCCAACGTACTCCTCACTCGAGTCGTATTCGACCGCGAGCATCGATCACCCTTTTCATCGACTGTTCCCCACCGCCACATCACTCTTCCCCATTGCTTCAGCCGAGCGTCATCTCATCGCCCCCGCGTGCGCCGACTTTAGATTGCAAATATCCCAATCAGCGCGATTCTTTCGGTTTGATATCTGAGCACCTCTATCATTGCGATCAACGTTAAGCCGACACCATCCGCTATCCCCTCCCCGGAATAATGTCCGACCAAGAACCCTCCCTCAACATCCCTTCGCTTCTCACCCTCGCCGTCGTCTCCTTTTTCGTTTTCCGATGGTTCTTTAACCGCGACAATGATTCCAGCTCTGGAGGCAACCGCCGTCGCGGGAATGTGGTCGACCCAGCGCAGGTGGAGCAAATATCGCAGATGTTCCCTCAGCTGAGCACGCGCGATATCATGTGGGACTTGCAGCGGAATGGTGGCAACGTTGCGGCCACGACGGAGCGCATTTTGACAGGAAGGGGACTGGAGACGGTACGTGTGCTTCTGCATTGGGTGGACGTGTCTACTATGACATATCCGCCTGGCTTATCGTTATCAAACCTTATTTACTGACTTTACTGACTGAAATGCGCCGACTTAGCCTCCCCCGTCATTCCAACCCCAGATTGCTATTCCCTCTAGTAATACTCCAGCAACGTCAACCCCCTCGACTTCGACGTCAAAATTAGACAGCCAGGATTTGATCTCGCGGTATAATCTTCGCGCCAAGCTGGCTGAGGGCGACGACGCACAGTCCGCCCCCAACTCGTCGAGTGGATGGTCGCAGAATAAGGAGGAGCGTCAGCGCCTGTTGCAGAAACGCAGGGATGACATGATCTTGGCCGCGCGCAAGAGAATGATGCAGAAGGTCCAGGAATCGTCGTAGGTCTGTGATCCGTGACTCGTGTACTTCATACACCAGAATGCTGTGATACCAGTTTCCGTCGAGTGTTGGTGGTGCCCTTCACGGAAGAACTTCGGCTGCGTTGATTTTTATGATGTATAGTTCCATAACTTGGAGGCCTCTCCGCTTTCTTTGAACTTTCGTCCATTTAGCTCTTCTATTTTGCTCTGTTCTCTTGCGACTGTTCGCAGCAAAGCGTCGCATGCTTATGGTGTTAGGTTAAGTCTACGACTCTTGCGATTGTATTAGCGGAAAATAGGGTATATATACACTTAAATCAATCAAGGGGACATAGCGTCGCGCCACAACTCCAGGGTGCAAAAACGTGAGCTCAGAATTCCATGTCGTCGTCATCCTGCGTGCCATCATAACCGCCATTAGCGATTTCCTCGGCCATCTGTTCGCGCCGAGCTTGCTCCTTCGACGCGCCAATCTTTCTGCAGAAGGCCCAAAAGCATTAGTTAGGAACCTCGTCCGCATACATTGTCTCACATACCTCAATCCATCCACAACCCCAGCGATGAAGCCTCTCCCTTCACCCAGCTCCATCGCCCCAACACCCGTCAGCGCGACCCCGCCTCCACCCGTGGCGGCAGCGTCCAACACATCTACACCCGCACGGATCTTGGCCGTGCGGACTTCCCGCAGCTCCTTCAGCAGTCGTCGCACCTGATCCGGCTCCACGAGGTCATCACTGGCGGCGTCCAGCAGCATGGTGCCTACTTCGAGCCAGTGGAACGGTAGCGTCGGCGGCTCGCCTGTCGGGATATGGTCTTTCGCTGCGTTTTGCGGGAGGAACGGCGGGGAAGGGAAGTAGCGGTCTCCGTCTGGGGTGAAGCGCGGTCGAGCTGTTGGTCTCGCGGTGAGGTGGGGGTACGTCGGCTGGCCGGGGAGAGGGGTCGATGGTGAAAATGCGTGCTGGTATTCGTGGTGTTGTGTTTCAATCTCGAGAATGAGGGAGAGGGACTCGGGATGGAGCCATGGCGGTGGGAGGATGTTTGCGCGGCGTTGGCGCTTGAGAAGGAGCGCGAGCCAGAGGGGGAGGGAGGCGCGGCGCGGAGGTTGGAGAGGTTCGATGGGGCCCTGCGGCGCGAATATGTAAGTTATATGTGGTGGGAATATAGTTTATGTTGAAGACGTTGTCTTCTCTTTGTATGTTCATATGGACGTTGTACCCCGCGGAGGAATTGCGATCCCGCAAGCTTCAGCCAACTAGGATGGATGTTTCAGTAGAAAGTAAAGGATATATCACACTCACCCCGAGCAGTTCGAGACCTTCTAATCGCTGTCGAGGCACAACTGTGACCTGTTCCATCTCCGCGAGGAAGGATATCTCCGAGGGCGTGATGCCCCGCGGAAGAGGAAACGCCATTGCCCGTCCTGGGAGAGGGAGAGGGCGAAAGTGTCGAGATAGGGAAACGGGGATAACAAAAGGCTCACAAAATAACGCGATAGCTATGCGACATGCCGGATGGAAGACTGTTGAGGAGTTTTTGCATTGTCGTCACGAAGCAGAAACGCGAGGAGGACGATTTGCCCGATGCGGGTGTTTGCCGCGTTTGCAGCGCAGCTACTTAAGCACCCCAATGCTACTTCACCACTTTCTCCTTTTGCGATCTCCAGGGACCATCTCTCGTTCTTCACGGTCAACTACAGCATGAGTTCCGCCCAGCGACAGTCGGGCCTGGTCCTCGCCGCCCGGTATGCGGTCCCGTTCGTCCTGTTGACAATCCCCGTCTGGATGACCCGAGTCAATGCCGTCGTTCCCGAAGCCTACCTGGACGAAGCTTTCCATGTGCCCCAGGCGCAAGCGTACTGGCATCACCAGTGGACGCACTGGGATCCGAAAATTACGACACCTCCGGGTCTGTACCTATGGTCATATTTGCTGTGCATTGTGGCTCTCACACTGCGCGATTCCCCGAAGGAACTCAACCCGGAAGCTTTGCGGGCGACCAACGCTGGAGCTGCCGCCGTCTTCCTGCCTTGGAGGTTGCAGACACTGCTGGATACCCTGCGCAAGGAGCGCAACGACCGTCCGTCGGGAGCTTGGCTCAGCCACACTGTTCTGAACATCTGTCTCTTCCCGCCGCTGTTCTTCTTTTCCGGCCTGTACTACACCGATATCCTGGCACTCCTGCTTGTCGTTGAAGCTTATAATTGGGACCTGAAACGCGCTACGGCACTGTCGACAGTGCCCAGTCGAATCGTCGTGTTCTTGCTCTTGAGTCTGGTGGCACTCGTGTGCAGACAGACTAATATCTTCTGGGTTGCCGTTTTCTTCGGTGGATTGCAGGTGGTCCGGTCTGTGGAACGGGATGCGAAGACATGCCGATCAAAAAACGTGGCGGATATTCTTAGGGGAGGCTTCAACGGTGAAGTATATGATCCTTTCGTTTCGGATGCCTCCATCACAGGTCAGTGCAGCTGTGGGACAGAGCTAGATGGGAGTGCTAACGAAATGTAGACTATTTCAGGGCTGCTATTTCCCTTGGTGCGGCTGCCTTAGGTAATTTGGGACGGGTAACTGTCTCGCTGCTCCCATATGTCTTCACTCTTGCAGCCTTTGGTGGGTTTGTGCTATGGAACGGTGGAGTTGTTCTGGGTATGTCTACTTCCGAAGTACTACCTCCGTATACATGCTGACAAGTCATTAGGACATAAGGAATTCCATACTGCTGGCTTGCATCTGCCTCAGATGCTCTACATCTGGCCATACTTCTTGTTCTTCTCGTGGCCGATCCTCGCGACGCCTGTACTCAACCTGGTTCTTCCACAGTCCTTATTGCCTAAGTGGATGGACTACGGATTCACTGCCAAGCAGAAAGGCCTCCCAAAGCTTCTGACTGCTATCGCCGTCATTCCGACTATGATGGCTGTCGTGCATTTCAACACGATTGTTCACCCTTTTACACTGGCCGATAACCGACACTATGTGTTCTACGCCTTCCGCATCCTTCGTTCTCATCCCGCGATCAAGTACATTGCCACCATCATCTATTTCTTAGGCGCTTGGGCGGCGATCTCTGCCTTTGGGTTTGCTACCACCACCTCCCCGCCGCGCTTAGTCTCCGTGCCACAGTCAGCGCCATCTCCGGCGGCCCCTGCACAACCGCAGACTCGCAAGCAAGCGAGGGACGCCAAATTCAGGCAGAAGGAAAACAAGTCGAAGACCGCAAATAAAACCACACAGCCTCCGAAGCCGAAGCCGTTGGACGAGGCTTCCTTTGAGAAGCTCAAGGAAGCCATCAGTCAGCGCCAGAGACAACAGCAGGGAGCCCTGCGGGTGAGCTTTGTCCTGGTATGGCTCGCTGCAACTGCACTGTCGCTCATCACGGCGCCTCTTGTTGAGCCTCGATACTTCATTATTCCGTGGGTAATGTGGCGATTGCATCTCCCTCGGCAGCCGGTACCGCAAATATACCGTGAGAAGCGTCCGAGCGACGAAAAGGAGGCACTTCATGCGGCGATTGCGACCAACTTCCCCTTATTTTTGGAAACACTCTGGTTTATGCTGGTCAATGCAGTGACCGGATATGTTTTCCTCTACAAGGGATTTGAGTGGCCTCAGGAGCCCGGGAAAGTCCAACGGTTCATGTGGTGATTGCTCGTAAAAACACCAAAGCACCGAAAAGAATTGTAAAATATCATCTATATATTAGAATAAAATAGAGCGAACTCATCATAGGCTGGATCAATTGTAGTCGAATGAGTTCGGGGTTGGCATGTACACCCGTGACCGGCTTCCGTCTGCCACCAGTCACCGGCGACAATCGAGTTGCCGTTCCACCAACCTCGCCTTCTCCCAACGAGGTACAGCTTCCTGCAGGTGAATACAAAACCATGGATGAAACGGCCCATCCTCCTGCAAAAAGGGCCAAGCTCTCCTCTGACGACTCCACGACCAACAGCACTACGGCCTTGGCATCCCTGCGCCGCTCTATTACTCCGCCGTCACCACGGCCTTCAAAGAGAGCTGCTTCATCGCCCGCAAAGACGACGAACGCACAGCAAGATACAGCGCGGGTCATTCCGTCTCCTTTCCAATTGACACATGTCCGCGATCTGGCCGAGTCCTCCGGTAACAATGCAGACACGGTTCGATTGCACAACATCCTAGGGGATCCGATGATCCGCGAATGTTGGCAGTTCAACTACCTGTTCGATGTGGACTTTCTCATGAAGCAGTTCGACGAGGACGTCCGGTCTCTAGTCAAAGTCAAAGTTGTCCATGGGAGCTGGAAGAGGGAAGCTCCCAACCGCATCCGCATAGATGTATGTTTTGTCTTGGTGTTGCACGGTGAACCCCACTGATTACATATTTTAGGAAGCATGTTCGAGATACCCCAATGTGGAAGCTATAGTAGCCTACATGCCCGAGGCCTTTGGGACCCATCATTCGAAAATGATGATTCTCCTCCGTCATGATGATTTAGCTCAGTATGTCTCTTTTCTATTGTCCTATCTTGACATCTGCTCATCCACCAGAGTGGTCATCCATACCGCCAACATGATCCCCGGCGACTGGGCCAACATGTGCCAGGCCGTGTGGCGCTCGCCCCTCCTTCCACTGCGGAAGGACATTGATGCAGAGTCCGAGGATGCTGCAAAGATCGGTAGTGGCATGCGCTTCAAACGAGACCTCCTCGCATACCTGGACCACTACGGTCCAAAGAAAACAGGACCGCTGGTTGACCAGCTGCGCCGGTATGATTTTGACGCGGTGCGCGCTGCCCTCGTCGCCAGCGTACCATCGAAGCAGAAGATCAACACGGCGGATTCTCAACGAACTACTCTCTGGGGCTGGCCCGCGCTCAAGGACGTGGTCCGGGGTATTCCACTACGTGCGGCTGGGGGTAGTAAATCTGCAGTTACACCACATATTGTTTCTCAGGTGGGCTTGGAATTTCCAGAGACTTTAATTCACTGCTCATCATTGGTTAGATTTCCTCAGTTGCATCGCTTGGCCAGACCGATAAGTGGTTGAAGGAAGTGTTCTTCAAGTCGCTCTCATCGGATCCCACCAGCAAATACTCGATCATCTTTCCAACCGATGATGAGATTCGACGCTCCCTAAACGGCTATGGATCAGGTGGGTCCATCCACATGAAGATACAGAGTGCGCCGCAACAAAAACAGCTGCAGTACATACGTCCGTATCTGTGTCACTGGGCGGGAGACCGAGACGATGGCTCGAGTGCAGGCACGTCAATGTCTCGCAAGCGCGACGCAGGGCGTCGGCGCGCGGCGCCTCATATCAAGACGTACATCCAGTTCTCGGATACGAAGACGATGGACTCGATTGACTGGGCGATGGTGACATCCGCCAACCTCTCTACGCAGGCGTGGGGCGCCGCGCCAAATGCTTCCGGGGAGATACGCATCTGTAGCTACGAGATTGGGGTTGTCGTTTGGCCACAGTTGTTCGCAGACAGCGATGCCGAAAGTGCCGTGATGGTCCCGTGCTTTAAGCAGGATACGCCCGCCTTCGCGGAGCGCGAAGGTCCTGTCCCGTCGGTGGTGGTCGGTCTCCGCATGCCATACGACCTCCCCCTGACCTCATACACGCCAAAGGATACGCCGTGGTGTGCAACGGCGACGCATACGGAACCCGACTGGCTGGGTCAGACCTGGACAGACGACGGCTAGACGGACCGACTGCTGGCAGCGCTCTTGACATTCGAAATAGATCATTCAATAGACGGTTTGCATGGAGCTCCGTAATACATGTCAACGTTCAACTCATGGTATCTGATTATTTCCCCCGCTGTATACCCATGCCTTATTGCCCCCCACTTCCGTCCGCTCCGAGACGTTCGAGAAGTTCTTAGGCGCGAGTACCGTACTTGACGATCAGGGCGTTAACCTCCTCGATGTACTTGGCCTGGGCCTTCTGGGCGCTGATGTGGCTGATCTCCTTCCACGCGTTGTACTTGTACTTGGCCTGTAGGGAACATCATGCGTTAATTTTGATGAACCATCCACAGCGAAGATCCGACCATACCTCGAGAGCGAACATGCCCGGCTGGGCGGGAGTCTGGTCGTTACCCCGCTTGAAGTACTTGTAGAGCTAATCCGCAACACCTGCGTTAGTACTGTCTCTGCTACATTGACGGACGAGGAACACGAACGTTCAGCATCTCGTTCTGGCCAGGCTCCTTCTCCAGCATCTTGACCAGCTTGGCAGCGAACTCGAAACCGGCCTTCAGGGCAGCAGCCTGGTCACCCTCGACAGAGGCGGAATCATCCCCAGCCAGAACCACCTCGACGGCGACCTTGAGGAGATCGGTGTTGATGCCCTGGGCGGCGTCCTGGACGTCGGAGGTGTACTGGGCCTTGTTCTGGGAGGCGGAGAGGGCAGTGAAGAAGGCGTCCATGTTGAAGGTAGGAATGGGATGAGATGAGTTGTAGGGTTGTGTATGAAATAGAAGTCGAGGTGAGGAGAGAAGATGAGGGGAGAAGAAAGAGGGAAGAAATGGTGGGGTTGCGGTTATTTAGTGGATCTCGAGTGTTGTCGGGTTTGTATTGTTGGGCTTCCCCATCAGTCCTCTGATGTCACTCTAGTATGTACAAGTACATCACCCGCATAGGTACGGACTACCCTCGGCATGTTACCACCGCCATGCTGACGACGGCTTTGTTCACGCGGCAGATGACTGCCTCCAGCGGCCCAGCCGTCTGGATCAACGGACTACTAAAATCCCCCGCACTAAGAAGTCCGAAGATCATCATCCGAGTCCCAACGCGACTCAACCAGTGACAGGCACAGCATTTCTCCAACCACTGACCTGCTTATCATGAGTTCCTCTCCAAGTCAACCGCAGGAAAGCGCCTCAAAGGACCGCAAGCGCATCACCGATCGTCGGGCCCAGAGGAACCGGCGCGAACGGATTAAGCTGCACATCTCGCGACTGGAGAAACGCGTGGAAGAGCTCACGGATGCGTCGGCCAACGGGGAGTCGGCACTGCTGAAGAAGCTGGAAGAAAAGCAACTGGAGAACGCGCGTCTCGCTGATATTATCAAACAAATCCATGCTCTCACAGGAGATGCAAGAGATGCATCGAAGGCGTCGGTCTCCCCTGCACCAGAAGTACCACGCGGTCAACCGCAGCGGATCAGGTCTAGAACCCCAGAGACACAATCCCCGGATGGAGCGGACATCATCGCCTCAACGCAGCCTACCCAGCAGTTGACCCATGAGGATGACACCGTTAATGCCAATCCCTCGCCGTACCATGAGCTTGTCTGTGGGACGGGCTTTGGGAACTACTTTGCTGTGGTCAACAGCTGTATCACAGGGATCCTTAGAACCGCCGACTCGATTATCTCCTCGGCAGAGGACGATGATGACCTCGCCATCCGAGCCATTCTCCATGGTTGGGAAAGTGTAGGACACCAGTCAGGCCTAGACAGCTGCTGGGAGTTTCTCAGAGCTCTGGACCAGGGCCTGTTTTATCGGACTGGTCCGGTTGAGCGTCTTGCCATTCTGCGTTTGATGCGAGCGATGCTGGCGGTGCGCAGTCCTGTCCGCTTTGTGTTTACCAGACACTGACCCTCAATAGTGGAATGCTGTACCTCCCAAGCGATCAGAACGTCATGTTCCCTCCTACATGTGTCCAACGTATGTGTCTCCGATCTTCTTTTGTGCACAGAAATTGAACCTCCTACAGACCTACACAGCACTTGATACCCCATGAGCCTCTGATGGACTTTTTTGTGTGGTGAGTAAGCCAGCTCATTCATACAACCATATGCTAACGTCCTAGGCCGGATCTTCGTGACCACCTGATCCTGGCGGGAGTATCCTATGTCCCGGAATCCGCCTCCGCGCAGTATGCGTCAGACATTCGCTTGACCTGGCCTTACCAAATCCGAGACACTTGCAAATACCACACGATGAAAGAAAAGTACCAGTTCTCAAACGAGTTTAATCACGCATACTTTGACCTGAATTCGTGGATCGTTCGTTGGGACGTTGCCTGTCTTCTCGATGTCCAAGGCCCATTTTGACCGTGGCAGTGGGTTTAGGCTTGTCTCTGGACAGTGAGTGGAAATTTATTGTAACGATTACCTACCAGTCGATGACAAGGCTTGAACTTGTGTGTCTGACTACCCAGCGAACGAAAACGGACAACCCATTCCTGTTGCGCCTCCCTTCAACGCATACTCTCTCATTTCCTCCGCTTCTCGGAGTACATCATCTTTGGAACGCTCCTTGAACTCCAGCGGACCGAGCTCTCGTGGGAGATATCCCTCGCTCATATACTCCGGGCCGGGTAGCGGGCGACTACTCCCCAGCATCCTCCAGACGGCAGAGAGCATCCCCTCGGGGACGTACCACGGCTCGAACAGATACGCATTGCGACGGACCCTCCCGGAAGCGCCGTCCTGCTTCCCCAGCACGTCCACATCGCGCCACCGCGGCAGAAAGAGATACTTGATGACGGCCGCACGCGCCCAGAACACAAACTCGACGAGGGCCTCGAGCGCCGCCGGAGGGTGCTCGACACCCAGCATCGGACGCACATGCGGTTCAAGAAAACAGGCCATGAGAGACTTGGCGAACCGCCGCAGGAAGACAGGCAGGGGGCGCACGAACAGATCGAGGGTGGCGTTTGTGCAGAGCCAATTGGACTCCGCATAGACCATGTGTGTCTTTTCAAAGGCCGCCGCCCAGCGTCGCAGCGCATCGATGGAATCCGGGATGTCGCGCATGCCCATGCGGTGACCGATCTCACGCCAGTAAGCGAAGATGGCGACCCGCTCAAGGTCCGTCAGCGGCCGCCACTCGTGGGCGTCGATCCAGCGCTGCGGCTCGAGCGCAAACAGCGCCAGCGTGTGGATCAGCTCGTCGTTCCCGATGCGCGAGCCGTACTGGCGGTGGATCCAGTTCATCTTTGCGAGGTCCTCGCGCCCGCGCGCACTGTCGATGCCGGAGACGAGGAGCTCCCCAATCAGCACGCCGGTGTCCTCGGAGCGCTTGCCGACGCGGGAGGGGGTGGTGAGCCGGCGGGTCTGGACGAGGAGCTTGGTGCCGCTTGCGATGCTGTAGGATTTGACGAGGGCGAACTGCGTGCCGAAGCCGTACATGAAGGGGAACTCCCGGAGGATGGTGTTCTTGAGGATGTCGTGCGCGGTGTGGTAGGACATGGCGTAGGGGTTGTGGAGGTAGGCCTGGTATTTGCAGGACAGGTGGCGCAGGTTGCGGGTTCGCAGTATACGGACGAGAAGGAGGTATGAACAGAGGACGAGGATGATCCATGTCGGGACTGGAGAGACATGGATCACCCGTTGAACGGCGGCCTGCATAGAGTCCATGGCCATGCGGTCTGCCATGCAATTGTACAAGGTGAGACTGAAATATCAAGCGCATATATACCCACGCATGTGTCAGTCTCGCTGCGTCAGGAAGGTACCCCACAGCATATGATGGAATGAAAGCCATTGCCGAGCCGCGGCAGATCCGCGTATACATGCCATCCCATTAGAATGTCATTAGATGTCAGACTACGACCAGTACCACTATATACAACACATACTGTCGAGCCAAGCCAAGCCAAAACAACCAACGCCCACAATGCAAACAACCAAGATGCAGAATCATGCTCCCATCACCAATCCACAGCCCATCCGTTCTTGTCGAGGAACTCCTCACAGGCCGCCTTGAGCGCGTAGTTGGGCCGCAGGTCGTTGACGGACATGGGCACGCGGGTGATGGGATCAACGTGCGCCTGCTCGACGTACTTGGTGATGCCGACGCGATCGAAGCTGGTGCCGGAGGGGGTGATGACGGGGTCGTGCATGATTTCGAAGGTGATTCCGTCGACGAGGTAGTCGGGGACAACCTGAGGCATACCGTCAGCATCTTCCCACAATTCCATACCGTCAGAACGCAAGGAGAAAGAAAGAAAGACAAACCCGCTCCTGCACCTCCCCCTTAGACGCAATGCGAAACGCCTCGCGCACATTCGCCCTCTTCCGCTCCGCCTCCTCGCGCAGCGCGCGCTCATCCTCCAGGAACCCGACCTGGCCGATCTCGCCCGCATCGCGCCGCCGCCGCAGCTCGCCTAGCGCCCGCTCCAGCTCCGCGTCCGCCAGCCCCTCCACGTACGCCAGCGTGTCGTCCATCTCGCGCAGCCGGCGCGCCTCCTTGGCCGCCCAGATCTGCTGTTTCGCGCGCAGCACCGTCCGCGACAGCGTCTCGGTCTGCACGCTCTTCGCCGCCAGGCTGGCGCGGTACGCATCGATGGCCACCTCGTACGCCTCCTGCGGCCGGTGCAGCTGGATCAGCGCCTGCGCCAGGTAGGACCGGCTCTTCAGGCTAGCGGGGTCTTTGACGCCGAGGAGGGTGATGGCGGCGCGGGCATCCTGCTCGACGCCGGCCCAGTCGCCGAGGCGGATGCGCGTGAGCGCACGGTTCGAGAAGTAGGTGGGTTCTTTGGGGTTTTTGAGGATCCTACATTTAAAATTCCTTATCAGTTGTGTTTGGGGGGATGGAAAGTGGGGGAGGCGCACGCCTGCGAGAAGAGATCCTCGGCGCCGCTGAAGTCGCCCTGCTTGAAGAGCTGGTTGCCCTTTTCTTTCAGTTCGACGGCGCTCATTTTGGCTGAGGTGCCTTGAGATAATGTTCCGTAGAATTGAATTTGAGGATGGATGTTGAGGTCGGACCGATCGGACGTGGGGCGGTCCACCGCGGGGAGTCGCAGTAGCCGTTAATTATTGTGGTTCCATCTGGCGATCGAAAGACGCCGAAGGACGTCGAATACGGAGTTCGGAACACAAGTACTGGGGGGATGCGATGAGTAGAACGCGGTCGATGCCAACAGAATCAGCTGACTCATCACTACGGAAACATCTCAGAAGAAACATTTGTGAAAAATAGATATACATCCATTCTACCTAGGCTCTATCTAAGAACCATCAGGAAATGAAGAACGATTGGACCCGCCAATTTCATCCGTCACTCATGGTATCATGATTCGTTTGGTATCGATAGACGCTCGTAACTGGACCGTGCGGTCGCCAGATCAATAGTGAACACGGCGGGATGTTCGTATTCGACCGCGGTGGTGGTCATTCGAATAGTGAGTAGTCGTATCCTCTCGCGACGTCCGGCTTACTGGGCACCAGCCAGCTGGGCCTCATAGTCGGAGATGGCCTGGACCTTGGCGGCAGATGCGCTCTTGGGGTCGAAGCGGTAGGTCACCCACTCGTTCGCGAGCTTCTTGGCGAGCTCGATTCCGATGACGCGCTGGCCGAAGCAGAGGACCTGGGCGTCGTTGCTCAGGATGGAGCGCTCCACGGAGAAGGAGTCGTGGGCGGTGACGGCGCGGATGCCAGGCACCTTGTTGGCGGAGATGGCGACGCCCAGACCGGTGCCGCAGATGAAGAGGCCGCGGTCCGCCTTGCCCTCCTTGATGAGCTTGGCGCCGGCGACGGCGGGGTGAGGGTAGGCGGTCTTGTCGGAGGTGGAGTTGACGCCGACATCGAGGATCTCGGAGACCAGGGGGTTCTTCTCCAGAGCGGCCTTGAGGGTTTCCTTGTAGGGTTGGCCAGCCTCGTCACAGGCGAAGACGATGCGGAGGGGAGCGGGAGAGGCCATGGTGAAGATAGAAGAGGAAGTTGAGTAGAGTAGAGGAGTTTGAGAAGTTTGTTAAGAAGAAAGTTGAGATTGAGTCTTTGACTTTGGCTATGATCTGATGGAGAGAGAAGAACGTCAAGAGGAATGGACGCCCCTCTTTATACTTGAGCACTCCTCCCCTCCTCCCTCCTGATACTACTCCGTCCGGAGATATCCAAGTGGAGATCAACGTGCCGTGCCTCCTGGAGCCAACGCAGACCCAATGCACAACATCCAAACACGAGAGTCGTCGAGCTCCACCAGAGCCAGGCTCGCAACTGAACCATTGAATTGCATTGTCCCCGAGCGTCCGACTGGAATGAGAGGCCGATACGACGGGTCCACCGTGGCGTCATCCCAGTTGTCCCTCATCGGAACCGGACGACGGTGCCTCTCCATGTGGACGAGGACCCAATCAGCATGGATGCAGACGGTCGAACCCTGAGGTTCGGATCATTTAGGACAGCAACGGTAGCGACATGACGCCAGGTCGTCTCCTGGACGCCGGCGTGGTGGAGCTTGTACACGGACTAGGCATTAGTCTGGAGTTTAGTGGGCGAGGGGATATCAAACCGGTTTGAGCCTGGGATGCGCGTTGCACGGTGGAGAGGAGGGATCGACTGCAGAGGCGCAGACGGTGTAGGAAGGCCGACGCTGATTGATGCTTTGAGGGCTGGGATGCTGGAGAAGAGTCCTCCGACAGAGGAAATGCGGAGATGATGTCATCTCGCGATCCGGTTCTACGAGTATACAGAGTGCAACAATAGAGTACATATATACCTAGGACACAGATTACAGTACCTCGATTGACTACAATCCTCAATCATCTCAATTGCACTTCGTAATATTCCTCCACAATCACAATCCCACTCCTCTTATTGAATTGAACTATTGAACCATCCCAAAACGGCAGCCCGGGAGACTCCCGTATGCGACGGTAATGCGCCGTAATTTACCGTCCTCCAACCCCACATCCCGCCCCCCATTGGCCGGACGGCAGATATCCGGGGCCTGTGACGCGGCCGGTACGCCCAACTGGGCCATCCGGTAATCTATCCTACCAGCTTCCATACTTCGGCTTCATCTTGGCCCATCCTGCACATATCCACTGCTGTCCGAGTGTCTGCGCGTCGTCTAGACCGTCTGCTGTCCACCTGACCGACTGTCCCTGGCGCCCCTCTCCGCCAGAGACACATAATAACCCTCACCGTCTCCCCTGAAAGAAAAATCTCTTCTCGTCAACTGACCGTCGTCGCATTTGACTCAAAACAACCACTGCGCGATCTTTCCCACTTTTTCTCCTCCTGACAGGCGAAAAGGGGCGCTATCGTCCCAATTGCCCCGGAACCGGTCACCGTGTGGGTTGCGCTGGCACACGGATCCTTTATTGGAGGAGCACTGCATTCGCATGGGACGATCTCGCCTCGTTGCCTACGGAGGAGTCGCTTTCGAACCCACTCGAGCCAGCACTACGCGGGACAAAGCATGAGACGGATCCGACTGGAAACGAGCTGGCGACGTGCATTTCATTGGAAGTGATCGAGATACTACCTCCTAGTCTCCCCCAGGAATACTACTGCGACCCTCTCTGTCCCGCATTTGTTCCCTGGTCCGCATCCGTCCAGACTGCGCTAGCAGCACCGACTCGGTCTAGGCGTGCACTCGGTCGAGAAACCCCAAATAAACAGATACCAGAAATCCGGGGAATCACCACACATATACAGACGCGAACACACCCAGAATCACACGCAGAGAGACAGAATCAATCGCAATAATAGCAACAATGGCCTTCCCAGCCCTCCCCAGCAATCTCCTCATCATCTCGCTGAAGATGTACTTTCCCCCCGCCCGCACCCTGGACTACCTGCGGGCCCTCCTCGACCCCCAGAACGACATCGTCCGGCCCGCCAATCGCTCCAAGCTCCTCCTCGCCCTCATCCCGGACTTTCTGACCATCTACCCCTGCCACGAGATCCTCGCCCGCTACGAGGCCTCCCTCGCTCCGGAAGACGCCTCCCCGCCGCCCTTCCTCCTCGGCGCCCAGGACTGCTTCTGGGAGCCGCTGGGCGCCTACACCGGCGAGGTCTCGCCGCTGGCCCTGCGCGACATGGGCGTCTCCATCGTCGAGCTCGGCCACGCCGAGCGCCGCGCCCTCTTCGCCGAGACCGACGCCTCCACCGCGAAGAAGGCCGCCGCCGCCTGCGACCACAATATGGTGCCCCTCGTGTGCATTGGCGAGATCACCGCCCCCGGCGCCATCGCCTCTGAGGCCGTCGGTCGCGCCGTCGATGAGTGCGCCGTCCAGGTGCGTCCCGTGCTCGAGGCCATCCCCCCGCACGCGCCCGTCATCTTCGCCTACGAGCCTGTCTGGGCCATTGGCCAGCCGCGTCCCGCTGGCGTCGACCACATCGCCGCCGTCGTCCAGGGCATCCGCGCCGTCGTCGCCGAGCATAACCGTCCCGGCGAGGTGCGCATCCTCTATGGCGGTAGCGCCGGCCCCGGACTGTGGGGCGCCGGCGGCCTGGGGAAGGCTGTCGACGGCATGTTCTTGGGCCGCTTCGCCCATGAAGTGGAGGGCGTGCGCAAGGTCGTGCGCGAGGTCGAGGAGACGCTCTAATTGCTTGTAATAAAAGTGTAGACCCTACCGAGCACATAGAACGCACATAGTATGATCTACGATCGACGATGACATGAGATTCGGCTACGTCTAGTTAGTTAATACAACATGAAATACTACTTTTAGACATCATACACTATTGACCTCCCCGCATCTCCTGCTTCACCCGCGTCACCGTCCCAACACCCCCATACACCACCCCCGTGTACATCATCGCCACCGACGCCCCCGCGTCCAGCACGGCACGGGCCTGCTGTCCATTGGTGATCCCCCCGGACGCGAACAGCACCTTGCGAGCCGCCGCTTCCCCAGAAGGAACCTTAGCCGAGCCCGCTTCAGCCCCCTGCGCCCCCGTCGCCGCTCCGGCTCCCTCCGACGGGGGCCCCTGGTCCAGCAGCGCGCGGTAGCGAGCCACCAGCGCGACCGTGCGGTCAAACAGCTGCGGGCCCGAGTAGCCGCCCGTCTCCTTCAGCACGCTCTGCTCCTTGGCCGGCAGCTGGAAGCCCTGCGGCAGCGGCTCCGGGCGGCGGTTGGTCGTGTTGCCCACAATGACGCCGTCGACGCCAGAGCCCCACACCGCGGCGCAGATGCCCGACACCTGCTCGTCCGCGTCCTCGTCTGGGCTGACCTTGACCATGACGACGGGCTTGGTGGCGCGGTCGACGCTCTTGGCCGCGCCCACCACCGCGCGCAGGATGGCCGTCAGCGGCGCGGTCGCCTGCAGGTCGCGCAGGCCCGGCGTGTTGGGGCTCGACACGTTCACAACGACAATGTCGGCGTACGGCGCCACGCGGTCGACGCAGTAGACGTAGTCGCGCTTGATCGCCTCCAGGTCGCCGTCCGGCGTCGCCTTGTTCTTGGCCACCTGCACCGCCAGCAGCTTGCCCGCCTGCAGACTGCCTGGCGGCACGCCCGCCGCGCCGTTCAGCACGGCCGTCTTGGCCGCCTCGTGGTCGCCGAACCCGTGCGCGTATGCCCACGCCCGCACCCGCGCGTCCAGCAGCGCCGCCATGTGGTCCGCCCCCTTGCTGTTGAGCCCGTACCGGTTGATCATCGCCCGCTGCGACGGCAGCCGGAACACCCGCGGCCGCGGGTTGCCCTCCTGCGGCAGCGGCGTCGTGCCGCCGACCTCGACGATCGCCGGGCCCAGCGCGAACAGCGGGTCGGGGATCTCGGCGTGTTTGTCCAGGCCGGCCGAGATGCCGATCGGGTTGGAGATGGTGTATCCGAAGATCTAGCATGTCAGCTGCTACGACCGCAATGGGATTCTCGGGGCGGGAGGGGATACCTCGGTGGCCAGAGCACCATCAGCGTCGGGATTGCCGCGCTCGCGCGGGTGCAGGCCGTACTTGTAGAGCATCTTCAGCGCGTCCACGCCCACGTGGTGGGCGTCTTCGGCGTCGGGATAGAGAAGCCGGATCAACGGCACCACGCCGTACCGGTGGACGCTGGCCCGCGTGTCGGTGGCGTAGACGTATCCCACCAGCGCAGCCAATGCCAGCGACGTGCCCACCACGGTGCGCTTGAAACCTCGGCCCGCCTTCTTCGGTACCTCCTTCACGACCTCCGCCGTCTCGGACGCTTTGTCCGAGGCATGTCGTAGCGCTGTCGACGGGACGAGGCCATTGCGCTTCGGGAAGACGGATGGCCGCTGGCAGTAGCGGAGGGAGGACACTGCGCGTGCTCTGGCGCCTGCAGTGCGCCAGGCGAGGGTAGCGGCGTTTGCAGCCATGTGAGGGTCGAGGGGTCTAAAGACTATGTAGATGTAGCAATGATCTGGGACGAGTTAGCAATGGCTTAGCTGTTGCAATACTGAAAAGAGATCGAGAATCCAGTTTGGAACGAGCCATATGCTCCCCAGGCGCCAATCTCCATAGATTGCTCAAAGCACGAGGGGTTCTCATGACGACAAGCGTCACATCCGAGGAGAATTTGATAGAATGCTGCCGACTCACCGGTACACGCCAATTGCGATGCAACAACTAGAGATGCTCAGCGTCTATGCACATAAGCATCCCCGGCTCTATAGACGGTCAATTCTTGCAAAAAGCACTGGAGACGAAACCAACGCGCCGCACGAGGAATTCGTCCGGGTGTTTCTCTTGCGTCAACGGATGCGGCGGGCGGTTGAGAATTGACCCGGCAGAATCAGGCGGTGTCATTGGAAAGCCTTCATTCAGACTGCATAGAGTACAGTACATACAAAACATGATAGACACCAGCTCTCGCTAATCAACTCCATTTCAATCATGCCACTCAACGCCTGTCGTAGCGGTCTGAACCCCAAGGATGTCTCAAATAATATCACAAAATGGGTATGGAAATGCTGGCAACCCGGAAGCAAGAAGTAATCGAAGATATCAGTAAACACAACTATATGCTCGTCCATATCCAGCATAAACATCATCCTAAAATACCAAGTCGGAAATAATCTCTGCGAGCGCCCTCACTCGTCGTCACTCATCTGGTCTGCATCGTCCTCATTGTGAGCCATGCCCCGGTCTTCGATACTCCCCTCACGACCTCTCGAGTCGTTCGCTTCCTCATCATGAGCCTCCCCTTCCTGTGTCTCGGGCTCGTGTTCGGCTTCCGGCTCTTCGGGCGGTGGCGGCATAGTCTCCGCGAACTTCGGGTCAATGGCCGCCCGATGCAGCGACCGCTTATACACTTCGGCCTCGTCGGGGTCCCGGACAACCAGCTGAATCTGATGCACCTGGTCTTCTTTGTTCTTCGGGCGTGTAGGTGCCAAACCGGCCTGCGCCACGGCCCGTGCCCGTTCAGGCTTCAGACGCGTCTTGCCGAGGATCGGATAGTAGTACGCCGCCTTCTGTTTGGAGGGCAGCTTGGCCTTCTGTTCTTCGCCGAGCTCCGACGGATCAAAAATCGTCAATGCAAAATCCTTCTGCTTATGTTCTCCGCCAAGGGTCTGGGCGCTCGTAGCATACGTGCGCACACGATCGTAGCGATGGAACCTGGCGTTATCGGCTCCCTCGTGGGTGTACAGCTCCTCATCGTCACGATCAGGATTGGACAGCTGCAAGCTCGCAAGCACATTCTTCGCAGATTCCTTCTTCTCCGGGAGGAATAGATCGTAATCCCAGGGAACCGGGCCGGGGTCAGGGTACAGGTTGGGGTTCGTCTTGTGCAGGGCAACCTTGGTGGCGTGTTCCTGACACACGCGCTCCTCTGGTGCAGATGGCAGCAAGACCGCAGCATCCATGCGTCGATCGCGCTTCCCCGACACGTCTTGAACGGGCGCTTTGTCGAACTTGAACTGCACAAAACCTCCGGGGTCGGGGAAGCCTTGAAGGTCGGGGAGAAGAGGATAGAAGCCAACAGGCTTGAGCTTCGGGTTGTCGGGATGCACCGGGTGTGCCCATGCATCATGCTCCATCTTCGTGGCAGGATGCCCTTTGATCTTGCTGGGCGTGTCCTCGCCGACATGTTTTGACTCGGGGTACGCAATGTCGAATCCTTTCTGAAGGTACTTCTTGATGTAGAGGGGGTCATCTTGCGATTTTGCTTTGTCGGCAGCGCGGGACTTGGTCTTGAGGGGGGTGACTTTGGGGCCTTCCGGCGCTCGGAGTCCAGCAGAGATGTATTGCGTACGACGAAGGAAACTGACGTTGGCGTTTTTCGGGGCTGGGTTCTTCAGCTGCTCCAAGGTCATCAGGAGGGGGAGATCCGCCGGGTCAACTGGTTCGGGATGCTCAGGCGCCATAATAGCTGATGCAAGACCCCAAGTTAGTGACATGACCCTTCGTCGACGTCGCAGAGGAACCTCCAGAGCTACATACCACTTTCATCGCCCAAGTGGAGACCAGGAATACCGACGAGGTCAATTGGCATACCACCCTCCGCGTCAACATCGATATTGGGCTCTTCTCGCCGAGCCAGGTTGGAGGCAAATCCGGGGGTGAGAAAACGTTCGAGGCCTTCATGTGGAATATCAAGAAACTTCGGGGGCATGTCGGGGGGCGGGAGATCGTTTCGGTAGCGCAGGGACGCAATGTACTCCTGGTGGAAGCCCCCAGAGGAGCTGCTATCCTTGGACTTCGACATTATGGCCTGAAAACGGTTGACGGGGTCTGGAGAAAGGGTAGCAGAGAGCGGTGGAGTGAAAACTGCAGGTCGGAGAAGGTTAGCTTGCAAATCCGTCGCGACGTAGTGCCAACTCACGTTGCGAAGGAAGATAAATTGGAACAATTTCACTGTCGGTGATCAGAGACCCGGTCGAATCCCTGCTACTGGAGTCGACCGGTGCAAGTTCTATAAAGGAAGATGAGATTAAAAAGGACAGGCAAACAGCATGTTGTAGATGGCTGGACATGCGAAACTCACTTGGGGTGGGAGGATCCGTTCTGCACATCTTGACCGCCTGGTGTTTTAGGTTAGTGTGCAGAGGTGAAAGGATTCGCGGAGAAACATTCTCCCGGAAACCCTTCATACTATCGCTTATGTCATCCCTCTCTACTTCATTCACAACAGTAGACAAATGATGAAACACATTCACAGAACACATTCACTCATGACTTTGTATGTGTTCCAGTCATTTAGCCTACCATACTCGATAATGATTATTCAGCCATCCGAATCTCCGTCAATCCATTGCAGGACTATCATTAAACATAAAACGCAAGACCAAGCATAAGCTAGAAATAAATAACCGCAATCAGTAAGCCCACATGCACTTGTACGCCATAAGTCTATGCCCTAGTCGATCATATTCCAGTTGCCCAATCCAGCTGTCATTAGTGGCGTTCAACTTGCCGAACACACTGGCGCCCTTCCACACAACAACCTGGGGGTCTAGATCGCGTGGAGGCGTCCCGATCATGATCTCCTTGGCGAACCCAGGCCGAAGAGTCTGAAGTCTCTCCTCCAGAAAAGCGTGGAAACCATTGATTTGGCTGCCTCCTCCCACAACCATAATCCCACCTAGGAAGTCTCGCATCTTGCGTTCATCTGACCGAGCGGCGTTTGCAATCGACGTAAGAATTGCGTGGTCGAGTGGGAAGGTTGGAAGGATATCATCGCGCTCATCCACAGCAGGGGTACGATGAGAGGCCACGTTCTGGGATTGGCCTCCCGGAAGAGGAGTACTCGCTCCCGCGGGTTGGGGAGTACTGAGCGTCTCTGGAGCGGGCGAACCGGCAACCGATGATCGAGGAGTAGCTTCCAGCTCCTGTACGCGGCTAAGAGCATTCACTTGCTGCGACCGGCTAGGGGTCGCCTGAACATCTGTGCTGTTCGATGGCGTATCGCCATTCACACCATTCGTGGTCGGGGGGGCGATGGCGGTAAGGATCTCCGACTGGGCAGCCGATGTGGGGTCGTTGAGTTGTCCGTCGTAAATATCGACCGATCGAGCAATCAAAGACCTCCGTCCCTTGATCTTTGATGAATGATCGAATATCGTCGGTTGGAAGAAACCCATGGGAGCCAAATGTACTTCATCATAGGCTTTAAACGTGTACTTCCTAGTATCCTGGCCCGCGACACGCAGGTGGAAATCGAATACCTGCACCGAGACACTCGCTTCATTCATGGTGCACACATTCTTCTTGAGCTCTTCAGCTAGAAGGAAATCATACCGCCTCCAGAGATTGATTTCGGCATAAGGGAAGTGGTCGTAAAGCATCATCTTGATGAAGGTCTCGGTGACATCTTGTCCACCAATCTTCAGGTTGACCCGAGAGTTCTCGATGCACATACCTTCCTCCACACAGCAAATGGACGTTTTCTGCGCACCTATGTCGACCACACAGGCTGAGGTGAAGCCGGCGCCAAAAGTGGCTGCTAAGCTCTCTTGGATGAAACAGACCCGAGCAAAGGCGAACTCTCTCATGAGCATTTCAAGAATCTGAGTTACGTACGCCTTTTCGTAGAGGTCTGGAATGACGAACACGCACGAGTACTGTGGCCAGTCCTTCTTGCTCGTCAGACCAAGCTGAGTCTTGATAGCGTCTTCTAGAATAAGGGAGATGTCCAGGAACAAGAGTCGTTTGCTGTCGTAGTCGCGCTCGTTGCACCACCCATATCGCATGGGCCAATAGAGCTTGTAGCGAGGGTTAGACGCATCCGGGATCCGCAAGGCCTGGTGGCCCACTACATACTCCGGCGCGGGGTCCGGAATCTCCGTCCATTCGATGCGCATGGGGTCATTGTGTTCAGAGATTGTCTCTGGTACTGTTCGGCGGTTGTAATTGATCACCATTTCCTTCGAGTTTGGCAATGTCCGGCGCTTGTTCGCCCGCATGTGTGCCTTGAGCTCTGCCGACATTGTCGTGTACTGCGACGCAAACTGCGGTAGAAGATTAGATAAACGTAATTCCAAGGAATGAAGTTGACAAATACCTCGGGCCCAAACATCTTCTCCGGTTCCATCTCAGTACCGTCGTCCAGTTTCAGACGCTTGGGATACGGCTCCTCGTGGTCTTCAGACTCACTCGTAGCGGCCTTGCGTGCAATAACCATCGGGATCGTTTTGGGTAATGCATCACTGGAGAGACCAATTCGCAGGTTCTGACTTCCGACATGAATCACAATCACCTTGGAACCCACAGTCTCGGTTGGGGTCTCTTCAGCTTCATCCATGTTGGTGTCCCCATCCGCATCCGCGTCAGCTTCCGATATTCCCAGATCGTTCGATTTCGCCATTGCCAAGGCACGATCCCGGTCTTTAGCGGTTTTCGTCATGCGATTTCGAGCCTCTTCATTTTGTAAGCGGAAGGCTAGGTACTGGTCGTCTCGCTTGAGGTAATCGCTATGGAAGGAGGGTCAGAGGTCAGCGCGGTCCTGCGCGGTCCTTGGAAAGAAGGCGCGATGGTAAACGAAGGCATCTCAACCACGTACGTATAGTAGTTCTTTTGGTTGATGGGAGCGATTTGAGGCCAGCTCGATAGTTCCATGTTGTTATCGGTCCTCTCAAGGCCTAATCGCGTGAAGTTAGCACACGGACAAGGTTGAACGTCAGTTTGCAGCCCACCTTCGTCCCTAAGCAGGGCCTTGCCCGACTTCTTGCCCACCATGATGGATGTGTTTCTTCCGAGATAGAGCCCTGGCTATCGCGCTGACGCCTTCCGTGGATAGTTCAGGATTGAGAATGAAAAGCGTAGGCGGCGCAAGGTAAATGTGGACCGGAACGCCAGGGGTCGCGGCGGAAAGTTGATCGGAGATGGATGACGGAGAAAGGGGGGAGTAATGACGATGACAGCGATGATACAACAGAGCTGGCCCGCCCAGGAAATAGAATCAGTCAGGCCAAAGGCGCACAATGCGTCTAGGAGGAATTATCCACGATGGAGGTCGACTGTCAACTATCCTTCGCAGGGACCGAACAAAGCTTGGGCCAGGCCGATCGGCGAGAATGCGGGCCAATATGAAGGTTGCCACCAACCGATTTAGTCAGCCCTGGCGGTGCTGCGTGTTGCTTGCTGGTACGAATTATTCTTCTTCTCTTCCTTATTGTTGTTTGTTATTGAGATCGCTCTTTGTACCAGAGCCACCCGTCGCCCTCTCGTCTCCTTGTCATTCCATCTTGTCTCCGAAATCCGCTTTGCTCCCTTACGACCATCCACCGTCTCCTCCGCAACCAACGAGCCGCACACCGTCCTCTCCTTGTCTCTCTCCTTCCCTCGGCTTTCCCTCGTGAACAACTTCCTTCTTAACCTCCCGACGCCGAAACGATCCTTTTCCCTTTCCAAACACACAATCATGGGTGGCTCCTTGTCCCGTCTATGGTCTCTGTTCTGGTCGAAGAAGGAGATTCGCATCTTGATTCTGGGACTCGTACGTGAACCCCGGTTGCACTAGGCGTCAGCTTGCTAGCGAGTTCCGGGGCTGATCCACTCTTGTTTCTCTAGGATAATGCTGGAAAAACCACGCTGTTGTATAGATTGAAGGTAGGAATCCGTCTTTTTACGCCTGCGCGCTTCGGAAAAATTATCACTCGGCTCGCTGACCATGTGCTCGGCTATCCCATAGATTGGCGAAGTCGTCACTACGATACCAACCATCGGGTTCAATGTCGAATCCGTGACCTACAGAAACTTGAATTTTAATGTTTGGGTAAGAAATTCGGCAGTGATACCCTGGGTGTCTTCCCCTATTGTACGGGGGTGGGTAGATCAATCCCGTTAACAGCTGCTTCTATTTTAGGATCTTGGAGGTCAAACATCGATTCGGCCTTATTGGCGCTGCTACTATGCCAACACCGCCGCCGTCATCTTCGTCATTGACTCGACGGATATCGAGCGATTGGGCACGGCTGCGGATGAGCTTGCCGCCATGCTGAACGAGGAAGAGCTTCGCGACGCGGCCCTTCTGGTCTTCGCCAATAAACAGGATCAGCCCGGCGCCAAGGGTGCGGGGGAGATATCAGAGGCCCTGAAGTTGGGTGAACTCCGCGACAGAAATTGGAGTATCGTGGCGTGCTCTGCTATTGATGGAAAGGGTCTGAATGAAGGCATGGATTGGTTGGTGGTGAGTATCTCTGTCCCTGTTGGTTGACGTTGCCCGGTGTACTGATTTTCTGTCCCTCCAGCAAACTCTTCAGGCGGAGAACGCATAAGCGCAGGCGCCATTGTGTCATGCGATAGATTTCTTTCATATAGTTTCTTTGATCGTCTTGCGAAGGACTCGGACATGCTTTGTGACTGCATCTGAGATGCCTTCAACCCCTTTACAACACCACTGTCTTATTTTCATGCTCTACTACCCTAGTAGAGCTCATGTCGTTTATACTGTATACCTTTTGACCGACGCTGTGAGGATTTAGCATAATACATTAATTGATACATGATTCAGACGATTGGTTCTGGGTGACAGGGGAAACTCCTTTAGACTTAGCGACAGGTGCCAGACCACCCTGAAATTGATACAGTAACGCATCAGCGCTCCGTCAAAGCCGTGCTTTCGTAACAGTCAAGTGTCAAAAGGTAGTGTGAAGGGCGATATTGCTCAAGGATAAATATATCGAGTCGACCTTCACCAAGTTAGATAGAAAAGATACGATACTCCGCAGATTATTGCGCACAATCAGGGGCTGGACGACTAATCCCTATCTTTCGTGACGCCTATCATTATCAGTCCACCTATCAATTCTTCTATCGCCGATCCCCGTAGATATCGGGCTGCTTGATGCGGAGGGGCCAGTTTGTCCTAGTCCCAGGTTGGTTTATATAATCCAGAAGTATAACTAGTTAACTAACTATAACTAACTAACTAGTCCACTGTCACTCCTTGACTAATGCCTTCTTCGATGTTAACCTCCTCCCTCTCGAATACAGAGCCAGCTTCGTCGTATTCCTCCCATATCGCGTAACCCCACCTCAACATGGAGATTCCCCAGACCCAGATAGCCGCAGCCCTCCCATCAACCGGAGCATCTCCGGACGTCAAGATCGAGATTCGCTCAGACTATCCGGTTCCGTCTCCTGCAGAGGGAGAGGTGTTGGTCAAACTGGAATTTTCCGGGGTGTGTCATTCGGATGTCCACAGTGTCCGCGGGGAAACCCCCATGTTGACTGATGTGGCGGGTCATGAGGGGGTGGGCAGAGTCGTCAAAGGTGAGGAGATGTCTGCACTGTACAGCCTCGGCCATTTGAACGGCCTAACCATGATCTTGTTCTAGTGGGGAGTGGTATCGACGAGGAGGATTGGCTTGGCAAGAGAGTGGGCATCCGGTAGGCCATGAGACGATTCCTCCTTGAGGATTACACGCGAAGGTACATTGTTACTGACTGAATCTCTGCAGATGGCTCTACAGCTCTTGCTTGGATTGTGAGATTTGTGCCGTCAACAACACGGCATGTCCCAATCAGAAAAACGCCGGTGCAGTAAGTCTCGACAATATATATCTTTGAAGTGCCATCTGACTGACACCGTCTAGAATGTCCCCGGTACTTTTCAACGTAGGCATTAACTTGCGACTTAAGCTTGATACGAGATGTTGACCGATCCAGAATATATTGTCAGCCCTGCCATCCATGTCACCAAGATTCCTTCCGAATTAGCACCGGATGTGGCAGCACCGCTGTTATGTGGTAAGTCTGTTCGACACAACGTACGAAATACACTATAACAGAGCTAAGCATAGACAGCCGGCATTGCGATGTACTCATCTATCATGAAAACGAAGACCCGTCCTGGGGATTGGATCGTTCTGCCCGGAGCCGGTGGAGGCCTGGGACATATGTAGGTTGCGTCTCAGACCCTAGAAACCTAGCTGACGATCCTCAGGGGCATTCAGATTGCCGTCAAGAAAGGACTAAAGGTCATTGCCATTGATAGGTACCGGACATACTCTCTACAGACACAACTAGCTCTGACAATATACCCAGCGGCGAGAAGAAGAAGCAGCTGTGCCTATCCCTTGGGGCTACGCGCTTCTTCGACTACAAGGTTGACGATATCGAGAATGGCGTCAAGGAGCTTACCTCGGGATTGGGTGCCCACGCTGTCATTTGCACAGCTAACAGCGAACCAGCGTACACGCAAAGTATGCGCCTCCTTCGCAGGCTAGGGGTACTTGTTTGCGTTGGAATCCCAAGCGTACCGTTCAGGTTGCCAGCCACGCCATTTGATATGATCGTCAAAGGTGAGAGCGATATGTGGACCTCGGTCTCAGAGCACCAGAGTTCTAAAATTCACGCAGGTTTGACAATTGTGGGTAATTCGGCCGGCACCGCGAAAGAGATGGACGAATTGATGGAAATGGCGGTGGCCGGGGATGTGACGGCACATATTGAGTGCTTTGACTTTAACAGCATTGAGGATGTACTGCAGCGACTTGGACGATCTGAGATTGATGGACGGGCTGTTGTGAAGATCCCCGAATGAGAAGTGCTTCAACTTAGGGCTAGGAAATGTGACTACCTAGCGTGCTTTGCAGCGACACTGAGACTTGTGGACTGGAGTAACTCTTGGCCTTCAATAAGGAATAGGCAGCTATAATGAACGAGAGTCAAATTTCATTCAGGGTCTTCTCTCTGGCTTGTGCGTTCTAGGAGTCCACCCTGTCGAGACCCAAGATAATCGGGGCGATTTCACATGCATTACCAAGCATCCAGTGATGTTTCTTAGATCCACTCCCCCTTAAACAGGAATCTGACACAACCTAGGTATGAGAGAGCATTTCACCAAGTAAAAAGGGGAGGGGACCTTTGCCGATGTTATGAAATAAAGGTGCATAGAGCTACCATCTTCCCCTGGGACTCATGCGGGAAACTCACTTGTCGATAACCCAGATCAATCAGAAAACCGAATATCGTAATGGAAAAGGGTAATTCAAATCCCAGGCAGATCTGTTTACACCCAACAATTCTAGCACATGTGAGTACGGGCTGTCTGGTCTCGCGGATGCTGTTCCGGCTTGTCCTTACACCACAGTCTAGCCTAGGCAAAACTGCTCGAAAGGCAGAGGCCTCGGCACTTATAGATTCTAGACCTATGCACAGTCAAACGTAGGAGTACATAATATCCACCGGGTGAAAATAAATCCAAATAAAATGAACTGGCAGGCCGGGTAATCGGGATCGCCCAGCCGGAAGGCGACGGTTACGCCACGAGATCTGATAATGGTTCCCGACTCTCTCGGTGCCGGTTCCTGTCCGGCTGTCAACCACTGGTAAGGCTTAGGCTTAGGCCTAGGTAGGCGTCCCGAAAGTCGGTCCTAATTGATCCTAATTGACGCCGTACCTGATAGCACCGCATGGCGATGATGACGGGGGTACAGTCTTGCATAATGGCTTCCTACAGACAAGTCCGCATGGACTGCCTCTATACCCACCTGCTGGAAAGACCTAAAGACCTCAACACGAGAAAGTGCCAATAGCTTCTGAAGAGCTCAGAATATTGCCCCGCAGGTGCTATTATTACACGCTCAGCTATCGACCTTTAATGCGTTGTGAAACACGCAGTGGGACGAACGTGGACTGCCAACCCACTTTTCAACCATCGATCAAGACAGCAGAAGCCGATACCCGGTGGCTTCCCTTATCTTCTGCGCGATATTCTACCATAACTACGAGGCATCTTGGCTCTATCACTTGCCCCTCGTTGCTGCCAGTACTCCACCCACGGGTACTCGGCTCAGCATCGCAACAAGCCAAGCATACTCATCAGGAAAGCCACCGGGTATCTCGCTCCATACCCGATAAGGATGCATATAAAACGCCATGTACACCCACTGGAGGGGTCATCCAAGGTGTTGTGAGTGTGGTGTCTCTTTTGCGCAGTTTCCCCCCTTCAGCCACATTCAATCACCATGGAGAAAAACTTCGACACTTCAGATGACTTCTCGAGTTCACCATTGCCAGAGACAAAAAGCTATGAGACTCTGGCTGTGCCCAACCTCAACATCCGCGAAGCGTCCAGTGCGGAAACCCTCGCCGCTCCTCATGCCAACAATACACCGACCCCGGGCAAAGATGCCGCCGAATGGCACATGACGCCACAAGTGATCCAACAACAAGAACGCGAAATTGCCGCTGGATTCAAAAGGCGGGAGCTCGGCGTGACGTGGGAGAACCTAAGCGTCGACGTCCTCGCCGCCGAAGCCGCTGTCAAGGAGAACCTCTTCTCCCAGTTCAACATTCCTCAATTGATCAAGGACTGGCGTCGAAAGCCTCCAATGAAGTCAATACTGTCTGACAGTCATGGCTGTGTGAAACCGGGAGAAATGCTTCTGGTCTTGGGACGCCCCGGATCGGGGTGTACTACCTTACTCAAGCTCCTCACCAACCGGCGGAAAGGATATCACACTATCCGGGGTGATGTGCGGTTTGGAAACATGACGCACGAAGAAGCGGTCCAATACCAGTCTCAGATCGTAATGAACACCGAAGAAGAGCTGTTCTATCCCCGGTTGACTGTCGGCCAGACCATGGACTTTGCTACAAGATTGAAGGTCCCGTCTCACCTGCCCAATGATGTGAAGTCCGTGGAGGAATATACGGCCGAAACCAAACGCTTCCTCTTGGAGTCTATGGGGATCGCCCATACGGCCGACACGAAAGTCGGAAATGAATTTGTTCGTGGTGTCTCCGGTGGTGAGAGAAAGCGTGTGTCCATTATTGAAGTCCTTGCCACCAAGGGCTCCGTTTTCTGTTGGGACAACAGTACGCGAGGTCTTGATGCGAGTACTGCTTTGGAATGGGCTAAAGCTCTCCGGGCTATGACCGACGTCCAAGGGCTCTCCACGATCGTCACCCTTTACCAGGCAGGAAATGGTATCTACAATCTCTTTGACAAAGTGCTGGTCCTGGACGAAGGCAAACAAATTTATTATGGACCGGCACAGGCAGCGAAACCATTCATGGAGGAATTGGGATTTGTGTATAGCGATGGAGCCAATATAGGTGAGAAACCTCTGATCTTCACTCGTGACCTGCGGAAAGACAGTGCTAATCAACTAATATAGGAGACTATTTGACTGGTGTGACGGTCCCTACCGAGAGAAAAATCCGGCCTGGACACGAACACAGGTTCCCCCGAAACGCCGATGCTATTCTGGCGGAATATAAAAACTCGCCCTTGTACACTCACATGATATCGGAGTACGACTATCCCAACTCGGAGATTGCGAAAGCAAGAACAGAAGACTTCAAAGAGTCCGTCGCCTTCGAAAAGGCCAAGTACCTACCGAAGAACACTACCCTTACTACGGGCTTTGGTACGCAACTCTGGGCCTGTACGATCCGTCAGTACCAGATCCTGTGGGGTGAGAAGTCCACTTTCTTGATCAAACAGGTTCTGTCTTTGAGCATGGCCTTGATTGCGGGATCCTGCTTCTACAATTCCCCGGATACGACTGCGGGCCTTTTTACCAAGGGTGGTGCTGTGTTCTTTTCCCTTCTGTATAACTGTATTGTCGCCATGTCTGAAGTCACCGAGTCCTTCAAGGGGCGCCCAGTTCTGGTGAAACATAAAGGATTTGGATTCTATCACCCTGCCGCATTCTGCCTGGCTCAAATCACTGCCGACTTCCCTGTCCTCCTGTTTCAGTGCACGATTTTCGCTATTGTGATGTACTTCATGGTTGGTCTGAAGGTCGATGCAGCTGCTTTCTTTACATTCTGGGCTATCCTCTTCACCACAACCCTGGTGAGTTAACTGAGCTTCATCCTCCATCCCGCGTCATGTTCATACTGACTGAAATTAGTGTATCACTGCTTTATTCCGCTTCTGTGGCGCTGCTTTCAGCAGTTTTGAAGCTGCTTCAAAGATCTCTGGAACTGCAGTGAAGGGCATCGTCATGTATGCCGGTTACATGATCCCCAAACCCCACATCAAGAACTGGTTCCTGGAACTGTACTACACAAATCCTTTTGCCTACGCATTCCAGGCTGCCCTGTCCAACGAGTTCCATGATCAGGTCATTCCCTGCGTTGGTAACAACCTGATCCCTAGCGGACCCGGCTATGAGAATGTTGGTACAGCCAACAAAGCATGTGCCGGAGTCGGCGGTGCATTGCCTGGAGCAGACTATGTGACCGGTGATCAATACCTTGGATCGCTGCACTACAAACACTCGCAACTCTGGCGAAACTACGGTGTGGTTTGGGCGTGGTGGGGCTTCTTCGCGGTGGCCACGATCGTCTGCACATGTTTCTGGAACGCCGGAGCTGGCAGTGGCGCAGCTCTGCTGATTCCCCGTGAGAAGCTGAAGAATCATCAACGCGCTGCCGACGAGGAGTCCCAGGTCAAGGAGAAGGAACAGACTCGAGGGCCGGCGGCGGGTGAATCGACTGCTCAGGACGACAACCTCACCCGCAACACGTCTATTTTCACCTGGAAAAATCTGAAGTACACTGTCAAGACCCCTACTGGTGACCGCCTCTTGCTGGACAATGTCCATGGGTGGGTTAAGCCGGGTATGCTTGGGGCCCTGATGGGGTCTTCGGGCGCAGGAAAGACGACCTTGCTCGATGTGCTGGCGCAGCGAAAAACCGAGGGTACTATCAATGGATCTATTCTTGTCGATGGGCGTCCATTGCCTGTCTCGTTCCAAAGGATGGCGGGATACTGTGAGCAGTTGGATGTTCATGAGCCGTATGCTACTGTCCGAGAAGCATTGGAATTCTCTGCACTGCTGCGCCAGCCACGCACCACGCCTAAGGAAGAAAAACTCAAGTATGTCGATACTATCATCGATCTCCTGGAGCTCCATGACCTTGCGGATACCCTGATTGGTACTGTTGGAAACGGTCTTAGTGTCGAGCAAAGAAAGCGCGTGACTATTGGCGTTGAACTTGTGTCCAAGCCGAGTATCTTGATCTTCTTGGACGAGCCTACTTCTGGTCTTGATGGACAGTCTGCGTATAATACAGTTCGATTTCTTCGGAAGCTTGCTGATGTTGGGCAAGCTGTCCTGGTCACTATTCACCAACCGTCCGCACAGTTGTTCGCCCAGTTTGACACTCTTCTGCTCCTCGCTCGGGGAGGCAAAACCGTGTACTTTGGGGACATCGGCGAGAATGGACAGACGATTAAGGAGTACTTTGGCAAATATGGAGCGCAGTGCCCTGTTGAGGCAAATCCCGCGGAGTTCATGATTGACGTGGTCACTGGAGGTATCGAAAGTGTGAAGCATATGGACTGGCACCAGGTCTGGCTCGAGTCCCCGGAGCATACCCGCATGCTCCAGGAACTCGACCATATGGTCGAGGACGCAGCCTCCAAACCGCCGGGAACGGTCGACGATGGCTTTGAGTTCTCGATGTCACTCTGGGAGCAGACGAAAATCGTGACCCGCCGCATGAACATCGCGCTCTTTCGCAACACGAACTATGTGAACAACAAGTTTATGCTGCACATTATCTCCGCACTACTGAATGGATTCTCGTTTTGGCGCGTCGGACCCAGCGTGTCGGCTCTTAACTTGAAAATGTTCACTATATTCAACTTCGTCTTCGTCGCCCCTGGTGTGATCAATCAACTTCAACCACTGTTCATCCAACGGCGCGATATCTACGACGCTCGCGAAAAGAAATCCAAGATGTACTCGTGGGTGTCATTCGTGATCGGGCTGATCGTGTCTGAGTTCCCATATCTCTGTGTGTGCGCAGTTCTGTATTTCCTCTGCTGGTACTACTGCGTCAAGTTGCCACACGATTCCAACAAGGCTGGCGCAACATTCTTCATCATGCTCATCTACGAGTTCATCTACACGGGCATCGGCCAGTTCGTGGCTGCGTACGCACCAAACCCCACCTTTGCCGCGCTGGTGAACCCTCTGATTATCAGTACGCTGGTTTTGTTCTGCGGTATCTTCGTGCCGTATACGCAGTTGAACGTGTTTTGGAAGTATTGGCTGTACTGGCTGAATCCGTTCAATTATGTGGTCTCGGGCATGCTGACCTTTGGGATCTGGGATGCGAAGGTGACGTGCAACGCGGATGAGTTCGCCTTCTTTGATCCTACGAATGGCACCTGCGGGGAGTATCTGGCGGACTACATACGTGGGGATGGCTGGCGTATCAACCTGACCAACCCGGATGCCACCTCGGCTTGCAAGGTGTGCCAGTACCGCGAGGGAAGCGATTTCCTGACGACGTTGAACATCAACGACTACTACTATGGCTGGCGGGATGCGGGGATTTCGGTGATCTTCGCGATCAGTGGATATGCGTTGGTGTTTGGACTGATGAAGCTGCGGACGAAGGCGTCGAAGAAGGCGGAGTAGATCATCTGGCATTCGTCAGATTGGCATTCTTTGGAAGACTTTTTTTCTTTTCTCATCCCTTTTATTTCTTGTTCGGTTCATTATCGGTCTGGTCTAACGGTGCATTGAGGAGCGGTGGGATAGACTGCATGGAATAGAGGATAGACTATCTACATAGAGTATAGAGCATAGAGCATAGAGTATAGAATGTGAATATAGATTATGACTCTCATACTAGTAGCATATAAGTAGTAAATAGGTATAGTGTCTGTATAGATGGCTCTCGGCGAATGAGATGGAGGTGTGCCGGAATACCGCCCTCTGATTGGCCGGGAGCAGGACCACCACATGGGGGCAGACGAGACGCTCACTTGTCCATCGTCAACTTCAACTTCAACTTCAACTCCCTTTCATACTTTCCGTCCGCATCATCATTCCTCAATTCGGATATCCTCTTCGTGGCTCTCCTCGACCCAATGGTTCCTTCCCCCAGAGGGATCGGCTTCCCTCCCCTGGCTGTCTGTGGCCTCCAATGTCTACAGGGCCCCATGTGTCTCCCTGATAGGGCCTCACGAGAGTATCTTGCCGTGACGGTGGGGCGTTCTGATGATCCCCCAAGTCCTGGAGTCAATTGATAGAAGAAGACGCTCTGCCCCTCGACCCCTCAATCTCTTGTCTCCTCGTCTGTCGTACGACTCTATTCTCCCACCACATCTGGAGAAGACATACGCCATGAGTACTCTTCCCACTCCAATTGCGTCCATATTGGGCGCCGTGGATCCCCTGCATGTATACATCGCCGGCGCCGCTTTCCTCGTCTGCGCACTCGTCGCGGTCGTCCTATTCCTGTCCGGTCAAAAGAACAAGATTAACTACGACAGTGGCGTGTTCACGTACTTGAAGTTTATCTACGCGACCTTTCTCAAGCCCCATGAGAAAGGTGGCAACAGCCAACAGGATGCTCTCGAAAGCTTCTACAAGACCCAGGTATGTCTTCCACCTCATTCAGCTCTGATACTCTCCAATTGACCAGTTCCGATCCAGGCAGGAGTATATGATGCCACTCGCAAACGCCTGCTCTGTGGTCGAGAGGACATGCTGGGTCTCGTCGCTGCTCAACTCAAGCACAAGGTAGAAAACAAAGAGACCAAAGCTGGAAAGCCCATCTGGGTTGACGTAAGTGTCCTCTCACTTTCGTGAACAAGTCCAAATCCTAACCCTTACAGATTGGAGGAGGCACCGGGTGAGCGCCGACGACTTTTGATCAACTATCCCCGCAGCGTCCTAATGGAACCTAGATACAACATCGAAGCCATGTCCCGGTTTCTTCCCGTCAACAAGTTCTTCTCCCAGGTCTACTTGGTTGACCTCTCTCCCTCACTGTGCGAAGTTGCCCGTGAACGTTTCCAACGCTTGGGATGGAAAAATATCTCCGTGGTTTGCCAGGATGCTCGAACGTTTCGCCTGCCGGACAGCAGCGTGGATCCTCGCGCGACAGATGCTGGTGCAGATATCATCACCATGAGCTACAGCTTGTCAATGATTCCAGGTGAGCGACATTACCTGAGTGAGTAGTCGAATGTGGGCTGACTCTTCGCAGATTACTACAGTGTCGTCGACTCCCTAACCTCTCTTATGAAGCCTTCAGGTCTGCTGGGAGTGTGCGATTTCTACGGTACGTCCTCGCGATAGAGTATATGTTCGACGGCTAACCTTATCCAAGTCCAGAGCATCGTGGATGTCTCTTCCCGCAACTACATCGGTGGCGCCTTCAACCGCCACGTCAACTACCTCAGCCGTGTGTTTTGGCGTGCGTGGTTTGACGTCGACCGTGTTAGCCTCGAAGCGGCTCGTCGGGACTATCTCGAATACCGCTTTGGAACCGTCATCTCCGCTAGTGAAAGAAACTATCTTCTCGGAGGAATCCCCTATTACATCTTCATCGGCTGCGCCAAAGACATCTCATCTGCCCAGTCTGGTCAAGACGCCATCGAGAAGTTGGATGCCTCGTTTACTGAGTCTCCATACCTGTCGCCTGCCAAACACCGCCAGGAGATGGACAAAGCCATCGAATCAAGCACTCAAGAAGTCCGGTCCAAAGCGTACGAGTCGGCTGTTGTCAACCTGGGCTCCAACCTCCCTCTTCCTTCGTCTTTCTATCAGAACCACCACTATCGGATCTTCTACAACGACCTGCTTCCCAAACACACACAGTTCCAGAACGAGTACATCTACGCCTTCAACTGGGAAGATCCTCGCGTGGACCACCAGCTGCTCAACATCAAGCACGACGATGTGATCCTGGCCATCACCAGCGCCGGAGACAATATTCTTGACTACCTTCAGAAGAGCCCTCGCCGCGTCCACGCGGTTGACCTCAACCCGAACCAGAACCACCTGCTTGAGCTCAAGGTGGCTAGTTTCATTGCGCTGGGTCATCGTGACGTCTGGAAGATCTTTGGCGAAGGAAAACACGCCGACTTCCGCCAACTGCTCATTGGCAAGCTGAGCCCCCATCTCTCCAGCCAAGCGTTTCAGTACTGGCTCGAGCACACTCACATCTTCACCTCCTCTTACAGCCGCGGTCTCTACGAGACTGGCGGATCCCGTCACGCCATCAAAATGGTCCGCTATCTGTTCAAGGTCTTCGGACTGGAGGGCCAGGTGCGCAAGCTGTGCGAGGCTCAGACGCTGTCCGAACAACGTGCTATCTGGCCCAAGATCCGCTCCGTGTTGATGAGCAAGCCGCTGCACTGGGCGGTGGTCGGGACGGAATGGTTCGCGTGGAAGGCCGCCGGCGTGCCCCGAAACCAGCGCAATATGATCATCGATGACTTCTTCAAGCGCAACGGCCTGAACAAGAGCATGAAGCAGGCGAAAGACATCAGCGGCCAGTCGATCTGGGAATATGTTGTTGACACGCTGGATCCCGTCGTCAAGGAGACCATGATCAGCAACGACAACTATTTCTACTACCTGTGTCTGCAGGGACAGTTCTCGCGAAGGTAAGACCAGTCCACTGTAATCCCATCCTCCCATCTAACATGGCCAGATGCCACCCCGCCTACCTCTCACCCAAAGCACATGTGAAACTTTCTTCCCCGGGTGCTTTTGACGGTCTCCGCATCCACACAGACGAGATCAACGAGGTGATTAAGCGCATCACCCCTAGAAGTCTCACCATTGCGGTTGTAAGTATCCGCCCGGGTCTCTCAGTTAGGCGAAACTAACATCAACAGATCATGGATTCTATGGACTGGTTCGACCCCGAGAGTACCGACGCCTCAGTCCAGGCACAGAAGCTGAACCACGCCCTGAAAATGGGCGGTCGCATTCTCCTCCGCTCCGCCAGCATCGAGCCGTGGTATGTGAAGAATTTCGAAGAGAATGGATTCACGGCACGTCGTGTCGGCGCCCGGTTCCCGGGAACCTGCATTGATCGGTGAGTAGCAACATTTCTGCACGTTTGATTGGAACAGGACTGACTTCTGCAGGGTAAACATGTACGCGTCGACCTGGATCTGTACGAAGACGAAAGAGATCGAGAGCGAGCGACCCACTGCTGATCGATCCATTTCCTCCTTATCGCTGAGCGATAGCAGTAGCAAGCGGTCGAGCGTGGATCATCTGGAGATATGACATGAATCGTTCAGCATTGTTATTATGATGTTGCTATTTAGTCGTGCTTTGTAAATTGGCGAGGTTAGATGTTGTGATTAGACCTGTGGCTTACTCCAAGTGATCCTAAACTTGTATATACGGGCGAAGATATAGACCCAAAAAGTCTCCTCGGAACCGACGGTCGAAGATTATCATCAGAGAACCCTTCACCAATTTGGTCTATTGCAGTAAAACGTACAGTCATACCGTACACCTCGGTCCACTCTAATGAACACAATAGGATAAACAACGCAAGAGAATGGAAACAAGACTAAAACTCTGTACAGGGAAAAGATAGTAGGAGCTCATGAAGTCGAGTCACACGGCCGGTCGTCAAAAAGTAATTAAATTGGTTCTCGTTTTCCTCGCACCCCTTCGCATCGACTGCATCGGACGCCATAGGAGGGTGGAAGGACGAAATAGGTACAACAAAGATCAAGGCGTAGACAAGGAGTTCATAGCGACGAGGGTACAGGCGTTCCGAAGGGATCGGCCAACACCGCGCCATGAACACGTGCACGGAGGGTCGTTGGACATCGTACAGGTAGGTGGGGTCGTTTATGAGCGGCCGTATCTGGTCTTTCCGAAGGAGAAAGGCACATAGCGATACTTGATCATATGCTGGATCTGTCGTCGCACTGCAACACAAAAATCGTCAGCCAATTGCCCAACCGCCCACGGCATCGGAGACTTACTCGTCAGGCAGAACAGAAGTACCCAGTAGACCACCAGGACGGGCCAGAACACGGGGATGTCGAAGACACTGAGCCAGCTGCAGACAAAGGCAATGGCAATGGCGCGGGTGGCGGAGTGCCAGAACTTGAACTCCGGCAGACGGCGGATGAACGGACGGAACTCGTCATCTTGCTTGGTGGGCAGGCTGGCGGCGGCGTCGCCATCCTCCAGGCCCTCATCTTGCGTGAGGGAGGGGTCGAACTTGGGCTGCAGGAAGAGGAGGAAGAGGTTCAGGAGGTAGATGCCAAGAGTGTAGGCGACTATTTTTGGTTTACTGTCAGTTTGGTTCGGGGCTGGGTACTTTCAGGTTGTTCGCGCCATTGAGGACGTCTCCTGGGTGTTGAGGATCCTGTGGAGGAGGATATATATGCACGTACCGATGTACCATCCCTGAGCCAGGATAATCCTCAGGAAGAAGACGAGGAGCAGAACAACGGTGCCGATCCAACGGTAAGCCGTGAACGGGGTCGAGGCGTCAAGGTACGTTTGGTATTGCTGCAGCACCACCAGTTAGTGATTCTGTAGCCGACTAAAGGGAGCCTTGATGCGTCGCATGATAGAGACAGACTTACCCTGGCGAGCTTCGAAGTTTGCGCGGTGACCGCCGTGAACGGAGTCTGTTCAGGCTCAGGAACGTCCATGGTGTCGGGTGAAGGGTACAGATCGAGAGAGTCCGACAGAGATGAGGTCAAAGGTAACTGGACTTCCTCCGCAGTGCCGATACACTGAGTCAGTTGTCGGGAGAAAGCAGCAGCCGAGAGAGTGGGATGGGATCGAAGATAAGTGAATGTCCGTGTTTGGCGCATGAAAAGTGTCCACTGCGGACGGACCTGGCACTAGTCCCGATTCGGAGCACCAGCCACATGGATCACGTGATTGTGATAGATAATTAGTCATCGGTCCAGGTTGGACGGAGTAATTATCAAACCCCTGACCATGATTGCTATCAAGACATTCAGTATAAGGCTCTGTGCAGAGGTCCAGCCCAGGTATTGCAAAGGACTGAGAATTGGAGGTATTGTATTCAGCTCAGAGGGCATTCATCTGCTACGGAGTACTTGAGTCGCCGCGAGCGGAAGGATAAGAGCAACAATATAGGTCATCAAGACAAACCAGTGTGCCAATGCTTCATGCTATCTGCGGCCTTTCCTTATTATATGGAATCTACTGCAATGAGAGCTTCGGCATTGAATTACTTACTAGGTATAAACTAGGTATAAACGGAGGACTGGAAGGCAACAGTCACGTGCGCGCCTTGCCTCGGAACAGAGCGGTTGTTTTCGGCTGCGGGGAGCGTCATAAACATCCCCCCATCCATGGGGTACTAACTTCACCATCAACTTCCCTCTGCATCCTCCCTCCCATCTGTACGTCGTCAATTGACTACTTCTGCCATCATGTTCGCCCGACAGTGCTCCCGTCTCGTCTCCTCCCGCACCGCCGTCCCCTTGACCTCTTTCCTCTCCCGCGCGAGACCCTATTCTTCCGCTACCTCGGCATACGAGCATATCCTCACCTCCACCCCGAAACCCGGCGTTGGACTGAGTGAGTTTCCTTTTGTTGCCGCACACTTCTCAGGAATAAGAAGGCCGCAAGCCGCATACTTACACACTCTACTCTGCAGTCACATTGAACCGCCCGAAAGCCCTCAACGCCCTGTCCAGTCCCCTCTTCACCGAAATCAACGATGCACTCTCCAAATACGACGCCGACAAGGACATCGGCGCCATCGTCATCACCGGCAGTGAAAAGGCCTTTGCCGGTACGCACATCCCTCCGCTCATAATTACAATTATAAGGTCAAACTAAACCCCCGCAGCCGGCGCCGACATCAAAGAAATGGCCCCCCTGACCTTCTCCGCCGCCTACTCGAACAACTTTATCGCGCCCTGGTCACACCTCGCCAACAACATCCGCAAGCCCGTCATCGCCGCCGTGTCCGGCTACGCCCTCGGCGGCGGCTGCGAGCTCGCCCTCATGTGCGACATCATCTACTGCACCGCGTCGGCTACTTTCGGCCAGCCCGAGATCAAGCTCGGCGTCATCCCCGGCGCCGGCGGCTCGCAGCGTCTGACCCGCGCCGTCGGCAAGAGCAAGGCGATGGAGTTGATTCTCACCGGAAAGAACTTCAGCGGCAAAGAGGCCGGCGAGTGGGGCGTCGCTGCGAAGGTTGTCGACGGCGGAAAGGACGAGCTCCTCGAGGAGGCCCTCAAGACGGCCGAGACGATTGCTGGGTACAGTCGTGTGGCGGTCGTCGCGGGCAAGGAGGTTGTCAACAAGAGCCAGGAGCTCTCGCTGAGGGAGGGTGTGGAGTATGAGAGACGCCTGTTCCATGGGTTGTTTGGAAGTAAGGATCAGAAGATCGGTATGTTTCTTTCCTCCCCTGCGCTGATATGATGGTTGGGCGGTGCTGATCTTCTTGTGTACAGGTATGACTGCGTTTGCCGAGAAGAAGAAGCCCGAGTGGTCGCATGAGTAGGGTATTCGTAGATTTGGATAGATACCTAGGAGCCAGGTTAATGAGAATGTCTATACTCTCTGTCTGATGTCAGTAAGCACAGCACTTCATGGCGTAACAGCGTCACTCATATTAGTAAGATTATGTACATGATATTAAGATATGTCCAGTAGTAATAGTACACTCGCCAGTGCGATGGGATGATCATGAATATTGCACCTTCTCCGACTGCGACGCATCCATCACAGCCGGCTTCTGGGACTGATACTGCTGGAAGGCGCTGCTCTCGATGGTCTCATCGAAGACATCGACCTGCGTGTCCGCAAACTTGCGAGCGCTGACCTTGCGCTCGAAGAGCAGGTCCAGCTCGGCAAAGGTGCGCCCCTTGGGTTCCGGCACGCGGAAGAACGTATATACAATGCAGAGGAAGCAGATGCCGCCCCAGAAGAAACCGGCGTAGTTGCCCCAGTTCCAGGCGCCGGGGTTGAGCATGTACGGGGTCAAGACGCCGCAGATAATGGCGACGACGTTGTACAGGCAGCGGCCGAGGACGACGGTCTTGATCTGCAGGCGGCGCGTGGAGAGCTCGGCGACGAGCGAGTACGCCACGGTGCCGACGCTCAGCTGGTAGAACAGAGCCCAGACGATCATCATGGAGCCGGTGGCGAGGGAGGCCTGGTCGCGGTGGGCGTGCGGCACCAGGCCCAGGAAGCCCATGACGAGCAGCATGACGCAGAGCCCGCACAGTCCGTAGAGGTACAGGGTGCGGCGGCCCAGGCCCACGGTCATGAGGAACCAGGCGCCGAACACGCCGACCATGTTGATGCCATACTGGCCCATGGCAAAGGCGTAGGCCTTGCTGGCGTCGAGGCCGGCCTGCTCGAGGAAGTAGGTCGAGTAGTTGGAGAAGGAGTTGCCGCTGAGGTTCTGGATCGCCCAGACCATGCAGACGATCTCAGTGCGCCGCCTGTCGGTGCCCTTGAAGCAGTCCCAGTAGCTCGCGCCGGTCGTGATCTGCTTCTCCAACGCGGTGGTGTGCACCATCATGGCGATGGTCTCGTCGGCGTCAAAGTCTGTGTCGCGGTTGACGCTGGTCAAGCGGAGCAAGGCCTTTTTGGCGTCCTCCGTGCGGCCTCGTCGCACGAGCCACCATGGCGATTCCGGCGCCATTAAGATGCCGATGAACAAGGGCAGCGGCCACATCCATTGCAGACCGTAGGGGATTCGGTAGGCCCACTGGTCGTCGCGGTTGATCATGGACTTGATCACGCCGACACCAATCAACTGACCTATGTGCATGTTAGCGTCTAAAGTTGCACTAGTTGTCTGGTAGTTGGTACTGACCAAGACCCCAGCAGAAGTTGACGTAGGTGGTGAGATAGCCACGCAGCGCCACGGGGCAAACTTCGGAGGCATAGGTGATGGTCAGCGTTTGGAAGACGCCCCAGGGAATACCGGCGAGGATTTCGGCGGCCAGGAGGGCCTGGACGTTGGGGGCGGTGAAAAAGATGGCGATCCAGGCGGTGAGGAGAACCAAACAGGCCATGATGGTGTAGCGATATCCGAACCGTTCCGAAGCCCAACCATTAAACAAGAGACCGATAATTTCTCCGACATAGGCGCCGTTGCTTAAACCTGCTTGCCACTGTTCTAGGGTTAATCACAGGTCAAGATTGCGGGTTGAAGGAATTGAAACATACGCGAGCCGGGACTTGGTAGGATCCATCGGGCAGTAGTTCACCATACTTCCGGTTGAACGGGGGGAATGCGTAGAAATTGTTGACCAAGCTGATATCGTAACCTTCCATGGCAATGCAAGTCGAGATCAGAACGCTCCACGCAACGGCCTTGGGGTAGAGCTTGATGCCCTGTAACAGGGTCATCCGCTGCTCCTTGTCGGTAGCGGCTTTTGCATTCTGGACGATCTTCGCAACCGAACTGGCCGAGCTTTGTCGGGGTTGCGAGTCGGCCGGAGGGGCTTGCGTCGTGGGTTCGACCGACGCAATGGCGTCCTGCGCCTTTCCGGAAGCCATCAGCGTAGGAGTTGGGCCCGTGGACGCAAAGATACCAAGGACGGGAGAGGACAGGTAAAGAGGGGGCACACGAGGTGGTGAGAGGGACGAGGATGGAGGGCAAAGAGACTGAGCGGGTGGGACAGAAAATTTATGGCCCAGCGGGGCGGTCTTGCCAGGGCCCTCTTTTTTTTCACCCCCACTTCTCCTGGATGGTCAGGAACAGCGTCAACACACAATGAGAAGGCCAGGAAGTGTCTAGAATCCGAATGAAGAGGCTAGAGCAGAGGAGATCTCGTGGAGGTGGAAAGAGGAACGTCCACGACGGATTGCGGATTGCGGATTGCGGGGAAGAATGGGGGTGGGAATGGTTACATCCGGTGTGTCACGGGCTACAGCAGATCAGCCAAGCCTTTAGCCGGTCCTCACGCATTCTCGATTCTCTTGTCGGACGGTTCCCTGTGTCCTTTCGGCTTAGTGAGGGCTTGCTAGAGATCAATCGGGTCTGGTGTCAACCTTCCAGGCCCCCTTTTGATCCTTTGGATCCTTTTGGCCATGTCTGGGTCAGGTTCCTTGATCACGCCGAATGTTTTCGAAGGGAAAAGATTTTCTCTTCCTTCTCCCTAGTGCGGAGCCGGATAGAACTTGTTCTGCGATAGATGGGTTGGTTGACTTGAGGTTGAATTAGGGTTTCCATACTCACGTCCACGCATCCCCTTGCATATCTGTGCATCCATCTCGCTGGAATGTCTCCATCCACAACACAAGAGCCCCTATCCTCCCAGCTCGTCATATAAAATCCCTGTTTAATACTAGATTGAATAGCAGGCTTTTCGTGGGCAATACTTTATGAACGACTGCATTGCAGAGGCTGATGTAGGATAAGCCACCTTGTACCGACAGTCAACCATTGGCCAAGCACTCTGTTTTCCAGTCGATCTGGTAAGCCACAACCCAATTTAAACTACCTCTTTCAAAGTCCTCCAATATACGAGGGGTGTAGAATAGACTTACTGATTGTAACAGTCAGCCCTATCGGCCTGCAAGAAGCGCACTGTAAACCGGATCATTCTGACGCCATTCAGCACAGTAAACACTTTTCTACCAAACCTGCCAGTATATCACGCCGAAATCCTAGAAGCTTTATGACTCTGACTACTTCAAATTGTTCCCTCTGTGTTATCTATGCCTCCATCTGTTAGTGAGGTGTCCGATGCTGGTAGTCCCTCATGTTTGGTTTGCATCTGAACTATCAATTCCTTCACGTCAAGGTAGAAACAGAGGTTGACACTGGACTTTTCTTCCGCCGGGGAAGGACTTTCCTGCAAACAACCTGATTTTCAAACAGACAATCGCTGCAGATAGGAAGAGTAAATAGGCTCCACGATCATTCCGGACTTGGAGGTCTTAGCATGACTCTGAGTGTGACCTAGAGCTGTCAAACGTGCTCGATTTAAGGTAGTAGCATCTTATTAAGTCTTTGTTGATCTGCCGATACTCTAAACCGAGTCATATATTTACCAACTACATCTCAGCTGATCGGTTGAGACTCCTGCGACAACCTGAAGCACAAGGCATGAAATCAGTCAAAAAAAAGGGTCCCCTGCACTTATTCCAGCATTATACGAATACAGAGGGATTCAAGAATTTAGGTACTCGTCTCCCTCCTCAATCTTACTGACCTTACTCCCACTTTCATATCTATCTGCAACCGCCGGCAGTCCGCTTCGGAGGGCGGAGCTTTCCGCCGAGGGCCCCGCCGAACATAACAAGGAGGACGCGAAAGGGACGGTGGCTGATAATACATCTAGTGTATGGAAGGATGTTGTAGTTAAATTAGAGAGACTAGCTTCCTCGGTCAGTCGAACATGTTGGAAGATGTGACTCTGGGCCGATCTTTCAGCATCCGATGCAGCATCACCCTGCGGAATGGCTTTCCGTGGACATAGAGAACACCCGCCGGTTCCGGATCAATTCCGAAGTCAGAGGTTTGGCTAAGCCAAGTCTCTCGGAAAGTCGGCCTGTACATACTCCGTACTGAGTAGCTTCATGTCCACCCGGGACTGGAATCAGCAGGTGAGGTTGACTTGTAATTGTATCATTTCAGTTAGGGGGTTGGGGGCAGAGTGCAATGCCACGAAAAGCCCCAGTCCTGATTTTACGTCTCCTCTGTATCAGGGATTGAATGCCCCAAGACAGAATAGAAGTGAGAGATCTAGAGAAGAGAGAGCCCGCCATTGGTTTCCCGAAAGAGGCAAAACTTGCGCCGGGCCCCATTGTAGTCCTCCCCGCGAGAAGAGCAATAGTGAATGGCCCTAATGAGGCTGAAATGGTAAGCGTCAGGCTCCGAAAATTCTAGAAGAGTTGTCTGGGCTGGTCCACTGACTAAGGATCAGCTGGCAATCAAGATCGGTGTTATGATTGAAAGAAATGAGATTCATCAATGCTGGACAGCCTGAGGCACGCATGACGGGGATCCGCGGTGAGGAGGATCGGGATTGGCCGTGTCTGACAAAGAACTGGGTTTGATTGGCTGTTGGGATTAAGGTGCGGGGTGTTGGGATACAGCTTCATTCTACTTGAGCGTTTCATGGGTTTCTCCCACAGTTCGAATAGTAGTATCCATATTTGAGACTTCGCTCTCTTCACAACTCCAAGAATCGACATATGCTCTACTTCTACCTACTTACGTATTTTCAGAAATCCATTTTGGGAAGTCTATCCAGAGGTGCTCTGATTGGCTGTCTGTGGATCCATGAGATCATCATCCGGGAAAATTAACATTACTATTGGACGAGAGGAGGGTATATTCTTTTTCTTCTTTTTTTCCGGACCCACAATTCTTGATGGGAGAAATAGAATTATGGAAGGTACTTCCAGGTACACCTCGATCAGGATTATTACTATTATTCTTGTTACTACCGAGTATTATCATCAGTCCTCTATTTAATCCCCGCATCCCCTCCCCCAACTGCTCCGTCCTTCTTCCTCTTCTCATCTCCACACCTCTACTCATCCCACTAAACCACCGCCATCATGGCCAAAGACGACGAGCCCAGTATGTCCATCTTCACTGACGCTCCCTACGTATCCTTTCTAACTCCAATTCCCTTCCTCTAGAGACCTACCGCTACAACGAAACCCCCACCTACACTACCTCCAATGGGTGCCCCGTCTTTGACCCTCAGGCCGCCCAGCGGATTGGTCGTAATGGTCCTCTGCTCCTTCAGGACTTCCACCTGATCGATCTGTTGGCCCACTTTGACCGCGAGAGAATCCCCGAGCGTGTCGTCCACGCCAAGGGTGCCGGTGCCTACGGTGAATTCGAGGTCACCGACGACATCAGTGACATCACCACCATTGACATGCTCAAGGGTGTTGGCAAGAAGACCAAGACCTTTGTGCGCTTCTCTACCGTCGGTGGTGAGAAGGGTTCCCCCGACAGTGCCCGTGATCCCCGTGGCTTCGCCGTCAAGTTCTACACCGAGCAGGGCAACTGGGACTGGGTCTTCAACAACACCCCCGTCTTCTTCCTTCGCGACCCGGCCAAGTTCCCCATCTTCATCCACACTCAGAAGCGTAACCCCCAGACCAACCTGAAGGATGCCACCATGTTCTGGGATTATCTCTCCACCCACCACGAGGCCGTCCATCAGATCATGCACCTCTTCAGTGACCGTGGTACGCCTTACTCCTACCGCCACATGAACGGCTACTCCGGCCACACCTACAAGTGGATCAAGCCGGACGGCACTTTCAACTACGTTCAGATCCATCTCAAGACCGACCAAGGAAACAAGACCTTCAACAACGAGGAGGCCACCCGCCTGGCTGCCGAGAACCCCGACTGGCACACCGAGGATCTGTTCAACGCAATTGAGCGCGGCGAGTACCCCTCCTGGACCTGTTACGTGCAGGTCCTCAGCCCCGAGCAGGCCGAGAAGTTCCGTTGGAATGTCTTCGACCTGACCAAGGTGTGGCCGCAGAGCGAGGTTCCACTGCGTCGCTTTGGCCGCTTCACCCTGAACAAGAACCCTCAGAACTACTTCGCCGAGGTCGAGCAGGCTGCCTTCTCTCCTTCCCACATGGTTCCCGGTGTTGAGCCCTCCGCCGACCCCGTGCTGCAGTCCCGCCTCTTCTCCTACCCCGATACCCACCGTCACCGTCTGGGCGGCAACTACGAACAGATCCCGGTGAACTGCCCTCTCCGCGCCTTCAACCCCACTCACCGTGATGGTTACATGAACGTTCACGGCAACTACGGTGCCAACCCCAACTACCCCTCTACCTTCCGTCCCATCCGCTACGAGCCCGTCAAGGCCAGCCAGGAACACGAGAAGTGGGCTGGCTCCGTGGTCGTCGAGCAGCTGCCCGTCACCAGTGAAGATTATGTTCAGGCCAACGGTCTCTGGCAGGTCCTGGGCCGTCAGCCCGGCCAGCAGGATGCCTTCGTTCACAACGTCTCTGTCCACCTCTGCGGCGCCCACGAGCGTGTCCGCAAGGCGACATACGACATGTTCCGTCGAGTCAACCCTGATCTCGGTGCTCGCATTGAGAAGGCTACTGAGGCCAACGTCAGCGCCGCCCGTGCTCGCTTGTAAACTAAATATACTTTTGCATTTGATAGCCTGCTTTTGATAAACAATCACGCATGAACTGATGAATGTGAAGTGATCTTCGACTACAAGTATGGTTTTCGGGCATATACGATATCCAAGGTGTACGGTATATTGCAGTTTATATAAACGTTCTGGCTTTAGTATGGAGCATAATACAAATAATCTAAGTCAATGAAAGGCTTCCAAATTCTACCTAGACACACAATTCCGACAAAAGAGAGATCAGTAATATCCAAAACGCCAAAGCCTGCACCCGCTTGGAAAACAGATAGTGATAAGAATTCGTAGACGGTCATATGCATGGTTGTAAGGAGGTTGAATCTGATAACGAGGGTGGCTGGATCTTTTCATTCTAGTTCGAAAAAGACGCAGGCCCGGATACGGGTTTCAGACCAGAAAAAGGTGCCAACAGTGGTATTAGGGCGGCGTGGTAATAGGGTGGTCACTGGTAGTTTTGGGATCCCAACAGCCCCAGAAAAAGCCCGGACTCTCGCACGAGGTTGTGTCACCTGGCGGAGGCGTTTGGGTAGGCGTCGACGTAGGGCTGGTAGGATCGCGACATCCAAACCATCCAGGATGAGCACAAGTCGTGGAGGTCATGAGAGGTAAGGTTGTGGTGAGGGATGGTTCCGGTGTCGCAGTTGTACTTGTCGTGGGGTCTTTGCAGCCAAACCAGCCAGGGGTTTTGCATGTGGTCGTCGACGTGCTAGTAGTGCTCGTACTGGTGGCAGTTGTCGTAGTGCTTTCGTCAAGGCAGCCCCACCAACCGGGAGTCTTGCAAGTTGAGGTACTTGTTGAAGGGGGAGTTGTAGTCGTTGTCGTTGTCGTCGTGGTCGTGGTGGTGTGCTCAGAGCCGTTGCTGCGAAAGAACTTCCACAGTTCGCAATCGTAACATTCTTCCTCCGGGGCACATTGGGGCACATCGTCGTAGACCTCAAGGACATCGCTTATTACGGCTTTGATACGGTGCGTCCCAATTGCCACACGCCAGCCCTTGTCATCCACAGTGTCATATACACACATTTGGCCAGTGTGGCACGCAGACTCCATCGCATACCCGCCCCAGGTGCAGACGGAGCTCACTCCATTGCAGGTCCCCATGTAGACAGGATCCGCTGTGTGCCCAAAATGGTAGGCACCTGTGTATCGGCGCGATTGAGGCAATCTTGGATCATGGCCTGGAGGACTCGGGAGACCCAGCCGGGCTGCAGGGAGAGCTTCGGGAACTGCCTCAAAGGTCACTGCCGGTAGGCCATATGTCAGGCCGAGCAAACTGGTCATTGCGCCGCCCAAAGAATGACCTGTCAACCACACATTTGCATCCGGGTATAGCTCTGTGACGTTCGAGTATAGGTCGAGGGCAGCACGGTAATAGCGGTTCTCATCGTTCATAGCTTCAATTATGCAGGTCAAATTGGCAGTGAATGCCGATTTCTGGCAGTCGCAGACTTGACGCCACAAGTACGAGCCTCCTTGCCCGCAACAACAGCTGAAATACAGGTTGTCGTTCAACTTGTCATTCGTGGTTGTTCCAGCGCCATCAAAGAGTGCCGGCGAAGTTCCTTTCAAGGATATGACAATAGTGCTATTCGTCTTGTCCGCATAAATATGACCTCTTAGACCATCCGTCTGCCAACCGAAACTCGATGAATAATTGAATCGACCGTGGATATCCTGCCAATCCTCGGTGTCGGGCTCCTGGATGTAGTCGTTTGCCGTCATTTTTGCGAAAGTCAGAACGCTATTCTTGTCGGTGACATCAGGCCCAGCCAAAGTATCCATAACCCAGTCGGACTCCGACAGCACAGATGCCGATCCGCTCATCCTCGCAGCAAGCAAGTGTTCCTCAATGACCGAAGGGCGTCGATCGGCAAGTCGCTGGATGGTGACGGGATGGGATGAAGCGATCAGTGGAGTGTCGAATTCAGCGGCTTCCTTATCAGTACCATCTTCAGACAGGACCCAAAGTTGAGTGTGGGGTTGGATATCTAATCGTCGGTGAAGGTCAGGGTGCTGATAAGTTCCGCGGTGGAAGATGTGACGCAGTGTCTAGGCCGATAAGCATCAGTATTGGATATGAGGAGGTGCAGGAGCCCACAGGTAACGTACAAATTCATGTGTTCCAGATAACGAGGAGAGGTCCTCTAAGGGGATCTGAGGCGAGAGAAAAGGAGACGAATCGTAAGGACGGGAGTATATAGATGGAGGCGCTGAGGCGGAGACGGACACGGGAAGCAACAGCGAAGCCCCCAGAAGGAGCGTTGAGAAGCCCATCTCTCTCATCCGACGCTTCTTCTGATGGCCTTGGTGTGATTTCATGATGAGGACAGACAGAAAGAGAAGAGTCAAGTGAGGGAGGGATGTGCTGGGGACAAGGGATTCCGAGGCGATGCTTATCAGGCGGCGGTGACGCAGTGCGGAGGCCCCACGTGACTTTATCGGAGTTAACGCGTGACAGTGACTCCGATGTCGTACGCGGTCCCACGTTATCCTCGAGAAAGATGATACCACCTTGACTAACTACTCCCTCTGCTTCCTCCCACCTGACATCGCCCCTCCAGGCCTCGATTGAACGGTCGACATTCGCAACAATGCTCCCCTCAGACGCCTAACGCATTCCCGAGCTGCCGAATACTTCCCCTCGTCCATCAAGCCGTTTCCCCATCCGTGACGTGATCTGCAAAAGCCGGATCACCTGAACTCCGCCGCGGTTCGGGTAGTTGAGTAAATCGCTGTGAGAAACAGAATCATGTCGCCCAGTGCTTCCGACAATGGCCCAGGAAAGCCAACCTTACATTCGGTTCGCTCATTTCCCAGAATGGACAGCTCCGACCCAAGCCCCTTTTCTCGTTCCAGGTCAAAGACGGTTCAGTCAGTTGCAATAACGGAGAGCGTGGACCCAGATGCCCTCCCTATACCGTTGTCTGGAGCCGACGAGGGTCAAGATGTCGGCCCCGACGTGTTTGAAAAGACCAGCACCCCCGACTTGGACGATAGTCAGCAGGGCGAGGAAGTCTCGGTACTGTCACGGCATGCTCAGGAACAAGAGGAAGAGTTGCCTATTGAGCTGATCAGTCTGACTGACCGGTGAGGATCTGTCTTCTGTGGATGTTCCTGAAATAACGCTAATCTCGCTATCCAGATTTGTCAAGTCCCTCGGTGCTAAAGTACACTCCTCACCGCCAACCATCGAAAAGATATCCAATCGCTTCCAAGAATTCTATGTACGAGCGGAATCGCACATCGCTACGCATATTTCTGCTTTAGCCTCGCGGATAAACCGCGATCCTTCACCGTATCGTCCCTTACAATCAAAATCCAAGAATGATCCAGAGAATAGCACCCCCAGCCGACAAATGCTTACAGCATCCGAGGTTACAGAGAAGAGGCTAGCGCGAAAACAACTGGCGTCAAAGCGCGTGGCTTTGGAAGAAGCGGTGGAGCGCAGAGCGTGCGAGAGTATCTATGATAAGATATGGCGGCACAAAAGCACGCTTGACGAAGTCAGAGATGAAAAGTTGCGCTCGAAAACAGCAGCTCTGCTTTTGGTTGGGATCAATCTGAAGGATCTCGGAATCGAAATTGATCTGGATGCGATCGACGAGGAAAAACGGAAAGCAGCGGATGAATGTCTCTCTGTTGCACGGGACTGTCTTGCCAACATGGATAAAGAGAAATATCCTCTTGGAAAGCTTCAACACCTTGCTGCTGCTCACAAGGCGATAGTTGATGCGTTGACAAAGCTATTCCCCTCATCTTCCTCTGCCGATGAGATCTTACCAACCTTGATCTACTCTCTTATCACATGTCCCCCGGAAGGCATCAATATCATCAGCAATCTACTTTTCATACAGCGGTTCCGGTCGTCGAGTAAAATCGATGGGGAAACCGCATACTGCTTGACTAATCTGGAGGCAGCAATCAGCTTCTTGGAAAACGTTGATCTCTCTGAGCTTCGTGCGGATGAACTCCAAGAAGGGCAACTTAAAAGCGCTGGCGACGACACAATTGGCTCTGTCGAGAAGCCCGAATCTCTTCAACCGCCCAAAGAGCTGCCCGTTTCATCAGTCACGCCGACAGAATCCTCTGCAGCGGAGATTTCCATGCCAACCGGAAAAGATGCTGCATCCGAGACATTGCCTAGGACTCAACTATCCAGCACGCCTCAGCAGCGATTGAACAGCCTGTTTCAGCCTCCATCAAAAGTGCTTGGTGCTGCTAACGATGCTGTGCGTAACACCGCGGACCAAGGACTCAAAAACATCGGCGCGACATTGGATAGCAGTTTCAATTTCCTCTTTGGCCGTCTCAAGGAATTACAGTCTGGCCAGTTGCCTGGCAGTGAAGGGGGTAAGCCAGTTCTACCAAAGACGCTAGCGGAAGCCCGACGGTTGGTCACGTCTCCCGTTTCTGCAGATCCGAACAAGCATGTCCAGGATGACGGGGTAGCAAGAGACCCAGCCCTCAATGATCGGCCTCACTTGAGGGAGAATTGGCTCTAAGGCTGAAGATACATTCTTGGGTCTAGTCAGCGGTCAAAGAACCCCTCGTGACCGAAGTGTGGACAGTGCCAGGACTCAAAGCAGCTCCAGAAAATCCGTGAAAGACGAGCCGGTCGCTGGTTTACCCCAGGGTACCCCAGCTGGCTCTTCATCCTTTGTTCCTGCACCATTAGAATCGATGCGGAACTTTGGAAATACCCTCAACCCGCTGAACCATATTCCAGGAATGATCCGGAACTTCGGGCGTGGGACGCCTGACACTCCCGGAGGGACCCCATCGCCTTCTTCGGAGAGGAAAGCATCCTTCACTTCGAGAGAGGTTCCGTCAAACGTGCTGTCTTCATCCCAAATTAATCCTCCTATCCAACGCTTCCTCCAGATGCAGGATGCCAATGACCTCACTCTCCGTGATGTGTCCCTCTTACTTGAAGACTACAAGCGGATTTCGGCTGCCTTGCTCAAGCAACCCTTCCTTCGGAAATGAATCCATCTTTTGCATCTCCTCAAGAAGATCTAATTTGTATCCGTTCATGGTGCTGTATATATCTTACTGGAGCGTCCAGCCTTCCTGTTTCATGTATAGCATGGCGTACAGGAATATCAGGTAGCATACTCGGTGTTAACAATACAATCAACAGGTCCGGATGGCACTGAAGTTTCGCTGGTGAAATTGTTGAAATCAATCTTAGCAAGAATAACATTCCTCCGAGTCAGGCTCGCTGCCTGCACACTTAAGAGCAGGCCCTTAGCATATTGTAAGTGGGATTGAAGTACTGGCCTCGCCCAGTTCGCTCGGTTTCTCGTCCATGGTGAGCAAGGCTTTGAATTGGGACTCCGAGGCCAACGGGTTGCAAGACTCAGCTTTATAGGCGGCGTTGACTTGAGATAGAGTGCTGTCTATTCATCGGGGAAGTGCCGTAACTGGCAGTCGTGGTAGTGGTGACGCTGTTTTTTGCCGCTTAGGATGGTGGGTTTGATATTGGACGCACGTAGGTTGACTTGTTTTGCATCTTCATAACTCGGTGGGTGGCGTTTTGTCGTGTTGGTGAAAAGGTGAGGAGATATATATGGTAGTCCCGGGCCATGCAAAGACGCCTAATCTACTATAAAACTATATTAGTATCATAATCATGACCCGATAAGGCCTATCATCACTTGGCATTGTTTGGAACACAACCGAAACACGTCATGAGTCGAAGAATCAAGTACACGGAAGAATTGAAAACACAGGAGGATTGCATCTGCAATCTCAATTTGCTGAATCAAGGACATCTATGAAGGGGTTCGTCCGCGTAAAACCTCCACGCCACCGCTTCTCATGTCCTCCAGTTTCTTAGATACCTCGGCAGACTGTTCTTGAACAGCTTCATGCCGTCGTCTAATCTCAGCTTCGAACACCGCAGCGGTTGTGCGCCGAGCTTGGCGTAGGTCCTTCATCTTCGTGAGCAGGTTGCTGAACTGCTCGATAAGCTGATCACCGCATTCTTCCCACTCCTCAACCGACAAGTTGGAAAAGTATGCGCGACGGTCTTCTTCGGAAAGTCGCAGGAGCTGAGAGATTCTGTCGGCCCCGGAGCTAGGTACTTCTTGGGCTAGACCCGACGTGACGGCTGCTGACGGCGTGCGGTCAAACGGTTCCGCTTGCAGATCCGCGAATGATTTCTGGTACAGGACTTCAGGGGGGTAATCGGCTTCCAGCTGGCGCTTTCTGGGTGACGAATGCTCGGGGCTGATTCGTCTGACAGAGTCGCGCCGAGCGAACGGATCATTGATGGGATCATCGTCAAGATCATCAAAATGGGTGATGTCAAAAGCAGAGAGTGCTGCCATGTTGTCTGTGCCGTAGTTATGTCCAAATAATCCGACATCCTCCCCGCTATCGTGCGGGTCGGCGACGGTTACATTTGGCTTATTATAATGAGCTCGGGAACCAGACGACCGCCGGGTGGGCGTCAAGTCGTATTTGTCAAGGAGGGAAGGTTTAGGAGGACTGAAGCGCGTCCTTGGAGTTGCGCTCATACTGTGTGGGAGAGTGACTTTCCTGGGTGGAGCGATAGGGAGCGCTTGGGTAGTCGACGCTTTCACGTCAGACAGTGACGAGCGTTTGTAGGTCGGGATCTTAGATGGCTCCTCTTGAGCCGGAGATGCGCCTGTCCTCGCATGGGGCCTCCTGCTCGCATTCCAGAAATTCTGCAGACGCTTGCTCAGAGGTTCCTCGGACCCGCGGCCTTTGGGGCGGAGGTCGGAGACGTTGAGATCTTCCGATGCTTCGTCGTCAGCAGCCACTGATGTTCGTTGGCTTGCATCGTCAAAGTCAGAAGAACCAAAGCCAGCTGCCTTGAATGCCTTGTCCCCGAGGTTGTCGTACCAGTTAGGGCCGTAGGACCGCCGGGTTTGCTCGAAGTGCGCTGTCTCTGTAGGAGCTTGGTGGGCTGTCATACTGGACGAGGGTCGGTATGGAATATCGTCGACGCCCATCACACTTGTCGCCGCGATAGTCGAGTCGTCGATGCCTTCTACATCTGTATCGAACATGTCTCTGCGCTGGGAGGTTTCACGAGCGGCGTCCAACCTCTCCGGATTGGCTCCATCGTGGTCCAGCTGGGCCTGTCGGTTGGGCGGTAAAGGCAGAGGCGCAGCCAGTTTCGTTGTAGGCACCTCCACCCTTGCCTGCTCAGCTAGGTTTTGGCGGGACCGGATTTGGGCATCTCTTGTAGGAGGCCGACGTTGGCCTGCTTCCTTGGAATGTACATAATCTCCGACCCCCATGGTAGTCGGATCGGGGTGGGGAACCGCCTAGGCGATCAAAACATAGGTCTCTTAGAAATGATTAATGGCTTGGAAGCCGCTAGGCGACAAGGAAGCCAACGGAATGATCGTCCGAACGTCGGGTTGAGTTCTGAGTATGGGTAAGTTTGCTCATCCAGTCAACGCGTTGGTATACGCGACCCTGCGACGAGGTCACGTGAGACTACTACTGTCCAAGATAGACGGCCCCAGTCATGATCCGGCGATTTATATCATGCGCTCTTTCTTTAAATCATGATAGATCGATGTGAGACTACCCTGATGATAACTTTTAAATGCACAAGGCCAAAGACTAGTTGAAGCTCGGTGTGGTAAGACGTATATATCGAGCCTTATATTTGCTTCATCTCCAACGATATACATTATACCCCCCTCTTTTTATTCAACCTCCTTGTCGTCAATGTGCAAATCCCTGAAAGTAGAAGACATTCCTTTGTTCCGTTTCTTCGCCTTCTCGAAAAATTCCCGTGCTTTTCCCAACTCGGATTGTCGTTTATCGATGGCAAGCCGTAACTCTCGTCTACTTTGAATGGAATCATGTAAGTCGGTCTCCATCCGGTCAAGATCATCAGAATCGACATCATAGCCCTGGGAATTTGGCACAGAAGAGATGAAGAGGTCGGCGATCCAGAGTGCAATCATGCCTCTCAACTCCAACAATTCCGGAGAGTCTGAATATGGCGGCGATACGAGCAGTTCATCCAATCTGCCTGCGATTTTTTGTGCTTCCCCCAGTTCGGATTTCCTCACTCCAGCAAGAAGCCCTTGCTTCCGGTGGCTTGACACCCCGTGGTGCCCTTCAGAATCCGTTGCAGTACCCTCGTCTTCTGACATCGCTTCTGGGGAAGATTCATGATTATTCTCGATGGTTTGGCGGGCAACAACGCTCTCCTCTTGAACCACATACACCCACAGGCTAAACATAGCGGGGTAAAACTGTAATGAACATACTGAATCCGGAGACGTCTTCCGAAAGGGGTGTTGAACCATAAGCCGTTCGTAGTATTCCTTAGCGTCCTCGAACCCCTTCCGAGTGAAATAAAGCCGCGGTGAATCTGTCGAGTGAGATTCACCAACCTGCGCAGCAGAGCCCAGAGCATTATCTGCAATCTGGCGACCTTTCCGCAATAGAATTTCCGCTCCGATGCCCCATCGACTTTCGGTACGAACATCTACCGGGACACCATGGAATCCTTCGCGAAGGATCAGTCCCCAAGCCCTTCCTGCGCGGATGTAGTCCCTCTGCAAAAGACAGCGATGTAAGATGGACGAGAGAACAGCCAGGTGCTGGATGCGAAGGTTTCCCTGCTGGGCCGCTGACTGAGGGGGGTAGATTGGGGATGACAAGGAAGACAATCCTTGGAAGATATCCTGCTTTCTCACGCGGAGAGAGGATGTGTCTTCTTTCGCTGGAGCATGGGGGAAAAGGCCTCCAGGGATTTCCCTATCGAAAGAAAGACCCGCAATGCGATACTGGTGAGCTTCTTCTGGTGATAGAGTTAGAGATGGCGCCGGCGGGGCTGCCTCGGATGCAGCGTCAGTGGTTTCACCATCGAGGTCATCGTTGTCGTCGCCCCAGTCATTGTCGGTCTTTTTTCGTTTCTTCGGCTCGTATTTAGCGACGCGCACGCTAGGAGGCTGCTGCCATGACGGAAGCGGCAAGGAAAAGACGGACGCCGAGGGGACGGATGCCATGAACACCGGGGTGGTCGGCAGCAGATAATCGTACTAGCTGGAGAAGGGAAGCGCTATCCATGAAGGGACTGATACATTGTGGATTCAGGAGAGCTCCATGCCGGGATTGGGAAGTCCCCCAAGTGTATGGTTGGTTGGTGAATGTGAAAAGAACAAGACAGACCGACGAAAATAGATGCGTCCGTTTCCATCCACGCCTGAAACCGCCAAGCCGTCCCGACTAGTCCCGACTGGGAACAAACCAAACTTCCCCCCCGTTATCATTCACCACTTTCAATCAGTCAGTAATCCACCATCGTCATCATCCATCTTCTTCCTCCTTCTCTCTCACTCTCTATCTTGCCATCACCAACCTCTCACCACTATTTCCTCCCTCCCGTCTTCCTCTCCCTTCCACAACCGATCTGCCTCCCGCCTCTCTTTATTGACGCACGTTTCCCCCCAGCAGTCGTGGGGTACATATTGCCCCCGAATCGAACCTCACTATATCTGCCCCCCCGATTACCTCGTTCATTCAGTCTTCCCGAGGTTCGAACGCGCCCTGGGTCTGGTCATCCTATTGGTCTCGGAGCACTTGTTATTCCTGAAGACTGTCTAGTCTCCGGCCCATCCGAGATCAGAAGGGGATCTCCCGTCAGACACCTCTGCAGTACTTCCGAGCAAGGTTGTGGCCTAGATTCAGCTTCCCCTACACCCGAGTCTGCCACGACAATATCAATCCTGGTCATAACAGGGGATACCTGGTCGGAGGGACTGGTTCTATGTCGTTGAGGTAAAACCGTTCAATGGTACGTCGTCTTTGGTGGTCATTTGTCTCAAGGACAGTCCAAACCCAGCTTGTTTCGCGACCGGTGCGCTGTACCGTGTCGCAAGATCGTCTCGTTTACGAATTATTTGATCAAGCCATTTGGGCTTTCACTTTTCGATTATTAATTCTACCGCTTCCATGCTCTTCTATACTCTTGAAGTGCTTTCTCGTTCGTCTGACTAATGTGAATCTCTACCTTTAGTCATCCACTTGTTGATGGCAATAGGGGTGCTTTGAGATCCTATCGCCACTGATCGATCTGACGTCTCTGCTACTATGGGACAGTCGTCTTCCACGCAAAGAGACCAGCGCTACGACACCTCTCCAGACCTCCAGACCTCTTCCCACGAACGGCGCCGTCAACTCCCCAGGGATGAAACCATGAATGAAAGACAGGATTTCGAGCAGACCGGGGAATCTGGGCCGCATTCAGGTTCAGACATGAACGGTGGTGGGCTTCATGGCTCTCCGCCCAGTCAACTGAACCCCGCGGCGCCAGAGTGGCAACCGACAAACGTGCCAGCTAGAGAGCAGCCAGTGGATACGACATCTATGGACAACAACACCCACACAAATGGAACGCACTACGAACCAGATCAGCGCGAGCACCGGTCTGCAATATTTGCCCGCATGGCCGCGAGGAGACAGTCCACGATGTCGCGGTTGGGCTCTAGAATCCTTCCAAATTCTGTCATCCGTGGGCTTCTCAGTAGCGAGGAGGAAACCCCAGCCGAAGGTCACGCGCATCGGCACGGAATAGTATCCAGAACCATCCCGAGGTCTGAAGTTGCCCACAGCAGCAGTCGCTTCAACCCTTTGGCTTCTCTCGGTGCGAGCGGAATTCCCCGGCGGCGTCGCTCCACTCGCGGACCCTATTTCATTCCACGCAGTGAACCTGGTTTGATCCCCGACACCCACGCAGAGCATGGTTCTGATGCTGCGAGAGGATCGTGGCGGAGAAGCGCTCGTCTTCATCGTGTCCGGAACTCTTTGTCGGGACCAATCGCTCAGATGTTTGGCCAACCGTCAGGGCAGGCGGGAAATATGCAGGAGCCAGCGCCTTTGGGTTCCATGCCCCCCTATACGCCGTTCCTTCCACATCCGGGACCCATGGATACCCGCATGGATTTCGACGAGCCTCACGAATTGGACTCTGTGGAACCAGCAATAGGAGCCACACGCCCAGCGTCGCCTATGTCGTCACACTCTACCCAAGGACCAGCCGGTTTGCGACAGTTTCCCAGTCTGTTACGAGCGCGGCCGACACGATCTTTGCAGCGGGAGGAACAGACACCGCTTTCGCGCGTTCTTCAGCTGGCTGCGACTGCCATCGCTGCACAACTTTCTGGATCGGCTGCTCCGGTCATGCCTAACATTCAGTCTCTCGGAAATGATGGTCTTGATGGTTCGCTAGAGAATTTTATCCAGAGCCTCCAGCATGCTACCTCTGCACAGACATCCCCGAATGAAACGTCAGCGACCCCAAGTGAGACTGGCCCGACGGCTCCCGTCAACTTCCTGCGTGTTTTCCGTTTCGCGAATTCCGACAGCCCGCGACCCGCTGGCTTGAATCGCACATCGACAGAGTCTGAGGACCTGGACAGCGGTACCACGGACGGCACTCCTACTGAAAATACCTCGAACGGTCCCGAAGGCCGCACCGTGACTCTCGTCGTGGTGGGAGTGAGGTCCGTTCCTCCAGGAAACGGGCCTCCCAACGGTGAAAATGTTCAGCCCGTCGGTGGACATGGCCTCGATGCCCTACTTCGGCTGCCATTCTTGTCACCAGGGAACCTGGCGCGAAATGAAGAAGCAGCGCCTAGAATCCCATCACGTACCGATGGCCTGCCTCGATTTGCAACACATCGACCCCAGGCAGGACAATCGAACACAATGCCTCCCAATGAGGACATGCCCCAGCAGCAGGGAATCCAGAGCCCGTCAAGGCGTTTGTCTGATGTCGGAAGCCGGGGTCCTCCTTCCTCGCTTCCTTCCATCCTCTCAGAAAGCCCACCTGGCCCTAACCCTCCCCCATCCACTCCAGCGGAGCCGGGCTTGTCAGCTGTATCCTCCGGTGCTTCGACCCCTAGCCGGAGGCCATCCTCTGCTTCGGTGATGTCACCAACCCCTCTGCCACAGCTGGACGAGAACGGACCCATGCAGCCTACAATGGAACCCGCTGATAGCAGTATTCCGTTGAGCTCAGCTCATCGGAGGCACAGGAGTGACTCCGAATTTGCACGCCATCGTGATCTAGGCTCAGGGGCTGTTAGACGCAACGGGGTTGTCGAACCTGACAACGCACCGCCTCCTGTCGGTAGAAGCTGGTTGATTTATGTCGTGGGAACGAACCTCTCAGAAAACCATCCGGCATTTGCCACACCAAGTCTCTTTACTGACGTATGACTACCCTTTGGCTTGTGAGATAGAATTTGACTAACATTTGCGCCAGAATCCAACTTATGAAGACATGATCTTACTCTCGTCCCTCCTCGGCCCAGTGAAGCCCCCCGTTGCGAGTGAGCAAGATCTCCACTCTGCCGGTGGACTGTATCGACTCGTGGAATATGCTGGCTCTTTGGTTGCAGAATCGGCGGATGGTGCTGGCACCATTCCGATCCCTGATGGGGACCGTTGCTTGATTTGTCTCAGTGACTATGAAGCTGCAGAAGAACTGCGCCAGCTAACCAAGTGCAAGCATGTTTTCCACCGGGACTGTATCGACCAGGTACGTTCATCGCTCATGACTTTGTACGTCAGACAAGTTTGGCTGACCTTGTTAGTGGTTGACTACGGGCCGAAATTCTTGCCCTCTTTGCAGAGGCCAGGGTGTAGCAGAGACTTCAAATTCGAATCCCGATCCAATGTCGAGCGCACCGAACAACGCCACTGCAGCCTGACGACCTGTATGGCCCTCAACTCCCATGGCATAAATTCCCTTGCATCACTTGTCACTTTCATCCAATGCCTTTACTGGCTCTGAATATTCTGCGGCTTAGCATGAAGCGTATTTACTAGTCTTGACGAATTTGTCTTATTTTCTCTTGTTCCCAAGGATATCCCCTCCAGCATTTTTCCCTTTCATTGTGAATTCTTCTGGGCTGTTGATATCAGGCTTTTATGGTATGACCAAGATTTGCTGGTTCGGTGACGTGCCAACGGACAGAATGGGTACTGAACTTCCATGACCGGTGCGAGGATTGGGCTGGAAGGACATCTTATCCGGCAGATGGCAGTGCTGTTACCATGTGACATAGCTTGTTATTGGATACTTCAGTCTTGTTACTTCTGATGAGTGTTTTAATCTACTATTTTCTACTGAGCGTGAGCATCGTAGTATATTCTGCCCCGCGGCTCCGCCCCGCTCTCCGCGACCGAGCGGTGACTAAGCGCCTTTTTTCACCCCGCCGTTCATCAAAATCGGTGGATTGGAAATATCGCTTGGTGTTGGAAGCTCCAATTCTCCTGGGCCAATTCAAAGCGTCCCATAGTTTTCAGAACCCTGTTGGTCTCGTCTGGGCTTTCAATTCCAACCCCCAAATTGCGTGGATCCACCTCCGAGAAGGTCGCGAGAAAATTTCACCCACGGCTGTTCTCCCCGCGACGTCATAAGTTGGTTTGGCAGCTGCCTTTTCTACGATCACTCATTTGTACAGAAGTCCGACCGTGACGAAGAACCCGCCATGGACTCTCCGATCCGACTCACCGTCCTCATATCCGGCAATGGCTCGAACCTGCAAGCAGTGATTGACAAGACCCGCGCGGGGCAGTTGCCCACGAACATCATCCGGGTGATATCGAACCGCAAAGATGCCTACGGTCTGGAACGCGCACGGCAGGCCAACATCCCGACGCAGTACCACAATCTGGTGAAGTATAAGAAGCAGCATCCTGCGACGCCCGAGGGCGTGCAGGCCGCGCGCGAGGAATATGATGCGGAGCTGGCCCGGTTGGTCCTGGCCGATCAACCGGAGATGGTGGCTTGCTTGGGCTTCATGCACGTCCTGTCGCCGCGGTTCTTGGAGCCGTTGGAGGCGGCTAATGTGAAGATCATTAACCTGCACCCTGCGTTGCCGGGGGCCTTCAATGGGGCTGTACGTTGCTTTTTTCTCTTTCCTTGTGTCGTGTTTGCGTTTGGTGTCGCGGGACGTTGGCTAATCGGGTGCATGGATAGAACGCAATTGAGCGCGCTCATGCCGCCTGGCAGGAGGGCAAGATCGACAAGACCGGCGTCATGATCCATAAGGTGATCTCGGAGGTGGATATGGGCACGCCGATTCTGGTGCGCGAGATCCCATTCGTCAAGGGCGAGGACGAGGACCTCCATGCGTTCGAGGAGAAGGTGCATGCGATCGAGTGGGGGGTGGTCATTGAGGGCGTGCAGCTTACGGTCCAGGAGATCCGCGAAGAGAAGCAACGCGCTTCCACGAGCGCTTGAGGGTCTGGGGCGGACAAAGAGCGGTCTGATACGGATGATACGTGAGACGCAATCATGGGTGGGCTGCAGGGCGTCTAAAGGGTTGATGGGATGACGATTTACGATTTCACACATATCTACTTCACCTACCTCCTAGCAATCAATCTACGGCAGCTGTCTGGAGGAGCTGCGTGGGGGACAAAGGCGGTATGCGTGTCTTCCCCGGGCTGGACCGAATGACTGCTAATTCAGCTCGAGAACCAGGCCTTTGAGTCGGACTATTGAAGCAATGCATGCATCGATGAGTTTCAAAATCACCATGTCTCCGACTGGGTGACCAGAAGAAATTTTTAGCCAGCCAGCCTCTAGAAATGCCTAGGGACATCCCTGTTGATGGACTACCTACTGGATATCAGTATCAACAAAGCAAGACGCAGCTTGGGATCCTCCCTGGAGCTGTGCCTACAGAGCTCCTATGAAATCCGTCCATCGCATTCGGATCACATCATTCTTAGTTGGTTGGGGGCTGGGCCCGTAGGCAAAACTGGCTGCATGACCGATCCGTATAAGATTCACGCCGCAAGCCACCCACAGGAATTCAACGTCGTGAGCAAATCAGCGGCCGATCAATCCGACCAGAAAGTGGAAAGACATGCGGTCTTCTCCTCCGCGGGAGACTAACTATGTACTCTCCGGCGCAAAGCCCGATGATAGGAAGACAATTTCTCCCTCTCCCCAATAACGGTCGTCGTGCATATGAGCTAAAGTAGGGGAAGTTTAATAGTGGCAACGATGTGACCTGAGTCCACGATCTCAGCCAACGCCGTGCAGGCAGTGGAAATGACTTCATACAGATCATCATCTGGATCCTGCCTTTGGAGCATGCTCGGAAGTATTTCCGTGTCTGCCCCAATAGGCAAGTGGATATATGCCAACTCCTCTCTGCAGTTCAGCGCCACAGGGCGATCCAGGATCCTTTCCGGCCCGGTGGTTTTGGGTACCCATGGGAGCTTTTCGGGACTATTCTAGCAGAAATCAACCTTGGAAGTTCTGCATTTTTTTTTTTGTCGCAGAACTCTTCGTGTGAGGTTGATCAGTCTGTTATAGACATCGCTGTATGCTAGTCGGGTCTGCTACACCTGGGATCGAGACATCGGACATCTCAGTATGGATCCTCTGCTATCGGCGCGAAGTCCGATCCGACAACATGTTGTGCGGGTTTGTTCCCCCTCCCTCCTGTGCCGTGGGTTTGACAGACGCCGGCTGAGACCCATGGCGCTGATGCCTGGAGCTAGCTGAACTACTGCCTAGTTACAGTCCGCAGCTTCTCCTGGATGAGTCTTGCATGCTACAACTCCATGCATGCAACTACGGAGTACGGGGCATGATCATGAGGCGTTGCTCGAGTCACAACGGTCCAATATCAAGGACGAGGGACGACCCACTCTGGCCACAGGAGCAATGAATGCACGGAGTACTCCTCCCTGCACAAAGGGCAATGTTGCATATTGCGCCGCTCAAGCTCACACGGACCCCTATCGTCCTCGAGGAAAGTTACGCAGACACTTCCGTGGTGCGACCGGGCAAGGATCGGCCGACGGCAACACTCATTTCCCTCGAGGGATCCTTCTCCAGGGAACTTCCTGGTAGGGAGGTGGTGCCCTCTCCGCCATCTGATGGATCATTTCGTCCGGCGGCTCTGTTGGGGTGATTGGCTGAATTTATCCGTCCCGGCACCTCATCTTACTGGCCCTGGGTCCGATTATCAGCCAAGGACGACCTAAAGGATTTGGCGGGCAATCATAACACGGCCTACATATTGGCTAGTCCATCCCGCGTTAGCACCGGCTCTTGGCGTGCCCACATGAAGCTCGGTCTTTACAAGTCCCGAGGGAGGCAATGAGGGGAGCGAAATCTGCCGGTATCGACGGAAGTATTCGGTCAGTAATGGTTGTTGCTGCTATGGTGAACACTGTCACGCTCGGTAGGTCACAGATACAATGGTAGGTAACAGAAAGCACAGAACGGACTTGGTCCCGAATACGAGATACGATGGCCACGCTCAAGCTGGAGCTGGCAGTGTTCCACTCTCGGGCCTAACAAACTCTGTGGACATCGAGATCTAACGGCGGTTGGGCCAATCACCACCATCTCACCAGAGCTGTCAAATCTCCTCTGGTCCTTCGCCGTCGATCAGGAACATCTGACTCTGCTGGCGGCCTTTTGGCGGATTTCCCGTCGCGACACAAACCAGTCGACGGTGGAATCAGCGCGGTTTTCCTGCCGCTTCGGGGATCCGTCCAGCGCTGGTCAACCACGGAGGATTTATCATAGGGCGGATTTGAAGATCATGCCGACGATCGTGTCGATGGCGGGATACAGCGGCCTGCATAGTATGAAGTAGGAGATTGCAGTCTCCGGTCAGTGTTAACCCCGAAAGTCTCTCTCCCTCTGTACCTTACAATTTGGCCTTCGTCCCATCATCTACTCCAAAGCAAACCCCAGATCCGGGAGGGAAAGTTCACCGCCATCTTGATATGATCTTCCCATCTCGAAATCCCATCGGGCTGGTATAGACGCCGACAGGATCTGAGCTCCATCCCGGACGAACGTTTCGGTAAAAATTACCCAGATAGTACTGGTCTGCTGCTAGTGCTAGTTTCAGAGGGCCGGCTTGAGAGGAGCTAAGCAGAGGTACTCTAAGGATCCCACGGAGTCCATCTAGATATACAGAGTCGCCCAGATCAGACGCCATGAAGATCGTTAATATATTGGAAACCTGATGTGGTACGTTATTTGGAGGGGATATTTGCATCGCAGTCTCCTGGCGCTTGCATCCCTCTGGTGTTGGATTTATCCGCCTAGGCCTCGATGGTGAAAGAGATTTGCGCAGGGATGCAGGGAGAGCGAAATGCCTGTGGCGGCGCCATGGGTATGATTGAAGCTGTTGATGCATGCCATGCGACGGTTGCGAGGTATTTTTCTTCCGAGGTTGTCTTGCTTTTCCATCCCTCCGGAGAAGCTCATGAATCATGGTCCCGTGTCCGATGAGTCAGTCATGACACCGTCCGATCATCCGGTGTAGGTAAGGAGTCCCCCAAGGAAAGGGGCAAGAAAGGTCGTGTGCGTGATGATGGGCCAAGGGGCAACAGACAAGACAACTCGACTCGACCAGAAGGGCCCACGATCCTCTGGCCGATTTCCACGTCGGAAACCGACTGAATGCAGGATCGATGTCTGGATCCAATAATGATCACGGGGAGTTGGGCTCTCAAGGTTTACCGGATTAAGGACGAGCAGTGGTCCACCGCGACAGCACGCTAGAGACGCACTAGCAGCCACTCGAGCCAGGATGGTTGATTGATTGATTGATCAACCATGGACGCCGGTGTCCAAGTGGGTGGGTGAATTATGCATAACGCATGTTCTGGTAGTGATACGACGGGGAGAGGGAGAGAGAGAGAGAGAGCAACCCTACCAGATCTTCGTGATCTTCTTGGTCCTTTTCCTAGGCTGGTTTATTTTTATCTCCGTACTGTTAGTTCGTCCATCCTTGGGCGTCGGTCACAGACGGGGACAGGGACTACTAGTTACTGGTGGTGGATGGTTTTCTTTTTTTCCCCCTTTCCTTTCCTACAACCAGACACCCAACAAGGAGGGATAGGAAAAGGGGGTAGAGAGTCGACCGCACGGAAAAGACGGAAGGCTTCTCCAATTATCTCCCTCGTGTCGTGGTTCAGGGAAGAAAACATGAATAATGAATAATCCCGGGTGGAGAGGACCAGGGGTGGATGTGAATTTTGAAGCCGTTCGTCTTGGCCGGGTTTTAGTAGGAAATGAATTGTCGTGCATCGTGCTGGATGGACGATGATTTGGCCTGGTCTCTCTGCTCGGATGGATTGACTTTTCCCTATTCTTCTTTTTCTCTCCGACATTTGCTATTCTTTCTTTTCTTTTACATTTTCTTGATTTTTACTCGTTCCTCTCTACTCCGTATATTATTAGCTACGCCGCCTGGTAGGTCCTCTGGGTCCGTCCGCACATACCACGGCGCTAGAGCAATAGCGTTGGGGCTTACTCCATGCTAGGGGGAAGGGGGCCCCATGTCTCTCCGGGTGAACCTGTCTGCTGGTGACAGCCTGAGGTCGAGTACGGAGTAGGACCCCAGACTGGACGGTAAGATGGAGTGATTGTAATGTAATGATCGAGGGAGTATTTTGACAGCTGGAGGACTCGGTAGAGATGCAGGACCAGACCCCGATGGAGGAAGCAAAAAGCAAAGGAATCAATAGCTAATCGATCAGAGCAAGCAAATTAAACTCTAACATAAGAATAGAAGTCGGCCAGAGTAAAAATAACAAACTGTTTAGAAGATCAGTGGACTCCTCGATCTCCCTTCGAGCCATTATTATTATACAAAGCCTTAGATCTGTCATAAATAAGAGTGGATAAGAGTGTGGTCCGGATTATGGTTATTTTATGCTTCAGTCGATGGCCGGCACTGGTGAAGTCATCATCCATCCTGCTCCTGTTCGGCCTCCCACTCCCACGCCGATGAGGTCGATGAGCAGACAAACTCCCACGGATTGATAGATACAGATCTTTCTGCATTCGAGTTCTTTGGGACCAGTCCAGAAACCAACCATCATCATTATTCTTCTTCTTCTTCCGCCGCCGAGTTCACTTGGTCCGAATTGCAGGGGAGACTGACTACTACGGACTACTACTGACTGACCTCCTTCTTTGGTTCCATCCTCTTTTTGTCTTCTCATCTCCCCACCTCTCTCTCTTCTTCTTCTTCTTCTTCTTCTTCTTCTTCTCTCTCTCTCCATCATCCGTCCTCTTCTCTCCTTCATCCCACCACCCTCCACACATTCGCTCGTTCCTTTCTCCTCCATCCCATCCGCCTACCGTCATCCGCTCCTTTCTCCGGCCTTGCCTCCCTCCCCATCCATCCGGATATAAGGATGACAGCGGTCTCCCGCTCCCATCAAGCTTATTGAAGCGGATCAGCTTATGCCGCCCTTCTCGACTACCGTCTGCCCTGCTCCCTGGAGGCAATTCATCTGCCATCGTCCCCCATGGCGCATTCGTTCCCCTCATCCCAGACCTCCCTAACCGGCTACCTTCCTGGTGCCCTTCAACCCCTCCAGGAGCCTTCACCTCTCTCCGCATACTCTCTCCTGGGGCCTGGTCAGTACCCCGAGAGTGTCGCCCTCTGGCACAACCCCTCGCCGCAAGCCCCGCCGCAAGCCCTCCCGCGACCCCCTCCTTCGGCTGCCTCACAACCCGCTCTCGCCGTCCCCGCCCCGCCCTCCTACCCGTCGGCACCGAAGCCCGATCAGAAGAAGCACAAGCGCACCCGAAGCGGCTGCTTCACCTGTCGCTCGCGTCGCATCAAATGCGACGAGTCTCGTCCCGTCTGCGATCGATGCCGCAAAGGAAATCGCGAGTGCGTCTACCCGGCCCCAGGCTCGACCGGCGCCGCCTCCAAGTCGGCATCTCGCTCCGGTGTCAAGTCCAAGTCCGCTCGACCGCAATCGCATGGCAGTGACTCGTCCGGTCTGGTGGAACCGGAAGATGTGCGCGCCTTAGAGACCATCGCCGACGAAGAGGAGGAAGAGGACGGGAGCGTGGCATCCAGCTCGCGGCTCTCGCCCTCCATGGGCTCTGGGGGCGCCCGTCAGAAAGCCGGACTTCCTAGGAAACTCAGCACTCAGTCCCTGAGAAAACGTCAGATCAAACAACAACCCACGCCCGCGCCGACAGCATCCGACACACCAGGATCGGTGAAAGAAGCCAGTAGTTCGCCCTCGACCGAGGCGTCGTCGAGATTCGAGTCGACCAGTGCACGGTCGGCCAGTATCAGCCTCTTCCCCACCGATGCCTTCGGCTTCCCCAGTACCGCCCATTTACCCGATGATCTGCAATTCTACCTCTCGTTCTATCAGGAATCCTTGACATATCGACATTTCTTCCTGCGCGCCGGGAGTACTCATTTCGTCCACCATAGTATAATCGAGCTCGCCCTGCAGTATGATCCTCTTCTGTATGCGGTTGTCGGGTTCGCTGCATATCATCATTGCGTTCAGACCGGCGAAGGAAAGCTCTACACTTTCCTGAAACATTATAACACAGCGTTGAAGATGCTGCGAAAGTCACTCAGCACGGGCGAGGCTCACAGTGAGGCGACCTTGATCACTGTTCTCGTCCTGACAACCTTTGAGGTGAGGCCTATTATCTTTTTTTTTTTAAACATCCCTACCGCCGGTCACGGAACTCAGCTTATGTTCATCACCAGGAATTCGTAGGGGACTGGGTCAATCTGATCGATCACCACCAAGCCGCCCACGCTTTGATCCGCGAACTCTTAACTCCAGAGTCGATCTCGACCAACGAACTCCACAACCACATCTTCCTCTGGTACTCCCGTTTCGACGTGGTTGCCGGCATCTTGGCCGGCAATGAAGCGGTACTAGGTCGAGAGTGGTATCTTGCGAAGGAACAGTACGACGAGCAACAAGCGGCGGCCTATCCGGACGATGCAGAGAAGCAGCTCGCCCTGGCTGCGTCGATCAATCGCCGATTCGGTCTGGAAATGGCATCATTATATGCAAAACTGTCGCGGCAGATGATCCCCATTGACCAATTCATGGTTCAGAACGAACTATTAGGGCAGATTATTGAAAGGAGTCGAGCTATTTTGGAGCGCTTCACCGACTCGGAGTACACCGTATGGGAGCACCCTGATCGGCAACCTCTCACAGATGACGATGTGGTCGATCCATATCTCCCCGGTCTCCTGCATTCTGGGCCGTTGTGGGATGTCAACGTGGCATGGATCGACTACTACTCCACGAAACAGATGTACAAGTATCAATGTCTGCTGTCCGTGAAGCAATCGTCCCTGGAAGAGCTCGCGGATCTCTCCATGCGACAGTGCCAGTTGATTGAAGCGATCGCACGGTGGCCCGAGAAAGAAAACGGCTGGATGTTTTCTTTCAAGAACAGCGTGGGGATGGTCGCTTTATTTGGGCCCAAAGATGAGAAACATGTGATGTGGAGTCGGAGGAAGTTTGCGCTGATGGAGCAAAGCGGGTACGCCGCCTATAATAAGCATTCATTATCGGTCCTGCAGCGTAGATCAGTGAGTGGCTAACAGTCTTCCCATCCTAGATACGCGATCGCCCCCAAGTTCCGCGAAGTGCTAGCCACCGTCTTCCAGCTACCCGAACTCAACCACTGGTGGCTGCCCAATGATGAAGGATATCCGGAGATCATTCGAGAGGTGCGCGCGATGACGGAAGAACGCACCACGAATCCTCGCGATAACTTCCGCGAGAGCGTGCGTGACATGCGGACGTTGTTCTGGAACATCAGCCTCGATGACACCGAGAGCGAGAACAGCCCAGCTTCTACGACCGGCACCGGGGGCGACAATAATCGGTGAATTGCGCCGAGACGAGCCCGAATTGGATAGAAGATAAGGTTCAGGGAACCCAGTGGAGCCGATCTAGTCTAACCCGTGGAGGTTGCGGGATGTCTCACTCGTACTCCAACGAGGCCCGTCATCCAGTTGGGACGGGGTGATAGGCGCGGCCTTTATAGCAGGGACGCGGGAGTCTGGACCCTTAAACCTCACATGATCCCAGAGGGCTCGGGCAACGTCCGAACTCCTATCATCCCCACGGAGTACACTCCTCTCCAGGAGATCACTCCGTCCTGAGGACACACCTTTACCTCCTGCGAAGCAGTGATGTCATTTATTATACCCTTCCTAATACCTCGTTACATGTCCCCGCTTTTTGCGTCCGTTCACGATATACCCTTGATCCTTTTCCCTCTGCTCATGCTTTACAATATTGCCCTCTCTCTAGGGCCTGCTGCATGCACATCATATGAGATGCTTGCATCCCAACAAATAATGCAATGCCATATACCCAAGACCAATTGGCCGTCTTAGATAGAGCCGCTTTCTTTCAAGTATCAACGGGATGAAGCAGAGTAGAAAAGGCACTATTGGAAGTCCTAGGTCTAGAATAAATGCATATTGGCTACATGATGTCACCCTATTCATCAATACCAATGACCACCATCTACGGACATGAACGAAACGGTACTTCTGTCGCCGGGACCACCGTTTCAAGCCCACCCGCCAATTCACCGAATCCCTCCTCTCCGTCGACCTCTTCGCCCCACGGTAAAGCATCCACATCCACATCCCAGCCCAAAAGACACCGCAGCACCACGGACGCCCCCGCCTTACTCATGACCTCGTTCATCTCCTTGCACCGCTCGTCGCAGACACACTCCACACACCCCTTCGGGGTGACACACTGACACGCCTCGATGCGGGCCACCGCCCGGCGCAGGAGCAGGTCGACAAACTCGAACGCTTTCCCGGCGATCCCGGACCCGCTCGCGCCGCCCTTTGCATCGTAAAAGGTCAACCGGGCGGGCCGCTGGCGCGACGGCGGCTTCAGCCGGCGCACCTTCTCACGGAGGGAGGCGGGATTTCCCTCCTGGTTCTGCTGCTGATGCTCAACGGCGAGGCGCAGGTTGCGGCCTAGCTCCTTCTTGGCGACCTTGCACTCAGTGCGGACGTCGCCGGGCGAGGAGATGACGAAGGTCGGCAGGAGGGACAGCACGGCGTGCTCGGCGGCGTGGATGGCGGCGGCGATGTTGAGGCGGCGCGAGGCGAGGATGTCGAGGGCGGACTTGGGCACGTCCAGCCACATGCCCTTGGAGAGGATGTCGATGGGCGGATTGTCGACGGCGACGGCGTCGAGGACGCGGCCGCGCTTGTCGATCTTGAAGAAGCCGTAGACGACGGCGTGGATGCGGATGGCGCCGTAGAAGGCGCGCGTGGCCGGCGTGATGGCGCGCATGGTCTCCGTCTCGACCGGGTCGATGTCCGTGTAGTCGCGCTGCATGGTGTTCCAGTCGACATGGACGCGCACGACCCGCGCGACCCGCCGCTCCGGGCTCAGTTCCTGCACCAGGTACGTCTGGCCCTGGTGCAGGAAGATGCCGCCCTCGTAGATGGTGAAGAAAGCGCGCGACGCCTCGACTTCCTCCAGCACCGCGTTGCGCCCGTGCGTCGTGTCCACCACCGCAAAGTGCTGGTCCTCCGTGTCGCGGATCGCCACGCACCGTGCCGGCTGCGGCCGGAACCGCTCGTGGCAGTGGTAGTAGCCCAGCGCGTCGCGGACGAGCCGCGTGGCCGCGAACTCGCCGAGCTGCGCGCCAAAGTACTCGCCGTCGGCGTCGGGCCGGATCGGCATCTCGAACGCCGCGCACTGGATGTGGCCCTCGAGCACGAGCTCGTTCGCCAGGTCGACCTGCAGCTCACAGTTGGGCCGCGTGAACAGCTCCTCGGGGTTCTTCATGTAGTACTGGTCGGTCGGGTAGCGGTCGCCGACGAGCACGGAGAGGGAGTCCTTGTTGCGGCGGCCGGCGCGGCCGCTCTGCTGGCGGAGGTTGGAGATCGAGTACGGGAAGCCCATGGTGACGACGGCGTCGAGGGAGCCGATGTCGACGCCCAGTTCCAGGGCGTTGGTAGCCACGATGCCCATCAACCGGCCCTCGAACATCTCCTGTTCGATGCGCCGCCGATCCTGCGGACTGTACCCACCTCGGTAGCCCATGACCATCTTGCCGACCTCTGCGCGGTCGAGGGCTTGAAACTCGTTCCGGACGGCCTGGAGGAGCACCTCACACAGCTTTCGGATGCGGCAGAACGCGATCACTCGCGCTCCTCGGAGGATTAGCTGGCAAAACAGCCGGGCCGTCTCAGCGACGCTGTCTCCGCGTCCAGAGGTGGGGTCTTTGGGGTCTTTGAAAGGAGTGTTCCAGCAGATGAACTCTTTGCGGCCGGAAGGGGAGCCGTCAAAGTCGATCAGTTTAACGTCGTCGAGGCCGAAGATGGCTTTCATGTGCTCCTCCGGGTTGGCAACCGTGGCGGAGCACGAGATGAAGCGGACGTGGCGATTACCAACAGCGGCGCAGATTCTGCGAAGTCGCCGCATGATGAACGCGACGTGCGATCCGAAAAGACCGTTGTAGACATGCAGCTCATCCACCACGACGAACTTCAGGTTCTGGAGGAATGTGCGCCAGGCGTTCTCCTGTGGCAAGATCGTGATGTGAAGCATGTCTGGGTTGGTGAAGATGATCCGCGCCTCGTCGCGAATGCCATTTCGGTACTCCATTGGCGTGTCTCCGTCAAACGTCTCGACCATCGTATGCTCGAGCCCATCCATGAACTGTAGGAGCTCAGTCATACTGCGTCTCTGGTCCTGCGCCAGGGCCTTGGTAGGAAATATGTACAGGCCGCGGCTAGCATGATCATGTTCCAATTCATGCAACATCGGGACTTGGTAGATTAACGACTTTCCCGAGCTCGTCGAGGTAGAGACAATGACATTATGCCCCTCGTAAAGATGATTGATGGCCTCAGCCTGGTGAGAGTAGAACTGCGTAATACCCTTGGTGTTATACAAGGCATTGACCATGTTCTGCGATAGCTGAAATGTCAGCTCTCCGTAGACAGCAGGCTGGGCGTCAAACACGCGGTGACCTTCCGGCACGATCTGCGCCGTATACCAGTCCATTTCCCGGATCTCAGCGATGATCTCAGACATTGACTTGCGCTCTTTGGGGATCTCCCTCGGCGGTTTCACCACCTTTTCCTCATTCTTCTCGACATCATCAGGCGGCACCGGGATCCAAGCGTCTTTCTCGCTTTCCAGTCTCTCGACTGGATCGACGCTTTCGTCCTCGCACCGCACCAAGAACGCATCAATCGCATCCGTGAACTTCTTGTTCCGCTTATCGATCAGCGCAAGCATCTGCTTCTGGCTATAAACCGGCATCTTCAGATCCTCGTCCTTCATCCTCCGCACCGGCTTCATCCCCTCCCCCGTTTTAGGATTCTGAACCTCCCGCTTCAGATCGCCATCCACAAACTCGAACAGCAACGCCTTGGCCTCCGAAGCTGCATCACCCTCGCCATCCTCATCTCCACGCTCGTCGACGTCCCCGTGCAACCCGCGGCGGCCGTACGTCTCCACGGCCTCCTTCTCGCCAACAGTCATAACCTCCAACTTGGCCTCATCGACGTACTCGAACCGGATAGCACGGGGCACGAGTACACGCACACGCGCAATCTCCTCAACCGCCAGCTGCTGTCCCGTCTGCGCCTGCACCGCCTTCCGGATATTCTCGAACGTAGTAGCAAAATGCTTCCGCGTGCAGCAGAACGTGTACACGAGGTTCAGGGCGCGATGGGTTCGTGAGAGGCGCTTGAAAAGTTCTGGCCATGGCGCCGACGGAGTTCGCTTTGCTGGGGCGGTCGCTTTTGCTGTCCCCTTGGGGTTGCGCTTTCGCTTCTTCTGCCCATGTTGCTGTTCTTGTTCGCAAGATTGTGGTGTCAGGGCGTCACTGTCATTGCCGGCTGACTCTGTGTCTGATTTGCTTCTAGCTGGTGTTGCTTTCCTGGGCCGTTTGGTCTCATTCGTGTCCTCTGAAGAATAGCTGTGCTGGGACGCCGGGGTCGACGCGTGGTCGTGCGCGACGGGACCAGTCTCAGCTGGCGCCCATTTTCTTTTCGTGGTGGGCCCTCGGCTTCCGATATGTGCTGCTTGGTCGGCCATACTGAGGCTCCATTGTGAGCTGACTGGGCGTGGGGAGGGAAGAGCAGGTTGCAGGTAAATGGAGGCGAGGTTGTTTTCGCGGGGCGACAGAGACGCGAGGTCACGTGGCTACAAACTTCAATGTTGCCCGATCGAGAACCAAGCAGACAATTGATATCAAGAGGCCCGGACGCTGTACAGGAATGCATCAGAAATATATTCACGAATACGAAATGAGTGAAATATTGTAAAACAAAGAAAATTCATCCTAAGAAATGGTGATCCAACCCCAGCCAACACACTCCTGGCGAAAAGACGACGCAAAATGCCAACCGATCGAAATCTACTTGAATATCGACTGTCCAAGACGAAAAGAACTAATTACTGTCCCGCTATATCTACAGCCCTTTCCGGACCAAACGGCGTGGATGGCTCATTGATGTTCCAGCAGATCGCGGATGACGTGGTAAAGCTCTTTGGCAAGATCTTCGCTTCCGGTCTATATGAAGTCAGCAATCAACCCACTCGGGTATATTGATGCAGAGATGCAACTCACTCGTAGCAGGCAGGGAACCGAGCGGCCACTCTCAAGGCTCGCCAGATGAATCTGTTTGGATTTGGGTTCGTTGCCTGAAGCGTCACCAACGGTCATACCCTTGAAGAGAGGTGTGTTCAGCATGACCCGCAAAACGCCATCGGCACGCATGATCATGCGCGCGGCCTTCTTGTTTTCCTGGCCATTGACAATGCGGACATTGACCTTGAATGTGCCAATACCGCGTTCTTTCCATTCTTTGTCTGAGAATTGGAAGAGCTTGGCCTTGCATGAGAAGTATGTCTTCTCCTCTTCCTCTCCGGTCTCGACTATAGAAACGGTCAGCATACACATCACAGACACCAGGAATTTTTAGAGCATACTCGGCCGTTCAAAGAATCTCTCGTCGGTCTTGTCCTCCTCGAATTCACCGGGGCCGCTCTCAGCACCCGCCTCCTCCTCGTTCTCCTCCTCTTCTGCAGGTGCCCCAAACGGCCTGTCCTTGCTCGAACCACCCAAGTCGCTGGGACCAGCAGGCGAAGCAAAGCTAGTGAGGCCACCCTTCGGGGCACTAGCCCCGAACCCACTGGCAAAGCTTGAAAATCCCGAGCCTAGAGTTGCAAATCCCGAAGGACCCGCGGTGGATGCAAATCCAGATCCAGTAGTGGCTGGCTTCTCGGTCTCCGTGGGAGCAGGGGACTTGAAAACAGACCCGGAAGTTCCAGACGCGCCGAAGGGTGATTTCTCGGAGGAGGCGAAGGCGGCAAAAGTGGAAGATGCAAAAGCGGAGGATGACGTGGTCGCGGGCTTAGTAGTCTCCTCCTTCGGTTTTGAGGCTGCCAGGGAACCGAAAGGTGAAACAGCAGAGGTGTTTGCGAAGGCGCTGGTGACCGCGGCCTGTCTCTCCTGGGAGCTATCGCGGTGTCGCTTCTTCTCCGGCTGTCCATCCTCCGCGACCTTTTCCGTCGGCTTGCTATCCTCCGCGACATCAACGGCTTTCTCCGCAGCGCCTTCGGGCTTTGGCTCCTCCTTGTCGAGCTGATCCCGGCTTCGTTTCTTCTTCGGGCTCAGAATTTTCTCCGCAGCGTCCTCTGGGTTTTGCGCCTGTTCCGATTCCTTTGAGGCGGCATTTTCCTCCTCGTAGCTGTTGTCGCGTGATCGTTTCCGCCTATGGCCGGCATCGTCCTCGTCCATTTCCGGCTGGTCCTCGTCGAGTGAGCGCTTTCGACCCCGGCTACTAGCGCGACTGTTTTCGCTTCCTTCTTGCGTTTTCTCGGCGGCGGGTTCGGTCGCGGTGGGTGGCTTGGGGGCCGAAGTGATAGAGGTGTCCCTTAATTTATTCCGGACCGGGCGTTCGCCTCCCTCGTTGTCGGATGCTTGGGAGTCATCTGCGGTGGTGGCTGTTGGGAGTTTGATCGTCAGCGACCGGGCATGAATGCGGGGGTACACCGCGAGAAGACGTAGGGCGACTGATAGCACATACCTTTCGCATCAATTGATTCCTTGTGGACGTCGCCTGGCCGCGTAGAAACGTCGGGTGTCAGCATTGGATCTAAATCGGCTCGTATGAATAGGGCAAACGGAAATGATACCTTCCAGCGTATCGGGTCGCGGCTCGGATGCCATGTCAATTTCGGGGGTGTTTCCGACAACCCAACTCTGAGATGATTATGTCGAGGAGATGTAATCTTTAGCGTTCTGCACCCGACGACGAGCGGAGGGGTGGATCTGCGAGAATCTTCACCTCTTTGCGAGAGCCCAGTAAACCCTGTATCATACGACGTAGACAGTGTCAGCATTCTTTGGTCAGAGAAACAAAATCTGCTGAGACGAGCTGTGCAGCGCCTGTAGGGGATCGTTGCGATAGCACTGAGGAACAGAACACTCAGGCCGACAGTGTCCCGCGGTAACTGCAGGGTTGCATCTCCATCGGTGGGGAGGACACCGACGACGTCGTCGCACGAGGGAACAACATACCTGTAACTCACAAAGGGCAGAGCTCTCTGAGATTCTCGTCACGTAAGACAAGGAGACCGTAAGAGTACTACTGACTCCTCGAGGTCGTCGAAGATGACGCCGAGGTGCGGCGTGGTGGGCGTCCGAGGGATTGGGTGACAACCGTTCCGAGGACTTTTGGTATGTTCGACAAGGAACGGAAAGAGGATCTACTCGGGAAAAGGAGAACCAAAGCAGAAGAGATTGGATAGGAGGGCGAAAGACCGAGGGTAGGACAGAGGACGAACAACAGCACGAACAAACGGGTGACGACAAACTGCTTTGTTGTTCGGCCGGGATTGACTGTCGCCGTCGCTCCGTCACCGCTCGGTCCACCGCTTCCAAGATTGTATACACCTACACCATGTGTGTACGATGATTCTATACAACTTTCTATACATCTACTACAAGAACCACAACCTGTCGATCACCTCGGTGGGTACCTTGGCTACGGTCAGTCCCTCTGAGGTGGAAGTTCGGGTTAGAACATGCTATCCCCAGCAAAGGCAGTCCATACGAATACGAATGGTGGGTCCCGTACAGCTGGAGAACTATAGAAGCCTATATCTCGATGCCTACCCCCATGTCCGAAGCTGTCCCTCTATTTGATACTCATAATTGATGTACAACATGGCACACTCCCCACGGCGTACCATGGAGCCCGTGGAACTGCCCGGGGGCAGCGCCGTAGACGCGCAACCGCCTCCACGATATTCGCTGGTTGCGAATGCTGAACTGACCCAAGAAGCCGGAAGCCTGCAAGGTGCGTCGCCAGCCAGAGCGTTCGATCAGTCATAGTAACCATTCGAGTCTTGTTGGTAGCCGATGGACGCATCGATATCAACCTCGAATCGAAGATCGCGAGAACGCTCGCCAAGATAATCGACTTGCAACAGGAAGACATTCACAACCCGCCTCCCGACTACGTCGATGAGCGTCCCGCAGAGCCCGCATCGTGTGCCATCAAACTCAACATAGTCATTCAGATCGTGGGCAGTCGGGGTGATGTGCAGCCTTTCATCGCGCTTGGAATGGCGCTGAAGGAGCACGGTCATCGGGTCCGCATCGCCACCCATGATACCTTTGAAGGCTTTGTCTATGAGTCCGGGTTGGAGTTTTATCCAATTGGCGGGGACCCAGCTGAGCTCATGGCCTTCATGGTCAAGAACCCGGGCCTGATCCCGCAGATGAAGTCGTTGCGCGAAGGCGAGGTCCGAAAGAAGCAGGCCATGGTAGCGACAATGCTTGACGGGTGTTGGCGATCCTGTATCGACGATGATCCTCGCACAAAAGAGCCCTTTGTGGCAGACGCAATCATTGCCAATCCTCCCAGTTTTGCTCATATTCACTGCGCACAGGCGTTGAGTATCCCTGTGCACCTGATGTTTACCATGCCGTGGAGCAGTACCAGGGCGTTTCCGCACCCTCTTGCAAACCTAAACGCATCCTCGATGAGGCCTACAACGGCAAACTGGGTTTCCTATGGTGTGGTGGAATGGCTTACCTGGCAGGGGTACGTTACCACCTAGTTGTCGAAATCAACCAACTCATCATTATGCAGACTCGGAGATATCATCAACCGGTGGCGAGCCTCGATAGACCTGGACCCTGTCCCTGCGACAGAAGGCCCTAACTTAGCCGAGGCCCTGAAGGTGCCCTTTACCTATTGCTGGTCCCCTGCGCTGATGCCAAAGCCACAAGACTGGCCAGCCCATATTGGTATGTGCGCACGCCACTGACCAGCGACACGAGATGCTAAGCTTGGTAGATGTGTGCGGATTCTTCTTCAGAGACATCCCGCCATACACCCCGCCTGCAGAACTGGAGGACTTCTTGAAATCCGGCCCACCACCGGTCTACATTGGCTTCGGTAGCATTGTGGTGGACGACCCCCAGAAGCTGATCGATACCGTTCTTCGTGCAGTGGCACATGCCGGCGTGCGTGCCATTGTATCCAAGGGCTGGAGTGGAATCTCGGGAAATGCAAGCAAAAACATCTACTACATCGATGAGTGTCCGCATGAGTGGCTGTTTCAGCACGTTGCCGCTGTTGTTCACCATGGCGGCGCGGGGACGACCGCTTGCGGACTTAGACTTGGGCGACCGACTGCTGTCGTACCGTTCTTTGGGGAGTAAGTATACCCACACAAGTCCTAGTCTGTGCCAATGCTGACCCTTCTAGCCAGCCTTTCTGGGGCCATATGGTCGCCAGAGCCGGTGCGGGCCCTAAACCGATACCATATGCTTCTCTCACCTTTGAAAAGCTAGCAGCAGCTATCCAGTTCTGCCTCACGCCAAATGCCATAACAGCCGCCCAGAACATCGCGCAACAGATGCAAACAGAGCGTGGTGTGATGTCTGCCGTCGAATCGTTTTATAGTCATCTACCGTTAGACAGGATGCGGTGTTGCGTGATGCCAGACCAAGCGGCGGCCTGGACATATCGAAAGGGGAAGAAGACACTCAATCTGTCCAAGGTAGCCGTTCAAGTATTGATTCAGAATGAGCGGATAAACGAGAAGCAGCTTCGCTGGTATGTACTCTACTCTTCGTGATACGATGTTGCTGACCATATCTTCCGGTTGCGCTAGTTACGACGTCAATCCCATCTACATCGAGAACCGCCGTTGGGACCCGTTGACCGGCGTCCTATCCGCTTCTGCAGTCACAGGGTCCAAAATGTTGCGCTCCACCGGTGAGATGCTATACAACCCTTATGTGGAATACAGACGCGGCCGCTCCCCAAAACCGTCGTCAGAGGGAGGTGTGAGAGCTCGCTCCTCCCCTTGCAGTGCACTTCCATCACCGCACGATTCAACACAGACTTCTTCCACAGATGACACCCCGTCTTTGAATTCCGCAACGCCTTCCCGTCAGTTGAGTGACACGCAAGGCGTCAGATCCCTAGCTACAGCAGGGAACATGGTCGCCGCAACCGTGAAAGGGTTCGGCAAGTTTACCGGGACATATTTCAAAGGCGTGGTAGTCGACATTCCGCATGCGGCAGCAGAGGGATTCCGACAGGTGCCACGACTATATGGAGAGCAACCAGAGGAGTATGGCGCTATCCAAGACTGGAAGTCCGGGGCCATTGTCGGTGGAAAGAATTTCGTGGAGGGCATGACAGACGGCTTGACGGGCATCTTCACGAAGCCTGTGAAGGGGGCGAGAGAGCAAGGTGCGCTCGGTGCAGCAAAAGGATTCATGAAAGGTACCATCGGACTTGCCACGAAGGTGCCCTCAGGTGAGTGATCACTCATTATCGGTTGTACCAGATGGTCATCGTACTGACCCGACTATTCTGCAGCTGGACTCGGTCTGGTGGCCTACCCGTTCTATGGAATCTCAAAGAGCATTGAAGCCACTGTTCGGGGGCGAAGTCGCAAAATCATTGTGCATGCACGACTCAAAGAAGGGCTGTTCCAGGTAACTAAAATGCAACTGACTGACGAGCAGCAGTACCAGATACTTGAGGTCTTTGAGACGCGTCTACGTGCTGTGGATGCCTAGATTTCTCTTATGATCTCTCCAACTAGAGAGATGGCGATTCTAAAGGCATCCCTAGTTCCGTGTACCCAGTCTGTGGATCTGAGTATGGATTGCCAGGGAGAGTCAGGAGAAATGAGTACCTCCAAAGGAATAGTCCAACTAGAAACATCGCTTGGAAGTTTGGTAACAGCTATCATAGAAGTCATATACAACAATCTATGCATTGATTTACTGCTTAAGCTTGAGAAACACTGAGACACTGAGAAGCGTTACTTTCTAGCAGAGAATCCCACCCTGTCTGAGTTGTCTTGTTCAAAGATCTGAATAAGATAGAAAAAAAAAAAAAAAAAAAAAAAAAAAAAAAAAAAAAAAAAAAAAAAACATAGTACTTTGTGCCCAATGTCTACAAGGACAGCTGCTTGCTTGTGCGAACGCCAACGCGAAACATTTCCATTGGATATCTTGACACTGCTAAATCTAATACACAATTGAATGCTACAAACAGGACATAAACGGGAACGACGCCTCTAAAGCGCAATCCCAGTATATCTGGGTTCATCACTGGTTGAAAAGCCCATTCGACGATCGAGCCTGCGTTACTCGGACGGCCTGGACAGAACAGACTGCTTGCTCTCCCATCGTGTCTCTGTCTAGCTGATGAAACAGAGACATCCGATTGCAATGTAGAACACGAACAGCGGATAGACCGCGATACCGACCCGGTTCCGGACAACTCCCGAGCCGCCCAGGATGCTCACGCCGGCGGCCAAAGACCATGCGACCAGGACGAGATAGACCGGTATCCGTGCAATGGTCGGCAAGCCCAAGGCGCTGAGGAGAGCCGCAATGACCAAAGGGAACAGCGTGTAGCCGATGATGCAGACGGACTGGAAGAAGGAACTAGATTGGAATGTCAGCGACCAAATGAAGCATCACACGTGTCCGTCCAACGTACATGTTACCACCCAGCAACTTTATCTGCAAGGTCACGACAGCCTCTCCAATCCACACAATGCTAAACACACCCGAGAAGACCAGGTCCGACTGGTCATCCTTCGCGCGCATTGCAAGGAACATACTCAACAGCAAGCAGAAAATAAGAGGGCCCCTGCCATAACGAAGTAAGACTTGTCAGCGCAATCCACATGCAGTGAAGCAGGCCGGGAGTAAAGACCACGCACCAAAGGTCCCAATCACGTAGCCCTTCACTCATTCCACCTTGCAAGACAGTGTCGGCATCCGGCCAGCGTCCGATCATGTTTCTCATACCACCGCCAAATCCAGTGGCTTCTCCTCGCTCGGCGGCACCCATACCGCCTCCACCACGCTGCAGCATTCCGCCCAGCAAGTACTTGGGCCACAGGACCTGACGCAGTTTCTCCCAGACCGCAAGAAGGTCGCGGGACAGCGTCGCCCAAACCGTCTCATCGATAGTGTTCTGCGGCGCGCGACGGTCCTCGCCGGGGATGGAAGAAGTTAGGTAGTTGCCGGATAGGTTGCCGCCTCGAGAGCTCGACGGTTCCGGCTGGATATTGCCTCGGAGGGGCGCGGTGTCGGACGTGGAGAGAGGGTCGTCGGCCTCGATAGCTGCAGATGCGAACCATTGGGGATGTGATCAGTCACTGTAGAGCATATATAGAGCCGGATTGGGACGAAAGAAGCTAGACAGCCAACACCCGTACTCACCATCATCAGCATCAATCACATCATCATCAAGAATCGATTCATCATCATGGACATCCCCGTGAGGGTAATGTGTCGCTGCGCTGGCCATGGTAGGCAGTTGTGTTGGTCACGGTGAGGTTCGGTTTGCCGATGGATTACCACCACAGGGTCATCGCCTGGTTAGTGATAAGAAATAAGAAGCCGGTACTATGCGCACCCGTCGGGGTTGGATACGACACGAGATAACTGCAAGTGAAAGGGAAACAGGAGCTGTGAGCGCGCGATGATCATGGAGAGGCTAGAGTGGCATTACGTACGCGGCACGGGCTGAAAGGGGCAGGCGGAGAGCGTGCCGAGTGCGGTTCCTGGCCTTGTTTCGTCTCCACGCTTTCACCACTTCAATCTACTTGTAGTAGCTATTAGATAGGTAGGTATTGAATTATCTAATGGATAATGGATATTGTACAAGATATGAGAGTACCTCTGTATATGCACCAGGCCCATCTTGTATGCAACCAAGTCAACCATGATACAGGAAACCAGCAATATGTACACCAACGCCGGTCTATGCAGGAAGGCGGAATGGGGAGGTAGTAAATCATGTTATACATACGTCGGCCACTCTTCTATGGCCTCAAGGGATGGTGAGCGGAAAGTGTCGGCCAACATCATGACAGATACGACACTAGTCTCTTGCTCGGTCTTCAAAAGCCAGAACCTGCTCTGGCGTAGGGGAGATCATAAGACCCTTGTACATTTTCATCACGCTGGCGTCAGAGTATTTCCTCAAATCCATCGAGTCCTTCTCGAGCTGTTCGCGGAGGGTCTTGGAAAGCAGCGAAGCGTTTTCCGGCTTCAATGTAGTATCAATCAGACCTCTGGCCTGGACCAACACCTTCAGCGCCTGGGGGCCTCGCACGGCATGCACTGAGTTCGGATCAGGTTTCCTAGACTTTCGGTTACCTCCCGGAAGCTGGATACTGGCGCCATGCTCCATAGCTTTGTCGAGCTTCGAAACATGGGGACGCAGTTGGTCAATTGCAACTTGTCGCAGACGGAACTGTAGTTCCCGGCCCAGACGCCCAAGACTGCTCGACGAGAGCTTCTCGTCCGTGTTGAGACCGTTCAAGGACACGAGGAGGTGCGGGTTATCCTCCAGGACTCGGATCAACTCGAGGTAGCCCTCCAGTGCTTTCGGGTCCGGAAGCACGAGATGCTCGTCCATGAGCTTTAGAAGCTCATTAGAGTTTTTCAACACGTTGATATTGTTGCGGTCACGTCGACAGCAACTCATCGCGATGTGAAATGTCCTGCCCTCTAACACGCCCGACGGTACCATCTGGTCGCGGATCACTTCGACAGTCGCACGACTGGACCGCCCCAATCGCAGAAGCCGCAGGTACTGATGAAACGACCCCGAGTCTGGGTCGATTTTATAGTCGTGGTCCTCCCGCGTCAGATAATTCCAGTAAGCCTTTCCAGTGCTCAGGCCCTGCGTCATGGAAAGGCATGCTTCCATGATCATGGACAGCTCCCTGTTGCCCACAGTAAGATACGAGGGGCCGACCTCGTCACCACCCTCCTTTGGTTTAGCCGCATCGGGTGAGATGACCGGATCGAACAGGTTATCGAAATTCTCTTCCTCCTCTTCAAGTTCTTCACTGGCCTCCTGTTCAGGCTCTGATGGTCTGTACAGCCGATTGCCCTCATCCACAAAAGGAACGTCCTCCACTTCCTCTTGAAGCCCAGTGTCCTCTTGGAGTCTCGAAGTGGACGATCTTTTGGGCATACTCTTTGGGGGCTCCTTTGCAAGGATAGGGACGCCCGTGGTCTGATGAATCAACGCAAATACATCATAGCAATCGCGGTCGCTGGCACCCTCCAGCAGAAGCGTGCCCATCGCACCCACCAACTGGTTGTCCAGCGCAAGACGGCCCTTTCCCCACTGGTAGATAATATCAGACCAGACCCGCTTGCCCTCGGTCACGCCCTGGGTTTTCCTATCCAGATCGGCCGAACGTCCCGTGACCGCATACCTTCGACGTCCCGTTGCGTGGCATCCCTGATGGCCTTCAGAATAATGGTATACGTAGTTGGATCCGGCGAGCCGGGACCATCCTCGGGAAGCTCGCCAGCCACCCGCCAGAGCGTATCCATATCTCCCAAACGCCAACAGACGTTCAGCATCGCATTTCCGTGGATAATGTTCGGCTCGACAATGGAGTTGGACGCCGAGATCGACCGATATATAGAATAAGCCGTCTTGACCGGGTTGAGGCCCGAGTTCCTCCCGGCTTTGCTGAGACCGTTCAACATGATCGTGTACGTCCGGGAATTCGGTTTCCGGCCTCGTTTCTTCATCTACAAGCAAAACCAAGTCAGCACACCCACCATACAGCCAAAAAGACACGCGCGCGCAACATACATCATTGTAGAATTTGAAGGCCGCCCGCGGCGCCCGCTTGTTCATGCAGTACTCGAGCAGATGGTTCCAAGCGACGGAGCACTCCATGCGCTCCTTCTGCGCGGACCGCACCAACGCCGCCGCGAGAGGCACATCGTCGGCGCTCAGCAGCCTCGCGACCCGGTCGGCCAGCGCCCGCGGATCCTTCAGCCATTTCAGTTCCAATTCCACCACTTTCGACGAGACGCTGCGCCCGAAGAACGCGGCATCTTGCTCCCGGATTTTCGGGGATGACCCGGCCATGGCCACACCCATTAGGGGGTCCAGGTCGTCACCAGCACCTTCCGGTCGTTTCGAGGCTTCGGTGAGCGAGGGTTTCGGCGCATTCGTGCGTGGTTCGTCGGCATGCTCGATGGGAGGGGAGGACTCGCTGGAGTACCAGCGCCTCGTGTCGGCGGACTTGAGAGAGGTGTCAATTGGTGACGGGATCGCTGCTCTGGAGAGACTGCGCCCAGCTGACGAGACCGGCACCACCGGCGCTGCTCTCCAGACCGCTCTGGGCCATCTTGCGATCCTCACTGCCATGCCGGTCTCGACGCCTGTCCGCAGCGCATGGGCATTGCTGCAGCGAAGCATTTAACCTGAACTGCGTCTGCGTAGTACGGAAGACCTGCACCGTCTGTTCGTATGCGACTCTGCGGGCTGCGGCGGAGGTGAAGGAAAATCCTGCGAACTGGACGAAAACTGCGGGAGTTCGGAGGGGGAGGAATAACAGGATCCACAGATTCTAGAGAATAAAGACAAATCCCCGAGTTAAAGCAGCTGCAATGGGAAGGACAGCGACTGCAGCGAAATGAGGAGCAGAGGCAAAATAAAAAGCAGACTGCGCAGAAAGATCCGTATCATATCGGAGCTGACCAGACTAGGCAAGATATGGTTAGCTTGCCAGCATCCCCCGATCGAGCAAATAACTCCGGGGCCGAGAACAAGTGCTGCCTGGCAGCCTGAGGCAGCAGCACTAAGGCGCTTTGGCTCTAGCATTCCCAGCAGGCTACCCTCGTGGGCACTAGGGACTAGTGAAAGGCAAGAGCCGCT